AAGAATGTTTCAAAAGTATGGTCATTTTGTTCATAAAATTATGATTTCTATAAAAAAACGCCTTGCTTTACAAAAATTCATATTTCTGATGAAATTTGCCTATTTGATCTTTTGCACTCACAAATAATATAAACAATTTTTTTCACATATTTGGAGGACATTATGAATTTTATTGAAGTATTAAAGTCTGAAAATGTGAAAAAAATTAATCAGTTCTTTTTCTGAAAATGAATTGATCTTCCAAATTTTTCATTCACCAAAAACACTTTGATTAATTTCTGATCATTATTTCAGAAAACCTAAATGATCTCGTTTTTTTTTCCAAAAATGACATCAAACAACTTTCTATTTTCAGTAACAAACACTTTACTCAAATTATAATGTATATTTGATATTAGAACTACATAGATCATTGCAAAACTATTAGGATTTGACAGGGAACTTCCTGGGGAACGTTGTGAAAATTTGAAGTATGAGAGTCAAAAAATAAAAGTGACAGTGGATTTTTTTGCATTCTTGATTTTGCAAACACCAAGTGTACAAAAAATCATTTGAAAAGCTTAGCGTTCAAGCTCATCAAACATCCGCGTCAGACCACAAAAACAAAATTTTTAATATATTTTGTTTGGTCAAAATAAAACTATGTTTTACAAAAAAAGCAATGTATGTTGAATAAAACCCGCAATCTTTTTTGCTAATCGTGATTTCCGTTTTAAGTAGAAAAGACGATTAAAAGTATCTAAGATTTATTTGAAATGACTAACTTTTATATGAATATCAAATTCTAAAATATCTGTCTACCAATCTATTGATAAAAGATCTCCTAAACATGGGTATTTTGAATAGAATGTCTGATTGAAGATTATTCATGGAACATAAAAATTTCAGACTTTTACAGTAATCTGAAAGAAATTACTTCGTGGAATAAAGTTGTTTACGGAAGTGTGTACTTTATGAATATATCTAGATAAAAAATGAAAAAAAAATTAATTTGGAAGATAAAACAAAACGCTCGTCTGAAATAACAGGAAATTACAGAAATGAAAGGAAATTAAAAAAGTTTGACATTTTTCGTGTACTTCTTCTATTTTTTTTTCAAAGCCGAGCGAATTTTATGTTAGATTTTATGAAAGACCGAAAAAAACAACTATGAAAATAAACAATTTTAAGCACTTGACGCCTAAAAAGAGAAAAACAATATATATGAAATGAAGAAATACATATTTGTGACATGTTTTTATGTCAGCCTTTTCTAGAAATCTAGAAATCTTTTTTTCAATTCTGTTGGGGTTTACAGTGGAAGGAAAATAATGGAAAAATTTTACTCATAAAAACTTTTGTAACCCTTCTTGTTTTCTAATAAAAATGACAATAAAACAACAACAATGTTGAAAAAAGACAATATTTTCTTTAAAAATTGTTCGTCTCAAAACATTTGCAAAACGAAAAACACGCTCGTTAAAAAAAATGAAAATTAGCAAAACGAAAAATGGAAATATATGAATGAAAATGACTAAATCCGTCCCGTAAATACATTTTTCTCGCTAATATGAAAAAGTTTCTTTTTGTGACAGCAATTGAAAAAAATGAGCAAAAAATATTGGCACGAAAGAATCTGAGCTCTTCTTTTTTCTGGTTTCAAAAAAAAAGTTTGCGCTTTTTCTTCTTCTTTTGTTGTCATGATTAGGGTCATTCAACAAACAAATCGAGGTTCTTTTGAACTTCTAGATTTTGGAAGAATTTTTGAACGAACGTGTTATTTCTTGGAAAACACGCAAAACAAAATTTTTTTTCTGCTAAAAAAATAATAGAACGGAATGAATATTTAATTTCGTTCGAATATTTTCGGATGGATATTTAAGGAAAAAATTTCGTTCTCATTTTGACATTAATTGACTGACACTTTCAAAAATAGCTGTCTCAAAATAGACTTTTTTTGAATTGACAAATGTAAAAAATCGAGAAGTTTTGAAATAGGGATTTGGAAATTATGATCCGATAAAAAAGCATATCAAATTTTTCATCGAAATATTTATCCCATTTTTTTCTAACAAGAAAACATTTTCAAAAAATAATTGAATTTTTTTCATGACACAACACTTCTGATAGTTTCTAGTCCGTTTATTACATTTTCAATTGTTTCCTAGAACAATATGTTTATTGTTAGAGATATCGGTTTGGTAAATTTAGAAAGTTTGACGCAACAAGTCGTTTTCAAAGTAACATATATGAATGAATTACTCCAGAAGTTTGAAACTTTGAAAAACTCGCATAAAATTAAACTCTCATTGAGTCAATAAAACATTTACAACATCCTGGTTTTTTTCAAAAAATTACAAGCCAATAAAAAAAGTCCAAAGAGTAACATAAACATTAGAGTGTACTTCAAAAAAATGTTGCCATTTTTTGAATAATAAGTACATCAAATATATACCGGGGACTTAGTAAATGACGTCTTTTTAGTTTATTTTGAGATTAGATATATTTGTGGTTGACTCAGATATAAAACTACATACTAAAAAATGAGATACAAAAAACCCAAACTTTAGATGAAACTTGATATTAATTTGTTTTTGTTGTTTATTTTGGTTCTCGAGTTTTTTTTTCATTTCGCGAAACCTATTTGCGATCTATAAAATTGAATACTAGATGAGATTGAACACTGAAACTTTGTAGAATTGAAATGATCAACATATGGTTTCATCTTTTTTATTTCTTTCAAAGTCTTTGGTTTTTTCCACTAATTATGAAGATACAACGTAGCCTGATTCATAATTATAATTATTGTTTATTTTGAAATGTGTAGTTCCTTGTTAGTGCACACCCTCAATTCAATTCAACATGAAAAAATTAATTATTTCTATTTTTATTTTTTTTTATGTTACTCATTTCATGAGGTCATGCACATCCGATTTCTAAAATTTCCGTGTTTTCGATTTCATTTTTTTTGAATTCTTATGAGAAAAAGTAGTCAGTATTCAGGGATGTTTGGAAAATGGTAGAAGAAACAATTTTTAGAACAATGAAAAAATGATTTTGAGTTCAAAAAAATGGAAGAAGATTGAAGGTTTGGTTTGAAAATTTCTTGGAACTTCACAAACATTAAAAAATAATTATGCATTCGATGTTTTTATGAATTTTGCAAAACCACAATATGAAACAAAAAATAATTATAATATGAAATTTGAAAAAAACAACAAGATTTATTAGAAAGATAGAACTTGGTTTCTATTTTGAATGAATAGAGCACAACTAAATTTGATTTGAAACTTATCGGGAAATTTCACGGAAAAATAAAACCATAATAATTGTAACCACAATTTCCATTTATTGGTGCTTCATTTTTTCAAATATAAGGGTTTACAAAACTTCCAATTTCATCGCGAAAATACTTCAAAAATTGAATTATACGAAACCGAAAAATCACACAAATTATTTTATTTTCACACCAGAATACAGAACATAAGACAAAAAATGGCATTTGCTAATGGTAATTATATAATATCAATGAATAAACATCAAACTATTGAAACAGTAATATTAGAACTAATAAATAAATTCCGAAATATCATAGTCGTGATTTCTTCGTGGTTTGTTGGATTGTGACATTGGATTTACGTTTATTTCCAGTTTGCGTATCAAAACTCTGAAATTTAGAATTATGTCTATTTTTCAATTTTGACATAAAAGTGATTATTTATTTTTGAACCTAATCAATTACAACTCACGTCTGTTTTTGAGTTATGACATTGCAATTTCACGCAATTTTTCAAATCATTTTCGAATTCATCATCCGCTTCGTAACCATCATGTTTCCCCAATTTGTTCTTTGTTTCAGTCATAAATTTTCTATAACACATGTGTCGGAAAACTTGATATTTACTAAAAAAAAATATTCTTTATCAGATAAGTAACAAAAACAAATTACGAAACATATTCAAAACATTGGTGTGTTTTTTTTTTTAGAAAATTTCCGAAAACTACCGTTCTCTAGAATTCTTGCAAAAAATATCAAACTGTCGGGAAAAAAACAAATCAATATCTAAACATGTTCCACCAAAGGTAAAACAAAAAATACGCAGAATTAAAAATGAGTGCTATGCAACGAAACTACAAATTAAAAGAATAAAAGCAGGGTGATATAGATTTGGACAAAAAGGGTTGATAATTCCTGGGCTGACAAAAACAAAATAATGAGAAGGAGAAAATGTTGACAATCAAAACTATTTGAAAACTTTTCCAAGAACAAAAGAGGTTGTGATTCTGGAAATGAACTCCGACAGAACTCCGACAAGTTAGAATTCAAAGTGTTCATCATCTGAAAATTCTGAATGATGTATGAAAAAAGCGAGTTTCAATTTACAATTAGGTGAGGTTTTACTGTTTCGTCCTTCCGGCCGCTTCAGAAGTGTCTTTATGAAGTATTGCACAATGAGTTTCTGGAAAAATAACATGTTGAAATTATTTCGATAAATTGGGTAATTTGAATTTTTTCGTTGTAGATAAAGAAATCTTAGAGAAAAATTGTAGATAAAAAAATCTTTCTTACTCTGTTTTGGAATACTAACTTGCCACATATTTTTTTTCAGATAACAGTGATGTCAAAATTAATGTGTATAGTTGTAATGAAGTCAAGTGGTTTAGAGTTTGCAGAAACCTTGACCAACTTTTTGTTTCATTATTAGGTAAAGTTTTGTGATGAATAGGTATTCCCGAGGAAAAAAAAGATTTTTGGTATATTAGTACATCAGTCTATTTTTTGTTGTGTTCGCCATTATTTATTTACCTCGAAAAATTCATATTTATATTTTATTCAAATTTTGACAGCTTTTGTTCATGTGAACTTTTTGAACTCAGAAATGACCAGAAAAGATAAATATTTGAATATTTAACAAAATTTGTCATTGAAAAATGCAAAAATAAGGATTTTATCAAAGTTGACTAGACACCAGTTAAGAAAAAAGTCGATTGTTTGATTTTTAGATTTTCGATTAGCAAAAATGCTGTGGGTTGAGGTGAGAAAAGCTGCATTTCAAATAAAAATATTCGTTGAACAAATGAGAGACCTGGTTTGACATTTCCGAGATGAACAACTCTTTGATGTTCCGACACACCAATTATGAATCATTTCTTCCGATGCACACCTTTTTGGTTACTTTCATTCTTTTTTTTTTGAATGTTTAGATTAGGTCTGGCAGAAAAAAAAGTTGTTCTGTGAAAAATAAAATAAAATACGCGGTAAAATTCCAAATGTAAACACACTTCTAAAAAGTTGTTGAATTGATTTGAATCGAAATTTCTCTCCCTCATTCCTCAAATATAGGAGTGTTTCTGTTTCTGCCACAAAAAACCAGCTCATCCTAAATTTTTCTCTTAACACCTTTTCATAACCGCCCGATAAAAATCTTGGTTTTTTTGTCCAAGAGGTCAATTCTATTTCACATATATCTCCCTTAATTAAATGAGATCCTTTTCTTTCATTCCATTTTTTCGACTATTTATTTATTTATGAAAAATTGAGTAAAATTTTTTATATTTTTGGATGAGTTGTCCTTTCAATTTTTTTGTGCAAGCTGGATTCCAGTTTGATGAATTACATGTCCGCTCGTGTGTGTTTTTTTTTTCATTTTTTGGTTTATAAATACATAGAGGAGAGCAGGTGTGAAAGAGCAATCAACCTTATATTTTTTCATGGTTGAGATTTTTTGGGTGCAACTGCAACTGCAAATATAAATCTATTCATATTCATATATAAGCTTGGGTTAGAAAAATGTTTATGTTTGGGTTTATAGAATTTGGGTTTATTTTGACAGATTCACATACAAACATATATGTTTCTTCTGTTTGGAGAAATACATAAGAATTTTACACACATTTTCTTGCCCTTTCAAATAATTTCAAGATTTTGCCAATCCTATTGAATTTGAGTTCGAATTTTTGAATTAGAATATTTCATTTTGAAAGAATTTTTCGAGTTTTCAGATAATGACTTAAAACTTTTCTATGTGTTTTATCTTCGTGTCACCTGGTCCATTTTCCACAACCTTTGAAAATTCTTCATCTTTTAAACCTTGTTAAAAATGAATATTTATCCAAATTTTTGCAGCATCACATCATAATGAATAAAAGGAAAAAACAAGTGTTAATATTATCGCCAAAAAAACATCCAAAAATTATAATCGACGAACCAAAAATTTGTCATGGATGGCTTGTTGTTTGTGGTGAGTTTGGTTTACTGTCTGATTTTTTTCACCCACCGCTTTTTGATATTTGAGATCTTTGAGTTTTGTTTATTTTGCATTATATAGCCAATGGAATGTGTAACCGATGACATTTTTCTTTTGACGCATTTTTACGAAATAATAATAATGAGACGAATATTTTGGAAATGTATACCATTCATTCATTTTTTCTCCGTTTATATTCAATTCATGGAATCATTTTGGTCTTCCCGGACACTGTTTTTTTCTTTCTGCAGTTAAAAAAAACCACAAAATGTGTTATCAACTTTAACCTCATTGTTAATTGTAAAATTAAAGAAGAAGAAGGAAAGTTTTACGAAGCGTGGTATAACTTTATTGCTTCCTCCTTTTTTTTTGGATTTTTTCACATTTTAAGAGAAGGAAAAATGTTTATTGTTCTTTCCGAAATTAAATTTTTGTTAGGGCAGCGAGGGAGTTGTTTACTTTCTATTTTCAACTGACTTTTTGACAGGTTTGTCTGTTTCAAATAAAGATACATTTGGGATCGAGCATTTTTAGCAGAGTTCATTTCTATTTTGATAAGATCAAAACGTTTTCATGTTTCATTCCATTATTAGAGCCCGCAGACTTTTGATAACGAAACACTTCAATTTTGTTATTCATATGATTTCGAAATCTGAAGCCATTTAAGAATTACTTTAGATTTGAAAAGTATCTTGTGCTGAATTAATTTGTATGTGATTTTTCTTAAATTTTCCATTTTTCAAAAAAAAATCTTGAATGAGCTTTCACAGCGAAACAACTGACTTTTTCAATAAATTCATGAATGAATACACACCACATTTTCCAACTAAAAATATTCTCCTATCAAAATTCTCATTTTATTACAAACAAGAAATACGAAACCTGACACCCACCAAAAATTTGCCAACAAGATGGCGACAAGAAAAACAATAAAAAATATAGAACATTTTGCTTAAACAAACAAAATTTTGAATTTCTCACCCATTTTCGCAACTTTTTTCCTCTCATCTTTCTTCCATTTCCATTTTCACACCTTCCAAACTTGACTTCTTCTAACAAATAAAGCAAAAGAGATATATTTATTTATTTATACAAATATCTTCGTATTTATATAATAATAATATTAAATAAAATAAAAATATATACGAGTGACTGACTGACTGAAGATATTTGAACTGTCTTTCTTTCTAATACCTCCACACCTTTTTCATGTCATATTCTTCTTGCTCCTAATCGTCAAATAATTGTTTTCAACATTTTTTTGTCTAAATCCAACCTTGTACTATTTTTCATTTCAATGCATTTGTTTCATTTTCTCTATGACTTATATTTTTTTCAAACACTTCACTTTTTTATCCACTCACGTTTTTTTATTTGTTAATATATATCACTCATTAAAAAATCATCTGAAGTAAACAAAATATTTGTTTTTTATTGATTGATTTTATTTTTTAAAAAATTGTTGCAGAAGGCAATCCGACAAAAATGATGAATCAAGAAGTAAAACTTCCATGGCATGCTGGTTATTGTGTTTATGATCCTCAACATCGAACTGTTTGTTGTTATAAACACGAACCTTATCATTTTAACAATATGATTAATCGAAATGCCAGTGTTAGGATGGATGGAGGAAGAGCTGCTTTTATGAATCATTGGAGTTAGTTTTTTTCTGGGTTGGGGTTCAGCTGTGTGCAAATGTTACGCATTTGAAAAAAGTTTATTAGAAAAAAAGTGTTCAACACCTCAAAGAACATTGCTCTTTTGTACATAATCGTATGAATCGTTTTATTCATCGTCGTCGGAGAGATCAACTTGGTTGAAACTGTTTTCGAGATCATCACTTATCGCATCCCATAAGTTGCTATTTCGAACACCACGAATCTCATTGAATCTTTGAAGATATAGATTTTTTCTCGAATATCGATCTACGAGAAATTCATTAAAATCATATCCATTGTTCTCGATTGATTCCACAAGGTTTCCAATTAGAAGAGTTTTTCTCAATCCATCTCCTTTACATTGTGTTTTTTCGATTTCTGCCAATTTGGCCTCACTCATTTCAACGACCTCGAAACATAAAAAACGATGAAAAAGTGAGAACGTTCTTGATACTTCATAATTGAGAAATGCGGGACTCTGTAATTTGAACTAGGTAAAAGTTGTTTCGCCATTTTTCATGGTTGAAAACTCACCTTCAAAACATTTTCCTCCATTCTGATATAGTTACGAATTATCAAATCGTTCTTGTGGTGTGGTGTGAAAAATTTGAGCATTTCTGAAATCAATGAACATTTCGAGAAAAAATTAGAAATCTGCTAACATTGAGAATAGAATATTCGAGAAAAAATGTATATAATAATGATATTTCCAGCAAGCGCAGCGGGTGGTCAAAAAATTGTATGCTCTACTGATAATCGTAAAGTTGAAGAAAAAATTTCCCCCAAAAAATTTCAAGTTATAGTAAAATAGTTTTCATTGGAGCGCAAAATCTTTATTGGTCACCCGTCAATGCAAAACGTGAAAAAAACGTGATATTTTTAATTTTTGAGACTTCCGCGCAGATGAATTGAATTAAAGAGAATAGACAATACTAGCTTCAGTACTTTTTTATCATGTTGATAAAATTAGGGGACCATAGAAAAATTGAAACATCAGTTTTTTCACGTGTAGTTTTTTTTTTCAGAAATTGAAAACCTTTCTCGAAATAAAAACAGTTGCTCGCATCAACAAAAAAAGAAAACCAAAATTTCGAAAAAAAACAAAAAATGAGAAAAATCGAAAAACTGTTTTGATCATTTGAGAATTGTGTAACAGTTTTTTTCAAACTTTTTTATGTTTCTAAATCAATTTATTGATGGGAATCTGATGATCTCAAAGATCACGAAAAAGATCAAAAGAGAAGGAAGAAAATAATTTTCAAAAATTTTGTTCCAAACACATTTTCCGGGAGACTCTCAGACAATGATCACACGCTTGTAAATCAAAATTTTGTGAAATTCCTTTTGAATTTACTAATTTTTTGTTTGAATTCTCACTTGCTCACAAATAATTTTCATAAAAACCTGATTTCAAGGACACAAACCTATTTTCACGGAGACAAACTAAAACCCAATTTTCAGAATATTGTTGCTTTGTTTTAAAGAACAGTTCTCAAAAATGATGAATCATCCAAAAATTCAGAAAAATTTTCAAATAATTGCTCTCAAAAAAATATTCAAACTTTAGAAACTTCAAACAAGTTTCAAATTTTTCCAGGATTCTTGCCGAATCATCGCCCAATTTCTGGATCAAACACAATCGCTCGAAGCTATCTTCAACCGGTCAAAGAACATGCAACACTTCGCGATCGTTTTCACAGTATTTCAAGAATGCCTAACAAGTTTGCAACAGTTCGCGCGATTCCAGTCAATTATCTAGGTCAGTCCATTTTTTTTCCATTTGACAATTATTGAAGACTCTCGGCGGCGCATTCAATTATTTTATTTCAATTTATTTTGGTTTTTTTCACAACAAATATAGTTTTGTTTATATTTTTAATATTTGCTTTTTTGTTGTTTTTGTTGAATTTTATTGAGAAATTGAATGATAGGGAAGTTTTTTTCGTCTGTACATTCTTTTGTTGAATATAATCCTTAATGTCAATTTGCTTCCACATTTTCCTCAATCACTGACAGAGAGAAACGGTTTTGCTTTGGTCTGTTCGCAAAAGATTAAACTCATTGTTTTCTAGAAAACGAGGTGGGAGTACTGTACATATTTTTAGAATAGGGTCACCTCCAATAAACATCAGGATAGAGATAATAGTGGAAGAAAAAACCGTTGTTTCCACTTGAGAATCTTTGTTTTATGTGTATGTATAAACAAAATTCCGGCGTTTTTTTCTTTGCTTTTTTTGTGTACTGTCGGTTTTCTCGACTTTTTTGTGAAATCAAACACTTTACTGTTTCTCTCCGACATAAAAAGTACACACTTTTTTTTGTTCTTATTCCATAATCTTTTTATGTTTATGTTCAATTTTATTTGAATTACAATCGCATAAAAATACGGACGCTTTACATCCGAATTTTTTACGATTCACGATCCATTCAAATGACGATTATAATCAAGTTCACACTTTCCTTTTGTTTTTTGTTCATTCTGTTTTTCTGTAACAACTAGAAATGATTCTTATTATGATATTTTTATATTTTTATATTAATATATGAATGAGAGAATGACCAGTTCCCGCATCATTCTTCCTTTTTTTCTAACGTAAACAAAAATCCAATTACTTTGTAGAATGTTTTTTTTCGAAAATATGTACATATTGATTTTTTGCCCAAATTCGATTAGAACAAAATGCGATTATTCCAGAAAAAAATCATTTTAAGAGAAGAAAAACTACAGAGTACAGTACTATTTTATTTGACTCCAATTGAACCTCTCGTTTTTTCTTTCTCTCTATCTGTTCCTTAAATTATTTAGTTTTTGTACATAGTAGATCAAATCAAGTTTTCTTATCTCTTCTGAATGACACGTTTGTTCTGAAATAGAACAGTAATTTTTTCATGTTCAATTTATTTACGTTAATTTTACAGTACCTAGAAAGCTGCCAAAATCAGCGAAAAAAACCATTAATTAGCCACAATTTTGTCATCAACATCAAACGCGCCAATAAACCGGAGCCCAATTGGGCGACGTGTTTCAACTTCGTCAATTTTCACCAACGAATCAGCTAACAATCCTAATTATCGATCTGTTCATCCAATGTTGTTAGCAAATAAAAAACGAAGCAATACAACAACATGTGTCACACCAACATTATTTATAAATACAAGCAACCTTCAACATCCGAAAGCTGAAAAACGTGTCTCGTTCAAAGATTTTATTCATCCTCATCAACAGCATCCACAAACAACAAATAATAGAAACAATCATCGATTTGAGAAGGCGGAGGAAGATTTTGAAGCCGAAGAAGAGGAAGAAGAAGTGGATGGGAAAAGTGATAGTAATTATTTTTGTTATAACAATTATTTGAATTATAATCCGAATAGTTTGCATGATAAAAAATTGCATCGATGCGATACAAATGATATGACTATGCTTGAAAGGTGAGTCATTTTTTTCCGAATTTCCAAGTTTATTAATGTTGTCTTCATGATATTAGTAAAACGATATAGTAAAACGATAAAAACATTATGTTAGGAAGGAGATTTTTTAAGTAAAAGTATTCTAAATTTTTTGTTGACTTGAATTATATACATCTATTCAGAAAAATTTACTTTCATAATCAATAAGTATCTGACTCAAGTTTCAGACGATGAACAATTTCACGAAAATTAACATCAATTTATGTAATTTGTGAAAATCTGAATTTTTCAATTAATTTCTTTAGCCTAAGTTCAAAACATTAGCAAACCGTTTCCCAAGCCACACGCATTGTTAAATTGCTCCAATTGATCTTCGGAACGTTTTTAAAAGGTCAACTATGTTTTCGCAGAACCCAATGTTTTTGTGCTCATTGTCGTTTTTTTTGCTGACGATCTTGTTCTTTCGGACTAATTTCTTGAGTGTTTGGCTGCTTTTCTCCTCTTTTGTTTGTCGGAAAATACTAAATCATCATTAAACATCATGTAGTTAAATTATTGCAAAATATACTCATTTTCTTCTTTAGTCTGTACTCAGAGATTCGCTGGCCAGCTCGCCACTAGATCAGGACCAGGTGGCCGGAAAGTTCAAAACGAGCTGAGTTTGATTCGGCCACCAGGTCGCCTTGAGTTTTCCGGCGACGTGGCCTGTGTGTTTCAAATCCTGAAAAGCTAGCAAGACGGTGGTTTGTACTCAAAATAGTGCATTTTTTACTGTTTTTTTCACTTCCTAAGGTTTCTAATACTCCGAAAAAACAGAAAATGAGCCAATTTCTTCTAGAATGCTCGGATTCACAAGTTTTTTGGACTTTTTTCTCTTAAGCGAGACGATCTGGACGCGAGGTCGGGTCGAGCTGGACAACCTGGGCGAGGCGGTCTGCATGAACTGAACCACCTCGCGACCAGGTCGTCTGGCAAAAAATACGGGCGATGTGGTTGTCCGTGTCAATTTCAGATGGGCAGTCGACCCCACCTAGTGACCAGCTGGCCAGCGAATCTCTGAGTATTCTAATTTCGAAATTTGAATTTTCTTTATCTTCATTAGTAATTTTTAATTAAATCAAAAGTTTTATTTACATATGAGTTAGTCAGATTACTTTATGAGTCAGTTTGCTATGTTCTCAAGGATTTTTCTTATTTTTTGTCATCTTTTGAACATTTTTTCTGTTAGTCGTTTTTCTAATTTTTATTTAAAAATTGAGAAATTTGCTCTTCCACTCACGTTAACTCAAAACTATTTGCAAAACTACACTTGAAAAATACATTTTACACTTTTAAAACTATACAAATACCTACATACCTACCTATCTATACCAGATGTTTATCTTATTTCAAAAAAAAAAAACGACACAACAATACATTTTCTTGTTAACCTCTTCTCTCTGAAAAAAAGTTCGCCTCATCGATTTTCACATTATCTATACAATTCTGTGTTTTTGTTGTTATATATTATATTGTTAGTACCATTATTTTCAACCCATCATTGAAATAAAAATATGTCAACATATTGTTCTAGATATTTAACACGAGAAATGAAATCGTCACATTCACCGCGTCATTTTGGCGCATCGCGTCGTCTTATTGAATCGGATCAAAGTTCGAATATTCGAAAAAGGCTAAGTCGAAGTTGTGATCATCTCAACGAACATCAGTTTTCGCCGCGTCTTCCACCAATTCGCAGAAGACCCACAAAACATGTTAAGACTATGGCCGGAGTTTTGATAACTCATGATACCGGTTAGTTCATTTTTTGGGTGGGATTTTCACTTTTTTTTCAATTTTATAAAGTTAATTTGTTGTGGTTTATTTTTATTTTTATGTCATATAATTTTGTCGTAAAAAGAGTACACACAGAAAATAATGCAAAAAATCTTGTCCTGCTCGCGTTTTGAGCATGTGAAGTGGACAAGTCATCGATCCAACTAGATTGTGATCAATACATAAATGTGGAAGGTTTGGATGATGTAATTAAGCTAATTGGGAAAATTGAAAGTTGTTGGAATGTTGAAGAACGGTTTGATTTTGAAAAAAAACAATGTTGGTACTTGAATCGAGAATATAGTAATTCTAAATTGTTGGGTAGTTTTGGTAGGTTTATGAATGGTTTTTTGTGTGTTAATATTGTGAAATTTAAGTTTTCTTCCATTGATAATTTTCGATAAAAGCAGACATGTTTAGCCTAAATGTAAGTCAAAATGTCAGAAATTATAAACTGTTATAGTTTTTCCCAGAAATAATTCTGACAATTTTTTCATTTGGAAGTGTAATAGTGGTCATAGAAAGTCTGAAGTCGTTTCATTTGCAATTTGATTTTTTTTAATTCCCAAGAGAATTCATTAATGACAATTTACTTCCAAGTCAAGATTTGTTTTTCAAAATTAATTATCATATTCAAGACAACTTCCTAGCTAAAATGATTGCTATATTTTTTATATTTGTGGATTCTTTAACACTCCCGAAGTGGATATTTTCAAGAAAGAATTTCAATCTATATCTCACTAGTTTCAACCTAAAATAATAGTTTTTTTCTCAAATTTTCCCACAATACAATGAAGTCGACCTTCATGTATTCAATCTCAAACAAAAATAAGTGTCCCAAACATACAATATATCTATTCTTTATATATACAACATAAAATCATCAAATAAACAAAATACCCATTCAATTTTTCTTTAAAAAAGAAGAATCTTCGATTTCGGTGAAACTTCAAAGAATTGTTTATCATTCATCCAAATTTCCGTTTATTTTTGGTTTCCAAAAAAAACTGACTCATGTTTTGTTTCCTATTGTAAACATAAACAGACACTAGAATCATTCACCAAAACACATAGTTTCACGTGCTCTTGAAATTTATCCGGTTTTTTACAGCTCTTTTTCGTGTGAAAAATGTTTTACGTCAAAAATTTTTTTTTGTGATTTTTTATTGGAAAGTGAAAATGATAACAAAAAACTGAATATCTCTTTCACTTTCATGGATTATTTGTTTCGAGATAAATTCTCAGGACGGTGTACTTTTTTTGTGAAATTAATTTCGTGTGAAGATCTGCTAGATTACTGTGTAGACATCTTTTAACTGTCTGAACTAGTTTAATCAAAAGTTAGCAAGAATAAATTTTTAGTTCCCGGTTTAGTTATCAATGAGAAAAACTGTCATGTTTAATTAATAATTTAATCTTATAATTAGAAAACAACTTCATTGTTTGTTCTCAATGAAAAATGACCTAGTAATTAGTAAATCTTATAGTACATTTCACACACTCATCTCATATGAAATCTTGGTATTATAATTGCCTGTATTCAGCTCTCATTTTGTTGTGTTTCTCGTCTATTTCAATTGTAATACTACATCGTTTTCTTGTTCTAACTAATACTAATAATAATTGGTTCGTTCGTTCGTTCTTATTGTTGTTTGGCTGTATCCTTGTTGTCCTCAATTTTTTGGCGCATTTATATGCATTCAGCAGGTGGTGTTTTGGTTTCTCGACCACACCCTTCTTTGCACCAACCATCGCCAAAAATAAAAAGCTCAATTACTTTTTATTGAATTGGTTTTTCGTGGCGTGTTCAATGACACGGTTTATATGCGTTTTTATTTTGGAAATAGATGAAAAGAACTATTGTGTGTTTTTTTGTATCAAGGTTTGAAGATAGGTTTTTGAGATCTTTATAGGGTCAGAATTTTAAGTAGGTTTGGTTTTTGAGATGTGAAATGAATTTGGAATTAGTTAGGTCAGCTGAACACCTAAAGTTTGATTTTCATTCATTTGGAATACTGATTTTTTCAGTTCAGTTGTCGGTTCTTCATTTTCGCAATAATGTTGAGTTCTCAAATCAAAAATCTAACCCTTGTATTGCCAGAAGAACTTTTTTCAATTTTCAATGTATTTTTCCATCAAATCTTCATTGGCTCTGTTTTTCCTACGCTAAAAACCGTCACAAGGTGATTTAATATTATCTTGTTTTCATTTTGAGAAACTTTCCTTATTTTCAAATCTGGTTCACTAGAAATTTTCAGAACAAAATGCTTTAAATAATAGTAATAATAATAATAATTTCAAAGATGTTATATACAATTTTAAATCTTTATAATTCCTCCCATAAGAAAATAATCCTGAAAGAGGATGTCGTTCTCATAAAATTATTATTTACCACCATCTCTAAAAAACCTTTACTCTAGATAATTCCAAAAATAACTCTGATTGAACGCTAATTGAAACCTAATACTATTTATATAAAATAAAACAATCTAGTTTTGTTAGCCCACTTGACACCGTTTTACCACATTTTTTTTGAGAAAAAGAAAAAAAAATAGTTTATTTATCCATGACTTACTTCTTCTCATTAGATTTTTTGAAAAAGAAAAAAACATAAGGACATAATATTTTGGGCGCGAAAAATAGTGTTGTCTTTCCTCATTTATTATTTGCACAGACATATCAATTCAGTGTTGAGACGAGTTGGGCCTTCTCCGTTTTTCCTTTTTCTTCTTCTTCTTTTTTTTTCAATAATTTTTGCCTCCCGTATGTTGCCATCATCAATAAGATATTATGTATGACCAACCATATGGCAGAAAAACCCAAGGGTTTATACTTATTCTTCTTCGTTTATCTGTCTCGGTTTTCTTGCCCATTTTTTCTCATTCTTTCATTTTTTTTTGTATTCTCTTTTGTTAGGTGTGAGAATTTTGAGTCACAGTTTTAGTGTTTCTTTTTCTTCTTTTTTTTTGCCGAAATGTTGGTCTTTTTTGAGAGTTGAGTTGAAATGTAATTCAATATATCTTATGAACATATGATGCAAACTATATGCAAAAATGAATATGATATAAGTTTTCAATGTTTTAAATTTATTCTCGCAAATATTTCGAGAAGAGTTTTTTGCCTATGACGAATTTTTGAGTATAAAAATTATAGTTATATCTTGCCATACATTTTGGCGTCATTCAAAATATTGATAATTTAGAAATCAGTTAGGGTTCTTTCAAATTGATTATTTCGAAATTTAGGCTTGTTAAATGTTGTTATGATAAACTGTTTAGAAACATTCTGAAGAAATTTTTCAAAATATTCAAGAACTCATAACTCATTACATCTGATTCCGAATCTGTTGAATTCTCCATATTTTCATTGACTTTCAATTTGGATCGATAAGATCCCCTGAAAATATGAACTCACAGTTTCATAAAGTGTGACTTCTTTTTTTCTTTTTTCTTGATTTGGCCAATTTGTATAAAAAAAAGGACCACCCATTGAGATTTTGTAAGAATCGATTTTTGAGAAAAATGGGTTTTTTCTAGAATGTTTTTGAGTTCATATACTCTTTTTTTTCTATATTAATTATGCAAGTTAAATTGTCTATAAATTTACCTAAATTTACCCAGTTTCAATTTTTTGTTTGCAACTTAACATTGTAAGCAGCCTAAAGTGAGTTGAATCCAAGAAAAGTTGGTCATTACTCAAGATAAATATCGAAATGAATTCATTCAGAATCAATATAGAAAACATTTTGAAATTATAGACGGTGAGCTGCACAAAAGGCAACTGTATCTCATTGCTGCTGCTCACGCTGCGGCGTTCACGTCGCACGTAGAAAAAATATATTGACCATTTGCCCTCTCTTTCTCATCGCCGTTCTGGCCGAGTGGTCTAAGGCGCTGCGTTCAGGTCGCAGTCCTCTCAGGAGGGCGCAGGTTCGAACCCTGCGGACGGCAATTTTTTTTTAAAATTTTTTTAAATTTGCGCTTTTCCGTGTTAAAATACCTTTTGAATGATAACTGAATACAGTTATTTGTGCAGGATGCTAGATTTACCTTTTTGCTGAAATCTCAATTTAACAAATCCCTAAAAGTATATGAACTTAAAGTTTTTTTTGCGAATAGTACGTTTTTTTCTAAATTTGGCCAATTTATGAAAAAAGAGAGACCTCCCATGAAGATTATGAGTAAATGTTTGGATATTTGTAAACTCTATCAAACGCCAGGTATTAATTATTCCTGAACATGTTGGTGTTCCTTGTTATCAAATCAAAATCCAAATTTGGGAACTCAAATTTCAAGTATTGTTTTAGAAAATTGTTAAATTTCCAAAGAATGATCACATACAAATATTTCTTGAGAAATACAGTTTTTTGTTGTCAATATAAATAAAAAACACAATTTTCAATGAAAATTTGTTGAATTGAGTCTATTTCCGTTCTAAATAGTTTGTGTGCATTTCGGCTCAACACATTTCAAGAAATTCCTAACTATTTGTTTCCAGTCCCAATCAACTAGTCAAATAATTTGTGTTTCTCGAAAATAGAACAAAAACACAGACATCTGCCAATTTCAAAACAATTTGTACTTTTCTTCTAGTCAGTCAGTCAGTCAGTCATTTTGCATCTGTTCATCCACTTAAGGATACGTATATCCTCACTAATTATCCGATCATTCTCTTTTTTTTCTGCCTGTTGTTGGTTTGTTTTAGAATATCTACTAACCAAATATGTTTCATTACACAGTTTTTTCAACAAAAAAAGCTAATGAGATTTGATACCACCAAATAATAATGTATGAATAAATTGGTATACTATTATTCTTCTTCAAAATATTTATTTTATTATATTTTTTTCCATTTCACTTTTTTTATTCATTCATTCTCATTCATGGTGGCGAATTTGAATTTTATTTAATACTATATGTATTTAAATATACTTGGTTTAGTGAATTTTGATTTCTGTTTTTTTTTCGAAATCCGAAAGTGCAAAGAGTTTGGCGAGCCGAGCCGAGCCTATCAAATGAAAACAAACATATCATTAATAATTATCGTTCCAGTTTCCTCTTTGTTTTTTTTTCTGCCATTTTCCTTTTTTTGATTTCGCCGTTTGAGAAAAACACACAAAAGATTGAATAACCTTCAAAATCTATAACCTAAACACCTCCCAGGGTGATTTTTCCAACCACAGAAAAAACATTATTGTGATTTTATGATTTGGAACAAGTTACAGATTGATTTTCTTATCGGATTAATTCTGCCACAATAAGCTTTTCCTTTTGTTTTTCGTGTGTTTTTCTTGTAATTTCCTCCATTAATTTTTGTGATTTTTTAGGGGTAGATAATCATGGATATTTATGATATTCGTCCATCGAAATATGGAAGCGTCAGAGGTGAGTTTTTATTTTTTTTTTGTGGAAATGTAGATGTTTTTTTAATAACTTGGTTAAATTTCGAGACACTACTCTAGGCTCGATATATGTTTTTCATTGAGAACATCTGATTATTTCATAGTTTGTATCGTCTGTTAGTTTTTTTCCAAATAAGTAGAATTATTCTTTCAAGTTTAATTTTGATGGAATTTTAGAAACTTGAAATGATCAGAAATCATTTTTCTCAATAGATCACATCAGAAGACCTAAACCCATTTTTATCAAATTCAGTTCTAAAAACACTTCTGCAAAATATCCCATTTATTTTTCTGAAATTCCTGAATCCAATCATCAAAAACGTTTATCATTTTCATATCAATCAGGAAACATTTTTCGCACCGAAAAATAATTTTCTTCCTGAAAACAACACCTTTCCGGACATATTTCATCCATTTTTTCTGATTCTTTTTTTTTTTGTACCTACAGTACTCCTCCTTCACATCTGCACAGTTCAAATGTGAAAAATGTAGTGGAACCGATTAGATGTTATCTGAAAATATCAACTTTTTCAAGTACCCTTTTTAGAACTAATCAAATTAACTCTGCAGTAGAACTACAACAAAATTTTTTTTTGTTCATAAATATTTTGCTGTGAAAAAATTCATTAATAGAAAAAAAAGTTTCGCAATTGGCTTTGACCCTAAAAAATTGCGAAATAATTCTAGCGTGCTGCGAAAACGATTTGTTTTTATTTGATGAAAACTGTTCAAATAATGAATAATTTTGTAAATTCTGATGACACATAAAAACATGAACTTTTTGTATCTTGCTTGTTCTTTTTACAGAGAAAGTTCGCACACAGTGTTTTAGACTTTCTTTGGTAAACAAAAAACTCTCATTTTAATCCCTACTATTCCAAAACTATTATTCTTTTTTTTCATATATGTTAGAAGGAAAATAAAATCGGGAGAAAAAACTTGTAGCTAAAAAAATACAAAAAATGTGTTTTAAAGCTCGTTTTGATTGGTATACTGTACTACAACATCTCGCAAACATGTTATTATTAGAAATCTTGAATTTTTGAACATTTGAAAAATGGCTGTATAATTCCTGGTTTGATGTTGATTCGGTAAAATGATTGAAGATGGAAAGGGTTATAGTTGAAATGAAAAAAGTTGAAAATGTATTTCTTTTTTCACATTCATTCATTTATGTATTGGATTGATGACAGATATGATAAGAATCACACCTTTTGCCAAAGCAATTTGTCATTTTTGTTCGTCTCGCATTGTTTGATAAACCACAAACATTTTAGAATTCGGGAAGAAAAAAGACATAAAGATGCAAAAATAGAGGAATAGAGAAAAGAAAGAGAGGTCAGATGCTTGTCATTTGAAGATCTTAATATCGCATCCTAGATCTGATGACATTGGTTTTTAGGATTATGTTGAAAGTGAGACAAAAACCGCAGAAATAAATTTGAGGCGAACGTTTCGGAATATTGGTATTTTTCCTAGTTCGGGTAGTGTTGTTTGGTGCTTGATAGTAGAATTACAGCTGTATCTTGTTGGAGTTTTGAGTCGACAGCATCGGTTGAATATGTTAGCTTCTCTAGAGTTGAAACTCAGATTTGAGCTATTTTTCCTTTTTTTTTGAGAGCAATATTAAACTTGTAATACCTTAACTTTATAAATTCTTACCAGATCTCAAGATATAATTTTTGTTACGTTCCATCAATTGCTTATCATTCCTGATTCCCCTATTTTCCAGCATAATTTGTCTAGTTTGTTCGGTTCAAAACCTTTATCATCGTCATTGTTCAATATAAATACATATATTCCAAAACATATTTATGTAAATCTTCTTTTTTTTCTCTCAACCCACACATGATGCCATTTTCCATCTTCCTTTGTAAAAAAGTACTAACCACACCACACTGGCTGACAATTTTTCTTCATCATTTTTTTTATCACAACAAAAAAGATTTGTTGTTATGTTTCTTGCTCGCGGACCAACTGCCTGGATGCTCCGTTCCGTTCAGCGGGAAAAGAGATTGAAGGTTATCAGGACAGACTATCAGAAAAGTTAGGTATATCATATTGAGAAACAAGAAAAACTAAAAGAAAAAAAGGAAAAAAAAAAGGAAAAGAACAAAAAAGGAAAACGAAAAAATGGGGCGTGGCTTCCGATTTTGCCAGTCATAGTCATTCAGGCAGCAGTTGTTCGTCTCTGCCTATCTGTGTGTGTTTTTTGTCGACTATTTCACAAAACTAATTCAATTGTTTGAGTGCTGAAACAAACGATGGCTGAAACAATTATTCAACAATAACAGTCATGTCGTTAATTAATATTTGCTATTTCCCACTCGTTTTCATCTGTTGGGTTTGGCATGTGGTTCGGAAATTCTATTGGTTTTGTCGCCAATCGTGCTGTCAATGTGGATGTTGTTGTTCGTCGCGTGAACAACAAGAGTTGGCCGCGTCGGGTAATGAGGCAATTTCTGTGCGCATCATTTCGTCATCAAATGATCCGACCAATGATAGAACACCGTTTCTAGAGAATGGACAGGAAAGAATTGAAATTGTTAGAGAAGCCGATGAAAACGGTTAGTTTTTGAAGGTTACAATGGGCACCTGGGTGGTCAAATTTTTCTTATGAACTTTATTTTCTGGAATTTGTGGGTGTCGGTAGAACGTTGGAATAACTGCGGCATATCTGCAGCATTTCTCTTGTCACGAAAAAAGTTTTGCATTTGAACAGCGGAAATGCAGAAAATATTCAAATGTCAGCACTCAAGCTGAAATTCGGCAGATTGGCGGCATTTTTGCAATGATTTAGAGAGCTCCTCATTAGCAGAAATGCAGAGCCTGGCGCAAATTCGTAGAATTTAGGTGCGATGAATTTAGCGCGGAATTTCGGCTCATAAAATGCATGAAAGAGCGGATTGTTCATTGAATGCTCCCAACTTCATGGGCTCGAAACTTTGTGATATTTCCAAAGAAACTTTAAATCCGTGTCCTGATCTCAAAAATTTTCAAGTGTTTTGTTTCTGTTTTTGCTTTTCTGCAACATGATATCCGATACAACATTTTGTTTTCCGCCGTCAATTCTTTTTGACAGTTTCTAGTCAATCTTATCAAATCATATCTTCTAACAACTCGTTTCTTGATGAAGAAAAAGTATCTATATCATCAGAAGACATTTTATAAATAAATTAATAATTCGTATGGCTGGTTGATTTTTCAAGAGTTCAATTTATATGTTTTTTGTGTTTAAGTTAAAAATAGATGAGAAATGAGGTGAAAAAGATCATTGACTAGCGAAACAATTATTCAAATAGACGTTTTTTTTCTTTATATTTCGAAAAAAAATGGAAGAAAAAAGATGGACGGCCTTGCGCGACCCGCAAAAAGAGCCAAGACAAAACTCAATTATCGCCGGACATACAAAAATGTTTTCTGTTTTTTTTTTCGTTTTGGTCTTTTTGGATTTCAAATCGTTTAGTGGAACTTTATAGAAAATGTAGAGAAAAAATTGTTATATAATTTTTAGATGAGTCATTGGAAATTTTCAGTCACAAAAGAAAAAAATGTCCGAAAAGGGAATTGGAAAATTGTTAGTTGTGAGATTGAAAAATTGAAGCTTTTTGTGAAGAATCTTCCTCAAAAAGACTACTGTAGGTATGATTAATCTTCGCATTTTTTGTTTTCCACCTTGTTATCGGCCAATTATACCTACCGTAGTCGCTCCGCACTTTTTATGACGTTCGAACGTTTTTTTTCTGATCGGCAGAAAAAAGGTTTGTAAATCAAGCCAATTTCAGATCGTACACAAATGTTGTTGAGACAGAAAAAAAAAGTTTCAAATATTGGACTAATATATATTTTTCTGTGTCGTCGCTTTTTTTTGTCGGCCCCAAATTAGTCTTCGCTTACTGAACACATTTACTTGATGCACATTGAGACAAAATCATAAAGCAGCACTTTTTTTCTGTTGGGTTTTTTTTTTGATGATAAAGATGATGAAGTGAAATAATTCCAATTTGAAAAGTATTAAAAGGGGTGGGGGAGGGGGATATTTTTTTGAGAAATCAAAAATAGTAATAAGTTCCCCCAGAGGTAATTGAGAAATGTTGTTGTGTTTGATGGGAGCGGCATTGAAGTGGAAAGGAACACTGACTTCTGAAGTGGGAGAAGAAGAAAAAGATGAAGATACGATGTGCTCTGTCTTTCTTTCTTGTCAAACATTTTTATCATTTTTATCGAAAACGAGATGGATAGGTAGATAAATACAATTATTGTTGACATTAATTAAACATACATATAGAATTAATGTTTACAATCAAAAGTCGAGTTTTTTTCCTGCTTTCTGGTAAATTGCCAAGCTGAAATAAATCGGATGGTTTTTGATGAGTGAAGGAAATGTAAATAATAGTTTTGGAAAATGTTTAGAGCTTGGTGATGGATTTATGTGAACACAAAAGATTTTAAGTGGTGATATGAATATGGCGGAAGTTTTAGAACTTGTTCGAAATATATAGATATTGCGCATATTGAACAACTTTGAATAAAACCTTTTTGGATTTATGAGAGAACTAACATTTTTCACAAAAGTTAGACCACTTCCTCGGGACTTTCTTTAGTTTAAACTTTGGCCCGATTTTAATTCAGAATTCGAAAAGGAAAGTGAGTTTTGTTTTAGTTTTTCCTACATGCTTTTACCAAAAGCTCTCAAATTTTCAATTTTCAACCAGATTCAGAATCAACAAAAAGTCTTATTAACACAAAATTCCACCGGTAGCTAAAAAACTTCTGATCTTTTCATAATCGCCCTTGAAACTGTTTCAATTAGTCGTCGAAAGTGGATTTTTTCAAATGTTTTTTGTTGGAAAAAACGGATCAAGTACATTTTTCAATCTCAAGAGGCAAAGTTTACACTTTCTTGCAATAACGAGGTTCCAGAAAAAGATTAATGATCAGTTTCAGCGGAAATGTTTGAGAAAATATGAAACTTGAGAATACATATTTCAAATAATTTGATAATTTTTCCTGTTATTTTTTGGTTGTTTCTCGTATTCATTCATTCATGCAAATTAGACCGGAGTGTTGTGTTGATAATCTCTTTTTCCGACTTGGACGAAGAAGACGCGTCCATTAGATGCTATCATCTTCAATTTTCATAACAAAAATAATTAATAAAATGCAAAAAACCTGAGACAGTCTCTCTATTTTCTCTCAAATAAATAATCATCATATTATTAAGCCTCTTTCTTTTCCCTCTCTGCTGATGCTGCGCAAAAATAAAATACGGTAGGCGGAGAGAAAAAACGAAAAGGATGGTAGTTATTTTTGTGCGTATGTATGTGTATGTCCTCACTAGAGGTGGAGAAGAAAAAAAAGGTCATTAATTATATATTCCCACTTTTTTTTATCAATCAGTCCAGCCGATTGGCGTGCAAGGACACGGACCATCTAGTTTATTAATATTTGTATAAATATTTTGGTGTTTGTTCTTTCTAGTTGAGACGAACCAACCAAAATAAAATTATGCGACGAATTTGTAGTGCTCCTTGGTATTCACAAAGTACTTATTCATTGAATATTATACCGGAAGAAAATATTCCGCCTGTTGATTATGATTTGGATTTTTTTGGTTAGTTTTCTGTTTTTGAAATTGTATTCAAGGTTTTGCCATTTTTTCCGATGATTCATTTTTCTGAAACAAATTTTGTACTTTTTCAAAAGTATTTTTTTAATTCTTCATCCTATTCAACAAAATAAAATATACATAAAAGTGTTGCGATATGTGTAATAAATATGTTTTCCATTTCTAAAGCTTATCATTTTTTTTTCACACTCCCAAAAAAAGAATCAGAAAACCAAAGCGTAAATCTTCACAGATTTATTTACCCCAAAACAGAAAACACATGTACAGGCAGCGCAAAACGGAACACTTGGGTTAAATAAATATAACAAAAACACAAACTCATATTTGCGAGAAGAGAATTGAGAAAGCCAGAATAAGGAAAAAACAAGGTTTTATTTGCGCTGATTTCATTGAAAAGAAGAAAAAAGTGTGAAAAAAGTAGATCAAAAATATATGTGTAAATAAACAATTGTTTTTTTTATTCCAGACGCAATTCATGATGAAGAAGGACCAGCTCCGAATACATCTGACTCATTGGATCGTCGTGGGTGGTCTTCGGTATCAAATCGAACAACGTTGACAGCATCAGTGCACAATAATTTGATGAATGGAAGAATGTCATCGTCGAGTCATAATTTGTCGACAAGACATTCGGGATCAAATCAAAATTTGAACCATATGCCAACTAATGCATATGGTGTAAGTTCGATTTAGAAAAACAATTTGGAAATGGGGCGTGAGGTTGGAAAATTTAAAATGGTTCTGGTCTCATAAATTAACTCTTAAGAAACCAGACAATTCTTGACTAATGTTTGATTTTGTAATCGTTTTATTTTAAAAATTTTTGTAATTTCATTTTTATCAAAAACTCCAAAGATATCTTTTTTTTCAACCAAATCGTAATGTCTGACAATATATTAAACTAGGAGTTCTAAAAATAATCAAGTAGTATAGTTTTTGATGATAATTAAGTTTAAAAATATGACGAGTTTTGAAAATTGCCGCCTAGATCACAGGTTGGGGACTAAATTAAAAATGAGACGAATGAAAGTTATAGAAAAATTTTGAAGGGGGCAATTTGTTAATTTGTCGGAAAGTCGGAAAACTTCAAAGTCCCTATTCACAATTCATGATTCATTAGTAACAAATATTCAAAAACATATACATAGTACAACTTTCAAAGAGTAAACAAAGTTTCGTTCAATTTGAATACGATGAAAAAAAGTATAGAAATAATAACAAAATTGAACGAAAAACGAAGACGTATGGATGAATAGTGGATGACTCACGTCCACTCATAACAATTTTCTAAAATATAATAAAAAAATTTCACAAAAAAATTGGAATGGTGTTTTGAAACTGATAAGAAGACGAAAAAAGAAGAGACAGAACCACTTACTAACAAAAACTGACTGCAATGCATTCCTTCGATCCAACTGTTTTTAATAAACAAGATGTATATGTTATGATGAATTTTATGTGGAATTTTCAGTTCCCAATTCAACCACAAAATACTATTCATGGCTCGTCTTCTAATAATCATTCTTCTGATGCTTCTGCTCCACAACGAATTGCGGTGAGTTCAAATTTATTTTGATTTTTTTTCTTGAAAAATTAATATTTTTTCAGAATATGCTTTCACGACCATTCCGATCGAATCCATTGAAACGTACGAAATCAGTGAGCAAAATGGAGAAGGAGAATAATCAGAGGTTAGTTTGAGTTCAGTATTTAGTAGTTTCTCAGTTTATTGACAGTATATGCAAGTTATGGTTTTGTATCAAAGTATTTTGTTTCAATTTTGAACAAAAAAATCAATTTTTTATAGTTTGGGGAAAAACCGTGGACTGTAAATATTTCCAGAAATAGTTTAAACAAAAATTATCTAAACAATTCATTCGTTCCTATAAATATTTATCAATCATTCATAATTTTGTACTTTTTCCTTTTTACTTTTCTTTCGAAACAAAAAAATATTCTGACTGCAACTAAACCAATTATTTTTTTGATTAGTACAATTTTTCCTTTTTTCACGAAAAAAAAATGAAATCGATAACTAACCATTAGAGGTGATTAATTATGATTGGAAAGAAACAACGAACATTTTTTGTTTTTCATTTCCGAGTAATTTTTCCAAGTTTTTTTGTGAATCATTGAGAGGAAAGGTTAAACCATATTTATGATATTTTTAGTGAACAAAAAAAATAATCTAACCAGTTTTGAACCTTTTTATTCTGTTGTTGTTGTGATTGCGCAATTTTCACTTATATTTCATTTTTTTTTCATAATCTGAAAAAAACGTAATACATAGTATCAAAAAATAACCTGAACCAACCTGGATGTCGCCCTCACAACAACAAAAAAATTTGCCTTGTTACACAAAACTTATGTAATTTTTTGAGATATCTTCTCTTACTTTTTCATTTCCTTCAGCTAACGTTTCAATGGCCCCCATATGTTGTGACAAACGTTTTTTTTAATTTTGTTTTTTGTTGTAGAGACTCTAATTTTTCCCGTGATCAACCAGATGTTTTGGAAAAAAAATTTCATGAAGTGAAATGAAATTTGAACAAATTAAAATATAATGAATGAACTTTTGGATTTTGGACAAATTTAATATGCTTTTTTCAAATTCTTTCCTAGTTTTTTCTTCTCTTTTATTTTAGCCGTGATCTTCCAAAATTTTTAACCCAAAAAAAGTTTCTTAAAATTCCTTTCACTTTTGACCCTAATTATCTAAATTCAAACAATAGCTATTTTCACTTTATATTTAAACGCCATCATCATCATTATTCTTCTTGTCACTTTCTTATCATTTTATCCTCCAAATATTCTCATTTATCTCTATTATTTCAAATGATAGATTCAATTTGATTTCAAATTTCAATTATTCCTAAAAATGTATAATCGCTCTTTTCGTGTTCCAAAACGTCTTGAATATTCACAGTTTGGTTCAGAGCGTTTATCGTTATCCAAAACCAATTCTGAAAGATGTTTGCCAAGAATCAGCGCAATTAATTTCGAACCTCTAACTGATAATCAATCTATTAATTCTGAAGATATTTCAATGAGAACTAATATGAGTTGTTTGACACCAAATCGAGAAAAACAACAAAATCATAATGCAAATCCACGATTGGTTAGAGGAAGAATTGTTTATAAATCCAAACGGTAAGTTTATTAGTTGTATAGTAGAATGAAGATATGAAACATGACCCTTGATTTTCTCTTTTTCCCTTTACTTTTTTCTAGTTTCTGAATTCCGGTCAATTGATGCGACTAAAAATCATCTGTTACCTGCCATTGTGAAAAATAAATATAACCTATTGGATCAAACTTGTTGTTGATCTAGTAGTGTTCATATTTACTATTTAAAATTTTGAAAATGAAAATATAAAAATTACATTTGATCTCACCATGATTTGTAGTAAGACTAGTAAACAATTTTCAGAGTTCAGCTTTTAATGAATATTCATTCATTTATTCATAATATAGTTTAGTTTTGAATGAAAATTAGACAAACCCCTTTCCCCTGAGGAACCTTTCTTTTTTTTCGGATATCCATTTAAATATTTTCCAAAATCTTGTAAACATGTTTCTTTCATGTTTTGTTATCGGATATCAAAAATAACTATCACGAGATTCCTTCAATATAATTTCACCTTTTTAAAAATTTAAAAACATATCAACATGTTCTCAAGATTCAAATTCGCAATAAAATTCAAACGTTTTTTCTTTTCGGAATTTTCGAACATTGGAACATGTTTCCTAATAAAAAAATCAAAATGATTATAGGTTAAGCTGTTCTCAAAAATAGAAATTAAATCAAAAGTCCACTTGGGATTAGCAGTAGAAGGATTCGGAAAACGAAATAAATAATTACAGTTGTCATAAACCATTTTCTCTTTCGTATTCTTTTTCCATTTTCTCCGCAAAGAGGTCGTAGCCGTATTCCAAGAAAAAAAGTTATTTTTCCAACTGTGCAAACCCCTGTGGTGACTAAACTTGTTTTCCTTTTCTCGGTTTTTCCACAAAAAAGAATCTTGCTTGATTCAATGTTGTGTGTTTGAACAATCCTTTATCAAATAGTTTGATTTTTATTTTCGGAACTATGTTTTCGACTAGATCTTGTTCATATACTGTCAATATGCGGAAAAAGTGAGTAACAAAATTATTTTAGGATAATATATTTGAGCTTCACGTTGATGAATTCTCAAATTTTTCAGCACTTTGAATCGTATTGATCCAACATCAACACCAACCAGCATTTCATCAGTCAACAATTATCCACCAATGCCACCAACACGACGACATATGAGCACACCAGCACGCGAAGGTAGTCTTCGAGCCTGTCGGTCACACGAATCACTTCTCAGCTCAACAGCCTCAACACATATGATTGATTTGAGTGGGTTATGTTTTTTATTTGATGTTTTTGTCTTTCTCTTTTTATCGAGAGTTCTTTGAGTGAGAGAGATATTTGTTATCTTGTTCGACAGAAAGAAGAAAAGAGAGAGTCAGATGGGTGTGAAATTTGAGCAATTAATGAGAAATTAAATGGGACCCCTTTTTCTGGTCCTCGAAATCGAGATTTTTATTGTTTTCTTGTTTTTTTTTCTTGCCTTTGATTGAATAATCCTATTAGCAAAAGAAAAAGCAAAAGCCATCTGGCTTCAAAAATAATATTCTTTTGTGATCAGAAAACTTTTGTAAAACTTTTGCTTTTATTCAATGTTTTTGAATTCAACAAATAACATTTGGAACAATTCGTCTTTTAAAAATTCTCTTGGCCGAAAATAGAATAGATGAAAAAAAAACCAAATTTCTCGCATCCTGATGATAACAAAAAAGGGGACCGGTGGGTCTTGCTAGGCAGATAGAGAAAATGCGCCCTAGTGAAACACTCATATTCAAATATTCTCTCGATTTTTTCTCATTATATTATCTAAAAAAAACCGAACAATGTTTCATTTTTTGTGCGTTTTTTCGCAAAAAAGATATATTCGACCTATGACTTGTCAAACCTCATCAAGAAATCAAAAATTACGTAATGAGAAAGGCAAGTTAATCAGAAACCATTAGATATTTCCCATATAACTGTTACTTTTCGGTATAGAAAAAATTGCAATTTTTATTAGTGTTTTGATGTTACTATTTTATAATAATCTGTGAAAATATTTGTATTTTACAGACGAGGACGCACGCTTGCACCCGGTTCATCCGTCAGTGTTGGATGTTCCAAATTGTTTCCGTGTTGCAAATACATATTACGCTTGTCGGACTCCGTTGGAAAGAGCAAAGTGGATGGAAAAGTGAGTTTTGATAAGGGCTTACAAGGGTTTTATAGGAATAGAGGTGGAGGTAAAATGTTGTGAAGAGAATTGAATGCACGTTTTTTGTTCATATATTTGTGGTTTTGTGTATAATTCTATAGGTTGATTGTATTCATTTCGCATCTGAAAATGACTGAAATCAAAAGAAAACTGTTATAGTTTTATATAGCTACAGATTTTTCAAGTTTTGAAACCGAGTTTTTATAAATCTTCATGAGATGACTAATCTGATCATACTGAAGAGCAAAAAAACTGTAATTGGTTTAGTTATGAAGTTAGTTAGGTTTTCAAATTAAAAAGAATCTTATTTTAGCTTCTGACATCATTTTTGTTTGTATGCAAATTAAACATTACAAAATTCAATACGATTTTTTATCAAGCTTTATAGAAACATACCACTAGGAAACCCTACCTTTTGAACTTTCCTGGATTTTTCTTAAATTCAAAATGTTTCAAAAACAGTTCCGAGTATTCGATAAAGTGCAATTTATCATCATCAAACCAAATTTCCAAGAAAATCCCAGCCGATATTTTAAAAGATTTAGAAGATTATTATATCTATCCAAATTTTCATAATTCAACTAACAAATCCAAAATGCTTTCTAGATACATACATATTTATCCTAGCAAACAAGCATAAAAACATTGGAAATAGACAGGTTCTTCTCTATTCCTCATCCATGTATAATAATAATATATAATAATAATATAACAATAATAATAGAACCAACCGCGCATATATATATGAGAAAATGAATGAAATAAAATTCGATTTTCAAGTGTCTTTTTTCCTTTTTTTTTCAATTCCAATATTCAGATAGATAGATATACATATATAATTAGTAGTATGGAGGACATTTGACGAATAATTAGCATTGTTTTTCTCGAATTGAACCCATTACACCCTAACAAATATTCGACCCTCTTCACTTTTTCTCCCCCTTTTTTCATTCATTCATTCATCCACCAACATAGTCAACTAGTACACATGTTCGCTGGATGCATAATTATTGATTGATTTAGTTTTTTGGCTTACCTTTTCTTTTTTCCTCTATCTATGAATTGAATTCGTTTCGGTAGATTAGTCATAGCATGAAAAAAAGAAAAGAAACGATAAATGTGATGATCCATTAGTGTCTATTTTTTTGTTGTTAGAAAGTTAAGTGTATCTTCTTTTTTTTTGAATGGTTTTGGGTATTTTTAATGGCTTTATTCTTTCTTTTCACATCTTTTCAGTTAAGAAATTATTTGTTTTTCGTTCACTTTTTCTGCCTTTATAATATCATAAGAATTAAAAATGTCTCATAGGTACATATTTTTAATTAAAACAATTCTATAAAACTTTTTTTGTTAATGAGAAACAATTTTTTGAAACATTGAAACAAAAAAAAAAAGATTCTATCAGAAAGCCGCACTTTTTTGCACCCTAATCCGACCTCGTCAACAACATTTTTTCTTCGTCAGGAAAAAAATGACTTTGCTTTTTTTTGCTCATGAATTTTCAATCTTTTTTTCTCAGACCTTTAATATTCGCGTGAGAAAATTTTGTTCGCTTTTCTTTTTTTTTTCTAACATTTTTCAACATTCACCTGACTTTGGTTTTCACACCTGCACATTTATTTCGTGCGGTTTGAAGATTTGAAAAAAAGAAAAAGGAAAAACCCACATTTTTTGTTGAGAAGGTGAGATTAGCATCTGGTCGCTAGGTCGGGTTGGTAAATGACCTTCTCACAGTTTTTTTCAAAAAACATTTTTTGATGGAATTTTTCAATTTTTCAATGTTTCAATTCTCAAATTATTTGTTTTGTTTACATGTGATGTTTGGAACTCTCTTTCTTTTTTTCTTTCTAAAAGTTCCACCCACCTTTTCTCAAAAACCTTTCTTTTTGAAACTTAAAAGATCGGATAACGAGATAAGTTGGCAAGTTTTTCTAGGTTTAAAAAATATATGAATAAATATTTTCTGCATATTTTATTTACCCACTTATCTCGGCCCTTTGGTTATTATAAATAAAATAAAATAAGAATCCTTAACCCTGACCTTGTTTCTTTTTTTTTGTTCTCAACATTTCATGGAAAACATAATTTTTCCCTCAATCGGATGATGATTTTCAGCTATTGTTCTCGCTTTTTTTGTGCCTCACTTTTGTATGAACAGACAGTTTTTTTGTGTGGGGAAAAATCTGCGATGCGGAATTTATGTGTACACATTTATTATTTACCAAATCATCATAACTGTTGTGATGGGATGGATTGACCGCAATTTCAATTGATCAATTTTTTAGTTGTGTTCGTTTTGAAATACGGTTTCAAAATTTTAGTTACCAAATTTTGATTTTTTGAGTTGGGGTTGTTTTTGTAGAGTAGAACTTTTTATTGTGCAATAATTACAAAATTGATAAAAAACATTCTCCCATTAAATGTTAAAATGACTTTCGTTGGTCAAATTTTTGATTACTTGACTATTCTTCGAATAATAAATATAATCTAGAAGTTTTGAAAGTTGAAACTATGCTCTGCTATTCTGAAAATACTGATTTTTAGTCTGATCTTCAACTTCCAAGATTTTATACAGCTTTTACCTTCCGAAAAATTTCAAAAAAATTCAAATCTCTAATTGTTACTGTTTCAAATGTTTTGAAATCAGTGACTGAACTTCCTGTTAAAGTAAAAGATTTTTGTCACAGTAATTTTCAACTTACAATTAATTTCTCTAGGATCTGATAAGTTATTCACAATCAGTTCGGAAATTTATTATTGTCTGTGAAATTAAAAACTTGACATTTTGTTCTGAAACATTTCTTGATCAGTTTCTCACATCAGATTTGAACTCAAATCTGACATTTGATACGCGCGAAAAGTTCAAAAAAATCCTCGTCTCAACTTTGTCTCCTATCCCGCATACCTGACATTGTCAAACATTATATTGTTATTGTATTGGGGATATACAATATATCCATCTAGTTTTTTTTCCTTCCTGCCTTCCTTCCATTTCCCACGCCCTCTCATTTTGTATACTTCTCAAATTTCACCACCCTTTTTTCCCAACTATCCAGTTATCTATCTGTCTATCTATGTATTTATTTTGCCAAGACGACAACTTTTTTGCACCCTTTTAGTAACCTTCCACAAAATTCAATTATGTATTGGGGTGGGGGGTAGTCTAGTAAAACTCTATCTTTTTTCTATTTTCTTCTTTCTTTTCAAGAAACTTACACAAACAATATTTATGCAAGTATGTATAATGATGACTGTTATATTATTGTGTGTATTTTTGTGTTCAAATCGTTTTTAGACTGTGAAGTGAAGAGAGTGCGAGAGAGAGAATAATAATGAAAAAAGAGACAAATAGAAAAAGCTATTTATTTGTTTGTTTTCCATATATGCACTTCTTCTCTTTTTCTATTTTCTTCATCATTTTCCCCTTTTTTCCTAATCATAAAAATTCATGCCAAAACTGTAACTTTTACGGTGGCAAGAATAGGGGACCATGGGAAAATAATGTGTGAAAATATGTTGTGGGCGTGGCTAACACCTCATATATTTTTTTCATCTGACCTACTGTCATTTTGTATTTTGTTATGAGTACGGAAATAGTTATTTTTTTCTGGTTTACCTTTTTCTATTTTTGTGATGGTTGATTCTTTGTTGCTAGGCGCAATTTCATTTAATTTTACCGTGGATAATGTTCCACCCACCCCTAATTTCAAGACAGCAGAATGCAAAAAAAAAAAACATAATTTGGTTTTTAATTAGTTATGTAGTTCCTCGGAAAAAAAACTTGTTTTCATTTCTAAACTCAACTAGACCTCCTTCTCCACATATGTAAAAGTCAAGTGCATTTTTTTCACATTTTTTCTGTCACAACACAACATATGTTCACTTCGTGTGTGGCCCCAGTTCAGTCACATTTCAATTGCCTTTGTCGTTGTCTTTATTTCGAAAATCAGAAGTAGAAAAAAAGATTTACGGAACTAGCCAGTCATGGGAATTTTTCTTTTTGATAAAAACACTGGTTTTTTCTCTTTTGATCTGATAAGTACACAGTTGCTCGCGCAGTTTAGAAAACTGTTTTTTCTCTTTTTTTTTTGCCGATGAGAAAATGATATATGTATTTTCTTTTTTTTTTCTTGTAGTGATCGAAAAACATCAAAAATGCATTGTTTTGCGAATCTAGAAAAAAAGAGCGATTTATCTTTGACAATGAGAAAAGTTACGTCATTTTCTAGAAAAAAAGTTCATTGAAAATACTATAAATAAAATAGAAATATTCTATTTTTAGGAAATTTAATCCAGGTGGGATGGGGGGAAATGTTTATTCATAATAATAATTATTATTTTTGTTTTGTGCTTTGCGGTGCACCTTTTCGACATAATAAATATACTTTGCATTCGTCTAGCACCTGTCCTGTCCACCTCTTTTTTCCTTTGTCATTGGTTTTGACCATAATATTTATTTCATACACTAATTATACCTAGGGTTACTCTACTTTGTAGGTTAGTAAAAGTGACATACTTTTTACTTTTTTCCATATTATTATCCGTTTTCAAAACATGATTGACTTGTTCAATTAAATTCAAATCAAAATAATTTTGTTTTTTTTTGCAGCCTTCGCAAAACAATGAATCCACGACGCGATGTTCAGCGTCGAACTGAAAACGGGCTGCAGATTTGGATATTGGAAGCCAAAGGATTGCCGGCAAAAAGAAAGTAAGTTGGCCTTGACAAAATGTCACAAACACTTATTTGTATACATTTTTCTTAATGACCGGAAGTGATAAAATAATTATGTGTGTGGTTTTGCAGGTATTATTGCGAACTTTGCTTGGACAAAACACTTTATGCCAGAACTTCAGCAAAGCCAAGAACCGACAATGTTTTCTGGGGAGAACATTTTGATTTTGCGTGAGTTTTCTAAATTTGAAATTAAGTACCTCCGTACGAAAAATGGAATCATTTTAAAGCAATCTTTTTATCAAATAAGAACAATAATTTTAGCATTTTTCGATTTGATTTCAATATGTAAATTATGGGAATTTTATAGCGATTCTTCTTGTGGGAATTTTAAACACTAACAGTTATTAATTTTTTCTCGAAAAAAATAATTTGTAGTTCAAAAATCTTCTTTTCAAACCAATACTGTTGTTTGGGAACTACAGTGCGTTTCATAATGATAGGTTCACCCCCAAAATTTCTGAAATCAGCCGAGGTGTGAGTTGTAATAACAATCCGAGTTAAAAATAAAAAAGAGCACACAAAATTAGCTAAGAAAACTCAATTTTATCTGAAACTACCAAATAATAAAAAAATAAATGACCGGAGTTCAAAAAATTTCAAAAATTTAGCGTTTCAAAACGATAGGTTCACCTAATCCAGAATTCCCATTGGAGACATATAATCGAAAATCAATACTTAGTTGGACCTCCATGTTTAGAAATGACATCATAGAGACGATTTGGCATCGAGTCAACAAGTCTCTTGAGGTAGTTCTTATCGATTTTATTCCATTCCGTCTCGATGGCATCTTTGAGTTGGTCCACAGTATCATATTTTTTTCCTTGAGCATAAACTCGGCGAACGAGCTCCCCCCATACGTTTTCCATCGGATTAAGATCAGGAGAACACGCTGGCCAATCCAAAACTTTGATTTTGTGGCTTTTGAACCAATCTTTTGATGATTGGCTGACGTGGATGGCAGCATTATCCTGTTGAAAAGTGAACTTTCTGGTCCGGAACCGCCTCAAATATGGCAAAAGATAGTCATGGAGGGTTTTTGGTAATCTAACGAATCCATCTTGAATGAAACAAAAGCTATTTTTAACGTTCCAGCTGCAGAAAATGCGCCCCAACACATAACCCGTCCTCCTCCAAAATTTCTCTTTGGGAAGCGAAGTTGATCCTTTCTGATATCATGCCAGTATGAGTTGTAACCATCCGGACCATCAAGATTAAACTTTTTTTCGTCAGAAAAAATTATCTGAACAAGAAAACATCAATATTTGATGTTTTTAGAAAAATTACTTACCTTATCCCAATCTGTGGCCATGTTGGCTTTTGCGAAAGTAAGACGGTTGTCTTTGTGGCGAAGTGTGAGACGCGGAGCTGGCACCAATTTGGCTCGAACGATTTCTGGGGATTGGTCTATGGCTCTCCAAACTGTAGTCTTACTGATATTCAAACCCAGCTCGTTTTTGATGTCATTACACGATTTCATTGTGTTCGAAGCCAACCTAACAATCCCTCGTTTATCTCTCTCCGTGAGTTTTTTGGGAGCTCCAGTGTTTTTCATTCGCTCATAGTGATCCGGATTGTTGACAAATTGATTAATACAGTTGAGAGATCGTTTCAATTTTGACGAAATCATTCTATTGGACCATCCGGCGATTTTGAATGCTCTAATTTGAGCTTGTTCCTCTTTTGTAAGATGACTTCCCCGCGACATTGATGAATGACGTGAAAAAACGAGAACAAAAACAGAAACACGTTAAAATAATCAAATATCACTCGTATTTTCCAGAATATTCGATAAAACTCCTACCACGAAACATAACTACAGTACTACTGCGGGTGAACCTATCGTTTTGAAACGCTAAATTTTTGAAATTTTTGAACTCCGGTCATTTATTTTTTTATTATTTGGTAGTTTCAGATAAAATTGAGTTTTCTTAGCTAATTTTGTGTCCTCTTTTTTATTTTTAACTCGGATTGTTATTACAACTCACACCTCGGCTGATTTCAGAAATTTTGGGGGTGAACCTATCATTATGAAACGCACTGTATACCACAAATTGCCATTTCTCCTCTTTCATTATGTTCAGATTTTTTTAAAGTTCTATTCCCGAACTTTGAACATCTGAAGATTTTTTCCTTCTACCTCAACCCCTATAATTGACATAATTCACTCAACCATCTCTTTGTTTGCAGTATGCTTCCAAAAATTGATGAAGTTTGCGTAAGTGTGTACCGCGAAAGTGATTCGAAGAAGAAGAAAGATCGCGCCACCCTAATTGGTATTGTGACCATTACAATTGACCAATTAACAAGCCGAAATCCAGTGGAAAGATGGTAAGTTTTTTTTTCTCATCTTTTTTTTTGTTTGCGCCCCCTAATTTTTTATTACTCCATTTCATTTTCTTTTTATGATTCGACAAAAGACCCTGGGACTAGTATTTTTTCGCGCGGCGCGAAAAAAAACAAGAAAGTAAAGTGATTCACAGCTAACCTAAATATGTATTCATATATTCCATTATTGTTTTTTTTTTCATTATGAATTCTCTCTCGTTTTTATCAACAAACACCATTAATAAATTGGGCGGTCTTGAAAAAAACTTCTTGACTTTTTTTATTCACTTTTGTTGCCCCTAGGATAAGAATAACATAGAATGAAAAAAATTAGGGTCAAGAAAAAGAGAGACATTTTTCATTTTCCGAATTTTTTTGTCTGTGTTGGCTTGGCTACCCTGTCATGGTCATAGATCAAGTTTAGTTGGGGGGTTGGTTGACACATCAATTAATGTAAATTAGTTGCGCCAAAAACTGTCTCACTCTTCGCCGTTTCTTGGCGTTTTTTATTTCTCATTTTAATGAAATGCATTGAAATGAAATGAAATAAAATCCGGTAGAACACCACGGTCTGAGTTTTTTTTTCTTTGACAGTTGTTGACATTATATTAGCGATTTTATATCGTTCGCAAATTTTTCTTTATCACAGATTTTTCAAACTTTTGTTATTTCTTTCGTCACATTGAACTTTTTCCTCTTTAATCTCATTTTTTCTCTCTTAATTAATGTTAATTAGTTTAACAAGTTTTATATCAGATGAGAACTCAGAAGAACTGGGATCCATCAATTCGACACGCTTCATTAATCCCATATAATTTGTCAACCGTATACAGTTCACTTGAAAATATCCCCGAGCATTTGTCGAGTCCCAGCGAGTGTCGACAATCGCGAAATGTTCTCAAAAATATTTTGTGGACCATCAAGTTTCGCAAAAATTACTTGAGGGTTTCCACGCTTTTTGGGGATTATTGTAGGTATGAAAATTTGGAAAGAGGGTGGGGAGGGTTCATCAAAAAGTTGTTGAGTTGTTTATTCTAATTTTTGTATTTTTAGGTACACTGTTAATACAACAAATGATACAAGCAGCAGAATTGCATCGGCTCTTGGAGCAAAAAGCAGCTCACAAGATCAATCGGCTCTTCGAATTAAGGCGAGATGGCAAAGTGTTGAAGTTTTGCCAATGAAAGCGTATGATGAACTTGTTCAAATGTTATCATACAGTTATTTGCCACTTTGTGAACAACTTGAACCAATTTTGGCTGTTCGTGTTAAGGTATGTAGAAAAATAAAAAAAACAATTTATATTTGTTTACATTGATCAATTCATTTTTAGGAGGATTTTGCCACATCGCTCGTTCGCGTCATGTACAAACAAAAGCTCGCCAAAGAATTTTTGTGTGATTTGATCATGAAAGAAGTTGAACAGCTGGACAATGATCATTTAATGTTCCGTGGAAATTCTTTGGCTACAAAAGCAATGGAATCATTCATGAAACTTGTTGCTGATGAATATCTTCAATCAACATTGGGTGATTTTATCAGAACTGCTTTGAATTGTGAAGATTCGTGTGAAGTTGACCCACAAAAATTGGGCAATGTTTCGAATTCGGCCTTGGAAAAGAATCGAGCAATTTTGATGCGATTTGTTGAAGTTGCGTGGACAAAAATATTGAATAATGTTCATCAATTCCCATCGGATCTTCGAGAAGTTTTCTCAGTTTTGCGTTGCCGATTGGATGCACAAAATCGTGGAGCTCTTGCTGATACTTTGATCTCAAGCTCAATCTTTTTGCGATTCCTTTGCCCAGCAATTTTGAGTCCAAGTCTTTTCAACATTGTCTCCGAATATCCATCTGGAACAACAGCAAGAAACTTGACACTTATTGCAAAAACTCTTCAAAATTTGGCGAATTTCACCAAATTCGGTGGAAAAGAGCATTATATGGAATTTATGAATGAGTTTGTTGAGCGTGAATGGCAAAGAATGAAAGACTTTTTGATGAGAATCTCATCAGGAGGACCTGGAGTTGAAAGACAAGTTGAATCAGTTGTTGATGTTGGAAAAGAATTGAGTTTGATTCAAACATATTTGGAGGAAGCATGGACACCACTTCTTCAAGAGAAAAATGCAAACAATAAATCACTTTGCGATGTCAAAGCAATTCTTACCGATTTGGCTGAAAGTAAACGAAGACCAGATAGTGCATTTGCTCAGCATCCACCAATTGTTCATCAACCATCAAGTGATTATGAGAATAGTCCACAACCAATCACTTTGTAAGTTTTACTTATTTTCAATTTTTTATTTTGTGAATCAACGGATTTTTTCTAGGCCTCGCCATGAAAACGTGCCAGCTTACCGTAGTACACCGCCAGCTGGTCAAGCAACAATTATGGGACGATCAATGAGCCGACCGGCGACACATTTGATGACTTCCGACGACTATGTACTCTCATCTGCGTTTCATGTAAGAGTTATTGAATTCTAATTGATTTTCAAAATATAAATTTAATTTTTCAGACACCAAGACAACAGGGTGCAAGATTGATTGATGAAACTGGAACTTCATCAAGCAGAACATCGGATAAAACAACAAGTAGTGGAGAGATTCGCGATGATACTGATTCGGATGCTGAATTGAGAGATGAAAGATCGAGAGCGTTGAGAAATCGCAAACGACTTCCAAGAACAGATGCTTCACCATCAAGTAGCCAACAAGCATCAAGCGGATATTTCAGTAATAATGCGTCAAGTTATTCGAACTCATCAAGTTCTTCACCGGTTGAAAGAATGGCTGCATTATCGATTGCTAATCCAGTTTTTGGACCAGGACCATCGAATTATACCATTCCAGCTGAACCAAGTCAAGCGTATGGAAATCAAAAACGACCAAGTCCACCACCATATGATCCAGAAGCCCATACTTATCATTATCAACCAGTTTATGCAGTTCCACCAGATTGTGAAGTATCACCAAGAACAACATTGAGTAGCACAAGTTCGGCGAATCGATTAAGTCTACCAAGAACAAATCCAAGAGCTTCAAGAAACTCGACACTTTTGCGTCCAACTGTTGTTGATGTTCCTGATGATTGGGAAAGAAATAATGAATATTGGCACGATCGAAATATCGATCAACATAGACAACAACAAGATATTATTGAAAAACAGAAAAAAGAAATTGAACGATTGATTCGAGAAAATGAAGAACTCAAAAGAAGTATGACTTCAAATTATGTCACAGTTGTTCAAGGAAAAGCCGAATCAAAGGTAAATATTTCAGTTATTGAATGATTTTAAAATAATGTGTTCATTTTCAGAGAAGTGATAGCGGTGCAAGCGAAGATTCATACGATTCTTTGAGCTCTTTGGATCGACCAACTCGAAAATCAATAGTTGTAATGCCCCAGTAGTCAAATATATCCCACTTCAAAATTAAAACAAAACAAAAAACAAACTCCCGATGGTCTCCGATTGAAAAAGAATCTTAAGCATCCTTGTCATCCCAATTATCTTCTTTTCCATATTTTGAGCAATTATGTGGTTTTCCTAATATTTTTTGCTTCTTAATTATTTATAATATATATCTTTAGTTTTAGAGGGTATTCTTGTGATCCTATTTTTCATTTCATTTCTTCCCCCCACGTACAAATGGTTTCTTTCTCTATGTAATTTGTATATACATATCTGTCGAAACAGTTTTTTTCACTATCCTTTATTTTTGACCTATTCTTGAAACTTACGCTTTATTACGAATACCCTATCGCATAATCTATTTTCCTTGTTTTCTTCTCGTGTTGTCTTCCTAATAAGTCAATAAACTGTCTATCCACACTTTTGTTCACAGTGTTTTTCTTTTTGAAAAAAGTCAGATTTCAGAAATATCAATTTTCAAAAATCAAAAGTACAACATCATTTTTATTATGACGGCAAAACTTTTGGAATATATTCAAAATCAACAACCAAAAAACAAAAGAGAGCCCCGGGTACTAATCCTCCCTGGGGAGACAAATCCCAGGGTCGGGATTGAACTCCGGGCCTTACGGGCAGAGATCAACCAGCTTAGCCACTAGACCACGGGACTCCCCGGCTACTCTCACCTAATTTACATATTTATGATGGCTTGTTGTTTTTTCTGTGTGTGTTTCATTTCCAATTTTTTCTTCTTGAAAGATGTTTTGATTTATAAAATTCCATTAATTGAGAGAAGAAACATGGCTTCAAAAGTAAAATCTAATTTCAAACAGTGAAATATATTCAGAATATCCAACCAAAAAAGCAAAAGAGAGTCCCGGGTACTAATCCTCCCTGGGGATATAAATTCCAGGGCCGGGATTGAACTCTTGGCCTTACGGGAAGAGATCAATCAGCTTAGCCATTAGACCACAGGACCCCCTGCACACCCTTCTTCTAATTGCATATTTATTATGGATAGTTGATTTTTTCCGTGTGCAACATTCCCTGTGCTCTGCGAGTTGAATACATTTAGATTTCTTGATTATTGAACTGCAATTGATAGAAAAGGCACATGTTTTCAACAGTGAAACCTCAATTTAGATTTCAAAAAATGTCTTACAATTAATGAATATTCGTGAGTTTTTTCGAAAGTTAACAGCTTCTGAAAGCGGTAAAAAAATAATTCTCTTCATATTTTTTTCTCTGTGAAAATAATGAACAACAATTTCAAAATGAATCATTTATTTCAAAAAAAAACGCAAATTCAGAAAAACCTCAATGAAGAGATGAAAAAACTGCAAGAAAATCACAAAAATAAACAGAACAAAAAACAATTTGGGGGCAGGGGACAAAAATGGGGTTTGGGCCTGTACAATATTGACGACGAACGACACTATAAATATATTTGAAGAGGGGGAGGGGGCTGCATACCGTTGGGCAAAACTACTATATAGGGGGAGATATATGCAGGGGGCATGTATACTTTTCACATCGAAAAGTATACAATTAGGGGCTTGTAGATCCTCTTTCGACAGAAATACGTTGATTCATGAGATAGATTATGTCCAAGATTTGTTGGGGGCGAATGAAGGGAAGGGGGCCTGTACATCACATTGTTGATTATATTTGAGTTGAACTTTTGATTAGAAGAAGTTCTGCAAAAACAACGTTATCATTCTAATGTTTCTATGAGATTTCGATTTGCTTTACCTATATTATACGAATATTAGAGTGAAGGTATATCATAAATAGATATTTTTGAATAAATGAGCTGTTTTGAATAAAAGCCGGGAGGCGGTGCCATGCGATAAGCTTCAGGGAAAAACAAAATAAAACTGGGAGGCACCTAGGCAACGAGGCAGTGTTCGTATCATCACGTAGTACTAGATTATAGATTAATTATGAAGAAAAACTGCAGGACAGCTGAAGTTGCTAGGGGAACGGTGGCATTTGTGAACAACAATGACAGCGGCGCTCAATAACAAGGCTAAAACAAGAATCACTATAGTAACCGAATTCTGATATGGGTAAAACGGATTATTAGCTAATATATACTTTTTGAGAAAAATAATCCAAAAAGATTATAAAGGGAAGCATTCTTGAGAAAAATTTTGACATTTGGGTTTTTGGGAAATAATCAAGGCTAGTTTTTTATGAAACAATTTATTAATACGAATTCTGATTCTTGTCTGATGAAATATTTCTGCAAAATCACATCATGAAAAATCTGGATCACAAATACATAGCTGAAAAAGAAATTTGATGATGCTAATTTTGAAATTTTTAGCAAACCTCATATATTTGAGAATGCCACAAGGAACTGTCAGAAATTCATAGAACATTTTTCAATTTTAAAATAAAGATTTCAAAAAAGTGCCCATTCCTTAAACGAAAGACGTGGCAAAATTGTCACGTACCTTCGAGGTTGCAGAAGGTTCAGGAGATATTATGAATTTTTCAAATGATATCAAAATTTTTACTTTTTCTGACTTACTAATTAAAATTCTACAAAATTTAAAATTCCGAAATTTTTCTGAAACTATTTTTTTCATTTGTTGTGTGATCATTTGCAAAATCTTAAGACCGTTCTGATGTTTAGGTGAAAAGTGAAATTTCGGCAAAAAGAGAGGGCTCATCAGTGATGCCTTAAGAATATCACATAAAACGTTTAAGCTGCTGAATAGCCTTCTTTGTATTGCAGTTTCTCCATTACATTAGTTGAAGTTTAAAAAATCTGATCAGAACAGTTTCTGTGTATATAAAAAATTGAGCAAAATGTGTTTTTTTTCATTTTTCAAGGGAACTATATTGTTTTGAGTTTTACGAGGATCAATTTTAATTATTTTCTAGCTGAAATGTTGTTTATCTTCAAAAAAAAAAGTCAAATGAAAAATATTTATTCCCATATTTATAATCATTCAGCAATTTGTTGAGCCACTTTTTCAACAGCTGCATCACAAACTGTATCTGGATCACGTTGATCTTTCGTTTCGAGGATACATCCTTTCAACTGAAAACAAACTATGTATTTCAACATCCATTAGTTTTTAGTTACGTTTCGACCACAATTTCCCCATGTTTTGTCAAGACAAGTTTCATAGATGAAAGCGCAATCAGAAAAAGTTGCTGTAAATTGAGTTAATAAATATATTATTAGTATTGTTCATTAAACAAACCATTTTGATGTTTACAGTTATCAAAAATGTGTTTATAAGTTGTGCCAAAATCATTGTTCATAACATATGGTTCATAGTAAGAATGACTGTTTCCAGCGGAAGCATATGCATCGCCTCCAAAAGTTTTCACTGCTATACACGAAAGTTTTGAATATGCATAACAATTAGGTAGGTAATAATTCGACGCAATTACCTATAAAATTGAATCGTTTTTTTTGTTGAAATTCGAAAAACTTACTTTGTTTTTTTCACAGAACGCAGCATCACATTTTTCTTTTCCGCGTTGATTATCATAACAATCATCATGTATAGCACATTGATGATTGAAATCATCTTCAATATAAAATAATTCAACAGTTTATATTTATATTGAACTTACATTTTGCTCCAAAACAGCCACCAATTACAAAATAAGATGACAAGTGTGACCATCTGCCCGATCCACAGAACCAATGTCTCGAAGGAATCAACCGAGCTTCTCTATCTGACTCATCGCTATTAGAATAATTATTATCTTCTGAGCTGTCGATATTGCGTATCAAAACATCTTGAGTTGAAATCGAAATCAGACAAACGATGACGAAGATGAATTTTGTCAGAATATTTTTCATATCTCACAATGAACATTTGCATTGAAGATCATGTCAGCTTTTATATAAATTTTTAAACAGAAATATTGGTTATTGAATTTCTTTTTCATGATTTTTGATTTGATTAAAGAAGATATTTTGCATCAATCGTCTCAAACAATCAGAACTCTATGCAAAATGCAGACATTTTTACCATCGAAGCAATATTGCAAGAAAAGTAATCGACTTCCGAAAACTCTTCACTTGAATTCATTTACAAACAATTCGTACAGAAAATTTTGTTTGAACTCGAACAGCTCTGATGAAAATTCCGAGCCCTAAAATAACATTTTAACAAAAATCTAGAAAAAAATACAAAATAAAAAAAGCTTTTTTACTGAAATATCGTCAACATTTTTCTGTAATCTGGGTGATAAATTCGAATATCTCGGAAAGTATCAATTTTGATATCTCTCATTTTCAAGAGAACATCAAATACTATTAGTTGGTAATTTTTTTCACAAATGAGACAAAATGCTTCAATTTTATTCAGATTCTCATTTCAATATATTCAAGTCCAAAATCTATCATCAGAAATAGTACCACATTACTTTGTTGGAAGAGCGAATTCCAGTGCTGATTAGAAAATTCCACCGATGTTTTTCTTCTTTTCAAGAAAATTATAAAAATCCATCTCATCTGAACAGTTTCCTCAATCAGGTCACATTATTACTATTATTCCTTATTTCAACTTCCCATTTTTCATCGCGATGATGTTATTTGTTTCCGATGAATCATCAGAGTTATGAAAATGATTCAACACAATTCCTAGAAAAAACCACCCAATTTTTTTCCTTTCAGTTTTCACGAAGAAGCATAAAAGTTTTGGAAACTTTCAGTAACCACAGCTACCAAATTAACGACGAATTCGAAGAAACAAAAATTCGAATCACGAGGAAACCAATAAAAATGATTGCCGTTGATGAAAAAATCGATGACGGTACTTGGTGGCACACAGAAAGAAAGCGCAACAATTATTTTTGTAAAGTAAAACATATCTGTGATCAAAACAAAACGGGGCACATTTTTGTTTCTCGCGTTTTTGCCTCTATTTCTTATTTTTTGTACATCTGTATGGTCAGGTGTTCACTCCTTTTGCGCCAAAAATATTCTATTTACTACGAATTGACATTCTTATACAATGAGTTTAGACACACATTTTGAAGACCAAGAGGACGAAGAAGACGAGGACTGTGAGTTTTTAAATATTAATATTTTAAAAGACTGTTTCCAATTTTTCAGATCAACCTCCAATTGTATATCGGGTGATGTTTTCCAACCGAAGAGACGATAACAGAGTTAGACTCTTCAGAGTTCTCGATTCGCCAAAGAACTATTTTCGAAATGTGAGTAGATTTTAAGAAGTTAGGTTCAAAGAAACTTCGTGAAATTATTAATTTAATGAAACATCATAGCTTTTTTTTTAATATTTTAACACGATATGACAAGACATCGTCAAAATACATGAATAAAAACCATACTGAAATCTCACCCAAACTTATGATCAATCGAGTTAAAATAAAAATTTGAAGATTTAGAAAATAAAACATTTGATTTACCGAGAGAAATAAAAGACACCTTTTGAATTTGGCATCAAAAGATCAGCTCTTATCTATTAGTCCTTCCATATATGCTCCCTGAACACAAAATTGAAAACCGAAAATGTTTACAATAAGATAATAATCCTGTGAACTATATTTTGAATAACTCAAGCACGCTATTTGTGCACTTCCAAGACAATTTTTGAACTCTCCCTCTCTCTCTCTCTCTCAAAAAAAAAGAACACCCTTATTTCCCTCATCTTTGAATTTTTTAATAAATTTCGAGCCCACTTCAAAACCTCTTTTTGGTTAGTCAATGACGTCATTGTTGTTCTTTTTTTTCATCCATCTGGGTCATTTTAGTCATCAAAAACTGACCACTTTATAGCTGAAAAAAACAATTTCAGTCATTCATCCTTTTCATTCAACCAGAGAGTTACTGAAAATTTCCGATAAAAATAAAGATGACGCGAGTTCAAACACAAAATGAGGCTATATTTCAGATGTATTACGTTCAAAATCTTCCAACAATAATCGAAGAAAATGAAGAGGAAGAAACTGATCAGAAAGATGAGCAAAACAAAGATCAAGATGAACCGGAAATTAACGAATCACAATAATTTTTTACAAGAAATATCACATCTTTCTGATAATAATTTTTTATTTCTGTCTGATTCACGTATTTCAGTAAATTATTGTTTTTTGCAAACATCTCCACATTCATCTTGCATACAAGTTCTCATGATTTGAAGTGTCATTTGAGTTTCCGATTGTCCACCAGTTCCAGGCATATGTCCGTAATATTCAGTTGCCATCTGTAAAAATATGATATCATTTATACATATTTGGGAAAAATCTTTGCAATGAAGTAAAAATAAATGTATGTATAAATAGAGTTAGATATGGGAATAAACATCAAGATTTTGCTGAATTATTTATTTATATCATGTTTTTTTTTTTGAAAAATATATTTCCAAAATTCTCACCTCAGTGGCTGTGAACCAGCATTCTTTTTTACAACAAACACATGGCATCAAAATTTGCTGAGCATCTGTGCAAGTTTGGAGACTTCCTGAAATAAATTCAATTTTTTTTCGAAATTCATTCCAAAAAAAATGAAAAAAACGGAAGAAAAATGAAAAATTACCTGCTCCAAGAACAACGACAATGAAGCAGACAAAGAGAAGAGTCATGAATAGAACCGACATTTCCGTAACGGAGGGTTAAAAAAGTGAATTTAGTCGAGCCACTACACCAAATATATACATCCATCCACATCCACATTTTAGCCACGCCCCCATTTTCAACCCCCTTCTTTCGTTTTTTTCAAGGATTTCTTGTCTTGCTCGAAGATGACTTTTTTCGAATGCAAAATGATGATTAACCTAATTTTTGAGAGGTGACGAATTTCTCGAGTTTTCTTTCCAAAAATACATTTGAGTTTGATTTTTTAGAAAACTATAACACTATAAAGATCAGTTTGCGGGGCGGAATAATAGTCAAGTACTTCATGAAATAATATTTATTTATTTATTTATCCAAATTTCTCTAGACATTTTCTGAGGAAATAGTTTTTTGTTTATAACCCAATTTATTTTGCTTCACAATGCACTTTCTAGAAATGTTGACTAATACAATTACACATTTTGTATGTTTCGAGAGAAAAAGATGGTTAGTGTCGACAAAATAATATTTTTTATTATTTTTTCGTTAAGAATCAATTAAAAATTTAATGTTTGCACAAAAAATGTAATTGGATGGGAGAAAATGAGAGGATTAAAGAGTAAAATACGAAAAATAGTTGGATGTTTCAGATGAGTTTCAGGAAATGGCTTTTTTTTAAATAATTATACAAGAATTCTAAAAATACCCAAAAATTCGAAATTATCAAAATAATGAGTTTTGTGTAAGAAATTTGGAACTTACGTAATCGTCATTTCTAAAAACAGCTGTGACAATGAAAAACATTAACTATCAGAACATTAAAAGAGGTTAGATTTGCATTTTTCAGAAAATGGAATTTTTCTTTGTGTTCCGCTTCTTAACAAGAGAAAATGGTTTTCCAATACCATATTTTAACAAATGTTTTGCGAGTAACGTTTTTGGAGTTCTCATTTCCCGGAAAATTTGGATCAACGTCGTTTCGCCAGAAAAAGAACCATCAGATTAATTGAATAATCGAATCAAATATGAAATTTGTCATATCATATTTTTTGGGGAGAAATTTTGTCACATAAGCTATAACATGCATTCAGGGTATGTGAAAAGCACACGTGGAGAAAACTGTAAAACCTGATGTTTGAAACAGGACGAACATATTCTAGTTCAAACGTGGTTTGATTAACCTGGAATGCAATTTTTTTCAATATGACTAAAAATAAAACTTCGTTGTTGTTAAAAATTTTGAAACAATCACAGTTTACCGAGAGTTACCCTAGATGTTTGCTAAATAACATTGCTTTTCACTGCACTATTCATCTTGATTACAAAAATATATTTTACTTCCTGAACGCCAAACAAGCGCTTAATGACATTTTTGCAGAAAATATCGAATCTTGTCACCAAAGTTCAACATGAAATCATGAACAAAATTAGGAAATTAGAATTGAAAACTTGGTTTCTGTCCGATTTTCAATAAACACATTGAACCTTTCAAGAATATAGTTTTGTGTTTCATAAGCTATGTTCATCGAAACACCGAATATTTCCGCAAAGCCTAGAAACATCAAACAAAAAGTGTTGCTTTCAAACTACATTCTTTTTCACGCAACAATTGATCAAGATACTTATATTGACAAAAGAACCTCTCATCAACACAACATATTGTAATTATTTAGAATTTTTAAAAGAATCAGGATCTGGTGTGAGTAAACAGAAAAAAGATGCAATTTTTTCTGCCATTTTTTTCCACGACCAAATCTATGTAAAAACCAAACCCTTTGGCACCCCAGATGTTATATGATGAAAAAATATGCATCTGTCAACCAAATTTTCTTCTGGAAAAAAAATGTGAAATCGTTTGTTTGTGTATCAAATTTCGAGTACATCTCACACTATTTTTTTTATTTGAAATGAAAAAAATGTTTTTTAGTTATCCCATTCCATCATATTATTTGTTACACATATCCTATCTTTTTTATCTAGAAAACTGTATAAAATATTATTAATATATATAACCATATGATTTTTTTTACGTTTTATATTAAAATACATATAAGATTATGATAAAGCTGTCAGAAAATTTCCAGTTTACCGTTTGTCTTATCTCAATTCTCGTGTCAGAAATAAAAAGAGTTTGCAAATGTATGTTCACTTTTTTCTCGTTTTTTCCCATAGGGGTGCTCTTGAGGAGATAGATCAACTCGCCGTTTATTTTTGTGTGCTTTAAGGTGAGGTAAACTAAAAAGTCGCGCAAATAATAATCTCCACTACTTTTTGTCATTTTATTCCGTGTGTTTGTATTTCGAATTTATTTGAAATGATAATCCTGATAGTTTTCATTTCCTTTAATAGATTCAACATTTTTCTGTTGAAAAAATCTATATTTTATCAATTGATATTCTTTTCACACAACACAATACATTTTATTAGAATGTTTTATTTTCTGTTTTTAGAAGTTTTGCGGGAACATTTGGCAAATTTGAAGTTACTAAAAACAGTTTATCAAAAAAAAATATTGATGAGTTGTTTTTTATCAATGAGTCACTCATTCAAAAATTTGAACTATTTGTTTTCTACTTCACTTCTTTTTTTATGTTTCGGATTGAAGTAAGTGTAAAGTTGAATTTTCCAAAACTATTTTTAGTTCTAATTTTTTTAGAGGTTGCTCTGAAAGTTTGTTAGTTGAAAAAAACGTTCAGTTTTCAAAATTATTCTCCTTTTTGATGTTAGATTTATGTTTATTTGTGAAACACTTTGTAAATTTTGCGATGCCTTTTCAAAGAACCGCGCCCTTTGGATCGATCGAAGATCTGATTTTCAGAGGGGCAGGGTTTTAAACTAGGTAAAGTTTGAAGTTCGGATAGAAAATTAGAACTTGTTGTTTTATGAAGATCTAGTATTTCAACTATGATTTGAAAAAAAAAATGTTCTATACTATTCAGAGGTTCGTATGTCAAAAATAATTTCTAATTTTTTTTATACACATCAAAACCAGAGAACCCGAAAATTTCCGAAAAATACACCTACTCAATCAAAAACCAGCCAAAAAATCTGCGCAAAAAAAGAATTGAAAATTTAAGACTGATATTACAACACGAAAACCAACCGAGAAAAATCAGCAGGTTAAAAATTCGATCATTGTGTAACAGTATTTTTCTGTCTCTTGACAAAACGCATTTTTTTTATATTCTCATTTGTAGTGACCATTTTTATTTATGCGATTTTACCAGTTTTTCCCCCTTCTTTGATCTTATCTAATTTGGCTTTTTTTCGCTTTGAAGAATAAGTTGCCCTAGATTCATCTTTTTTTTTTATCTCCGAACAAAAGTAATCTGACTTATCTGAAATCTTCGAACAGTTGTTAGGTTCTTTTTCAATATATTTTGCTTTTCCCCCGATTTTTTTTGCTCTCAAAATTTATTTGATTTTTAGTGGTTTTTTTTTTCAGAATCTTCAATGAGTTTACCACTGCCAATATGCGAGAAATGTCAGTCGGTGAGTGTCAATCAAAAAAATCTGAAAAAGAAATTAGAAAAGCGATTCAAAGTTTATGAGGTTGTCAATTGGTTTGGTGGTTCATGTCAGAGAGAAAGAGCGAAAAAAATGATTTTTAGTTTGGCTTTTTCCTAGTTTTTAGTGGTTTTTTGAAGTGTAGCTTGAAATATAGAATTTGGACTTCAAGTTGTAAACTTTAACCGGGGGAAAATATGATTGCAGGGTTGTTTCAAAAAATTGTTTTCAAGGAATAGAATTGCGAGAAAAGGGGTTTTGTGTTGAACTTATTCTCATGATTAATAATTTTTCTTTGTTGACTTCATAGGAAACTCATTTTTTGTTAAATTTTCCAGTAATATTTTTATTTTTTTCGTCTTCAATTTCTGTTAGAATTTTATATGATTTTTTACCATTATATATATTTTTATCTCCATCGTTTTTTTTCGCACGTAATAAAATCTGGAAAATTAGGACCTGTTATATGTTAGGTCATAAAATTCACAAATGTTGATAATTTCTAGAATCTACAAACTCCTATACTTTCTACTTTATTATAGTATTATTATTTTCACAACACAAAATAAAATATGTAGAATGATGATAAATTTCAAATTTCAAATTCAAAATAGTAGTGAGATTATATTGTTATATATTGTTTCGTATTCAAATCATGCTGTTTTCTCCTCCTCCCCCATCTCCTTTTCCTCGTTTTTCCCTTCAAAAATTGTGTTATACAAAACACTTTTCCCTCAATCACTCCTATTGCACTCACTCAACCTTTTTTGTCTTCTTCTTTTTCTGGGACAAGCTATCAATCTTTTTCGAACTTGGGTTCCCTTTTTTTCAATTGACTTGAGACGTTTTAATAAAATAAAACTGGAAAAAATTTCACACTTTCTCACTCAAGATGATCTGAAAAAAAGTGAACTTCAGTTTTTTCTTTGAAGAAACAATAAACTTTTGTTGACATTTTTGATTAAAGTGCGCTAATTACCAAGTTAAAAAAAAGCTAAACAGACAGCAGCAAAAAAATTTTTGCGCATTCTCATAGAAAATATTTTATGGCTATATTATCATGCCCTTTCCTTCTTTCCCATCAAATATTTTTGATTAAAAACCAAAACAATCATAATTTTTATTATACATACATGCATATTTATACAATATTTCCACAATTTTTGTACAATTCCTTATAATATTTTTTATTTTATTTTTCAATGTTTCAGAAGAAAAAGTGCTGCCAAAACTATCATTTGTTATACGACGACAAAGTTCAAATAGTCAAAGAGATCACAAATAGTCTACCAATTGATGAAGAGGACAATATGTCATCCGATGGACTTGGGTTAGTTAACTTTTTTTCTAGTTTTATTTAAAGACGGATCTATAATTAGTCTTTGGAACACATTTCGTGTTTGCACCTTTTTATTTATGTACATTGTAAATGGTTAGATGAAATGAACAGAATTTCTCATAATAAAGCATGGGAAAGTTGGGGATTGGTTTTATTATGAGAACGGGAAATGTTTTGTACCAAATGCAAAAAAAAACAATGCTTTTGGTTGGGAAAGAAGTAGTTCCGAAAATTTGGAAAAAAATGAGAAATTAACAGGAAAGAAAAAATATGTGGAATAATGTAAGAAACTCTAAGGACAACAAATTTCTGAAATTTGATATAGTTCTTATATGTTCATAAAACATTTCGAATTTAGGAAAAAGGTACACCATAATTAATAAAGAAATTCCTCTGTGTCAAAAATTTGTCTGGAAGTGTTATTTTCGATTTGATTAATATTTCACAAAGTTCATTTCCTGATCCATTCCTATTTTGCTTTTTCAGATTATCACCGACATCTAGTCGAGCAAACATTGGCCTATCACAAATATCCGTACCACTAGCATGGAAATCAAAAGGTAGTTCGTTTTTTCTTTCACAATTTTCCCTTATTCCCATATATTTACCAAAAAGGTGTGTCGCCACCACCTGATTTCAAGTGGTCACCGACCGACAAAACTTTGTCTTCATTGTTATATTTTTTCAGAAACTCGAACGTTCTCAATGTTTATTGTCCTACAAACGCGGACGCGAGTTATTGACACAAAAATTATCACTCATGTTGATCGCAATATGACCGATGTTATTATCGCCGACTCTTTTATATTGTAAGGAAGCAAATAAAGAAGAGGGGAATACAGGGTGATATCATATGGAAAATTTTCAAGATTTTTTTTTGAGAAATAGATAAACTCATGGTAAACTCATGGAATATTCTGATTTTTTGGAATATCTAAATAAAAAACAACTAGTGACTGGATAAAATAATCAGAGGGTCAGGTTTTCTTGAATTTTTGAAAAATTGTTTTATAATAGACTTTTTTGAAACTTCTGATGAAATCATTAAAAAATGCTCTAATAATTCAAAATTCACCAACAACATTTTTCAGTGACAATGAACCTGAAGATTTTTGCGTTGATATTTTGATTTATGCAGCACGAACCGATTATGGTATTGAGAACAATATGTCAAATGGAAGTCTTCGAAGTCGTATATCAAGATCCCTCGGAAGAAAATTTGGAGCCAGTGTCAAAGCTCAAACATCGCAGGCAAATGAACCGAAAAGAAGTCCACGATTTGACCAATCAGTTGGAGGAGCACATTATAACTTATTAGCAAAAGCCTCTTTGATGATAACTGATGCTAGTGAAGAAGCAACAATTCACAATTTACGATTGAGTGCATTTGCTGATCTTTCTGGACCACCACTTTATGGACATGTTATTTGTCGAATGGCTGTTCAACCACATTCTGTTTTGAGACCGATTGCAGAAGGAGTTCTTACGGTTCATCATATTAATGCAGATATGAAATTTGATAATGTATTCTCGCGTTTACAAGGCGGACATTTGCAGTTTTTCACAGTTGGTGATATTTCTTTCAGCTCAATGGAAACAGTCCTCGTGATTCCATTAAATAGAGTGAGTTTGATATATTGTCAAAAGATAATTCAATAATTATTTTGATTTTCAGCGTAGTCGAGTTATGGCTACAACAAAACAACTCACCCTTCTGCTGAAAACTGATGAAACATCTGATGTTCCTGCATCTACAGTATATCTCGAGGCTAATACCGAAAGAGCATATGAAACCTGGCGGCGAGCACTTGAATTACAAATCTATGACATTGGAGTTTGGGGTAAATTTGCGACAAGCTCTACAAATCTTCTCTACAAAAAAAGAGAAGATCCAGTCAGAGAAACTTTAAGTCGAGCAGTCGGTAGTAATTTATATGAAACAATAAGTATCAAGGGAAGCATATCCAAAGCAAATTTTGGAGGTTTGAGTTTGATCCCTTGTGATGGAAATACGAAAGGTGGAATTGCGGCCACGGCGCCAGTTAAAAGACAAACCACAAAACAACGAGCAAATGTTATTGACCTGTTCCAGGTAAATATTTTATATAATTTTCATCCAATAATTTCATTCTAACTATATATTTTCAGAGCCCAAAGGCTGCTCGAAAAGAAGAAGAACCATCAAATTATGTTATTCAACTAAACATTGGAGACGATTCAGTTGATAATGAATATTCCGCATACTCCCCGCTTTGTAAGTTTGATCTAAAAAAACAGTTTAAACTGATGATAGGGCGGAAGTTGACATTCTTATCAATCAAATCTCAATTTTTTATTTGATAAATTGAAAAGATCGAAAGATTTGAAAAATGTATCAAACTGATGGAACAAAGTGTAGCATATTTTCACTTGGTGTTTGAGGAATGAATAAACTTTGTATTGAATTTGAAGATTATGAGAATTTTCAACGTTCGATGAAGTTATAAAATTCAATCATTTTTTTTGGAACATTATCAGTTAATAAATCAAATAAATCGGAACAGATAGTGTTTGTTTAGAAAACTAGTCTTCAAAGATTATCAGAAGTTTCAGATTGATAATATTGATGTATGTAGTTTGATCGTTGTTCCATATGAATTCAGCTTTAAAACGAGACTAGTAAAGCATTTTTTTTTTAAATTTTTTGCATGAAAATTGAGAACATGAGAAGCTGTTTTCGACCTAGAACTTCAAAAGTGATTCAAATTCACAAAGAAGTTCGTTTCGGAATAATTCTTTAGAAAAATTCGACTCAATGTCAAGATCCAAGACAAATGTCAATAAATTTCAGACACTGCCAGACCAAATTCTCGCCATAGTCGAATTTACGAAGAAGTTAAAGATGGCCGTAGAAGTTGGTCAAAATCAATTGGCTCATTTATTGGACGAAGCTCAACAGCAACTTCAGCACAAATTACACGACTTTAATTAATCCCCGCCGAAATAATATTAATAAACTTGAATTTGAACATAAAACATTTCATTATTAAGGAAAAAGAACATGAACCCGTTATTAATCAAATTGATTTGTTGTCTAGTTGTCACAATACCAGTAGATCAATTCATCATCTTCATCTTCGTATGACTTTTTCGGATCGTAACGGCGAATTTGATGAGTACTTGAAGTTTGGTGCATAGTTTGGAGGTGAAAAAGTGAGACGGAAAAATAGAAGGAAATGTAGAGTCTGAAATTGGAGAAAACTTTTTTTTGAGAAAGAAAAATGAGAAAAGGGTGGGAATTTTTTGAGTCAAATAAAGTAAATAGAGACAATATTGGGTTGTGTAAAAAACAAAGTTTTAAAAAATGTGGAGACAGGGGGTGAGTGCGAAGGTAATCAAATTAAAGTGCTTCAAAAAACAACAGTCACATTCTGTCATTTTTCAGCAGAAAAAATACCAAAAAAAATGCGAAAGAATGAGAAATGAAGCAAGGTTTTATATCCGAATAAAAACGATAGAAACAAAACAAAAATGTTTGAGAATCACAGAATCATCACGTCGTAAGACCAAAATATAACACATTTTGCCTCGAAGGAAACGAAATGAAAAGAAGAAGAAGAAGAAAAAGAAGAAGGAGATGACAAAAAGAAAAAAAGAAATGTACATATTGTACACGTGAAAAACGTAAGACATAAAATGAGAAAGAGAGAGAGAGAGAGAGATTGAGATGAAAACTAGATTGCTATTGACAGAGAGAATAAACATCCATTTATGTCATTTTCTATAATATATAGATGTTCATGTTCTCTTATAAAATGATGAAATGTTTTTTTGGTTATGTGGGTACAATTTTTTCTGTCGTCATGAGTACACATAGATCAAAAGGTCGCCGAAAGTTCCATTTTATTGATACTCTTATCAATCAGTTTTGAAGAGAGAATTCATAAAAGATGAACACTTGAAAAGAAAAAGGAAGAAAATGAATGATTTTCAGGAAATAACAAATTAAAGAAGAGTGTTGCCTGAGAAAAGTTAGCAATAACAAATTAATCTCCAAAGTACAACATTAGATTTTTAATCGACTAGAAATGTTAGTAATACTATGAAATTTGATGAGAGAGAATTTGTGGAAAAAAAGAAAATGAGGAAAAGTAAAAGTGAAATAATGATGAATTGAAAACATCTGTACAATGAATGGTTTTTTTTCATTGGATGCTATTGAGCACCAAAAACTGTTCAAGTTTTTCCTGTTCTGAATTGAAAATATTCTAAATTTTCTCTCGCTTATGTAGGAGATGAAATATTTTTGCCGTATTCAAGCTTACATGTATTCATCAAGAGATTATAGAGGCTTTTCTGATATCCAGAAAGAAGATGACTTCATTCACAATAAACTGCAGAGAAGAGGAAAATGACGCTGAAGAAAATTAAGAAAAAAACAACAAACAAAAATCAACTATACATATTCTAATTGTGATAGTTCTTTGATTATATTTAACAAAAACCATAAAATTTTCAGAATTTCAAGGTGACTAATATTTCTTGTGTTCATATTATTTGAAAAGTTTAAATTGGTTCAATTTCAAAAAGTCACGGAAATATCTTTTCTGTAGATTTCTCTATTTACTAATTGCAAAAACTTTAAACTCTATTTCGAGACGATCAGAAAAAGTTCACATTGGAAAGAATTACATACATTGTAATAACAATAATCAAGCATGTTTCTTTTTTCTGTAATAATTTTTTTCTGATTGTGAATCAAAAAATCGAAATAAATAAGGACAAGAAAAAAAAAAGATAATTCCTGGAACATCTTTTTTTTATTCGAACCTTTTTTGAGCATTACTGGTCTCTCCGAAGTTTTTTTTTTTCATCGAAATTAGTATTCAAAACCGCCATTTCTTATTTTATATCATTTAACCTCTTTCATTTATGTTTCAGGGTATAAATGAACATAAAACAGAAATGGTAGTGAAATAAGCAACATAAATGGCTTCAGAATTAAATAGTAAAATCATAATTGTTCATAAACTGTATATAAAAATGTTTCATTATCAGAATAAATTAATCAAGTATCAACTTTTACAACTACTGTCAAGAGGAATATTGTGATTAGAACACCAAACTGACTAGAAAGTGTTTTGAAGATCGATGTTTTTTAAAAAAAATTTGAACCACCCCATCGGGATTTTTAGATCAGTATTGCATTGTACGTATCTCAAAGTATTTTATAGTGATGCAGTTCAAACTTTTATCGTGCAGTATATCAATGAATTCCTAGAAAAACTTTTAACTGTACTTTTCATATTTCGTACTATACAACACATCTGTTCATATATACTGACAAGAGTACTTATTTCCAGATGTGAATTTGTTTATTTCACACTTCATCTGTTGCGGTTCTTTTGATGTTGTTGTACAAAAGTATACTGTCACTATCATCTGTTACTAGAAATATCTGGCTCTTCACACTACGGTCAGAACTCCGCCCAACGTTGAAGTTTATAAAAGTAGAACTGCTAAATAAGTCAAAAACTGTATTTGCCATTTGAAGAATGATCATATTCTTTCTAATTGAAATTTGATATGTTTCGTCTACCATTTCAGAACAAGGATAGATGATACCTAGAAGTTGGAACAGTATCACTCGTCTTGTTCTGAAATGGTGGCTGGACGATTTTTTTCCTGGTATTCAACTATTCAACTACCATCTCTGAACCATATCAATTCTTACCCAAAAAAATTGAGGTGAAATGATATGGTTTTAGAGATGGTGGCTTTGAATCTATTTTTTTTGCTCATTCAACAATCATTTCATAGAGTTTATTAACCATTAATACAAAACACGGTCATAAATTCGGTATGAAATGATTGGTGAATTATCGAGCTTCATTTTATATTCATTAGCAGCGAATTCTGAAGAAATTCTGGTTTTATGGAAAAATTATAGTTTGTTCATAAATGTTGTGAATACATATTGTGATCGGAGAAATGTTGATGTTTTTGATTATTAATTATGTTTTAAAAACTATCATTTGACATCGACATAAAAACAAAATATTTTGTTGGAATTTTGTGGTCAAATTTTTATAATTTTTTGCGAAATAATGTATTTTATGAATTTCGCCCCATATCTGCTTATTTCTCCTTTGAAGAGAAACTCAAATGAAACATCGCCTAACAACCTCAGTCGCACACTGTTCAAAAAAAAATTACCACAAACTCGCCCACTCAAATTCAAGGAAGACATATCTGTTGTCCAGGAAAAGTGCACAATTAACAAATACTTTTGCAATATATAACCATCTGGAAACGATTACCCTTCTTCTATTATCTTTTTCTCCATTTCTTATCGATCATTGATAAAGATCAACAGCGACTCATTCCTTGCTCTTTTTTCATTTCATTTTCCAGGTGGCTACTCTATTTTTTCTCTTTCATTTCATTTTTTCAGAAAATTGCACAAGATGCTCAAACTTGTTTTCTCAATTTGTGCGATCTTTCTGATTGCTCCAACATTTGCTGCGTTTTCTTGTAAAGATCAATCTGGAAATGACGTTGATTGGTGAGTTTTGATCTTTTTCATTTTTGAAAAAAAAAGGAATTATAATATTCAGGTTTGCCGTATACAAAATGCCAATCGAGAAAGATAATTCAGTTCCTGGAGTGGCTGGAGGTATTGGATGGTATTACGTTGATGTTAACAAAAAAGGAACACTCCAACCATCTGCAAAAACTCTTGATGATACTGATCAGGTTCGAAATTCAAACAACTATTTTTCACTTTGCTAATTTGGTCGATTTTCGGTTTATCATTTGATTTTTCTAGGCTCTTGCATACACCCTTCAACAATATTATGATAAACAATCTGATAAGTCGATTTTCCACGTGATGTTTAACGATGAGGTAAGAAATTGATGGGTTGATCTGATGATAAGAAGTTGCGAAGTTTGATCACGATGTTTTATTGGCAAATCAAAGCTTTGCAAAAATTTGGAAAAATTCGAATTATGGAACCTATACAGAAAGTTGTTTCTCACCAATAATCTGAAAAAATTAATCTCTTCAGAATCTGAAATTGCACATCAATGTTATGTTCTAAAAGTATTGCGAAATCCTCAAAAATTTTTCATTAAAAAATTCTGCTATCTCTTCTACTAATTTTTGAGAGAATTAGAACGCACCAGTTATCAGAAGAGCGCATTTTCTTGTGTCCCTGTCGCGTCTTCTCTTTTTCTCTCTTTCTTTTCTATTTGTATACTCCCAATTTCGCATACTATTTTTTTCTAAAATTCACAATTCAGCCATGGGGAACCGGAAACTCCAAAGATGAGCAAAAAATCAGTCTTGAAGAAATATTGAGCAACCGTGTCTTCCCATCTCAATCGTCTTCTTATGGACACACAAAGGGAACTATTTTCTTTGATAATGATTCTGGAGTTTGGCTTGTTCACAGTGTTCCACTTTTCCCAAATCCAACAAAATATGAATATCCAACTTCTGGACATGATTATGGACAAACAATGTTGTGTATGACTTTCAAATATTCTGAATTGAGTAAAATTGGTGAGTTTCTATTTTTTTTCATAAAAAGAAGGTCTACTAAAATTATTGTTCAGGAACACAATTATTCTTCAACCGCCCCAATATTTATTCATCAAATCTTCCAACATCAATGGCAGCAGATAATGCTGATCTTGCGAAAGCTATTGCCGGAGGATATCAAAAAGGATCACCAACATCAAGTGTTTTGGAACTCGAAACAGCTGGAGGATATAGTTTCACATCTTTTGCCAAAACTAAAGAATTCAATGCTGATTTGTATGACGGAATTGTTGCACCAACTCTTAAAACTAACCTTGTTGTTGAAACTTGGAGACGTGGAAGTGAAGTTCCACTCGATTGTAAGCTTACTTACCATGCAAATGATGCCAAAACTATCAAAGTTGGGGATACTACTGCTTTTTCATATACCAAAGATCATTCAAAAATGGCACATTCTGCTGATATGACTAAACCGTGGGTGTGCATTGGTGATATCAATCGAATGGTGAGGATTTTTTTCAAATACTAGAGACAACAGTTAAAGATGGAAGTTGTTTTCAGACTTCTCAATATAGCCGTGGCGGTGGTACTACTTGCATTTCAAGCACATTCTTGTGGAAAGCCTATAGTGTGATTTCTGATCAAAACACTTGCTAAAATGTATATTTATGAATAAAAATCTATTTTTATGACAATTTGTTTTATGACATCGATGCTCACAATAAGATCATAAGTAAAAACAATTAGAAAACGTCCGTTATGTCGATTTTGTAGAAAACATTAGTGGTTCTGTAATATTTCTTTTTCGTAATAGAATCCAATGATAAAACTCACTGCAACGCTGGAGTGTCTGGAAATGTGTGACGATATGTCACTTCTTGCCCATTTGTGGTGCAATTGTGTGTGATAAAGGTGTAGAATTCGTAATTGAACTTAAAAAAAATCGACAATATTTTTGAACAATCATTAAAAGACAAACTCACAGAGCCATCTCCATAATCATCATCTCCAACGGAAAAGTTTTTGGTTGTTTGCTTTTTCGAACATGTTTTGTATGATTGAATAATGTAGTCGTCCTCACTGAAAAACATTATAATTTCTCTTAAATATAGTTAAAATTAAAATAACTGTTGGATTAGTCGAATGTCTTACATATTATCTTCCTCCCAGAAAACCATGCTGTAACACCAAATTGGTTTTCGGCAGGTTATTTCTCCCATGAAATTGATAGTACGACAGTAGAACTGAGGGAATATGAATAGAAAAATCAGGAGAAGTTTCATTTTGAGGTTGAATGAATGAATGAAAATTAACGAGAAATGAACGATTTATAAAGGAGAACGACAACTGTCGATTTGATTTTTTTTGTTGGTCAACTGGAACTTTTGAACTGGGAGTTTTGGTTTTTTGAATATTCATTAGTCATATCCAGATTACGCTTGACAGACTTTTACAAATATAAAACCCTCCAATGGAAAACTCATATGAAATGTGATTCTCATTCATCCTGCATTCTTTTTTTTAGACCAGACTAAATAATTTTTGGTTTTTTTGTTGTGAACAAAGAGCAAGGCAAAGGTTATTGATTGCTCAAAAATGCAATATTGTGTGATATGCACTTTATTTTTAGAAACATGGGGGAACTCGTCTATCTGTCACCAGGTTTGAGAAAACGAACGTGCTTTGAAGATTGGGAACTTACGAAAAATTCTTATTAAACAATTTTATAAATGTTCTCATGATGAAATAAAATTCTTTTTTGATTTTCGTTTTTTTTTTTATAAATAAACTTAATCATGTTCCCAAAAGGTCAACCTTTTTTATTGAAATCATCAAAAAGGTTATGATAACTTTATATTGAAAAGTATTGTTCTATTGTATCACATAAGTATAAAACGTTTGCAAAAGTGTTGCAAATAACAACTGAAACATGTCTTCAATTTTCTACTTATTCTTCTTGATTGCCCTTGGATCATGTGTCAATTTTGAAGAAATTCAAAAAGTAGTTGCTGCAAAATGGATTAATTCAATCAGATATCCTTCTGTGTTCAATATTTTAGAAAGTTTTGAACCATTCGCAAAAATTAGCAAATGTGGAATATTGATGACTCCAGGTAAGAAGTTTTATGGAATACATTTAATAATCAATGATTTTCAGCTGATTACAAGAAAACATTGATTGTTCAAAATTTGGATGTTATCACGCATAATATTGTGATTGAAACTGAGAGTTCGTTTGTTGTCAATTATCAATTTTCAAGTCGCAATCCAATTCAAAACCAAAATCTTCAAATGTTCGGCTATCTTAGATTCATCAGAAATCCCGTGACTCAACAATTCAACATCAACTTCATTGAAGACCAATGCTATCGTCCAAATACAAAATTTAACATTGTTAATTTGATCAGAAAGTAATAATGCAAACTTAATTTACATCGAAAACAAGTTGTGCTTTTAATAAAATACTTTTTTTTAATTTTTGAATTTAATAGTGGGACGAAACCTTCAACTTTGGAATTGAAACATTGTGAGGTTTTGAACCATTGACATCATATCCGGGAAATCTCTCTTTTTCAATCAAATCAACATTGAACTTTTTGAGTCTGGAAAAATAAACAAAAACTATTGATCCTGTCAGATTCTTTCAACACACAAACACTTTATCCCGAACACTTAAAAAGTTTTTATAACTGGGGCCAGCACATCAAAAACAAATCTGAATTTTGGAAAACTGTCACAATACCATAAATTTTGACTTGTGTTCGATAATTTGTTATTCTGCGGAATATTCTTGAAGTATAATTCCGAACAAGCAATTATATGTGGTGAATTCATGAAAAATATTTATCTGTGAACAACCAACTTTCATTTTCAGAAAATATAAAAATCTATAAAAGTTTTTGAAATAGTGAAATTGTAAACCATTAGACATACAAATAATTTTTTCATGGATAATAAAAAAAAATCTGTGATTTTTTATATTTTCACAAATGTTCCCTAAATATTCAAATGGTTTTGTTCATCACATTTGTATACAATGTAACCATTGTAATTTGTTTATTCTACAAGTATCTTCAATGTATTGTTTTTTCCCACAAAAATAATAAAAGTTTTTTGAATCGATTTTTCTATTTTTCTTCATGAGATATTTGTTTCAAGAGAAAAATAAAAGAATAACAAAAACAAATTTTGTTCGTTTAAATATTGATGATGATACAACCCACATGTGATATCTTCAACACTTTCAATCTTATAAGATACGGAAACAAACAATGATCTCAATCATTTTGAACAACTCCAGCTTGTTCCTCTTTTCATTACTTTTTCCTTCAATTCTTTTTTTGTCTTTTTATTATCTCTCAAATAAACCGCGCTTCAGACCACTTATGTAATCTAAAATCAAACAACTTTTTTGTGCTGTTTCTGTTTCTGTTACTACTTCCACTACTCGCGTTCTGCCCTTTTAACTTTTTTCTCTTAACTTTTTTTAACATCACACTTTACCTGCTATATTGACACAAAAACTGCGTTTTTTTGCTTCAGTTTTTTTTAGTTTCAACCCAGCGATGTGTTCATCCGCCCTTTTTGTTAGTCACTGACTTTCTTTTTGTTATTTTCTCAAATTTATAATTAATTATAACTATTATTGTTTTTCCAGCGTTCGAAAGGTCGCCCAGATTCATTTTCTACGTCAAATTCAAATATTCGTCAAAGAGTTGTAAGTTTTCGGGGGGATTTCGAAATTATTCAAAATGTGTGAACCATTTTATTCACCAATAAAAATTAAAAATTGTATGGAAACTTAAATTTTTCGAAAAATAATCTTATTAGATCATTAATTAAATTGTCACATGTCTAAAAAATTTGTACTATTTTTTTCTAATTCATTGATTTTTCAATTTTCTTTCTCTCCCCGTTTTTTTTCGAAAAACAATTCTCGAATTTCGTGATGATTATCGACCAAAAAGCTCAAACACATTGTGTAACAGCCGCCTTCATTTTCTTTTTTGCTTTTCCATTTCAATTTTTGTGTAGAAAGAAAGAGTTTTTTCATTTTACCTGGTGAAAAAAACGAACAAATTTTTGAGAAGGAACAAAATGATATGATAGGAAGAAAATATGATTGATTACAACTTCGGAGAACTAAAAAGACAACACGTGAGATCTTTTTTTGTTTCAAAAAAAATGAACAGACCAATATTAGGAATTTCCACAATTTCGGGGGATTCTTGATAACACTTGACTTGTTTTTTCTCCTCAAAGTACTTATGTTTTTTTTTCGGAATCATACTTACTCACTTACAAAATAAACAAAACACGACGTGTTGTTTTTTCAGTAATCTAAAAATAAGTCAATATGCCAACTAATTTGATAAGAGGTTTATGTTTTCTCTAGAGGTGGGGAAAATGAAAGTTTTGTCAACACTTCAATATTGTGTTTGAGGAGAAGAAGAGGCGAATTGGAATAGTTTTTCAGAAAAAAAGAGAGCTTAAAGGTTTGACACATTTCCTAAAGTGAAAAAAAATAAAGATTGTATTGAGTTGATAATAAATAATATAATTTGAATTTTGCACCAAAATAAGAAATTGAACAAAAATCTCAATTTTTATTCAATAATCAAGATTACAATTAGACAAACCCTTAATTTTCTGTTAAAAAAACCTTCTTGTTTTCTGGGTAAAATACATGTTTTGAAGTTATACTGTAAATAAATCACCAGATTTCAAATTTGATCCTCAGAAAATGCTCTATTCGCCAAGTATTACAGTGCCCGATGAATAATTTTCCGTTCATTTCCGTGATAATATCCAGTTTCTCAGCGCCCCTTCTTGTGAGCACAATAACTTAATCCTCGTTTACCGTATCAAATTTTATTGACATACATTTGGTTGAACATAAAAAGTAGATGAGCTCACTACCGAAAACAAATAAAAACCCATCTATTTTTTTCAATGTTGTACGTAAATGTCAAAAATCCTCCCGAACAAATTAAACAGAGCGAATAAAACGATCTTCAATTTTTGGTTTTATTTCTTCGCAACAAAATTGATGGAACAAAATAATAATCAGAGTAAAGTAGTTATCAATAGTTCCTGCTCACATTTTTTTTGCTTACTTGCTCTTCTTCATTTCAATTACATCACCCACACGATTGATTTTTCTTTTTCTTTTTTTTCTGTCACGTAGAATATCACAATTTACACAATTTTTATGTTTTTTTCATGAAATCTCTCTTTTTCGCCTACCCGCCTGGGTTTTGAAATTTGATCTGGTTCACACACGCAAAAAAGTTTCATGCTGTATTTGTTTAGTTTTGGGAGAAAAAAATTGAATTAAGAGACGTTATTTGTAAAAACTCAAAAATTCTCGAAATACGAAGAACAAAAAAAAAGTGATGATCTTCGATTTGGGTCTATTTTTGGTAAAATGATGCCCCACGCCTATAGAGTTGGAAAATAAAGTGAAATGGCGCAAAAAAATTTTTTGAGGTCGGGGGGATTTTTTTGAAAAAAATTTGGCCGATCCGTAAAATGGTTCAAAATTCATATTTTTCGACGTTCAAAAAAGCATTCTGCTCGTAATTCAATGATCTTTCCAGTGGTAAAACGATCCATAATTCATTCTTTAATCTGGAATAATTATATTTTTAAAAATTGAAAAAATGATGAAATTTCGGTTAAAATCATCATTTTCGACCCTAGGGAGTCAAAAGCGCACTTTTTAACTGCGTGCAATCGCTTCCTTTCGCAATTTTAGCCCCGGGGGCGTATGTTAAAAATTAAACGCGGAACCTTGACCTCATCCAGATCGGTGAAAAGCGCCCACTAAAACATTTGTAGGTGCATGTTGTGAAGAGATCACTTGAAACGCTTGAATTTGCTGATCTAAGAGTCACAGGTTCAATTCCCGGTGGCGGCTTTTTTTAAAAAGTGGTTTTTTGTTCGAAAACCCATTCAGATAGATACAAATGTCATGTCCTAAAGACAATATACTAAAGGATACAAGAGAATAATACAGTGCATTTTATAATAATAGATTTGCCTTCTATATTGATAACATTGTCTAAACCATCAGTTATTGAAGCAAACTGAGTCAAAAATTGACACGTACGCACAAAATCAGGCAGGTAAACTCATTTTCCTATAAAATAACCAAATATAAAAACATATCTGGCCGATGTTCAAAAATTAAAAAAAATTAGTGTTTCAAAATGAGAGATTCACCTTTTTTGTAATGAAAGAAGATGATCAAATATCGATAAATAATGGAAAACAACACATTTTTGTACTGGCATGATGATCTTAATGGTAAATCTTCAAATCGTGAAAATTCAAATGTCTATGTCGGAAATTAAAGCAAATGATGCCCTGTTAACTTCAAATGTATTTTTGCGTACATTCTTTATTTCGCAAACAAAAATCGTGATCCTATTGAACACCAAATTTTTTGTAATTTTTGAACATCGGTCAGATATCTTTCTATATTTGGTTATTTCATATGAAAATGAGTTTACCTGCCTGATTTTGTGCGTACGTGTCAATTTTTGACTCAGTTTGCTTCAATAACTGATGGTTCAGACAATGTTATCAATATAGAAGGCAAATCTATTATTATAAAATGCACTGTATTATTCTCTTGTATCCTTTAGTATATTGTCTTTAGGACATGACATTTGTATCTATCTGAATGGGTTTTCGAACAAGAAACCACTTTTTAAAAAAAACCGCCACAGGGAATTGAACCTGTGACTCTTAGATTAGCAAATTCAAGCGTTTCAAGTGATCTCTTCACAACATGCACCTACAAATGTTTTAGTGGGCGCTTTTCACCGATCTGGATGAAGTCAAGGTTCCGCGTTTAATTTTTAAACATACGCCCCCGGGGCTAAAATTGCGAAAGGAAGCGATTGCACGCAGTTAAAAAGTGCGCTTTTGACTCCTAAGGTCGAAAATGATGATTTTAACCAAAAATTTATCATTTTTTCAATTTTTGAAAATATAATTATTTCAAATTAGAGAATGAATTATGGATCGTTTTACCACTGGAAAGATCATTGAATTACGAGCAGAATGCTTTTTTGAACGTCGAAAAATATGAATTTTGAACCATTTTACGGATCGGCCAAATTTTTTTCAAAAAAATCCCCCGACCTCAAAAAATTTTTTTGCGCCATTTCACTTTATTTTCCAACTCTATAGGCTTGGGGCATCATTTTACCAAAAATAGACCCAAATCGAAGATCATCACTTTTTTTGTTCTTCGTATTTCGAGAAATTACAAATAACGTCTCTTAAAAGTTTCATGAAATAATATTTCAAAATGTTTTTTTTTTGAAAAGTACATTTCCATAAACAATGTACTTGAGATTGAAATTTTCCGCGTTTCGATTTCTTTTTCATTTTACCTGATCATTCATTGATAAGGTACTGTATGTATGATAATCGAATTCAACAAAGGCAACATTTATTTATTAGATTGCACTTTTTGTTTCAACAAATGAAATATTACCCTTGTTTTTTGTTGCTTCTTTTTCTTTTTCGTATTTTCCTGTCCATTTTTTCTTTCTGTTTCCATAGAAATTCATTTATTCTGTTATTTATTATTGTTCAAAAAACTATTTTCTTTTTTCCCATTTTCTCCTCCTTCATTCTGGGAAAAGATCTAAAAAAATTATATAAGTTTTTTGCAACACAAAATGTTTACTCTCGCAACGTTTACCCAGAACATAAAAAAACGCCGATTTGGTTTTTTTTACATGAGAAATGTGAACACTGGTGAAATTGCGAAATTTTTTTCATTCTCATTCTCATTTCGAAAAGGTATGTGTCATTGATTTTTCAGTTTTTCTCTGTCATTTTGTTTGTTGATGAGTTTTTTCGAGATTCTCTTTATTTCTCGCATTTTAGTTGAGACAGATGTGAGATTTTATTGATTTATAGAGAACATTTGAAATGGGAAAGTTTATTTATTTTCATTGGAATTTCTTTGTTTTGAAGCTTCTGATGGAAGTGCTTTCGAAATAAAATATTTGTAGGTCCCGAATAAAATCTAAAAGATTTCCTTTCCCATGATTTATCTGAAAGTTTAAACGTTTTAAGTTAAAATCTAGAGTACCCTGAATCACTGAGGTTTGAACTCATCATTTTTGTTTGAAGAAGCTTTTCGGTGTTTTGTTTATTTGTTCACTCCACACATTTTTTGTTCGAAATCACTCTAACAGAAGATTATCAGTTGTTCCACATTCACTTTTCACTATCACAAATATACAGAGAAAAATGAAATTTTATCACGTATTTTATGGCATGTAAATTAGTCCCCTCTGCGCGCGCGAAATATCTCACATTTCATTTCGTTTTGAACAACGAAAATAGAAACACGATAAAATATAAACACATAAACAATCAATCACCTGACCATTACAAAACTACAGTATCTATCTCGCTCCCCTCACTTGCGCACATCAATTTTCAATTTCATTGAAAATAAATATTATGATATGCTTATCATTTCGAAATCTTTCTTCTTCTTCTTCTTTTACTTGTTTTGGGTTGCCACCTGTGAGAGGCGGCAAAAGGTGGTGACAAGAAAAAATGAATGAAATAAATTCACTCCTATCTTCTCTTTTTTCTCGCAATTATTTTTCAGATTTTTTTCGGCCTGACCTTCAGAAGCTAATTCAAGGCCACCCGAAATTCTCTCGCTCGATGAACAAAGTTTTTTTTGTTGTTGGGTTGTTGTTTTATGTTGTGTTATTTTTTTTTGTTGATTCAGGGCCGTTCCGTTTTTGTGTAGGTGGAGATAGAAGTGTTTTTGTCTTTTGATCCGAAAAAAAAGGAATCATAAAATTGTCATAAATATTCATTTTTAATTCGCAATAAACTGTGAGAATGCACTTTTTGATTGATATATAAGAATCTGAAGAAAAAATGATCTGACCTTTGACAAATTCATTTTATTTTCAAAAACGCTAGATAGATTGAACGTCTTGTGCCTTTGTCAAGTTTTTTGTAACAGCTGTCAAAAGAAATTCCTTTCGATTTTTCGAAAAAAAAATGAATCCTCAATCTTATCAGAAGAAAACTTTTCGCTTGTGTTCAAATTTAATTTGATAAAACAAAAAAATGTTGCCAAAAACGTTTTATAGATTCCACGCCCAGCTAGTTTTTTTTTAGAAATTTGCACAATAAAATTTTTAACTTTTTGCTCTTATCAGCAAACTCATTAAGAGTTCTTTTGTGCTGCATTTTTTGACAGTTTCCAAATTTTTTAGTGTTTGAATCATCATTTCCGGATATTGATTTTGACTTCGACATAGTTTGAATTCGGAATCCGGGGGGCACAAAAAATCAACCATTCGAGAACAAATTATGCAACAAACATGCCACATCCCGCGGCCAAAAAAAATTGTTTTGTAATTCAATTATGTGTGGAAAAATCAATGATCGAAAAAAACGTTTCGAAAAATTTCCACAACAAAACAACAATGTCCTTTTTAACCGATAGAAAAAGTGCAACTGCCTTTCGCTAACCAAAAACAACGTTGTTTTTCTGTTTTTTCAACGACACTCACACACAAAATGTGAATCTTTTCACGTGGTGTTTCTCTTTTTCTCTCTCCAATTTCCCTTTAGTCTCTCTCTCTCAGCCTCATTCATTTTTGCTATTGAGCTAACCCCAGAACCTTCTATTTCTTCTTCTTCTTCTTTTTTCTCTTCATCTTTTTCTCTTTTCTCAATATTCTGCCGTGTGCCCCCCTCCCTCCCCAACAGCATTTTTCGCGCCAAAAAAGACGTTCACTTCTTTTTTCGCTGTTTTCTCTTTTTTTTCTCTATATGTCTTTTTTAGCCCCATACATACATACATAAATATGTTTGTTGGGGCACTGCGCAAGAAAGAAAGAGAAAAAAGTTGTTGTGTTTTTTTTGTTGAGTAAGTGAGGGAATACTGTAGGTCGCGGGTCCACCTGGGGTATGCAGATGGTCGAGCAAAATAACCAGATGTGCCTAAATTTTGAGGAAAAAAAAAAATTGAAAATATTTTTTTTGATAGATGCAGGTGCATACGAGTATTTAAGGAAAGTTCACGGTCATCAAATTCATTTTCTTTTCGAATTTTCTTTTGAGAGAGGAGATACTGTAGGCACCCTAGAACATCCAATTTCTGATTCTCTAAGAGAACTTAGAAGGTTCTTATTTTCCTAATTCTATCATGCCTAGAAACCGGAGTCAGGATTCTTGGCATTCGGAATAACTTAGAAATAGTTCATTAATTTTCCAAGCATACAATCCAGGGTTTCTTCTCACATTCCCTCCGATTCTCAATTTTATAACAGTTTGATTTCAGGGCTTCAAACACTTCATACTTTTTTTTGAAATTGAAAGGTCAAAAACCTGAAATTTGAAACTCCTCTACCCAATCTCAAAAAATGTTCCATATTGAACACTTCCTTTCGAGCCAAGCCAAGCCAATTTCAATATTATTTTGTCTTTCTCTTTTTATTTCATCATCCTGCTGTGTAATCGATATATATATATGTACAGCTTCTTCTCTCAAAAATTTCTCTGTTTTTCCCAGAGTTTTTCAGTCTGCACAATAACAAAACAACACAACAAAAAATAAATGGGTGATTAAAGAAAACCTGACAAATATTTGTTGTGTTCCTTCCTTACCTTTTCATTTTTTGCTGATTTCACTCGTAAAAGAAACTTTTTTTGCCCACCTTCGTTTTTTTTTCTTTCCCGCTGGGGAACATAGTCAAAACCCACTTGAAGCTCCGCCCATTTTTTCTTGTTTCTCTCTCGTCGCCTGTCGTGTTGCGGTCAGCGCGATGATTTTTTTGTTTCGCTCTGGGCCTAAAATATTTTAGGTAACTCTACAACTTTTGATTAATTGCGTTTTTTTTCCAGCTGATTTACGTTTTTGTGAATCCGCCCAGTGAATCGCCGAAATCCACGAAGTTGTGTTGATATTTACCAAACAAAAATTCAATTGCTATAATGAGGTCTCGATTGTCAGTGAGACGTCCACACATCAGAACACAGGTGACGAATCGTAGAAAGAATCTCGGAAGAGCCGCCAGATCACAATACAATCAATTCCGTCAATGGTGAGTTTTAGCCCTTTTGGGCCTTTTGAAAATAATTTCATTTGGGTTTTTCCAGGCTTCAAACTGCTGTGCTTCCCGATCCAGTTAGCGAAAAACGTGCTCTCATTTTTGCCGCCCTTGCTCTCCCAGAAACTGAAACAGTGAGTTTTTGATTTGATCAATTGCATTTTCTTATCTACAGTATCCTGCAAAACATATTTTTGTTTTTTTGTTTCAGTTTTGATAGAAGAATTTTTGGAGTTTTAATCGCTTTTTTTTCAAAAAATATGTGCAGAATTTTTTCTAAATATAAAAACTGAGAAATTTAGAATGTAACCGGGGAAATTTTAAAGAAATTTCCTAACTTTGAATTTTCAGGTCCAAGTATCCAAATCATCCAAGAAATCTGACAAGAAAAAATCCAAGAAAGACAATGCCAAACAAGAGGAAGCCGTAAGAATTGCCGAACAGAAGAAAGCAGCTGAACGCGAAGCTCGTCGCGTTGAAGCGGAAGCTAAGAAGCGTGCTGCTGAAGAAGAGGAACACCGCAGATGGAAAGCCGAACAGGAAAAAATCGAAATTGAAAATGCGAAAAAGGAAGAGGAAGTGAAACAATTAAAGGCGCAACAAAAGAAAGCCAACAAGTCCAAAAAATCTGCTCAACCAGCCGTTGAAGAAGAAGTTATTGTGAAGAAAGTTGAGCAAGTTCAAAACGCCGCCCCAGCTCCGACTCCAAAATCGAACAAATCCGAACCAGCCCCAGCCGAACCAGTTAAAGAAGTGAGAATTTACAGAAAAAATATTGAAAATGAAGGAATCTGTTTTCAGAACTCGAAGAAATCCAACAAGAAAAACAAGAAGAACAGCGAATCTGAAAAAATCTGCCCCAGCTCCAGTCGAGGTTAGTTTATTTTTCGACATTTTTTTTCAGATATTCTGTAGTTTAGTATCATGAATTATGTGACGTAGATGCACTTTATGTTTGCATGTTAAGGCCGTATTTTTTAGGAACCAAAACAAGTCGAACCTGCTCCAGAACCAGTTGTTGTTGAAGAAGTTGCTCAAGTTGCTGAACCTGTTGCCGAGGTAAGTTTCGGAGAGCCAATAGAAAATGTTTATGTTCGTTGTGTTGTCCAAAGCATGGAAATATATTGTTGTCCTTTTCAATTTGAAAACAGAAAACAAAAAAGAGAAATAAAAAGAACACATCACAAAACCCGATAACCTCACCTCTCACCTTTTACAGAAAGTATCGCCAGTTTTGAATGAGACACAGGTAAGAATTAGCATGCTTCTAGGTAGCGATCATTTTTTCCTATGCACGTTAATGTTCTAATTTCCCAATTTTTCACAGAAATCCTCCAAAAAGGATAAGAAGAAGAGTGAATCGGAGGCTCAGTCTTCAACTAAACCAACCGCTGATGATCTTGGATTTTTGGATTTTGTAACACCAAAGAATGAGGAACCGGAAACACAGATTGTTGTCGAAACTGCTCAAACTGCACCTGGAAATAAGAACAAAAATAAGAAAAATAAGAAGAATAGTGAATCTGATAAAACTTCTGGTATCCCACCTGTTGAACAATTGGGAGATCCAAACTTCAAATCTGAATTTATCACTGATGATCATGTTGTTGTTAATCTTGAACCGATTCCTCTTCCAAAAACTATTGATGTTGGACTTCTCGAAGAGCCATTATCAAATAATGAACCGGCTGGTAAAAAGAACAAGAAAAATAAGAAGAATAGTGAATCAGAGTCTCAATCATCAACAAAACCAATCGCTGATGATCTCGGATTCTTGGACTTTGTAACACCCAAAAAAGATGTTGAAGAAATTATCGAAGCACCAAAAATTGAAACACCTGTTGAATCTGCCCCAACTCCTGCTGCATCAAAGAAAAATAAGAAGAACAAGAAAAACAGTGAATCTGAAAATGTTACATCACCAATTTCTGCTAAGCCAACTGCTGACAACTTGGATTTCTTAGATTTTGTAACTCCTAAAAAAGAAACTTCTGAGGAGCCATTGCAAAAAGCTGAACCAGTTCAACCACCAAAACTGGAAGATGTTGATATTCAAGAGTTGGTTGGAAAATCAGCACCAGAAGAGTCTGCTGATAACAAAAAGTCAAAGAAAAACAAGAAGAATAAGAAGAACAGTGAATCTGAAAGCAGCCCAGTTATAACATCGGAAAAACCAACTGCTGAAAATCTCGATTTCTTGGATTTCGTTACACCAAAAAAAGAAACTTCTGAGGAGCCTTTGCAAAAAGCTGAACCAGTTCAACCACCAAAATTGGAAGATGTTGATATTCAAGAGTTGGTTGGAAAATCAGCACCAGAAGAGTCCGCTGATAACAAAAAGTCAAAGAAAAATAAGAAAAACAAGAAGAATAGTGAATCGGAAAACACACCTTCACCAACTTCTGCCAATCCAACTGCTGAAAATCTCGACTTTTTGGATTTCGTCACACCAAAGAAAGAAACTGTTGAGGAAGTTGTTGAAGCACCAAAGATTGAAACACCTGTAGAATCTGCTCCGACTCCAGCTGCATCAAAGAAAAATAAGAAAAACAAGAAAAACAGTGAATCAGAGACTGCTCCAATTGTTGTTTCAGAAAAACCAATCGCTGACGATCTTGGATTCTTGGATTTCGTAACAGCTAAAAAAGAAAAATCTGTAGAAGCTGAAATTCCAGCCAAATCGGAACAACAAGAAGCTCCAGCATCAGGCAAGAAAAACAAGAAGAACAAGAAGTCAAGTGAATCGGAATCTTCTCCAGTGCCTGCTGTGGAAACATCAGCACCAGTTTCATCCAAGAAAAATAAGAAGAATAGTGAATCTGACAAGACTGCTGGAATTCCACCAGTTGAACAATTGGGAGATCCAAACTTCAAATCAGAACTAATCTCGGAGGACCATGTTGTTGAAAATCTTGAACCAATCAAACCACCAACATCAATAAACGCTCGAGATGTTCTTGCAAGACCACACGAAACACATTCCAAGAAAAACAAGAAGAATAAGCATAAGAAACATGCTGATAATAGTGTCTCACCACAACAAACTGAAGAAGATTTGGCATTTTTGGAGTTTTTGGCAGCTGGAGATAAAAAAGCAGCAGAATCCTCAAATGCGTTCCCATCAACTGAAGAAGAAAAAGAGTTTGTGAAAAATGTTCAAAAACAAATGGAAAACACATATCAATTTGCTGAACCTGTGCAACCACCAAAAGTCGATAATATTGATATTCAAGAACTGATTGGTTCAAAACCAAAGAAATCACAAAATAAGAAGAAGAATGCTGAAGCAGAAGTTCCTTTGAACACCCAATATTGGACTAAACCAGCTGATGATGATCTTGATTTGGAAGAATATTCAAATCAAAATAAAAAGGTCAGAAGCTTGCTTTGCTTTAAAATTAACAACACTTTATGTTTCGTTTTTGCATGCTTTTGTGTTTCTTTTTTCTCTATTATTCAGTTTCGAAACATTGCCAGAAATAATAGTATCTTTCTAATAGTTTCGACTAGAATAGATTTCAGTTTATTAAAAAAAGTTTGATTTCGTAAAAAAATCTATGATTTTTCAGACTAAAGTATCCCAAAAACCAACTGCTGATACTATGGACTTTTTGGATTTCGTTACCGCTAAACCAGAAAAGGTTGTCGAAGCCGCTCCAGAACCAGTTCAAGAGGTCAGTTTAATTGTAGATTTGTGAAAATATTAGAAACATTGAAATTTTCCAGCAACCAAAACCAGCTTCCAACAAACCAACCGCTGATACCATGGACTTTTTGGACTTTGTAACTGCCAAACCAGAAAAAGTCGAAGAAGAACCAGTTGTTGCTGCTCCAACTCACGTTGAGCCAACACAAGAGGTTAGTTTGATAACCAAAATAACCCCAAACATTTTCAGATTCCCAAATATGAATAAAAAGATATTATACATAGGAAAAAAAAGGTATAGAGTGCCACGCTTCTATTTTTATTTTCATTTTTGTCTTTTTCAATAATAAGTAATTTCATAGTGTGGATTTGTTAAGTTTTTTGGTTGATTATTCGATTCTTTAGGATTTGGTTGTTGATGATGAACAACTAGGTTGGGAAATGGTAGAACCCTCTGATGACGAAATTGAAACAAATTATGTAATTGTGGATAGTCATGAGAATTCCAGCGGAGATGAGGTGATTGACTGCTTTCCATATTTTATTTTGAGTATATCTTATTTTTTTTCTGACTATAACTGACCCCGCTGGAACGAGTTTTCTTTTTCATAATTTAACAGTGTGATTCATATAATATTTTCTCGCTTACGAATCTTTTTTCTAGGCAATTCATGACGACTTGGGAAATGATGACGATTTTAGTGAAAAGGTGATTGATTAACTATGAAATATTTAAAGATTCAACTTAAAATATGGGCTAAATATGGGCTAAATTATCAACAACAAAAAATCTGGAAAACATAGAATAATATTTTCAGCATGAAGAGGAAACTCAAGTACTAGACATTTCTGAACAAGTTTTGGAAAATTCACAGGTTGAGGAGGTTTCACAGGTTTTAGATAGAGGTTCAGAAATTAGTGCAAAGTTAGATGATTCTGAAGTTTTTGAAGAAGTAGACATAGATTTGGGGACTTCTGATGTTGTTAGTTTTGACAAAACTGAAGAGCCTCTTCTTGAACAAGTTTCGGAGATTTTCGAAAGTACTGAAGAAAACTCGATTGAAACCACACCAGGACTTGCTTTTGACTCTTCCGAAGATTGTGAATCTGTCATTGAATGTTCGGCAGCATCTGAAACTGTGACAACAAAAGATACGGAAAACATATCGGAAATCACTCCGGAAGCATCCGTTTTTGTTGCTGAATCAGTACTTGAAGATGTTGCAAACATTCCAACCGATTCTCAAAAAGCAGAAGAAGCGTCAGATACTATAATTTCAAACATTCAAAATACTCCTGAAATAATTGAAGAGTCAGAAAGTGTTATGGATTCAGAAGATACTACAAACTCTGATTTGATTGGTGCATCAGTTTCTGAAAATAATTTCTTTGAAACTGCTCCTATTTCCGAAGAGCCTAGAGTTACTGAAGAATCTATCCCTGTTGATTCTGCAATTATTGAAGAATCGGTATCAATTAGTATCATAGAACAAGTTCCTGAAACATCTGTGGTTTCCGAGTTTGATTCAACTTTCGAAGAAGTTTCCAAACACGTTCAAGAAAGTTCTGATATTTTCGAAGAATCTGCACCAGAAAGCTCACCAGAATCGCTTTTCGAAACATCTACAACTTCAGAACCTATCACAGAATCATCTGGAGATTCCGAATCGATTCTTGAATCGGAAGTTTCTATTGATTCTCACAATTTCATGGAATTTGAATCTATTCAAGGAATTCCAATGAATACTGGAATCATACCAGAAATCACATTAGAACCTCCAACTCCAATCGATTCTGCACTTCTTGATGACGAATCTCAAAGTTCTGACGATTTTTATGTTGGTACTTCTGAAATTTCAATAGAAACTGAAACCTTTGTGAATCCTGATTCTGACTCAGAAACTAGTACAATAATTGAGAATCCAAAAAGAAAATGTTCTTACTCAAACGGTTCAATTCATGCAGAGGTGATTCAAGTAACTTAACTTAACTTAACTTACTCCCACAATAATTGCTAGCATATTCCTTAAAATCCGCGCTACTCTTTAAAAAATATATCTTTTCTACCAGGAAACAATATTTAATTAAAAATCCCATTCCTTCCGCATGTTCCAATCTAAACGCAACCTAACTCAATAATAATGTTATATTTAGAAGTGATTTTTTAGGTTTCCCCGCGCTCGGCTGCTCCACCTCTTACTATTGAGTCACAATTTGATGTTGTTGGGAATGTTGTTGAATCAGTTGTTGAATCTGTAGACAATCTCATAGGTATTCTTGGAGCCGCTAAAAAGAATGAGGTAAATTATAATTCTAAATATTCTTGTTTTAGAACCATGTGTCTTTCCAGATAGGCTCTATTGTCCCTTCTGTAGTTCCTGATGTTTTCATTGATGACTATGAGGTACTATTTGAGAGAAAAAACCTGTAAAATTTTCCCTGTTAGAAAAATAATTCCTTTCCTTTATGTTTTTCCTTCTCACACTCGGGAAAAAAGTAGCAAGTCTGGCGACAAAAAATAGACTTCTAGCCAGCTTGCGACCATTTTTAGCAAGCTTGCTACATTTTTTCCCATTATAAAAATTGTAGCAAGCTTGCTAAAAATGGTCGCAAGCTGGCCAAAAGTCTATTTTTTTCGCCAGACTTGCTACTTTTTTCCCGAGCATATTTCCCTCTTTCAGGCCCCAACAGCTGCTGGAAACAAGAAGAACAAGAATAAGAAGAACAAGAATAAGAAAAATAGTGAATCAGAAGCCGCCCCAGCTGTAGCTGAAGCTCAGACCACCCAAGAAGTTGTTGAAGAGGTCTTTGAGAAGAAAATCGTTGCCCCAAGCACTGAAGAGAAGAAGGTTAACATTTTTATCTCATTCCCAAAAATGCTTCCCGAGCTAACTTATTTTCACAAAATCAATTCCTCTCATCTCATTTTTTTCAGGAAACTACAAGCAAGAACAAGAAGAACAAGAAAAAGGGAAGTGGAAATTCGGAATCAAAAGAAGTTGTCATCCCAGCTGCTGAAACGACTACCGAAGGAACTTTTGTTGAAATTCCAGTGAGTTTTTTCTAATTGTTCAAAAAATATTTTCATTTTCTTCAAATTTTCATTTCCAACATCTAACTTTTTACGTGTGAATCATTTTTAGTCTAACGAACCAATCGTCAACGGAACTGGATCACCAAGCAGTGACAAGGAAAACGCCACTGCCAACCAAACTGTCATCTCTGACACCACAAATGAAGCATCTGTTGGTGCCACTGGTGGAAACTCCAAGAAAAACAAGAAGAATAAGAACAAGAAGAACAAGAACTCCAATTCGATCTCACTTCAAGAAGATGATTATGACAATTTGGCTGACGCTGAAGTTCAAGCCATCACCGGAGGATCTGATTCACCACCACTTCAAGTTCACGAAGTTACCAGTACTTTAAATGGAGGGGTTGAACAAACCACAACTACTATTCAAGTTACTCAAGCTTTGGGTGACTCGAAAGTCTCTCCAACACAATTCCAAAAGAATGTTGAGAGCCTTGTTCAAGCTACACTCGCCAAACAAGAATTTGTCAAGATTGATCCAACTGTTGTAAGTTCATATTTAATTTTATATTTATATACATTTTTGAGTGAAAAATTAGATACCTAGTGAGTGTAATTTTAGAAACTCCAAATCGACGCTCAACTCATCAGATTGGCTGAAAAGAAAGCACCAGCCGTTGTTATGGAGCACAAAAACTATATTAAACCATTGCCATTGGAACTCCACATCTCTCGCCCATCGGTTTGTTGTTTTTAGTTTTTATTCTGAATTTGTTGTTCATTTTACATTTTCAAAGTTTCCATTCAGTAAACTAATATATCATTTTTAAATAAAATAACTAAACAATTGAAACCAACATTTTCAGACTCCAAGCCGTGATAGACTTTACAAATTGTTGCCAAAGGATATCTTGTTCTGCGCTGGATTGATTGATACATACGGAGAGGATTATGCTGTAAGATTTTCATAATACTTGTTTTTCAAAATAATAACATTATTTTTGCAGGCGATGGTTAATGACTCAAGAAACGTTTTCAAGGAGAACTCGCGCGCTCTTCAACGAAAGATCAGAATTTTCAAGGATTCCCCACACTTCCAAACATATTTGCGCGCCAAGGAAGAAAATCGACCATTGGAAGATGTAATTGCTAACGAAGCAATTGCTCATTAAGAGAATAAAGACCACAATTTCTTTGTCAAATCTCTCATACAAGCTTTCCATTCATTTGAATCCACATTTCCCCTGATCTTCACCACCTTCCAAACGTTTCATTTCTGTTTTTCCATTTCTTTTTTTGCTATGGTGTCATTTTACACCACCAAGGATATTGAACAAAACATTCGCAGAGATCAATGAGCTTATTCAAATTACCAAACAGACAAAAAAACAATTCTCACGACCGTTTTGTTCAATTTCCAAAAGCTTTTCATTTCTTACAAGCATTTAGCGATCATACTTTTTTTTTCAAACTTCATACTATAAGTAGTCTTTAGTAAATCCCCTTTTGTTTTTTCTACGAGGTTTTATCTATCATCTTGAATGCTCTGAACCTGACTAAATTTACTCTATCCAAATTTTTTTTATAATTGCGACCGGTTTCTTTTTAGTTTTTTAGACTTCTGACTTCTAACTGTTTTAGTAGATTTTCCTTTTCTTGTTACTTTTTTTTGTCTCTGATGATTCATTTATCCATGTTGATGCAGACTGGCCATTGATGATAATTTATGATTTGATTTTTGTTCATTTCATTTCATTTTTCAGCCTGCTTGCTTTTTTCCGTGTAATAAATCTTTTTTAAGTATGATCATAAGTATTTTTTCATATTTTCATTTGAAGTTGATATCAAAAACTGACCTCGGAAATGCCGATGCCTGTCAGGTTCAAAGATCGAGTTTGATTTATCACCTTTTGTGTTGCTGCAAAATATTCGTCTGCTGATCAATCATCATTTTCAAGATATCGTCAATTTCTCAAACATTCCACGGAGATATTTTATTTTAACAAGTAATAATAAAATTGAGCAAACAAAACAATCACATGAAACATGATAAAAACAACAGTGACGAGGTTTTCAGTGTTCAATATTCAGTGGCACATTTTCGTTAAATTTGTATGTTTAGTCCATAGGAACGAAAATTGACACAATATCAAGAAAAGTGAGCGGTTCAGAGGGAAGCATTTGTGATCTACCCCGTAAAGATTCATAACATTTGAGGACTAGAGAGTTGATAAAGTTTGAACGCCCTTATTTTGGAATTAAAAAATGAAAAGCCACAAAATGAAACTGACAACCTCGTCAATCAGCCTGATAAGTAGATTTCCCACCAGATTTATGAATCAACTTGATTTCTCCTATCGTCATTTTTGGACATATTGCTTTGCACATATCGTAGATTGTTAGAAGTGACATCTAAATGAAACATTTTTCAGGTAATTTTTCAAATTGACACAACTCACCGTGCAGGCCATCAATGCTTCCATTTCGACTCCAGTATTTCCGTTACATTTAGCAGTTGAAATGACTGTAATTTTATGATTCTCTAAATCGTGATCGAACTTCAAATCAACCAAATCTAGCTGAATTGGATGACAAAGTGGAATTATATTTGGAACTTGCTTGGCACCAAGGATTCCAGCGATCTAAATATAATTTTATTCCGACAGAACTTCTAGAAGAAAAAAGTACCTTGGCCACAGTTAAGACATCTCCCTTCTTCACAGTATTTTCAGATATACTTCTGGAAATTTCCGGAGTCAGGTAAATTGTTCCGCAAGCTTTAGCAGTACGTATGGTTTGAGGTTTATGTGATACATCTACTTGACAAGCTTCACCGTTCGCATTTACATGTGTTAATTTCGAATTGTTATCTGAAAAATTCAAAAAAATTCCTGATTTCAATTTTTTTAAACATACCTAAATTTAAGTGACTAGTATGAATTAAGCGAATAGAATTGGAATGAGTGCTTTTATTATGAAGATATTGGAATTGTGTTGTTACCCGCCGATTAAAATCATTGGACGATTTGGGAGGTTTTGTAAATTGTCCATTCCTGAATTCTGAACAACTTGGAAACTTTTCTAGCTATAACGATATTCCTTACCTGCATGTTTTGCTTTTTTGCGGTTGACTGCACTTTGTATCACACTTTCTAAATCTTCATCCGAATCTCCATTTCGAATTCTATCTCGAAGACTGACTTCAGAATTTCCATGTAGGCACACCTGAAAGTATAAATAAATTATCCAGCAGGGCCTTTTTAAGTTTGACGTACCTTCAAATTTCCATCTGCAGTTATTCGAAGTCTATTGCAAGTGTTACAAAAATGATTGCTCATTGAGGTAATGAAACCAAATTGTCCTACTGATCCACGTATTTTATACGCCTTAAAACAATATCAAATTTCTATAAACAAAAACTTGAAAATACCTTGGTTGTATCATTTTTGGAATCATCGAGCTTTTCAATAGCATTTCCATACTTCTCAATTATTTTTGAAAGCATTTCATTATATCCAACAAAATTTGAATTTTTGAATTCATTACCACCAAATGGCATAAATTCGATGAATCGGATATCTAAATTCTGAGTTTCGGTCAGTTTGATGAAATCCAAAATTTCGTTATCGTTTTGATTTCGAAGAACAACCACGTTCAACTGAAAAATTTAATTTATATTTCAGTATGAAAGTATATGAGGGGGCAAAAACCTTGACTTTTGGAAAGTAATCTTGCGCCATTGTTATTGATCGCCATACTTTTTCAAAACCATCTCGCCTTGTCATTTTTGCAAATTTCTCACGGTTCAACGAATCGATACTGATGTTGATCTGGAATTCTTCACTTATTATACAACCAAAAAGTGCTTGATAGTTTACTTTTGTTAATCCGGCATTCACCAAATTAGGTAGAAGTCTGTGTAGAATCAAGCCGTTTGTTGTTAGACCAACTTGTTTTATTCCATCAGTTTTCGAAATTTCATCTGAATTTTTCGATGTTCTAAAAGTTCAATCATTCTTCAAAGAAAATACTCACCAACAATATCTACCAAATCTTTTCGAATTGTTGGCTCACCGCCAGTTAGACGTACTTTATCAACTCCATTTTTTGCAAATAGTTTTACAAGTCGAAATATTTCCTCGTTTTTCAGCATTTTTTCAGATGGTTTCAATGGAATACCTTCTGCTGGCATACAATATAAACATCTGAAGTTGCATTTTTCTGTCAAAGATATCCGTAGATAATTGTGAGGTCGCATATACATGTCAAAAAATGGAGTAGGGGCTGATTTTTCAACCTAAAAATTATAGTTTATGTTAATTCTGAAAAAGTTGTCACCAACATTTTCAATTCTCTTCCGTATTGCTATTAATTTTTCCTCCTTTGTATATAATCTTAAAGTTTTCGTCGGTTCATTGATCAATGTTTTGATTTTCTTCATCTAAAAAAATCACTTTGTAAAAAAAGAGCAGAAAAAAGTGTAATAAAGTTTGAAAGAATTGGAAAAATGAGTTAGTAAGTTGAAGAGCGAACAGAAAAAAAAGAGAAATACAATGAAAGTATATTAGCAATTCAAATGATTTGTCCATACAAATTGTGAGAGTTTGCGAAATATCGACTTTTTACAGGAAATTGATGGTTTGATTTTTACAACAACAAAAAACAAATATATTTTGAAATGAAAGTTAAAGGGGATAGCAAGATATATTGCTTTTGTTTCCTTCGCTATTTAAAACAATGTGGAATTTTTTCTCGGAAAACAAGGGACAGAAAAAGTACATGTGGTGTTTTAGTTATTTATTCATATCACAGAAAACAATACAACTTACAATTAAAAAAGAATAGAAAATAAAAGTTTGGAATGAGAAAATGTTTCAAAAAAAAAAAAAAAAGTGTTTCGGGAGAAAAAAATGACGAGTATGTGAATTCGAATAGTTGATGGAAATTTGTACCGGAAAGAGTACACCCTTTAAATCTCATAATAAAACAGCAATGACTAAACACCCACATTTTTGAAAGGATGTGAACCATGCAATTTTTATCAATAGGGCGCACTTCCATTTTTACTTTTATTTTCTTGTTTTTGTTTCTCGACTATGTTTCATTCGCGTATTTTTGTTGTTTATATCCGACACTCTTCCTAGTATAAGTAACATAATGTCAGTTGATTTCCAATAGTTTTATACTAATACTGGTGCTCAAAAATATATTTTATGAAAAATATACTTTCTTGAATTTTTCTTACATTTGGCGTGTTTTGCATAGATTTCACTAATTTTTACATTTCAGGAAAAGTGTGAGCGGAATGGTGGGCATATCGATACAATTATTGGAGCGAATTTTTGTTGAAAGATTTCAAATTTCAAGGAAAACTGGAGGAAACGTGAGTTTTTTTGAGGTTCTGATACTGAGTTTCATGCAAATTATCGCACGACTTGTGAAACTCACATGAAAACCTTTCTGAAAATTTTATCATGATTTTTTTTTTTACTTTTTTTGGAATTGAAATATTTTCTCAATGTTTCGTCACTATTAAAAGTACAACATCTGTTAGAACAAACCATTGGAACTAATACAATTTTGTCGCATCAAAAGTTCAACCGGGGTTAGTAACATCGCGTAACAGTTTCACCACATCTGTGAAATATTATTATACATTTTTCACCACTTGTATGATTTATTTCTTGTCCTAAATGTGCTTTTTCAATATTGGTTGTTGTGAAGGTAAGTCAAAGATAAGATCAATACGAATTCAAATCAAAACATAGAGCGGCAAAATCTGTTGATTATTTATCAATCGAAAAAATTTTTTCAAATCTGATCAAGTTTTATATTTTTCAAAATGGGCTCTATTTTAGCTGATGATATAATTTTCGAATCCTACCCAAATGAGCCAGACATTTCATTGTATGACAATGTTGAATACTTTTGTGCAATTGATCTTCCGAGTACCGAAAAAAGAAATAGTCGTAAGTTTGTAATGGGATTTTCAGTTAGTATGGGAGGAACTTTTCAATTGAGAAAGAACATAATAATTAACTGCATGATAACTTGAAAAGTTAAACGTCGTGTAACATTTTTCATATTTTTATCAAACGTGCTATTCAGAAAGAATTTGATCACTAGTAACGACGTTGTAAGGAGTGAAGTTCGAAATAATTTTGAGGTGGAAAAAAAGTGAAAACTGAAAATATTCTAAGATTTGTCGGATTTTTTAAAAATCATTCATCAAAAATGATATCACATGAATTTTTTTCATAAAAGTTTTTTTTGTTATTACTCATATCGAATAAGTTTCCAATTCGTTTTTTTTTTGCTTTCAACTAACAAAAAGTTGTGCAATCATTTTTAATGATCAATTTTTTCCGCACATTTTTACAACACAAAAAAAAAACATACAAAAATTGTCAAATCTGCAATGTTTATGTATTTTGTGTATCATTCGAAAGTTTTCTAACAAGAAACATAACTATTAGACCATCGTTTGCGGCAGAAAATGACCTGTGAGTTTTATTTTCAAAAATAAAATTTGTTTGTTTTCCCAATTTCAAATGAAACGGTCAAAATATTTCACCATCTGTGTCAACTTATCGATCGATATATCATATTTAAAACACATAAAAAATAATTTCAACATTTTGTACGTGCTTAGTTTTTGATCAAAAAATTTATAATTCCATTTTTTTCGCAGCAATCTGCTAAAAGGCGCCAAAATGCCGTTTGATAATACTGCCGATAATCAGACGCAATCGCACTTGTACACATTTTATATACACAGTTTGAAAAAATTTTTGGAGCCTCTTATCAATTTTTCTCTGCTTTATTTTTTCGCTATTTTTTTAGTAGTTTACTTTTAACATAACGTAGATTTTTTTTTTCATATTTCTTTTTCCTTTAGATTTTTTTTTATTTTTAGTTTCAATTAATTTTAATAACCTGATGAAAACATGATTCATTTAAAGAACGAGTGTAATTGACATTTTTCTTCAAAATAGAATGAGGAATTCATCAGAAAACAATGAAACATAGATTAGTTCCTTGTTAGATAGAAAAAAATCTATACTATGTGTGTTAATCTTGGAATTTGAAAGCGTAGTCAAGAATCTATAAAAGAATCTATAAAAAAGCCCAAACCATTTTCAAAATATGTTGTTTTTATTTGATAATTTCTGATTTAAAAATCTTTGAGACTTCAATGACCAAAAATTGATTAGTATTCACTAATATTTTTTTCAAAATATGATATCATTCTTATTCGAAATGGTTTGATTCCAAAACTTCCTTTGAATGACCAAAAATTGAATGATTAGTCATGGAAAACCCATTTTTTCAACAACAACAGAAAAATATTTTTCGAAAAGCAGAGAATTTTGATAAGAAGAAACATTTTCATGTTTATAATCAATAAAACCGCACATTTTTTGATGACACCGACTAACATTCCAGACCACGCGTAAAATAAAAGTGCAAACAAATAAATATTGCTATTTGCAGTTTTCCGTCGTTATCCGCAACTCATTCCAATGTCGGCTGATGAGAGTACGGTGAATTCAACAGCCGTTCCGGATATCACGCCAAGTATGGCTGCAACGATTCCACATGCGGTTTATGAGCAATTGAATAATGATTTCTTACCAGCTGCAAAAGCTGTCGCAGGTGCTGGGACGAATTTGTTGAAAGCGTTTCATTTTCTTCAAGAATCATTGATTTCTTATTGTGATGCAACTCACAAATTGATTAAATCTGCTGATTCTGCAAATGAAAAATCAAAACATGAAGCAGCGGAATTATCAAAAGTTTTCAAAAAATTTGTTCAAGTTGTCAATGCTAATCCACAACATGTAAGTTTTCTTTTCTATTCCGAAAAAAAATGTTTCGTTGTGTTTAAAATTTCAATGTCACCATTTAGGTGGTCGATAAGAAATGTCATCATAAATTCCAAATTTCGGGCGGGTTATTGAAATAAAAAACTTTGTTCCCTTTATATTAGCGGAGTGCTTGGAATTTTCAAAACCCATAAAAATTTTCAAAGCTGTCATAGATATTTCAAACAACATACACTCAAAGAATAATCTTCATTTTAGATCGCAAAATTCGAGGCAATTTCTTTGAAAATTAATGACTATAGCTCAAAAGACAAAGAAAAGACCAAATCCGAAATCACCGATTATAAAAAAGAGCTGAAGAAAATCAGCAAGAAAGGAAGTTCGAGAGAAGTTACCGATTTTAATCGACGTGCTGCTCGCGATTGGACACGTCAGCAAGAACTTCGCTACAAATTTTTCAATGAAAAAATCACAGAGTGGATTGAGGGGTAAATACTATTTTAAAAAATATATTTCATAATTTGCTGTTTATTTTTGTAGATTCGCATCACTCTCGAATATTTTCGATGATAATGAAGTTGAACATATTGTTGCAACATCACAAGTAGTTCCAAAGAAAGAAGAAAATCCAGCTCCAGTTGTTGATTGGCATCAGGAATCACATGATCACGCTGCAAAAATTGTTCAAGAGGAGGTTGTCCATCACCCAATTGTTAGTTTTTTTATTCATGAAAATTTTGAAAGCTTACAAACTCAGGTTCCTCCACCAATTCAACCGCCAATTCAATCGGCAAAAACCAGAGCGTCAACTGATTCATCAGTTGCATCAAGTTTGGATGATATTCCATCCGCCAGAAAACCAACACTTGACAACGGGGTTACCCTTGTCAGCAACCATCGTCGTAATTCTATTGAAATCACACCAGCTCGAGTTGCACCAATAACAATTCCACCACCACCGGTTGCTTCACCAAGAGCTTATGAGTCAATTCAACACGAACGTGTTACAAGCTATCATCAACCTGAAAATACAGCTCCAGGAGTTTCGTCACGAGCAGGAAGAACGATCCCGGGAGCTGTGCCTGTATTTGGGCTAACTGGGGAGATTCCAAAAGTCAATGTTCCAGTTGAAACACGTTATGTTCCAACCAGAGTGAGTACTTTTGAGAACAAATTTATATTTCTTTGTAAAAAAATGTTACACGATTTTTCATTTTATTTATTTGAAATCATTCAGAATGGTTACACTCCTTACAACGTCGTTACTAGTGATCAAATTCGAGTTGGACGTGTTGTTCAAAATCCAATTACTGAAGAACAAATGAACGTGAAGAAGTTCCAAGTTGAATCAAACTACGTTGCAAATGCATCACCATCACATCAACCCAGAAAACCAATGATTCCAAGAAAAGAGCATGTCAACGAAGGTAATTATAAAATTTTTCTATAAAAATTGGAGTCTACTCCAAAAGATCAAAGAATCAACATGCAACTTAATTACATAATTATAGACTTCACTGTTGCAACCGCTTTCAACCCTTCACAATATGGAAGTATTCTTATTGTTAATGACGATTTCAACGCGTCCTCTGGAGAGCAGATGACCGTTAATCGTGGAGATAAGGTACTTTTTTATTCAAAATCAGTTTTAGTTCTAACATACATACATTATTGTTTTTCAGGTTATTCTGTTGAAATGTGGAAGCCGTGGTTGGGTATTTGTCCGTGATGCAGTTTCAATGCGCACTGGTTGGGTTCCAGAACCATTTGTGAACCTTTAATAATTTTTCACTTATCCCTTTAACCTTTCAATTATTAATTAACCAATTTATCATTTTATTTTGCTGCTCACCAAATATATAAGTTTTATTATCAATCAATTTTTTGTCTTCTTTTGTCACAAAAATAAACATAAAAATAAAATGAAATGAAGTAAGCGTTTTTCAATAGTAAGTTGTATTCCTGAACCAACACAAATATATAATATGAATATAAAATTAATAGTATAAATTAGATATTGGTCACTACCTGATGAGAGCAACAAATTGACTAGAAAGGAAAAGAAAATAAAAATCAGAGATCAGAAAGCGGTAAGTTAAAAATATATGGATAAATGATCTAAATGACGTTAGCGATTACAATTATTATTATGCTTTCAAAAGTTCGTTGTTGTCTTCTTCTTTACAATTTCGCATGGCTTCTTCCAAAAATCCGCGTTTCATTTCTCGAACAATTACAGTCATTAATTTGTTCCAGCCCAATCTTGCCAAACAATTCTCACCGCTGTATACATTATTTATATCAGCAATCTGAAACAATGTTTTTTTTTAAATAAAAGATGAAGAAAGTACAAAAAAAAACATACTGGATTGACAGTATCTTTTTGCTCATTCTCAATTTTTCCATTAGTTGTGCCATTTGAATTTGTGTCATCATTTTTTTCTCTCGCAGAAGAATCTGTGGTACCAGTGGTGACTTGGTCAACAGTTACTTTTTTGAAAACAAGCCAATTATCGGCACCAAAATTAACTCCTCGGTAGAAATGAATTTGACCAATTCGATGAGCCATGTCATAAACACTTGAAATTGGGCAGAAGCCAAGAGAACCAACAGCAGTGTCAAGGAAGTTTTGAATACGGTGCGCCTGAAAATGTTATTTAGTTTCAAATTAACTTTCCACAAATTTTCTAAGAGACTTGGGATTTACCTGAAGTTGAAATTCTTTGCTTTGATTCAACGCGCGAATATCCAAACTTTCACTTTGTATACCAAAATATTCTGCGAATTTAGGACGTTTTTCAATGAGAGTTTGCAAAATCTTTTTTCCAACATTATCAGTTTTGGCGCGAATCCAGACTTCACGAATTGCGGCAACTTCTTCGTCCGACATTTCGCAAGACAATTGCTTTTTACGACTGCTACAGGCTCCCATTTTTATGTGTGGGTATGCTGAAATATTTTGCAAAATATACAAAAAAGAAAAAAAATTATAAAAGCTCTAAAATGAGAAGAAATTCCTACGAAGAAGCGAGTCACACCAATTTAATGAATTATTCATTTTCAGGCATTTTCAGGTACGTTCTTCGTTTTTTGCCTACCTACGAGAAGATTTGGATAAATAAATCAACAAATATAATGAATGACTAAACAATAAACAAAATTTCGAAAAAAAAGAAATCTGAATTTGACATTTCAAAAAAATATGTGAGAGAATAAAAACACATGATTTGAAATATTGTTTTACAATTAGATAAAATGAAAAATCAGAGAAAATGAAAAAAAAAACAGAATGAATAAATGAATGAAAAAGTGCGCGACGGAAATTGAAGACACCGGAACTCGAGAAAAAACACACCCCACTTTAATTGGGTTTTTCTCGACCAAAACTGCAATATTTTATAGGAAAGGGGCGTGGCTACAAAAATGCATGTCGAAAGACGAGATAAATCTTTTAAGACGTAATTAATTAGTAAAGCAAAATTAGATTTTTGATTGAAATTTCGCAAAGCGGCAAAAAAGCAATCAAGAAAACGACTCAACTATAATACCGACGTCAAAAATAGAGTGAAAAGAAGTAAAAGAAATGAATAATTAGAAAGAAGAAGAAATTGTGGTGTAAGTGACGGAGCGCAAATTGAAAAAAATGGAGGACTTTAGCATCATATATATTTTTAATGGCTAAAATGTGAACTTTGTGTCTTGCCTTTTAATATATTACAATTCAGCAGAAAAATGACAAGGAATATTATTTTAATTGATGAATGCTCAAAAATGGAGCAACAAAACAATTCCAGACAATGACACAATTTTTTCGATCGAGAGTAATGGGTTTTGGTTTCACTCAATTTGGAATGAAAATCAAATTTTGGTTTGAAATGTTTACACGAAAAAATTCATGAATATATTTAAAATAAATATATTTTTATTTTGAATCAGAAAAAAGTTCCTCTTGCGAAAAGTCAGGTACACATTGGAATTTTTAAAGATGAAGGTGGTTCTATGATCATGTCATGCAGGTTGTTTCTATGAAACAAATCTTTTGCGGGATTGTCATAGTGTAGGAATATTTTGTATTCCTTTTTATAAAATATATGTATGATAAAAATAGTTGTTCTTCATTTGGTTGAAAACAAAAGGGGTTTCTCAAAACAACACGCTCACCAAGAAACCAATTTTTTTCATGAAATCAATTACTATTATTCAAAAATTTTGAAGCCATGTTTTATTTTTAGTTTTTGTTTTTCTTATTCATCTTATCTGTATACTGAACCAATACATTATATGTATATCCAAATTTTCAGCTGATTGATGTTCAAAGAACACATTTTTTTCAGTAATTCCATGAATTTTTAACATTTCTGGTGTAAATATATTATCCAATTCGACCAAAAAATGCTCCAAAAAACGCTGCAAAATTTCGATGACGAGAATTTCTTCCTGGTTGGTGTAGGAAAAACTATTTCCTCATAGAAAAACTGATTGTGAGATTCCTTCTTTCTTACATGTGCATAATTTGGAGGATGATTTATTGAATGAAGATGAAGATCAAAGTTGCAAGTATGAAGAGTTCAAAAAAAGAAGAACATATTTAAGAAAAAGAAGAAGAAATTGCTCAGAATTTCAGATGATATTATTTATTATGCCATTATCTGGAATTATAGATGTAATGTTTTAGTGGTCGCTGATTTTTGAAGGGAGACTAGAATGAATATATAAATTTGCAGGTTTTCAGAAGGAATTGTGGTAGAAGCATGGAATTGGTGGACGTGGAGATAACACATTTTGTTTAAATTTTTCAGAACTCATCTTCTTATGAATAAAATTTTTAGAAAAAAAACCTAACTGGGCTGGTCAAAACTTTTTTTTTAGATGTTTGGTCACTGACTTAGTTTGACCTCCAGATGGCTAGAGTTCAAAAATTCTATGACTTTGAAGAAGTTCAAATAAGATGAACCTTTATACTTTTTACATTTATTATGACTTCACAGAGTCTCACAAAAATCAATTCGGAAGTAAATTACATTTTTTTTTAAATTCAAAAAATATTGTTATTTCTGTTCAAACTTCAGGAGTAAAATCAGGTTTTTTTTTCGAAAATAAAATTAAAAATATCTATTTTCATACAAAAACGTCATAGTTTTAATGAAATATTGGTAATTTCTGATCACGCTAAGCTGACCAGGTCACCAACTTCGATTGCAACCAAATTCTGAAACTTTTTTCATTGGTAAGATCTATAACTCATCACATATTTCAAGTTAAATTTCTTATTCGTTAAGTTGTTTTTTTCAAGTTCAGAACACAGCTTCACATAATTTTGCTCCCGATCATTGTTCTTCAACCACGTGTACACAAAGTTTTGAAATCAATCTCTATATACATGACAGTTTTTCGTTACCACCCAGTAGTAAAACAACTTGATTTAACATACTATAAGTTTCTTTTTCACTAGCAAACATGCCTCTTTTTTTGCATGTTGCAAATTGAGAGTCTACCAGTCTCTGTAAACATTTGCTTCTTCACACAAAGATAGACGAAAAATAGAAAAACCCATTTTTTGATCGAAAGTATATTTGCTCGATTTATTTATAATATTAAATAATGCCACAAATAACTTATTATAGGTCAAAAACTTTAGCCTGAACACCTCGTGAAATGTGAGCAGAAATTGATGTATGTAAAGAGAAATGTAATGTAGTTTGCGTGGTTTATTTTAGGTAACTCTAACACAAATATTTGATGCCAATGAGTTTTGAAAAGAGTTCAAAAAGAAACCGTTGCTCGCTGAACATTTGTATTCTTTTCATATTTATGTTGCTAAACAGAACAAAATGTGGGTGTTTTCCACTTATTTACTCAAACATTTTTAAAATAAAGAACAAAGTAAAATCAAGAGTTCACAAGTTCATCTAATTAACAATTGGCCTGGATTATATGAATAGAATAAGAAGGGGAAGAACGTGAGAATTTGCAAGACATACCACAATTTTTGATCACTGAGTTGGTGTGTACTTTTTGAGATGTTTGTTGGAGAAACAAAATATGTATATGTATAATAAAAAAGTGAGCAGAAACATCAAACAAAAAAGTTTTTTGACGAAAAATGGCAAAAATATGGGACTTTGAACAAAACATGAATGTACTTGCTTTTTTCTGGAAATGTTTCAGCTTATTTGGGGGAGAATGATGGTTGAGAAGTTTTGGGAGTGACAATAGAGATGAATGAACTTTGAATCCCAAAAACAAAAACTAGAAATAAAATATAAATACTGGAGTTGAATTTGGAATATGAAACGTTTTTATCAGCAGAAAGTTATCCTTGAAACAATAATTGAAAAGAAAAAATACATTTGTTCATTTTTTTTCTGAATTCATATTCCAAAATTCTAGTGTAAATTGTGATTCGGAGTTTGAAATAGAAACTTGGAACAAGACTTTCAGCTTGTCAAATCAAACTTTTATCATTCTATCAAAAATTCATTTAAATTTCATAATCGATTTTTTTCTAAAAACTTATCGAATCGGTCGATTTCTTTGTAGACCTTCCAGAAAACTGTTTTAATTTATGTAGGCTATGAGCAAACTACATATACATCGCTTTATAACTTTTCATTTCAGACTACAATACATTTCCAACGTGTCTTTTGATATATTTTCCCGAAAAAAATCATTCAATTTTTCACCACCCCTTTCTCTATTGTTCTTGTAACTATCTATTTTTACAACGTACGTGAAAAAGATAGGCATCGCTTCAGTCAACAAGTAATTGAAAGAAAATTATCCAGTTTTTCTCTTAAAGAGTACACACTAACATGCACATACACCGTTTGACCCTGCAAATAATGTACAAACACAAATATACAAAGCAGTTCCAGTTTTCTCTTTTTTTTCTTGTAACTTAACTTTACTAGTAGTTGTAGGTAGTAAAAATTGTGTGTACTCATCAAAACTTGGAACATAATTGGCCATCAAATTAGTTTCTGTCGGCGCTGTCGCAAAAAAACCACGAGACAAAGAATAAAGAAAAAATATTTTTTTTCGTTCTCAAGTTAAAAACCCCGTCCTGTTGTGGTCACTCTATATTTTCAGTCAGTTTTAAATAGAAATAAAATCTGATGAAAATAAAGAAAAATCCAGTTTTTGACAACTTGTTTATTTGGGTTGGAATGTATGTGAAGAAGAAGACGAAGTCGAAAAAAATTTGTTTTTAGGTGAAGGTGGAGGTGGAGGAATGAAGATTAGAGAATATTTTGAGACAAATATTGACACGTTTTTTGTTTCTATTTGATAAAAATTTGGAAATTTTTGATTGATCTAGAACAAAAATAAATGTGAAAGTGAAGTGTGTTACAAAAGAATTTTTCGAACTTGGAAAATTTCCAGAATTCTGAAGTATGAATAGGAAAGAATACAATGGATTCTTTATTGCATAAGAATGCGGTAATTATTGAACTCTACTTGATCTTCAGACAAAACTATAAAAAATACAATTTAAAAAAATACTAAGACTTCATTGCACAAGGTAACTCTTGAACCCATTTTTATCTACCCAAAGAAATGCGAAAATACAATTACATATTTTCCGAAAAAAATAGGAAGAAAATTAGTAGAACATAATAAAAGCATGTTTGAATGTTCACAAACATCTAATTTTCTAGAATGGCCATTTCAGAGATGTATAAAAACAGCAATAAATTTTATGTATTCATTTAAAAGTGCAAAAAATACGCTTTCTCAAAATAAGGTGAGGGTTTATGCACAATTACATATAATTTTCAGATCAACCTTGTTCATACGTTTGTTTTTCTGGCGATGAATAAATAATCTGAAAATTTGTTGTTGTTATTTTTCTCGTATTCTTCCAAACAACGCAAACCAAACATTGTAAAGAAAAAATGATTTCAAAACCAATTTGTTCAGCTAAAAGAGTTCTATTCTTTACAAACAACTATATTTTTTGATTCCTCCGCCTTCAAAAATTCGAAAAATCAAATATTTTATCCCAAATAAAATACAAAAGTAGGTGTTTGTTCAAACACTTTTTCTTCATCTTTTCTCTCATCTCCACCTACTTTTTCTCTCTCTACTCTCTTATTTCTTCGCACTATTTTATGTCTTTCCTTCTCTAAACTCTCTTATTCTTTGACTACTGTAGGAATGGTAGCAGTGATGGTATAAATAGGTTGATTGGCGAGAGTGGAGAATCATAACGTCTTCGTCTCATAGACTGACTGATATGTCTTGGCACATTTTGATCGCAGCTTTTATCGGTCTTGCTGTGGCTCAACCAGGTATCGTTTTTCTCTGAAAATATTAATAGTTTATTATTTATTTATAGGTCCAAAAGTAGTTGATGAAACAACTCGTTGGTCTCAATGTAGAGATTCCAATCAATCAATCTACGATTTCCAAGTTGAGACTCTTCAAGGAGATTACACAGACCTCAGCCAATATAAAGGACAAGTCTTACTTGTTGTCAATGTTGCCACCTTCTGTGGTAAGTTTGATTCATTCTGTTCCAGAACCATATTTTATTTCCGCAAAACAACACAAAATTTTATCTTTTCTTTCTGTCCGTTCGATATGATTGATTCTCGATGACAGTTTCAGAAAGTGAAAATGATATGAACCTGTTTGGTCATTTTCTCGAATGATAGTTGTTTCAAGAAAAATTTTGCAGCTTACACCCAACAATACACTGATTTCAACCCACTCATCGAAAAATATCAATCACAAGGATTCACTTTGATCGCTTTCCCATGCAATCAATTCTACCTTCAAGTATGTAGATTGAACTAATTATTGAGAATTTTATCAAAATTCTGTTACTTTTTTCAGGAGCCAGCTGAGAATCACGAATTGATGAATGGAATTATGTATGTCCGCCCAGGAAATGGATGGAAACCACACCAAAACTTGCACATTTATGGTAAACTTGAAGTCAACGGTGAAAACCATCATCCACTCTACGAATTCGTCAAAGAATCGTGCCCACAAACTGTTGACAAAATCGGAAAGACCGACGAACTTATGTACAACCCAGTCAGACCTTCAGATATCACATGGAACTTTGAGAAATTCTTGATTGATCGTAACGGTCAACCACGTTTCCGTTTCCATCCAACCGCGTGGAGTCACGGTGATGTTGTGACACCATTCATTGAACAACTTTTGGCTGAACCAGCTAACTAATTGCAGTTTTTAACATCGTCTTGTTCAATTATTTCGACCATTTTTGTGGTTGTTTCGACTTATTATATATTGTTTACTGTATAGAAGTTTCTAACTGTCCGCGTTTTAAAATAACTTCGGGTTGTTTACATATTACCAAAACATTCGATTGACCTTGTATGTATTCTATTTTTTATTGAAAGAACATAAATAAACAATTTATTTGCAATTTTGAAATACAAAAGAACAATACGGGGATCTCGAAATGCGAGTTAGAATTTTGAAACTTATCGGGATCTATTTTAACAAGTCTCCAACTTGTTCATTTAATAACAAAAAAATTAATTCTGCACTCAAAAACTAGTCTCCCAATAGTGATAAAAGTCACGTAGATGGAGTTTTTATCAGAGAACTATTCTTGAAAGTAGTTCGATGATTATTTCAAGAAAAATGATAGATATTCAAGGTTGATGGAGACTTTAATCGGTTGTGAGATCCTAAAAATGTTTTCAAATTTTCAAAATTCAACGTCCTTCATGAAACTTCAATTAAATTTTAAAAAGGTTTCAATAAACCTCTCATCAAATTATTTTTTTCAGACAGAACAACAATTATAACATTTTATTTTTATTGAAAATCATAGACCAAGGACAACTCTTTTTTCAAATGCAGAAAAAATAGCCGTATGTGGACATAGAACATACTATGTTTATTATTACAATATGAACATATCAAATTTCAAACAGTGGGCAACCAAATCTGAATAATTTAACACCCCACACAATTTTTCCTTCTTGCGACTCTTTTCATTTCACAATAAGTACTTTTACCTTTTTCTATGCCACAAAATATAGATATTCATGGTTGGAAAAAGATCAAAATATATTTGCCAAAACCGCAGCGACAGTGTGATTGTCATATAAATGATCCGCCTCCCTGGACTGGTGAAATTCACGGTTTGAGTCAAGCATTGATGAGTAAGACTGTACCTATGAGAGCATTTTGGTGGATCGTTATTCTTATTTGTTTATCACTCGGCGCAACCACTACTATTTTAGTTGTTTTGGAGTATATTCAAGGACCAACAGCAACATCAACAACTATTCGATTGATGAATTCAATGGAGTTTCCCGCGATAACTATATGTCCAAAAGTTCCTGATTCGTTCAATATTTCTGGGATTCTTTCTGATGTAAAAGAAACTGTGCCCGGAATATCAGATGAGGTTGCAGGTGATTTGATTGAGTAAGTTGAAATAAAAATTTATCAACAATTCCGAAGCTTATTTAGTTCACATTTTGTAGATTGTATTTTTTTTCATTTATCCATCACGTTTTCTATAATTTTAGAACGTTTCATTTTTCCCGATATTTTCGAATCAAAATAATTATTATGAATTATTGATTTACAGGTTTTTTGTTGCTGGAAGCGGACTTGAGAACATGAATGATGTAACCTATTTCAATAGAACATATCTCAGTCATCTTAACAATCTTTATAAAATCTGGTCAGAAGGATATAGCGTCGAAGGGTTTTTCAATATTATTCAACAACGATACGGGTATCAATGTGAAGATCTATTTTATGAATGTCAACTCGCTGGTAAAATTCTGGATTGTTGTAATGATCTAATGGTTAAACGAGTCGTAATGCGAAGAGGTTTATGCTATCAAACAAAACCAGATATCAATCAAACTGAAGCTGATGATATTGGAAGAATGGTTTTCAGTATGCGAGCACCTTCAAGTTTCACATCAAAAGATAGTAATTATACACAATCACAATTAATTGCGTATATCACAGATAATCATAATGTTGTGACAGAATTTCCAAGGTTTTATATTTATCGAAATGAGTGGAACCGCATGAAGTTTACAGCACGATATATCGAATTAATCAAAAATAAGGATGTATGCACAGATAAGGTAAACATTTTGAATGGCTGAACAAAACAGAAAATTCAACATTATTTTTAGATTTTTGGGAGAGATGCCGAATGCATGGTTAGAAAATGGTTACTATCTAATATAATTATACCATTTAATTGCACATTACCATATCTTGATGGAATTTCTAAACTTCCACCAACAAATGGTGTTTGTAAACCAGACGTTATAGCTGACAATTATCTGGATAAAATTCAGTATGTTTGGAACAGTGCGGTTGTAAATGAAGAGGTGAGAACTGAAATTGACACATCCTAAACAAGAAAAAGGATCAAAATGAATAAGATTAAAATACCAAGAAGAGCCGTTTCGACTTTAACATCTGACGGCAAAAGACCTAATTTTTCGGTGTGATGCCTCTTTTCTGGACTTCAAGTATTGAACCTAAACTCAAACCTACGCGCAAAAAAGGAAGAAAATAAGAAAAAAATGAGGAAACCTTTAGGTGATTAATAAAAACATGAAGAGAATAGGGGACGTAATATTAGAGAAGTAGAGAAGGTGAGAGAATGTAGAAAATGTGGAGAGAATTTGAGAGGAAGGAGACGTATATTCAAATTAATTTATTGTGTACTTACTTGGATGATTAATCGATCGAAAGTATCATTTCTCACATTCAGTATTATATTCATTCATTTTCAATATTTATATGCTTTTTGTTTTTATTCTTTCCGGTTCTTAGAAAAATATATGCATACATATTTAATTTATTTCATTCACAGACTAGGATTTTCTGGTTATTTGTTTTTTGTTCGGAAATTGAATATCTTTTTGAACCAGGATTAAGAATTATTCGAGCGCTGGATGAAAGCATCGACTTTTTTCAATCATTCTTTGGAAAAGTTTTTCATTTTTCTTAATTGAGAAGAGGCGTACCAGTTGCCGTAACTTTAATGAAAAATTCAAAAAGTTTGTTATAGTGAATGTTTTATAAGGTTTTGAAGTTTGTCTTCAGATTTTCATAATATTATTCCAAAAATGAATATTACTTTTTCAGTAAAAAAAGTGAGCGTGTTCTTTTGAAAAAATGTAGTTTCTCACAAATGTGCTCAGTACATATTCCTTTAGTCATGTGCTCTAGAACATTGGATTATTTTCTGAATATTCTGACTTTCGAAATGAACACCCACTCAAAATTAGGGCTTATAGAATATTCCTCCACATTTCATGTTTTTGTCATATGAATGATGTTATAATAGAGTTTTCAATAATTTTGAAATAAATTTTCCAACGCTAAAATCATATTTAGAGGATTTTTTTTCAAAATCATCATCATATGTTCTGAATTATTTTGAACATTAAAAACTACATTTTACTGTAACTTTATATTTCCCACAATTTTATATATTTTCACACGCACTGGGAAAATTCTTTTTGAAACTCTTGATTACTGTAGATTGAACTTTTGGAAACATATATATTTTGAAAAAATTCAATTTCTGTTCTGAAATTTAAAAAATTATTTTTCATTGAGTCACCAAAAAATCAAACTTCTTTTTTGCATAATTTGCTTGAATTTTTGAAATCCCCAAATTAAAATGCTAAGCTCCAAATCAGCCCACTGATTACGATAGCTTTGTTTGCAAATGTTGATCTTTGGGTTCTAACCGCCCACTTTTTTCCATAATATAATCACAACCACACAACCTAATTATTTAAAAATATTCTTCATTCTATTTTTTTCAAAAACGAAAAAAAAAACAAAAAAGCAAACGAAAAATCCAATTAGTTTGTCTGAAAATATTCTCATTTTCTTCTCATCTGTTTTCTATTTTCCCATCCATCGCACACACTTTTTTTTCGAAAAAACTTGTCATTTTTCCAAAAAGGCATATGTCAATTGATGAATGAGTTTTGGCCCATTTTTCTTTTCAGTGTACACCGGGTTGTCGCCGTTGGGATTATCAAACTACAGTACAACAAAGTCAAACTCTAACCCCTTTTGAAGATTATACATTCAATCTTGAAGTGTCGTTCAACGACTTACAGGTTTGTATATATTTTACTTCAGAGAAAAATAATATTTTTTCAAATTTTTTCAGTATGAATACGTAAAAGAAGTGTACACAACATCGGTTCCTGGTTTTATGTCACAAATTGGTGGCCAATTCGGATTCTTCTTGGGACTTTCAATTATCACATTCATCCAAATGACTTTATACGGACTTCATAGCGCGATTATGTTCATAAAACGACACATTCAAAAAAAGTTTCCGTTCTGTAAAGTGCACCCGGTAGATGAATGTGAGTCATTGGTGGTAGGCAGAATAGAAACCATTTGAATATGTCGGCTAGAATAAAGAAATCATGTTGTTTTCTCATAGATTTTTTGGGCGAGTTGAGTCAGAGGGAAGTTATCTTTCTTTTCTTTGATGATAGGATGAGTTATATGAAGTAACTTTTGAATGAGCGGAAACCAAATACAATTTGAATCGTGAGTAAAGAACTACATCCTTTCGAGTCAACAGAACAATGAGATAAATGATGAAAATTGAAATTTTGATTGAGATTAAAAGGTTTCCATGTAAAAACAATATTCACACACTTCCAGAAAGTTGTAAGAGTATTTTCAGATTGTCAGAAATGTTGAAACCTTGTTAGTTTTTTAAAAGATTTCTCTTGTAATTCTGATATTTTAAACATGAAATTCATTTTTCCTTGTCTTTCAAATCTATAAGAAATTATAAAATGCGTTTGAATGTAACGCTTATGACTGTGAGTTGTTCGAAAAATTTTTTAAAAATGACAAAATTTTTATTTCTTGCTAAAAAATAATGAAGAAAAAATCTCTGCAAAACAAACCATATTTTTAGTGAGCTGCAAAGTGAAAAAAACGGAAATTGTCCTAACAACCAAGAAAACAGATTTTCAAATATTCAAAATGTTCCAGATCACGCGAACACTTCAACAATAACCAATTCAAACACCAACTATCCACCAGAAAAGTCAATATCCAAAGAGCACATTGCAACATTGAGCCAACGAGTTATACATACAGTACCCGCTTCTCCGGTGTCAACAATCATCGATTCGGTGGATCTTCCCCCACATTGGGGCACAAGAAATATTGACCGTCAAAGAGATAATCCAATGTTTTCTTCTTCTCACTTACGGAGTGAATAATTAATTGTCAAACTTAATTAAGTAGTGAATTACGTGTAATTTTTTCTAGTTATTTTTGCATGTTTATGATTATTTTTGTGGATGGAAACGATGAATATTTTATAGTAGTTGAAACATGCGCAAAAAATCTATATATGTAAGTAGAAGAGTAATAATAATAATAGGAATATGAATAGGAAGAACACTTATACACGCATTTATCCGTGCCCTTTTCCCATTCCATATGGAGCGAAGGAAACACTCGAAAAATCAACCAACCTAGGAAAAAGAAGAACAAGAAATAGAAAATTTGCTTTTTCAAGTTGTTGGTCACTTTTTATTGTCTATTTTTGTTTGTTTTACAATTAAATGTTTGTATAATGCCTTGGGTCAGTCGTCAATTTAACACGAATGAAAACATGGAAATTTTCATTTTGATATTTTAAGTTTTGCAATTCATTTCACCCTTTACTGATTTTTGCGGCAAACGAAACTTGTTTTACGATTTTTTCGAGGTTTATGCTTTTTTTTCTGATTTTTCTTTCATTTGTTATGTTATGAGTCGCATGTTTTAGTTGTTGATCCAGATGTTTGCAAATTCAATTTTCATTTTAAATAATTTTTTTTTCGAATTCTATTTAGATTTCCGTATAAATATTTATTATTGAGGATTTCACTAGCTTATGGTTTGTATATTTTTATTTTGGTAGAACAATTGCATTTTGAAATCTAGTAAATAATTTTTTCTGTTTCAAGTTGACATTTTGTGTTCCTGAAGCGAGAAATTTTCAATAAATTATTCGATTCAGAATTTTCCTTTTAAAAAATGGCTTAAATACCTTTGTCAGTTCTAGCCAATAAGTTCTTGATTAAAGTTCTCAAAAAGAAATATTTTACTTTTTTATAAAGAAATTCAGCCTCCAGCGTATTTTTTCAATTTCAATATCCAATAAATCACAAATTGTATGCGCCTGGCCAATATCTCAATAACAATAATAATAAAATAAAAATTGAGAATAAATATCTCGAGGGCTTATACAACAACAGTTGCTCTCCAATTTTTTCCATTCCTCATCATTTTCTGAACGAACAAAAATGCGTGCCTAGTCGTTTTTTTTGTTTTCATGTCCTCCCGAGAATAAATCAACCACTTTTTTTGCTTCATCTTATTTTTGTGTGCCTCTGGTCCTCACAAATGAATATTGACGCTTTGTATTATATATTATATTTTTGGTCGAGTTAAACAAATTTTTTCTGTCTTTTTTTGCGCCTGTTTGCATGTAAATGTTGAATGAACGGGAGAAGAGAAAAAGCAAGCAGAGTGATTTTGTTTTCTTTGACGGGACACAAAAAAGTTTTCTTTTCTTTTTTTCGAATGTTTGAAATACAAAATATCAAAAATGTATACGAGACGAATGGTTTCATTTTATTCTCATTCGAATTTTTTTATTTCTGTTCATTTTTTCTAGGGAAAATAAATAATGGTTTCTGATAGAAAGATAGATTGAGCGGATTTTTATTGGTTTTACAGAAAAAAATTGTCTGGAAAAAACAACATTTATGTTTTTTTTTCGTATTGAAAGTGTATTTTTGTACGTCTATTTTTTTCTGGATTTCCGGATGAAAAATATATTTTTGAATTTTATTTGAACGGCTGATGAAATAATTTTCCAAAAAATTGAAAGTTTCGCTTGTGAAACGCCATAGATTATTTGGAATCAAGAAATGTATAATTGAACAGAATTATCAGAACAAAAATGTTTCATAAAATGTTTGAAAAAAAAACCAAGTGAACAATTTTATTTGAATTTTTTTCTAAATTTCAGCATGCTCGAAAGTATGTATACTTTGGATATGAATTAATAAAGTACAGACTTTATTCCAGTTTTTTTTTTCACTTTTCTATAGCTCCAAACTTTCCTCTCGAAATACAATCCAAAAAAATTATGCACATTGGCTTTTGTTTCCTAGAAAAGTTCCAAGTCCATCAAACTAATTAAAATTCTTTTTGTTCAAAAAAAGTCCCTCTATTATCATTTTTCATTCTCTCATTTTTACTAATCAAAAAACAAAATTTGCCATTATCGCAACTATTTGTAATTTAACCAGATTTCTTTCCCACAAGCCTAGTTTTTTTTGAAGTGGACTCCGCGCAACAAAGAAAAAAGGGACAGCAGCAGAACTCAAACAAAACCTTGTGATTTTTTTCTTCTTTATCTTTTTTTTTATTTTTCCATATCCTCATTTTTTTCATAATTTAGCAATTAAATGCGCAAAAATGCCAAAATAACAACAATAAAATAATAAAAAACGTGTCTTATCAATGAAAATATTAATTGTCGGCATCCAGCGCGCTAAATAAATCCACTTTTCTCTTGTTTCAATTTGACAAAACCCGCCACCAAAAAAGTCGTTAAAAATTGTTTGCAAACATTTTATGACTTTTCAATATCTTATTTTTGTTTCATTCGCAAAATTTGCTGATTTTGCTTCTCCAAACAGTTGTTTTTTCCCTTATTTCCTCTCGAATTGATCTTTTTTCAATAAAAAACCATTTTCCTAAGCGTCAATGAGTCATTTTTCCGATATGCCTTTTTCCCATGTTCTTTTTTTCGTTCGCCAAGTTACATCTTTTTTAAGAAAGGGCACAAAGGGGCGGAGTCAAAAGGTGTCAACCAAACGCTGTTCCCTCCTTTTTAGTATCATATTTTGTTATATTACAAAAAGCACGTCGTTCATTTGAACAGCTTTGTGGCTGAAAACAATTTTGAAACTATATTCTCTGATTTTTTTGAACTGTCAGTTTTCCTCTCGTGAGTTTCTCCATATTCTCATCTTTTTCATAATTTAGCAATTTTAATAAAAAAATGCGCAAAAATATCTTCGGCTTGAGTTTTCATCAGAACCTTTGCGGGCGGTCTAGTTAATTTTTAGATTAGAAAAAAGATTAGTCTAGCTAGTTATAGATAAAATGTTCCATTTTATCTATGTACATGGTAAACAGTTATTTAAAAAATTTTATTTTTCTTCGTGGGTGGTCTAATTTATTTTTTGATGTTTTTTAAAGAATAGGATTTGGGGAAGGGAATTGGGAATAGAATTTGATAGGCCAAGACTGCCCACGATAACTAAATCTAACCAATAAATGTTTGAAATCATATTTCAAAATATTTTGTTGTGTCCTTGTTGTTCTGATCACATCCGAAACTGAAGCGCAATATTTTTGGTCGCAGGTGCAAGGTCGCCCAAAATTGCGCAAAACTCTTTTTCACAAATTTTACTAATGTTTTCTTTCAAAGCAATTCTGCTAATTTGTCCCCCAAAAATGTATCTTTTTTCGAAAGCAATATGGGTGGTCCAAAAAGAAAATGAGAAACATGTCATGTTTTTTTGTCCAAAAATTGTCAGTCTTGCATAAATTTTGTCCTTCATGACAGATTCTCGACCACTTTCATCTTTCCGAACGGAAAAATTACGCAAGAAAGCAAGCAGAAAAAGCCGTTTGTCATCAAACCGCATTACACTTTATATTTATTTCATCAATTTTTCCATTATTCTTATTATTCTATTATATGTTTGTAGATCATGTTGATTTTTGTATTCATTCATTTATTTATTTATTAAATTTTAAATATGTCAGATTTATGAGACAATCAGAAAAAGTACTAGCAAAAAATTTGTATCTTTTTGCTGTACATAAAGAATAACACAATTTTGGTTGCCCTTTTCAAATGTAGGCCGCCGAAATTTGATTAAAAATTAGGAGAAGCTTGAAATTCGAAAGAAATTTTTTGTATAAGGATTACTTTTTTCCCAATTCTTCTTCTTCTTTTCTTTCTGTTTTCTCTTGCTCAGAAATCCATGCTCATTTTTTATGATCGTTTCGTTTTCTCCTTTTTCAAACTGAAGAACATAAAATAACAAATGTTTCTTCGTTTTTTTTTTGGTTTTGATTTTTTTCGCGAATCCCTAGCGGTTTCTAAACAAGTCGCAACATTTTATCCAACGCTATGTATATATTTTTTAATATTAATTTTCTCTTCATCAAACAAAAATGCTCATGAATTACCAAACGTCCAAGTTATTAAATATGCATTCACTAAGTTTTGTGTTTAGTTTTTTTTTCATTTTGGTTATTCTTCATTCTTTAGTTTTTTTTCTGGAAAAATGAGTGAAACCAAACCAAAAACAAGAAGTTCTAGTTTTTTCTTGTTTTTACCCAAATGTTCGTACAAGCGTAAGACGAAATTAGTCTTCTCGTTTCATTTTTCCGCCTGTTTCAATATTATTTGTACTCGTCAAATGAGAAGTCTTTTTTTCGTTGTTTCTTTTTCCTTCCGCTTGCGGCAATACAAAAAACTTGTTGTGCAAATAACAAAATATCGAATTTCACCAATTTTTTCGCATTATTTGATATATGTTTCACGCATCAAAATTTCTTTGTCTGCGGTTTTTTTTGAAAATATATTAGAGCAGATTTGGAGTTTTTTCTTGTTTTCATTGTTTTCTGGGGAAAAAGTGTCTAAAAATGATTTAAAAAACTTTGTTTACGAAAATTAATAGTTTTAAATATTTTACCCATTTTCTACTATCTTTTCTTTGTTAAATGTAAGAATATGTCCAATAAAATTCATCAACCCATAAAAAACAAAACTAGTAAATCAATTCTAATTAAAAACCATCAAAAAAAGTTAAATAAAAACCACATTTGACATTTTCATTTCATTTTATTACTAATACAACAAACAGTGTGTTCGATTAATTTTTTTGCGAAATTTTTATTTTTTCGAAATACCTTCCCGAATACATATTTTGCCTCCTATTCTATTTGTTTTTCGTGTGTGTGAGAGAAAAAATGTGAATTTTGACATTTTGTGCGCGATAAAAAATTTGTTTCATAACATGTTTTTCTAACTTACTTATGTACAATTAATTTTTTTTCTTATTTCAATAAATATCGTAACGGTGTGATTTTTTTCCGAAAAAAAGTGTCGTTTTCTATACACACAATTATTATTTTTCGTCTCAATTGAAATTATATAGGACATCCGGTGAAAAACGAAAAGAAAGACAATTTTTATTAGAAATACTAATAATAATTAGTGGGTTTTTCTGGAATTTTCCAGATTTACATTTTTCAAAGTGATGGTGAAATTTTGTAGTCATAGTCTTGACCTAGTTGAAATACTTGAACTAATTTTCTTTTTTTGAAAAGCGAAATTTTCTTTACTCAAGACAAGACATAATGCCAAAATTGGGCATGATTCATTTTTCACATTAGAATTTAGTTTTCATTTACACGAAAAAAATATGTTGAATAATTGGTTGCAATCAAAAAATGCTGGTTAAAAAAATTGCTGAAAAAAATTGACCGCTGAATAAACTGTCATTAATCTTGATCACATTTTTTCTTCTCTCATTTTCCTCTTTTTTTCTCAATTTTCTTAAAATTAGATATTTTTTATTGGAGAAAACAAAGCGAAAAGATTTTCTGACAAATGATAATCAATTTCACCCTTTTTTCTCAAAAACAACTGATACATCAAACTCTTATCTTTATTTTTTTCTTCACACGTTTTCCTTCCAGTAAACATACATATTTCTATTTGTTTCTTCAGACAGATGAATATTTTCTGCTTGTTGAAAAAACAGATGTTTTTTGTTCAAATCATTCCAAAACTATATTTTTCCCTTGAGTAATTCTGGAATAAATCCGAGCGAGTAAAAAATTTGCTGTTTCAATCTATCAAAGTGCATTTATGCATAGTGTGTTGAAAAGACCTAATAGCCTTCCACTACTAGTATTAGTTTTATTCTCTCTTTTTTTCTATTTTCATTTTTATTTTTGTTGTTGTTGTTGTTGTTGTTGTTTCCCACACATTTTGAATCTCTTCTTTTTTCCTCCCTCTTTTTTTTTGATAATTACTCTTGTGGCAAAAAAGTTGTATATCCAATGCATTCATTTTTTCAGTGAGTATTGTTTTTTTTATTGGCTCGCTGTCGTTTTCATTCAAATGACATAAAATGACTTCAAAAGAGCACGTTTTGCCAAAAGCCGAAGTTATTGATGCGTGTAAAAAAGGCGATTATGGCAAAGTTGCCTATTTTTTATCGGGAAGACGGAGCAAGAAATCACGAACACCTTTGAAGTTTTTCCGCTCTTCTTCTGATTCACATTGGCTTGTTGAATATCGCGATGAAAAATCACAATTATCACTTCTACATCATTCAGCATTAGAGGGACAAAATGAAATTAGCAAGTGAGTTTATTTATTTGAAAAAAAAAACAGCGAAAAATAATGAAATCTGATTTGAACTTTGTCTTGGAGAAAAAAAACAACTCCAAAATTGAAATCAGATAACCCAGATCTATTATTGGGATCTTTGAAAAAGAACCCCTCAAGTCAAACTTGTTTTTTTTCAGATTATTGATTGATTTTGAGCCACTTCTGATTCTTGCAAAAAGCACCAAAAATATTCTACCAATTCATTTGGCCTCGTGGAATGGACATTTGGAAATTGTGAAGGTAATTCTTGATTGTTTGGGCAGTTCCATTTTATAAATATTTTCTAGGGAATTTTGCTAACTCAAAAAATAAACCAAGAAATGTGAGAGTCTAACAAAACCTTATATTTCAAAATTCTAGAGTGCTCAACTCGTGAGAAACTAGTCATTTTTTCAAAAACTGAATTTTTTGAGTGTTCAAGTTTTTTTCCAGAAACATCATTTTCGAAATTTTTCAGAAAAAATCCAGTTTTCAATCCCAATATTTTTCAGATGATGTTATTCGTCCGTCTCGATAAACCAGTTGATCTTGTGAACCAAGTGAATATTTTCAATGAAACTCCTCTTCATCTTGCAATTCAAAGAGGACACATGAATGTTATTGCCTATCTTTTGAGAGTTAGTTTTTTTTCTCTATTTCTTTCTCTGACTGGGTGGGATAATTTACATTTTTTTCCAGAAAAACGCAGATCCTTTCATCCGCAATGAGAATAAAGAAAATGTTTTGGATGTTGCTGCTAGAATAGGACATCCAACTGCTATACGACTTCTCTGTCAGACATGGCCAGATTTCCCGGTTACGGTGAGTACAAATGATTATATTTTCATAAATATTCAGTCAACAAAGAAACTTTAGAGTGCCTATGAATCATTGAAAGTTGAAACAGCGGAACATCGTAGACCATTCCCGGCAATTTATCCATTCCACCTCGCTGCAAAACACAACCATGTTGATTGCATGAAGGTAATAAAACTTTTTTTTTTATTTCGCAACAAATCTCAATTTTCAATAGATTCTCCGTGAATTTGGATTCTCTCTTGATTATACCACTGAAGATGGAACTGCATTGCATGTGGCTGCTGCTTGTGGTCAAGTTGATGCTGTCAGATATCTTTTGCGAGAAGGAATCAACACAAATATCAAAAATCAACATGGTCAAACTGTTCTCGAGATGATTATTGATCTTCAAGAGAATCGTCGTCCTGAAATTGCACAATTTGTAAAAAACCCTGAAGGCTGGAAAGAATGTCGTGCAATTATTGAAGGACTTGATAACAATAAAAATGATTCTGGAAGAGAAACTGAAGGAAGTGATAGTGAACCAATCTGGCAACAACTTCCACCACAAGCAAGTGTTCAATATTATCCAGATCAACGCAAGAATAATCGATCAATATATAGACCACCATCGGTGTCAGCAAAATTAAGAGAATCTTCTCCGGAACCATCAGATGTTAGCGTGAAATCTGATTTTGATTATGCTTCTGGTACTTTGATCAGAACATGGAACAGTAAGATGTATGGTAAGTAAATTTTTAATTAAAACTGGAGCAACTAAACTATACAAAACTTTATTCATCAAGTTTAGCGACCTAATTATATTTGTTTAATTTTCAGACGAACAAACTGGTGCGCCACGTTTCCCAAAAACAAACCCATACAGTAACAACAATCGACATCATTCATTCAACCGTGCCAGTGACACTCTTCCAGTTCGTTTCAATCAAAATCGAACGAAACCATCGCCTCCAAGACCATCAATATTGCCAACATCTTCACCATATAAAGGAAAATTGCCAAAAGAACCGCCGCTTTATGATGATTGGGAAAAGAGTAGAGGATTCAAAACTATTCATCCAGGAGCATATGATAATGTTCCACGTGAAATACTGAATCAAGAATTTGGAAAACTGTCAATGAAACGGCAATCTGGTTATTCAACTCTGCCAACAGGTTGGTTTACTGAACTTGTGAAACTTTTTAATTTTCAGAAGTTATTACAGCTCATCATTTGAAAGGTGCTCCAGTTCGTCCTACTTTACGTGAAGACACTTTCCAAGTTGAAACTACTCCAACAAATGACAATATTTATAAAAATCGTATGTTTTTCTTCCATTTTATCCAATCATTTCTAAATTAATTCAGATTTCACAATGTCGCGCACAACTTGTGACAGAGAGGATTCATTAGGCCTTACCCAATCTCCACGACTTGATACTCGAGCTAGCAGTGTTACCTCGTCACTAACTTATGCTTGTTCGACACTTGAGAAAACTGAGCCAAAATATCCGAGCACTTCGAGGGCACCACTTGCGATGCCAGAAGAAATAACTGGAAGTGTTAGTGGAACTCTTTTCATGAACAGTCCTGAAAGAGAAACCAACAATATCACTGCTATTTATTTGGGTGGAGAAACTCAACAAGATGGTGAAAAGACGCCGGATAGTCCACCGTCACCAAACACCTCAAAAGCTGTTATTTTTGGCGCACTCTGTGGAATTAAGGTAAAACTATATTATACAATTTTGATGATATAACCGAAAATATTTTCAGCCTGATCAAAATGCATCATTTTTCGCCACTCATATTGGTCTAGGATCAACGGCTTCTTCAACACTTAGCGATGTGAGTACTGGATCTCCGGATTCTCCACCACAACAGTCACCAACTCAAGAATCATCGGAGGGTGTTCGAATCCGTCGCTACAACGGAACAACTAATATTTTCAACGCATCGGAATCTTCAGCATCATCTTCATCATCAAATGATGAGAAAAAGCTAAGAGAAGAAGCAGAATGGAATAAGGTTACAGAATTGTTTGAAACTTTTGGAGCCGCACCATGTCGAGAAAGTGTTTTTGTTCGAGATTATGAGCCAAGAGTAGCTGTTTATTTGAGAGATCGCGGATCAAAAGCGCTGACTCTTCAGATGATTGATAATGTTGTTGGAGAGCAAAGAAGTATTCAAATTCCTTCGAGATTGATGACTGTTGCTGAATGGCTCGAAACTGATGTTGGACTTTCGAATAGAGAAGCAAGACATATTGGAGGACTTTTCGAAAAATATGGCTATGATCGGTACACACAATTGGTAAGTTGTAGATTATTGTCTCAAAGAAGTTTTTCATCACTAGAAAACACTTCCGATTTTCATTTGTTATAATGTTATGCTTAATGATGAACTACTTTTTGCAGAAAGGATGTTTGAATTATTCGGTAATGGCTGGAATGAGCATTTCTGGAACAAATCAACTTTTGATTATGAATATGGTTGAACAAATGGTCGACAAACGTCCTAGCGCCAATGGTTTCTTCTATGTTAGTGATTGGTTGAGCTCTTTGGAACTAACTGATTATTTGGGAAACTTCATCAACTCTGGTTATAAAAATATGACAGCGATTGTTAATACCGATTTGGATGAAAATGTCTTGAATGTAAGCTTCCATAATTTCCTTATTCATATTTATAATTTATCACTTTTAGAACATTGGTGTCTATCTTTCTGGCCACGTTGCTCGCATTAAATATTCACTCCACCGAGCTCATCAAGAAATTCAATTTCGTGAAACATCCCCAACTGTGGCCCCACCGAGACCACCAAGGGTATTGCCACCAAAACCTTGTGTTGAATGCTCAAAAATTGATTATGAGAGAATCAAAAAATTGATGCTCACCGATGGATCGACATTTTGTGCACACCAACTTGGTATTCATGAGCTCTCAAGTGTTCACGGTACAAAAGAAGCGCATTTGACGATGCAAGGAATCAAGGAAAATCTGAAAGAATGGGATTCAATTCCGAAAGTTTTACTCGAGATGAATTGTAATGGAATAAGAGTTTATGATGCAAAGAAAAAGGTATGTTGTTTATTCTCGTATATTTGAATCAATAAATGATTTCATCATATTTTCAGATCCTTTTGGCTACTCATAAAGTCTACAACATCAATGTTGTTTGTCAAGATCGTAAAGATCTCAACTTCTTCTCATTCATTGCAAGAGATGATCAAAATCATTTCTACTGCTATACATATTGTGTTTTGACATCTGTAAGTTTCCAGATATTTGAGAAATCTTGAAATTCGATTTATTTTTCAGGACATCACATTTGAAATCATCCATACAATTGGAATGATGTTCGATATTCGAAGGAGACTTGACAAAAACATATCACTCGATACTCCATTCAATTGTTCTCATGAGAAACGCTAATTGTTTGTTTCCAAATTCGATGCCTCTTTTTTTCAAACCTATGGGTATATTATTACTTACAATGAAACTTCTTTTTCATTTTCCCCGTTAGATAGTTAGACCTCTCCCACATTCCCATACAGTATTCTTTGTTTTCATTTGATATCTTGTTGTGAAACATTTTTGTATTGAATGAACTTTCCTTTTCTGATTATGTATAATAGAAAAAAACATTAAGATCCGCGGTTGGAAAACCTTTAATGAGAAAATGCTCTTAGTTTTATGTAGCTCTTTTGTGGTCATCTCAAAAAAACACCAAAAGTAAATTGATTTTTCTCATTTTTATTTGAAAAAAATTTCAAAAAAACAAAATGATGAGTGACAAGTCAAATTTGGATCTTTTTATTTTTCTACTCTTTCTTCTTCCAACTCTACTAATATTTCTTTTTAATATTCTGATGTTGTTGTTTAATCGGCTAGGCGGTGTATTAATGACATTAACAATGATCGGTCAAACATTTCGGCAGATTCACACTTTTTTTCAAACCCGTGCAAGTTTACTATCAGAATTTATTGCTCATTTTGTGAGAGCTTTACGAGCAAAGGTGGGTTTTCATTGTTTTTTACAGTGGGAAAAATGATATTTTTTCTGTTTTTTTTCAAATTCCCAAAAATTACAATTTCAAAAAAAAACTGGAAAAACATTTTCATGTTGTTGTTGAAGAATCAAATCAATTTTCGAAATTCTATCAAAAACTAAATTTTGTGATTGCTGATGTAACTTTTATCTGGTGATTAGATCTACTAGATTTTTTCTAAAAACCACTACAACTCTTTTTAAGAGGTTTTTTTCAATTATTTTGACAATAAAATAAAAATACAAAAATACAAAAATAAGCTTTGCTTCGGCTAGTTGAGTTTCTGAGAAACTGAAAAAAATATTCCCAAATCTCTGATGTTTTTATTTTCTTTCTTATTCTAGGTATGTAGTAAATAAAGATGAAAAATATTCCCAAAATGTGGTAGTCAGTTGTCAGACATTCTACATATCCAGAACACCCACGTTTATAATTCAATTAGCTTGCATGTTTTTTATCCAATTTTTCATTCGAAACCATGTCCTCGTTGTCATTTGCATTCTTCTTGACCTATTTCAATGTCTATGAAGCTAATGCACAAAAAAATGATGAAGGAAAAAAAAATAAAAACGAAATTAATTTTGATGGTGGAATTCTTTATTCGATTTGTTGGTATGAAACAATTTTTGTTCCAATTTCCTCTTTGGCCACGCATCTGTTCTCTTGTTTTTCCCCGTTTTTTTATTTTGTCGTAGGAAGAACCAACCAATTTCGAATGTCATTTCACCAACAGCTGAGCTTTTTTCACTGTTTTTTAGTGTTCAGTTTTATGATTGTTTTATCCCAAAGTTCTATTTGTGTCCTTAAAAGTGTCATTTCAGTTTGGAAATAGATTGTTTTTGGGTTGACTTTGGTTGTGAAAAACCTCATATTTTTTGCATATTGTTTTGTTTTGTGGCACCCCTTCTTCTCTAAAAGAGAGGAAAAAGCAAAAAAAAAAGGCTAACGAAAATTGTCTTTTTTCTAGGATGGCATCGCTGCCAAAAAATCAACCACATCATCATCAAATCGAATTTCTTTGTCCTTTTTAATTTCATTTCACTTCCTAGAATTTCTGCAGGGAGTGCAAAAAATATTTGTCATAATTCTGTCATAAGCAGTAATCATCCTTTTGTTTTTTACACTTTGTTGTTTTTTTCCTGAATAATATAAATAATTGGAAATTAGGTCACTTTCAGATATAGCTCAATTTCATATATAAACACAAAGTTGTTTTTAGTGTAAAATAATTATTTTCCAAATCAATCTGTTTTCAAAAAAAAAATATTTTTTCTGCAATTTGTTTTCCAGATCAAATCTTTTCAAACTATGACGTTTAGTAGATTACTCTAGATTATGATTTCTGATTATCAAAAAAATGTTGATTTTAGATGAGTGTGATTCACGAAAAAGATATTCAAATAATCAACAATGAAGGTCGAGTTTATCCACATGTCCAAAAATTACCAACTCCACTTTGTTGTTTCAGAGTTATGCATATCAGAGTAAGTTTTTCATTTATTCACTTATTTTATTTTCAAATTTTTGATTTATTCAGACCGGTACATTATGGATTGCATACTGTGAAATAATGTGGATTGTAACACAATTTTCATTTTGGACAGCTGAAAGTATAGTGAGAGGAGCTTTCCAACCATTCATAATTATTGCTGGTTTTGTTTTCACCTTCATTCAATTGAGTGAGTGAAAACCAGAAAATTTTACATGTTTCTTGCAAAATAATATATTTCAGTTCTTGTTGTTTTGTTGATCCAAGGAATTCAAAAATTTCGATTATCATATATTGAACTTTATATGATTGGAGTATGCTGCCGATTATTCATTTTTCTCTCATTTTTCCTTACCTTCTTGTTTTTCTTCATTGTTGATGGCGACTTCTATGTGAACGGTGAGATGTTTCCCTTTATGATTCAATTCATTTCAACTCAAATCTGAATAATATCAAATTCTATTTCTGTTTTTTCTTTCAAATCTCCCATCATTATTATCATTTCCTTTTAAATAAAAGAAAAAAAAACATTTTAATCTGTTGAAAGGAAAAAATGAACTATTTTCTGAAAAGAGATTAAAATCCATTGTTATTGTTTCAGAAAAAGAGTCTCGATTTTTCCACCATCATCTTGTTCTCAAGATTGGATTTACTGCAACATATGCGTTGTTGAAAATGTATGCTTTGTACACGGCATATCGATGTTATTCATATATTTCGAGAACACGAAGAACGATTATGCAGTTGACAATTTTCAATGAGAATGAAAAGTTAGTTGGGAATAGGAACAATAAATTGAGAAAGGATTGAATTGAAGTATTATGGAATATTGGGCTCTTATATGATTCTGAGAGTTGAAAGAAACTTTTGAAAGAACTCTTTAATCTTCAAACATAAGATTTTCAAAAATATTAAGTTTTACAATGGAACCTTTTTTCGTAACTGGCTGAAAAAACTGATATTTTTTATTTGATAAAAGTTTTGCTAACAACCTTGAGGGTTTTTTCTCTTGTCCTAATTTTTTCATGTTCTGAAAATATTTTTCCCTAGAACAGCGTTTGTCTTTTTTTTTTCAATATTCAGCTTAACGTATCACAAAATAATTGTCTAAAGCCATTTGAAAACAATGACAATAACTTTCTAGTGTGATTTATACTCGTGATTTGTATGTTATACTAACAATGTTTTGATATTTCATATAAAAAATTCATATAGTCAAAATCTATTTGTTTTGTTTTCACCAAAATCATATTAATCGTGATAAGCTGATCAGTATCAGCCGCTCAAAAAGCACATTACTTTTATGACTTCATTTTCAAAACAAAAAACTATTTATATATTTTTTGAAATGAACCCAAAAAATCATCATATAATTGAAATTCCGTGTGCAACGAAATTAACAACTCAAAGAACATGAATTTCCTGAAAATATTTCTATTGTGAGAAAAACATATCATCAGAATATTGACCTGAAAACGTCTGGAACAAACTTGTTTTTCATCATTTTTCTTGTTTTTTTTTCAAAAAAAAAAAGAGATGACTTTCTTTTCAAAAAAAAAAAATGACTTCACTACTGACGACATCATATAGGACTTCTGTGTCTGACATTTTTCAATTTTGAAATTTTTTGGAGTATTTCAATTTTATTTACTCTATTCCATTTCAACTTTTTTTAATGGGCATAGTGTCCAATTTCAATTTTTCACACTTGAAAAATTGAATTCTCTCACACTTTTTTGGGACTCTCTATTTTTTCACAAAACATTCTGGATATATTGTACAGCTGAAAAAGGTGTATTAGGATTTGTTCTTTCAGTTTTTTCATATAAACTATACGACTATATTTTTATAAAGTCGATAATAAATCTTTGTTTTGACATCTCACTTCTTTATGGATGTAAATATTAAATTCAAATTATTTTCTGGACAATAGACGGACATCGTAAAAAATTGCAAGTTTTTTGTTCCTGGAAAAATAGAAATTGTGATTTTTATAGTTTCTTTTTCTATTTTTCGACATTAAAGAGCATGAATAAATTGAATAATTAGCATTTGACGTACTACCTGCTTTAAATATATCATGTAGACTTTTTTGAGAATAATTCTTGTCTCCATCGAAAAGTAAATATAAAAAACATTTTCAGACCTATTTTAATTAAAGGTTGTAGAATTTTTTGACCTTTCTGAGAAAAAAATGGCAAGTTCCTAAAACCCTTTCAAAAATGTTTTTGCAGCTTGAAAAAATAACGAAAGTCTTTTATTTTAATCTCAAAAAATGTTAGATTCTTGATTTTTTCGATGAATAAACTTTAATTCAGAAATCTCTGGAAACCTCTCAAAACAGTGGGATGTTTTCTCAGTGAGGTCATTCATATGAAATTCAGGGAGGGGATTTGAAAACAAATCATCGTTTTTATTAGGAATGTGGGGGTAATGGAATTTTATTAAAAAGGTAGAAAGGGTATAGTTAGAATTTGATTACAACTTCATATCATTTTCTCTATAAAAACCAGACAACTTTGAAAGAAACGTTTGACGAAACTCCTCCACAGTATCCAAAAAAATTGTTTATTGTTCAAAAGTGCATAAAGTCATTTTTCCACCTACTTCTCTGTTCTTTCATTTTCTTTTTTTCACGTCAATTACAAAATGAACAACACAAAATAGCACTGATCATTTCCGGTTTCACCTTTTTGTTCTTTTTCTAAATCATAGCTCTTTCCGGCTTATTCTCAACTTTCCTTGTCTCCGCCCATAAAAAATCTAATCTTTTTCTCATTTTCACTGAAGTGAATAAAGTTTGATAATTCATTTTATATTTATTTATTTCAGCAATGTGCAAACCTTCAGTAGCAGTCGTCATTCTCTTCATAATATGTTGCCTCCAAGTCATAAGTGAGTTTAAAAAAAAACTACGTGGGTGGTCTAGCTTATGAATAAATATATAATTTTTTTTTAATTAGCATATTAAAAAAATGATTTCTAGATGCCGAGTATTGGGATGCCAGAGTTGCACCAAGAGTGGTGAGAACAGCCGGAATGAGATGGGCAAACCGGTTTACGCCGCGCAAATACCGAAAACCAGACACGCTGCAAACAATGGATTATCCTGAACAAAGCCGTCTCAGATATCAAGTTCAAAATCGTTTTGGTGATCTGGTCAGACCTCGTTAACTCAATAATATAAATAACCAAATAAATAACAACCAAAGACTTCTGCCCTCTTTCCCGCACATGCCACAAGCTTCTGTAAAAAATAAAGAAAATGTTCATTTTCTCGCTTTTCGTTTTTATTTTTCATGTTTTTTAATTCAGAGTTGTTTTCTGGAGAATGAATAAAAATATTGTGAAATATTCATGATTTTGAATTTCAGTCTTAATTTCAGATAAACTTAAGGATTCAAATTGCAAATAGAATGCCAGAAATATAGTTTTTTTTTCGTGGAATATGTAATATGTGGATTTTCTAAATATGAATCTTCCAAGCAATAGATTATAAAATCTTATTTTAGAAATTTCAGTTTTGAAAATATCGAATTTCAATTTATAGAAACATTGATTAAGCTTCAGAGAACGTTTTGCTCAATATTAATATAAATAAAAACTGAAAACTGAAAACTTCTTACGTAGCATTTGATGAATATAAACAAATTGTGAGAAACTATTCTGCATGCTTTTTCTATTCATTTATAATTCCATTCAAAAAGGAACTTCATTATAGTTCATTCGAGGAACAAAACGTGCATTTTCTCAAACTATCTACACATACTCCAAAGTAATTTATCACTAGCTTTAAAAAGGAAAGAATGGAAGAAAGCTCCGGCTACTGCTCTTCATCAGAGCCTTGCAAACTTTTAATGGTGTTTCTAATTTAATTATCAAAGATATGAAGTGCTTTTTATACTCTAGTGTTTATCTTGTCCAAACATTGAAAGTGATGAGAGAAAATATTGGCTCAAAAATGGATCATTTCCATAGAATATCCGGATTAGTTCATATTATTGTTATTCCAGTTGCAAAATTGATTACTGAAATTTTACATCTCTCACAGTCATGACTGATTGATTATATAGAAAAAAACAACAATCAGATCTTCTGGAGAAACACATGAAAAAACAAGTTAACATTTTTCCATAAATTCAAATCGTTTGTTAATGAATCTTGTTCAGTTGAAATATGAAGTTCAGATCAAAAATTGAGATTTCTGAATCCGATCGAATCATATTATCGGAAGTGCTATGATAATCTGGTTTTAGTATTTGACAAACTGTTATCTGATATACATAATTGCACAAAAATGGTTCAGATGTCTTTATAGAATTTTATTGTGACACGAAAATAAAAAAAAAACAAAGGTAAGCACAATTCTCTCATTAATTGAAAGACAATATGAAACAATGGACTTTTTACTTTTTGGTCAAATTGACAATGTTCAATTTTGAATTTGGACGATAGCATTGGTCTTCAATAAAGTTGATGTTGAATTGTTGAGTCACTGGATTTCTAATGAATCTGAGATAGCCAAACATTTGTAGATTTTGATTTTGAATTGGATTGCGACTTGAAAATTGATAATTGACAACAAATGAATTCTCAGTTTCAATCACAATATTATGCGTGATAACATCCAAATTTTGAACAATCAATGTTTTCTTGTAATCAGCTGAAAATCATTGATTATTAAATTTATTTCATGAAACTTCCTACCTGGAGTCATTAATATTCCACATTTACTGATTTTTGCAAATGATTCGAAACTTTCCAAAATATTGAAAACAGCAGGATATCTTATAGAATTGATCCATTTTGCAGCAACTACTTTTTGAATTTCTTCGAAATTCACGCATGATCCTAGAGAAATAACGAAGAACAGGTAGAAAATTGAAGACATTCTTATAGTGTAGATATGCCCTATGACATTTTCTTTCCATTTTTATACTTTCTCAACACAATGGAAATAATATTTTTGTACAATAAGTTTATATAACCTTTTAACAAAAAATCAAAATTAAAAATTGATGTTCCATAAACTTATTTTCTAAAAATAAACTTTTTCAGAAAAAAAAGTTGTGTATTTTATTTGCTTTTGATAAATCACACGAATTAATTGAATTCATGAAAAATTTTGAAATTTTTGTTCGAAAAACGACTCGTGGCAAAATCAGGAAGGCTTCCTAATTTTGCCATGGATGACGTCATCGATCAATTTTTCGAAAAACAACTTATTTAATTATTTTTTTGTATTAAATATACTCGTGAGAGGTAAATCACACGAATTACAATTGAATTCATAAAAAATTTCAAGTTTTTTGATCAAAAAATGACTCGTGGCAAAATCAGGAAGGCTTCCTAATTTTGCCATGGATGACGTCATCGATCAATTTTTCGAAAAAAAACTTATTTAATTATTTTTTTGTATTAAATATACTCGTGAGAGGTAAATCACACGAATTACAATTGAATTCATGAAAAATTTCAAGTTTTTTGATCAAAAAATGAATCGTGGCAAAATCAGGAAGGCTTCCTAATTTTGCCATGGATGACGTCATCGATCAATTTTTCGAAAAAAAACTTATTTAATTATTTTTTTGTATTAAATATACTCGTGAGAGGTAAATCACACGAATTACAATTGAATTCATGAAAAATTTCAAGTTTTTTGATCAAAAAATGACTCGTGGCAAAATCAGGAAGGCTTCCTAATTTTGCCATGGATGACGTCATCGATCAATTTTTCGAAAAAAAAACTTATTTAATTATTTTTTTGAATTAAATGTACTCGTAAGAGGTAAATCACACGAATTACAATTGAATTCATGAAAAATTTCCAGTTTTTTGATCAAAAAATGAATCGTGGCAAAATCAGGAAGGCTTCCTAATTTTGCCATGGATGACGTCATCGATCAATTTTTCGAAAAAAAAACTTATTTTATTATTTTTTGAATTAAATGTACTCGTAAGAGGTAAATCACACGAATTACAATTGAATTCATAAAAAATTTCAAGTTTTTTGATCGAAAAATGACTCGTGGCAAAATCAGGAAGGCTTCCTAATTTTGCCATGGATGACGTCATCGATCAATTTTTCGAAAAAAAAACTTATTTTATTATTTTTTTGAATTAAATGTACTCGTAAGAGGTAAATCACACGAATTACAATTGAATTCATAAAAAATTTCAAGTTTTTTGATCGAAAAATGACTCGTGGCAAAATCAGGAAGGCTTCCTAATTTTGCCATGGATGACGTCATCGATCAATTTTTCGAAAAAAAAACTTATTTTATTATTTTTTTGAATTAAATGTACTCGTAAGAGGTAAATCACACGAATTACAATTGAATTCATAAAAAATTTCAAGTTTTTTGATCGAAAAATGACTCGTGGCAAAATCAGGAAGGCTTCCTAATTTTGCCATGGATGACGTCATCGATCAACTTTTTCGAAAAAAAAACTTATTTAATTATTTTTTTGTATTAAATATACTCGTGAGAGGTAAATCACACGAATTACAATTGAATTCATGAAAAATTTCAAGTTTTTTGATGGAAAAATGACTCGTGGCAAAATCAGGAAGGCTTCCTAATTTTGCCATGGATGACGTCATCGATCAATTTTTCGAAAAAAAACTTATTTAATTATTTTTTTGTATTAAATATACTCGTGAGAGGTAAATCACACGAATTACAATTGAATTCATAAAAAATTTCAAGTTTTTTGATCAAAAAATGACTCGTGGCAAAATCAGGAAGGCTTCCTAATTTTGCCATGGATGACGTCATCGATCAATTTTTCGAAAAAAAACTTATTTAATTATTTTTTTGTATTAAATATACTCGTGAGAGGTAAATCACACGAATTACAATTGAATTCATGAAAAATTTCAAGTTTTTTGATCAAAAAATGACTCGTGGCAAAATCAGGAAGGCTTCCTAATTTTGCCATGGATGACGTCATCGATCAATTTTTCGAAAAAAAAACTTATTTAATTATTTTTTTGAATTAAATGTACTCGTAAGAGGTAAATCACACGAATTACAATTGAATTCATGAAAAATTTCCAGTTTTTTGATCAAAAAATGAATCGTGGCAAAATCAGGAAGGCTTCCTAATTTTGCCATGGATGACGTCATCGATCAATTTTTCGAAAAAAAAACTTATTTTATTATTTTTTTGAATTAAATGTACTCGTAAGAGGTAAATCACACGAATTACAATTGAATTCATAAAAAATTTCAAGTTTTTTGATCGAAAAATGACTCGTGGCAAAATCAGGAAGGCTTCCTAATTTTGCCATGGATGACGTCATCGATCAATTTTTCGAAAAAAAAACTTATTTTATTATTTTTTTGAATTAAATGTACTCGTAAGAGGTAAATCACACGAATTACAATTGAATTCATAAAAAATTTCAAGTTTTTTGATCGAAAAATGACTCGTGGCAAAATCAGGAAGGCTTCCTAATTTTGCCATGGATGACGTCATCGATCAATTTTTCGAAAAAAAAACTTATTTTATTATTTTTTGAATTAAATGTACTCGTAAGAGGTAAATCACACGAATTACAATTGAATTCATAAAAAATTTCAAGTTTTTTGATCGAAAAATGACTCGTGGCAAAATCAGGAAGGCTTCCTAATTTTGCCATGGATAACGTCATCGATCAACTTTTTCGAAAAAAAACTTATTTAATTATTTTTTTGTATTAAATATACTCGTGAGAGGTAAATCACACGAATTACAATTGAATTCATGAAAAATTTCAAGTTTTTTGATGGAAAAATGACTCGTGGCAAAATCAGGAAGGCTTCCTAATTTTGCCATGGATGACGTCATCGATCAATTTTTCGAAAAAAAACTTATTTAATTATTTTTTTGTATTAAATATACTCGTGAGAGGTAAATCACACGAATTACAATTGAATTCATAAAAAATTTCAAGTTTTTTGATCAAAAAATGACTCGTGGCAAAATCAGGAAGGCTTCCTAATTTTGCCATGGATGACGTCATCGATCAATTTTTCGAAAAAAAACTTATTTAATTATTTTTTTGTATTAAATATACTCGTGAGAGGTAAATCACACGAATTACAATTGAATTCATGAAAAATTTCAAGTTTTTTGATCGAAAAATGACTCGTGGCAAAATCAGGAAGGCTTCCTAATTTTGCCATGGATGACGTCATCGATCAATTTTTCGAAAAAAAAACTTATTTAATTATTTTTTTGAATTAAATGTACTCGTAAGAGGTAAATCACACGAATTACAATTGAATTCATGAAAAATTTCAAGTTTTTTGATCAAAAAATGACTCGTGGCAAAATCAGGAAGGCTTCCTAATTTTGCCATGGATGACGTCATCGATCAATTTTTCGAAAAAAAACTTATTTAATTATTTTTTTGTATTAAATATACTCGTGAGAGGTAAATCACACGAATTACAATTGAATTCATGAAAAATTTCAAGTTTTTTGATCGAAAAATGACTCGTGGCAAAATCAGGAAGGCTTCCTAATTTTGCCATGGATGACGTCATCGATCAATTTTTCGAAAAAAAACTTATTTAATTATTTTTTTGAATTAAATGTACTCGTAAGAGGTAAATCACACGAATTACAATTGAATTCATGAAAAATTTCAAGTTTTTTGATCAAAAAATGACTCGTGGCAAAATCAGGAAGGCTTCCTAATTTTGCCATGGATGACGTCATCGATCAATTTTTCGAAAAAAAAACTTATTTAATTATTTTTTTGAATTAAATGTACTCGTAAGAGGTAAATCACACGAATTACAATTGAATTCATGAAAAATTTCCAGTTTTTTGATCAAAAAATGAATCGTGGCAAAATCAGGAAGGCTTCCTAATTTTGCCATGGATGACGTCATCGATCAATTTTTCGAAAAAAAACTTATTTTATTATTTTTTTGAATTAAATGTACTCGTAAGAGGTAAATCACACGAATTACAATTGAATTCATAAAAAATTTCAAGTTTTTTGATCGAAAAATGAATCGTGGCAAAATCAGGAAGGCTTCCTAATTTTGCCATGGATGACGTCATCGATCAATTTTTCGAAAAAAAACTTATTTTATTATTTTTTTGAATTAAATGTACTCGTAAGAGGTAAATCACACGAATTACAATTGAATTCATAAAAAATTTCAAGTTTTTTGATCGAAAAATGACTCGTGGCAAAATCAGGAAGGCTTCCTAATTTTGCCATGGATTAAGTCATCAATCAATTTTTCGAAAAAAAACTTATTTTATTATTTTTTTGAATTAAATGTACTCGTAAGAGGTAAATCACACGAATTACAATTAAATTCATGAAAAATTTCAAGTTTTTTGATCAAAAAATGAATCGTGGCAAAATCAGGAAGGCTTCCTAATTTTGCCATGGATGACGTCATCGATCAATTTTTCGAAAAAAAAAACTTATTTTATTATTTTTTGAATTAAATGTACTCGTGAGAGGTAAATCACACGAATTACAATTGAATTCATAAAAAATTTCAAGTTTTTTGATCAAAAAATGACTCGTGGCAAAATCAGGAAGGCTTCCTAATTTTCAAACGAAATATCTTCTTTCACGGAAGCCTGAAACTTCTACATTCATTTTATCAAATTTTTCGCCCATTTTTAAACTTACATCAGAAAATGACATTCGTGGATTTGATGGGACTCCTTCATTCTGTGACGGTTTTCTCTAAAAAAAATAAGAAAATTAAAAAATGTACCCACTAATAACACTTTCTGCGATGAAGAAAACCACTCAAAAACCAGAAAAAAAGCAAAAACAAACGTTTAATCAATACTTTCTTTTCAAATAAAAAATACATATCTATCTCTCTCTCTCTCTCTCTCCCTCTCTAACCCTCTCCCCATTTCCCACACTCTCTCGTCTACCCTGCACAAAAAACACGCTAAACAACGCGCACGCGAAGTATCGTTGTTTCGCTTTTATTGTTTTTTCCCCACGACATTGTTATTTTTTGCTTTTTTTCTGGTTTTTGAGTGGTTTTTTTTCAGTGCAGAAAGGGTTTCTTATTTTTTAGAGACAACCATCACAGAATGCAGGAGTGCCACCAAATCCACATTTGTTATTTTCTGATGTGAGTTTGAGAATAGGCGAAAATTTTGAGAACATGAATGTAGAAGTTTCAGGCTTCCGAAAAAGAAGATGTTTCGTTTGAACAGCACATTCTAATATATCAAAAACTTCTCAGGAACCGGCGGCCAGTAAAGTTAGTTTATTTTTAAGTTTGGGCGGGGGAGGGGGGGGGAACTAACAGTGGAGATTAGAGCACAAAAAATATTAAAAATTCACTGTTTCGAAATTTCTAGAATAAGTTTTGAAATTGTGGAAAATATTTTGAGCCAAACAAATTTTGACGGGCAAAGTCTATGTGGCACTTTTTCAGACATCAAAAAAAATTTTTGTGATTCAAAACTTTTAGATATCATTTTTTTCATGACTTTTAAAAAATTAATAATTTAGATATTATGGATCCACGAATTATACGACTTCGAGTGTTTTTTAAGCCTAAAAACTTGAAATTTGGTTCGATAATTATGGATTTGTAAAACTGGAAGTCGAAATTTTTGAATTTTTGTCAGCTACTCGCTCAAATCGAAATTTTCATTCGGGCGGGTATTTTTGTCAGAAGTTTCAAAAAATTCAACAAAAATTGATTTTCGTTGAAAAAAATTCAACAAAAACCGAAATTTTGATTTTCGTTGAAAAAATTCAAAAAAAAAATGAAATTTACGTTTGAAGACAAGAAGGTTTTAGGCTTAAAATGATTGAAATTCATTTGTTGAGCATTTATCAAAAACTGTCCAGAGAAAATTATATTTTTTTGATCAACTTTTTTTTCGTTCAAAAATTTGTAAATCAATATGTTCAAAAAAAGTGTTATAAATCGGCTTCATTAAAGAAAGTTAATAATTGCAGAAATTGAAACGTTTACAAGATTGTCCTTGAACAAAATTGACACCATAATTCATCAATGCATGATAATCTTCAGCATAATAATAACATTGTGAGTTTACCATATTTCTGAGCGTGGCAGATCCATCAAGGTCAAATGCAACAATAATAATTTCATAAAGGCCAGCCCGTTTGATCGATGAAACCAAAGAAGATGGGTCAGAGTCAGTTGGGCTGAAAAAAAAAAGAATTGTTGGAAAACTGAATATTCTGAATGTGAATAAATCTCACTTTGTGTTGGTGACATAAACCAAAATGTGTCTAACATCAGGATCACTACGATAACCTTGAGCTGGTTGATCATAATAATCAAGAACATATTGCAACGCGGCGGTGACATTTTGTCCAGCTTCTCCGATATATGACATATTTGTCAATAACCCAGCAACTCGATCATAAGAATTTTCTCCGGCGTTGAATGAGAATCCACCTTGTGGTTTATTAGCAACGGACATTGCAGCAACTTGAGCAAGATTGTTAGTGTAGCTATATGGTTGAACAGCTTGTGTAGCAAAGTGTTTCATCTGAAAATTTTGATACTGAAAAAAAGTAGAAAAAAAACAACTCACCAATGTAAATGTAACATTTGTATCTTTCAATGAACTATCAATCAAGAAAAGTGTGTCTTGTTTAACCGAGCTCAAATCGCAATCAGCTGGTGGTGCTGAAAATGTTTCAAAATTTAAAGTTCACTACGCGAAAAAACTCACGTGGTGACGGTGGTCTTGATCCGACAGTACTGACATAGAAGTTTCTTTGGAAGTTACTTCCATATTCACTCGATCCATAAATAATGATCCAATAGCTCTGAAAAATTGCTTTTTTGAAAAATCATTTTTAATAATACTTACGTCATAATCGAACAGATATGGTTGAGTGGCATAGAATTCATAAGAACATTCAGAAGCACGACGCTTGATTTCAGCAGTATGAACCAAACCAAATTGTGGGCTGACAATTTGAGCATATCGAATAGTTCCTTCTCCCAAGTTATTGGCGTGTAAAACTATTGTGTTGTTTTCGACTGAAAGAAAATATGTTTGAATTATAGAATATTGAAAATTTAAGAAACTCACGAATAACTGGAGCGTGAAGAGCATTATCATTTGTGATTCCCTTAAACTTGTCACCATCTGCGTCAACAAAACCAAGATAGAATTCAAGATTGGATCTTCCACGAATGAATGCGTAACAATTGTTACCACCTGTTCCGTTCAAAACAATTCTATAAGTTCCAGCACGTGTGGCTCCTGTTTCATTAACTTTAACAATTCCAATATAACTTGAATCAGAAGTGATCAAATTGTTTGGAAGATCGATGAGATTTCCAGATGGATTGTAAACTTGGATAGATTCCAGAAGTGGATGGAAGAAATCAATTGAGAATTCATACATCTCATGTTCAACGTTGAACAAGATTTCAGAATTTTGACATTGTCCGTTGCTTCCAGCAAGACCACCAGATGAATAAAGTGTTGGAATATATCCAGTCAAGAAGTTCTTTGATACTTCAGCAGCTGACATTGTGAAAAGATTTCCTTGTGAATAGCTAACAATTCTTGCGAGCGTATCAACAGCTGGAGTATTCCATCCAAGTCCACAAGGCGAATCAATTGATGGGAACACAAAGTTCACATATGCTTTGGTATCTTGAAGTTTCTTAGCAATTGTTCCATATTGAAGATAGTCTTCAGGTGTTGATCTTGTTATTACGAGAATTACTGAATTTGGTGCAGCCAATCCACCATCCAAAACACTGTTGAGAACGCTGACAATTGGTCGAGCACATTCTGCAAATATTTATTTTCATAACTTTAAAATTAATTTTAACAAAAACTTACGAGAAGAACATGGATTTGGTCCAGGACAAGACATAACACTAATGTTTTGAACAGCGGCAACAATATCATCAGAATTTGATGAGCTTACAGTTGGATACCAATCATACTCATTGTCAGTTGAATCAAATGGATAAAGAACATAATTTGAGAACCATCCTTGAAGAGTTGGATCATTTTTGATGCTATCAAGTGATGCTTTCAAATTGCGTTTCAATTGATAAATTGTGGCTCCCATGTTATAAGAAGTTTCAAGAACAATCGCCAAAGTTCTTCCAGTGTCTTGGAATGTTGTTGGATATGGTGGCTCACAGTGTGCAAGTTGACAGAAATCTCCAGTAAATTGTGGGACTGATGAGCAATCGCATTTTCCATTCTTTTCAATTCCACCATTTTGACAGACTGGTGTGCTACAAGTTTTTCCAACCCAACCAGCTCTGCAAACACATTGACCATTGTTGTTGAATCCACCATTGAAGCATTGAGTGATCGTTTTGGTGCATAGAGAATCGGAATATCTTTCAAAGGCATAACCAAATTGATCAATTCCAGTGAACTGAAAACAGGTAGAAATAATGCGATTTTCAATTTCTGTTAAATTTTAAGTCGGAGACGCATTTAATGAGGAGAGGCAATCTTATAAATCAAAATGTTTTTTGCAATTAGCTGACAAAAAATGTGAGTCTTTTAGGGCGATTAACTCACATTTTCTTTCATAAAAAAAAACAAATTGACTCACCCTTATGAAAATTCAAAAATGTTGAACAAAAAATTAAAAATGTTGGACAAAAAAGCGCCAACCGTCATAAGATTGACGTTTTCTGTGCACATCGCTGACGCTTTGCAGAAATTGTTTTCTTTTTAATTTTTTTTTATTTTTGTGAACGCAGAGAATTGTGTTTTGGCATGCCAATACCACTTTTTTACAGCCCTAAAATCCTTTTTAAGAAAATCTGATTTTTTTCAGGTAAAATGGGAAGAACCAACAAAAACAGTTTAAAGTCAACCGAACAACAAGAAAATCGGCACAAACCCGCGAGAGAGGTTCAGAATTTATATTGTATATCGTGGAGAAAATCTCTGGCTTCCTTTGAAAAACACTCGGTTGTTCCGGTAACTCTTTTTTTCGAGAAGAATAGTTTTTTTTTTCAAAGTTTTTGTTGAGAAATGGTTCAAAAACTTACTTTAACTGCAAAATCAGTAACAGATCCATCATTTTCAGGGCAAGTAAATGGCAAAGACAACATTGAATATCCACAAACACGTTCATACAATGGAAGTGAGTCTTGAATAGTTCTATTACTCATCAAAACTGCATAATTCAAACGTCCTTCCATAGAAGTATAAGTGTCTGGGAAATATGCAGCAACTCCGGTTGGAAGAGCAACCAAATAATTGGATGTTGATTGAATGTTTGCATAACTGCTTGGATAATCGTCTCTTGGATCAGTGGTGAAGCCGTAAAAGACATTGATTTCGGATTGCGATCTTGCCTGGATTTCGCAACTTCCAGTGTTTGATTGAACTGTGACTTTCCAGAGTCCAGCGGGAACAATGTCTGAAGTCAAATATTTCATTTCAAGTAATATTCATAAATTTCAAAAATAAAATACTCACTGACGTCCTCGCCGGGATAGAAACCTTGTCCATATCTATGTTTTTGACATCCAACGAAATAACTGTTTTGTGGATCAGCTGGAATCCATTTTCCATCAGCATTCATAACAGCGTGATTGAAAAGTGGATTTGATGGATCAACACCCTCTGCCCAATTGGTATAGCCGGTCTGAAATATAATTATTTGGGGAATATTCGTAGGTCATATCAATTTACCAAAGGTTGAGCATTGTTTCCATCTGGGACATCCCAATACCAAGCGCCGTTGTTATAAGCAAGACCAATCCAAATGCTGTATCCACGGACTTGATCTGAAAAATTATTGTGAGTTATAATTTTTTTTTCAAAAATGAAGAACTAACTGAATACGTAATCATTCAAATCTTGGTTGTCAATATGAATCAAGAAAGAGTTTTGCTCGTGACAAATTGACCAACTGTCAAGCCAGATATGTTGAGCACTTTGGAATTCGTAACAATTTTGTTGACGGTAATTCCAGAAAACACCATCACAAGCAGCAATATATTGATTCAATTTAATTTCAGGTTCATTAATTGCAACCATTTCAAAATCACTGAATTCTCCCTTGGTACCATCGGGGAAAACAACCGAAACACTGTTGAGATCTGATCCAGTGACAGCAAGAGTCAAAGATTGGGTTGAACCATCAACTGGCATGTAATAACTTGTTGGTTTGGTACAATCTGGGATATAGTAACGATGTGAAACAGCTGATTTGTAAAGAGAAACAATGAAGAGCATAATTTGATCAAGTTGAGTTGTCATATAAACATCTCCGATTGTTGTTCTTGAAAGTGATTGCAAATAATCTGGGAAGAAACCATTGTTTCCAGAGGCTGTGCAAATTGTTGAACCATATCCAACCAAATTGATTTGAAGATTATATTCCAAAGCAATATCATAAAGTTGAAGATATGACACATCATTCGGTCCATCGGCATCAGAAAATACCCAAACTGAACTTCTTCTTTCTGAAAGATAAGCAGCGCCAAGCATAGCTTGTTCAAGTTGAACTTGACAACTATCAGAAGGAACGACATATTGATCCAATGTTGAAACCAAAGTATTAATACCAAGAATGAAATCAGCTGGTTTATCAGAATTGACGAGAAGCATTGATGCTGAAATTATATCAAATAAAAAAATTGTTTTGAATTTATTTTTTCAAATCTTACAGTTGGAAGTAGCAATAACCAAAATCCATCGATTGATCCATCTGCTTGAAGATTGTTGCATATCTCTTGTCATTGTTTGAACATTTTGTGAAATCTTAGTGATGGCATCTTTCATTGAACTTCTTGCAGCAATAACGAATGCCAAACTTTGTCCTTCTGTTGAAGTATCAGGATTGTTGTTGATAGTTGTGCATTGGTCTAAAAATATAAACTTTTTGTTTAAGATAAAAATTCTGGTAACGAATATTGTCTTACATAATTCACAGAAAGTTCCGGCTGTTCCAACTGGACAGTTACATTGTCCGCCATTTGGTGTTCCACCGTTGGCACAGGAGATGGTTTCGCAGCTGTAAGTTACAGTTTTTGAATGTTTTTTTGTAGATCATTAGAAATAACATATAGACAGCTCAATATATTTCTTCAAAATAACTTACAATTTGCCAGAATACATTGGTGGACAGATACAAGTTTGATTGTTGTTTGGATCTTGAACTCCTCCATTAATACAGGTATTTGGTGGATTTGGAGTGGTTGGTGTAGCCGAACAGAAACCACGTTCACTTCTTTGAATTGTGAAACCTTTTCCATCATCAGCATAAACAGTTGCGTAGAATGTTTGACCAGCAAATTCGCAGAAACTTCCAGCTCCAAAATACATATGGAAACCACATCCATCACGATATTTACCACTCGAATAATAAAGTGGTTTTTGATACATATTTTCAGCATTCCAGTTAGTGGTAATTGAGATTTCAGAGAAGAGTCTGAATGGATCAGCCACATTGTTTTTCAAACCAGTGAGTTGAGCAACAATATGTTCAGATTGACCATATACTGGTTCAGAATCACTTGCATCATCGTTAACTCCAGTACTTGTTCCAATGAAAAGGTCATATTCAGAACGTGCTTGAACACGGTACGAGCATCCAGTGTTCTATAGAATTTTAAATTACAGATACTAAAACTTTGGCTACTATTTCAATCAACTTACTGGTACAGATGAAACAACAGTCATAATATGTTCACCAACAACTGGATTAGCAATTTCGAACAAATATGTGGTTCCTTGTGCAATTATTGGAAGCAAAGTGTTGGTAGCACCATTTGGGTCAACAACATTGATTGTCAAAGATTGTCCAATAGCCAAAATCATTAATTCTGTAGTTGATGTATCGACGAAGAAAACACGGTTTGGAGTCGAGCAGCTATCAACATTATCAATCAACACTGAATTCATTTTGTAAGCTGTTGCCTTGATGACATTTTGAGTAATCTGAAAAAATATATAAAGTTCATCAGATTCACATCTAATTTTGAGTGATTAACTAACAGTTTGAACAGTTCCAGCGGTTGGTCGAATCATTAATCCACCACTGTAATATGTTGCCTTCTCAATAGCTTGAAATCCGAGACTCATTTCATCAAAGTTGCAACCATCTTGAGGGAAGAAACTTGTGTATATTGGGAACTTTTGGCGGGTATTCAAATGAACAATTGTCTCCCAACCATCAGTATCAGCAGCAATTGCATCAGTAAACCAATAAACTGCAGATTTTTGATAGACTGCGACTTCAGTGAAAAGACTTGAAAGTGCATCGAAAGATGTGTCATTGCAACTTGAAGCAGTTGTTGATGCGTTATTCAAATCAGCCAAGAATTTGCTTTGACTATATGTTGGATAATAAGTGTTGGTGTACAATCCATTAGCGTATTTGATAAGAACATAACCCTTGTATACTTCATAACCATTGATTGTGTTTGTGGTAAGCTCTTTGTAAACAGCTTGAGCAATATCAGGAACATATTGATTCATTGAAACTGTGCTATGGACAACAACAATCAAAGTTTTGTAATCAGTCAATTCAGCTTCCCAATTAAGTGGACATGTAACATCTTGACAATTTGTTCCGTGATATCCAGCTGCACAAGCACACAAATTACCATCTGGATCTGGTAATCCACCATTCATACAATTCACTTTTTCACATTGGGCTCCGTTGAATAATTCAGTACAGAAACAAGTAGCAGTGGTACTATTTTGGCCGATTGCATTGAGAAGAGTTCCGTTGTTATAACAGAAACTAATTGGTGCTGGGGTAGTTGTGCTTGGTGGTGGTGGGGTAATATGTTGCATACACGAGAATTTTCCGGTTCTACGGAATGCGTATCCACTTTGATCAATACCATCAATCTAAAAAAATGTTACTTGGTGTCAATTCAAAGATTCCAAGAATATTTACATGATAAAAATATTGATTTCCAAGTTCACACTGCCATTGTCCAGCATAATATTCGAATCCACATTGATATCTGGAATGCAACTTTTATCTTATCTATCAAAATGAAATGTCATTCATTAATCAGCACGAAACACACCTTCTTGTCAAAACAGAGCGATAAAATGGGTCTAACGAGTTTCCTTGACGAATTGTAACAGACGAAACTTCTGAAAAATTCAAGATCAAAAAGTTATTGTCATGATTCTATTCTGTTTATAAATTACTTGATGGATTTTCAGTTGAATCAATATGAGCAACAAGATACATTGGAATTCCATTGACAGCCGATTCACCATATGGTGTGTCATCACTTTGTGGTGAGTAAACAAATCCTTGAAGTGCTTTCAAATTTGTGTCGCTCTAAACAAATCACATTTTTCTTTTGCTATTACCGCCAAACGATTTTTTACGACTCCACGTTTTCATGACACCTTTTTTTCGTTATCAAAAAAAAATTGAACATAAAAATTGTCATAAAATTTTGATACTGAACTCACGTTAACTTCGATGATACATTCAGTTGTTGGTGCATTCTGATTATCAATAGTTAAAGAATATCCTCCTGGTTGGATTTTTTGGTAAATGGTTAGGGAATATCCTTCTCCTCCAACGTTGTAGAATGGAGCAGCGACAGCACCGGAAGCATCTGTGAGAGTTACATTTGGAATTCCAGAAGCGGTGACGTGGATTTGCAAATTTTGAGCAGCGTCAAAATCAACAGGGATATAGTAACTGAAATTTGTTGTTAAGATTTTTCGAGCATTGTGTTTGTAGTTTAATTTTGCACATTTTAAAAATCGTTCCACGTTTTTGTAATCAAATTTCTGCACAATAATCCGATTAATGTTTTCCAATAGAAAAAGATGAACAAAACGAGAAAAATGACAATATTCAAAAACTTAGATTTTGGAACATTTCAACGTTTAAAGTTAAAAATCTCCAGCACAATAGGAGTTTGAAGTTTGAGATTACTTACAAATATCATTTTTAACTTGGATCTTACTCCTAGAACTTTTTATTTACGAAAATATTTGAATAGTCCAGGCCTGAAAATTCAAATAATGTTCAATTGTGAAACTTCTACCAAATCAGAACACAACTGTTAAAGTGTTGTCAAACATTTACAAGTTCGAGTTAAGTGACCACAATCACAAAACCTCCAAAAGCCCGAACACTTTTGATTTTTCCTAACATATTGAACACTTACGATCCATAGCATGATCCTTGTAAAAAGAGCATTTCAATGGTGGATGTTTGTCCAGCACTTGGTGCAGCTTTTTTGTCATTACAAGTTGGATTCTCACAAGCTTGACCAGTCCATCCAGGTTCACAGGAATTGGCTAAACCAACAGCGGCACGTTTTGCGCGAACATGAGTTGTTGAAACAAGATCAGGGTAAAAATTTGGCAACGATTTGAATACATCATCTGAAATTACAAATTTACAAACTTTGCTTCACTTTTTTTCAGAATTACTCACAATTACAGTTGACGGTTAATATAGTAACCAGCAGCAAAAAGAGCAGCCGCATGGTTAGAAACAGTGACACACAACCAACTGAAACGTGTCCCACCTTTTTCTCCTATCAAAATTATTTTCTCTGTATAAGGTGATGCCAACTTTTTTATTGGTTTTCGCTCTGATAAGCCAATTTCCATTCATTCCTATGTGTTGGCTGCCGCCTGCACTAATCGGCGGGCCAGCGCCCTGCCTTTTCAAAAGGCAAAGTCTGTTGTTTGATTTTCTGAATTTTTACATATAAAATAAAATTATTTGATTAGAGGAAAGTTTGTGTAGTGATATGGAAACGGCAATCATTTTGAAGAGGACTCGTATGACGTGCTCCAACATTCTCAAAAAAATTGACTTTGCGAAAATATATTTCATGAAACTAGCAATCACAGGTCAAACTATTTGAATGAGAAAAAATTAAGTACACATTTGGGAAAATTAGCACTTATGGAGAAAATGAAAACCTACCGAACTTTCACTATATTTAGATTGGTGTCAGCTGAATTTTTCATATCGAAGATCTCCTTTGTGGCATTTTAAAAACAGAGGAATTTAATCTGTTCATTATCAGAAATAAATTTCAGTGATATGTTTTTAACAATTTATAAATTTAAGTGGGAAGAAGTTGATCAATCGCATTGTTAGTTGAATTTAAATTATATTGTTGTTAGTTTCTTTAAGTCAAAATTACAATAGCGACAGGTTGAAATTTGAGAAATGTTTATCTATTCCAACGTTTCGACGTGTAACGTCATCATCAGGGATAATATTAAAAAATAAAAATGGGTTAATTTACAAATTATAAGTCACAAATTTTGAAATAAACTTAAAAAAAACAAAATCTTCGAAAAACCAAAATTTCGAAAAATCAATCAAATGAATCTGCTAAAGTGCGGGCAGGTGGAGTGTTGTTAGTACTTTAGGAGCATTCTATTTTTGATTTATTTTTATTGTGAAATTAAATTTAAATGAATTCAAATGAGAATTTGTGTATTCTTTGAGTGTTAGTTAGATATAATTTGGTGTTTGGACGTCTGTGTTCTGCAAACCTATACTCAAAAGGTCGGCAAAGTTCAAATTCTTTCAGAATGTTTCGAATCCGTTTAGTGACCATATCACTCATAAAAGGAATAGTCATAATGCAATGATATATGTAAGTCCTCAATTTTTTTTTCAAAAATGTAAGTCCTCAATTTTTGACAATTTTTCAAATTTCTGAATTCACTGTTTTATACAAAAGCAAAATTGACAACAGTTTGTTGGTTACCCAAACGTCCTTCTACGACCAACATCTGTTTTTTTCTAGCTCATCATTTTCACTTTCACAGTAACTACTTCTCTTCTCTCAAGACAAGAACATAAAAAACCAAGTGACGAAATTCAAGAAACAAAAAAAAAACGTTGTGGGAGGAGTTACTGTTGATGGCGCCGGTTCGTTGATGAGGGAAGGAAGGAAGGAAAAAGGAGAAGAAGAAAACTTGACTTTTTTCATCACCATCATCATAATAAATCGAATTGGAACCTTATTTTTTATATCATATTTTGTTTCTGTGAAATTGTCACGGGTTTGAATTTATTTTTAGTACTGGTTTTTTGATGAGTTGAATTGTTTTGCAAAAATAGAAAAGAATGCTATTCATTTTATATCTAATATTTTTCTATTCTATCAGTTTAGGACTGTGTGGTAAGTTTTTTGTTCATTTTTTGAAATGTTAACCTTGGGCATCGAACATCGCTTATCCTAATCTCCGTGAAGGTTACGAACAGTTCCTTCTGTTTTTCGAAAAATTGAACATCCGGTTAGCCAAAGAAACCATTAGTAGAGTAGTTCTCGAGAAACGAAAAAAATCTTGAAAGTTAATGGAACAAGACATTTTTCAGATTCTTGTGATTGTCCTGATGTAATCCGACCGGTTTGTGGAACCGATAATGTAACTTATGATAACTTATGTGTATTTCGATGTGCACAAAATATTGATAAGGATCTTATGTTTTTCTACAATGGAACATGTTGCTCACAAACTTTATGTGATCCAAGGATAGAAACTCCATTATGTGATAATTTTGGGAAAACTCATATCAATGAGTGCACATTTTTGAAATATAGATGTCTAATGCAAAAAAGTATGGGGCTCTCTTTAGAAAAATTGTACGATGGGCCATGCCAAAATAAAAAGTGTTCTTCAAAATATGAATGTTCTCAACAATATGACCCAGTTTGTGATAATAATGGTGAAATTTATATAAACATATGCCTGTGAGTTTGACTTTGTTTTGTTTTTTTTTCAAGCTGACATAAATTTTGATTCAGCTTCGAGAAACGGAAATGTGAACTGGAGACAATGAACAAAGTGATCATCCTCGCTGAAGATCAAAAATCGTGTACAAGCCGACAAAGACAAAAAATGGCCGGTGTTGAATTTTACACATATTCCTCTTACGTAGACGATGAACAAACTAAAGAAGAACTTGTATCAATTGCTAACTCAACAACTACAATCATTCCGCCGCTAACAACCACCTCAAAATCAGATCAAAAAATTGTATTTCGAGATTCGAATGGTCAGGTCAGCTTTTTTCTTGACAGTTTTTCAGCCATCAATCATTCAACTTAATAATAATAATTGTAAACAATGCAGACAGATTAGATCTGATTTAAATCTATACTTTTGTCGTATTATGGCAGAAGATGCTGTTCAAGTTGAAAAATGAGAGAAAAAAGATTCTCATCAACGATTAGTTAGAAAAACTTTACAATTTAAAAATGGTCCAATCGAGAATTTTTGAGAAAAAAAAACTTATAGGATGGATTGAAATCTGAAACAAAAAAATGTTTAAGTCTATAATTGTCTTAGGAGAGTTTAAAATCCTACACCTGTCGAATTTTTTAAAAGTGTTGAATAATATTTCACAGCACATCCTCATTCAAAAAAGTTTCATTTCCAGACTCCGACCCAATTCAATCAGAAGTGCAGTCTATCAGAATGTGAAAAAACATGGAATCCAGTATGTGATAGTCGTAATCGAACACATAAAAACGTTTGCCACTTCAAATATTATGCTTGCAAGGTTTGTATAAAAATGTCTTTCTTTCTGTTACAATAGCCATATCACTTTTACTTTCCATCAAATCCCTAAAATGTGTTTGTCTGTGTTTGTATTTTTTCTATTGTGTTCCACTGATGATCATTGGGAAAAAATAATAATGCATATATATATAGTTTTTCAGGTTAACGAGATAAATGGGAGTAGCATTGATATCGCTAATATTGGAGCGTGTGTGACAAATAAAAATGTTTGTGCAACATGTCCGAAAGAAGAACCAATGATACCTGTGTGCGATAATAGAAATATGGTTGGCTTTTGGGATTCAATTTAAAATTAAAAAACAACTTTCAGACTCACCCAACTTTATGCAGTTTTATCCAATTCAATTGTGAAGCTCGAAATAAACATGAAGATGAAAGAGTTCTTGTTCATATCAAATCTTGTCATCAACGAAGTCCACAATTCGATTTGAAAGAAGAAATCTGTCCAAAAATGTGTAGTCGAGATTTGAAGCCAGTTTGTGATGAGGCAAATAATACTCATCAAAATCTTTGTCATTTTCAACAATATAATTGTAATATGCGAAAACTTGGAATTCATGCACCATATCTTAGATATTTACGACCGTGTATTACAAGAAAACTTGATTTTGCTGTGGAAAATATTGAGATCCAAGCGACAGTGTCAAATGTTCAGATGGTGATGCAAACAACGCCTTCTGAAAAAACAACTTTCATTGTAAGCACACCTGAGAGAGTAAAAAGTACTGAAACGTCAACCACAACCATTTCAACAACAACAGAATCTGAAGCATTTTTCGATTGTCCAAAACCAAATTGTCCAACTGATGGTCAACCTGTGTGTGACTCAAAAGGCAATTTGCATGGTAATTTATGTGAATTTACATATTCTCGATGTTTGGCTGCAACAATTGGAGAGCAATTACATATTGCTAATGAAGATAATTGTGTATCAAAAGAAGCTTGCCAAATGCCCTGCACTGATGAAAAACATCATATTTGTGCATCTGATTTTTCGACTTATGATAATTTGTGTCAATTTAGAAAGCAAAAATGTTTGGATACAGAGTTGGAAGTTCTATTCAAAGGTATACTTTTAAATTTTCAAATGACTTTTTCATTTCCAACTTTTGTATACTTCTATTATTTCACTTTTGATGCTTTAAAAAAATTTATTCAGGAAAATGCAATGAGTGTTTGGATTCTCCGTGTGCTCATCCACCATTTGATGCACCAGATGATTCATTTGTCTGTCTTGAAGATGGATCAACAAAGTCTCTGTGCGAATACCAAATGTTGAGTTGTATCTTTGAACGAGGTTATGGCTTGAACCTCACTGTTCAATATGTGAGTGTTTATTTTTTGAGAAAAGATATTGAAATTCTCAAATGTTCTGTTTTTTCCAGATTGGTAAATGTTGTGAGCGTGTTGAAACTTGCGATGAAGAAAAAACTGATCCAATATGTGCATCAAATAATGTTACCTATTTGACGGAATGTGAAATGAATATTGAGAATTGTAAATTCAGAAAATTGGACCTGCCATTGTTGACTGTAGAAAGACGAGGAATTTGTGAGAGGTGAGATTCATGAAAAGTGATTTTCTAAATTCAAAATGAAAATGAACACAGTACATTACAATTATTTCATATATATTTATCCCAGTATAAAAAATGTGTCATGAATATACTTATAATTTCTAGAAGTCAAGAAATATCCATGGATAAATTGCAAAGTGAATTCAAAAGAGGTAAGCCCCCCTCACAAAATCTAAAATGCTCAACTATTTCAGAAAACCTTTTCGATTGCAAAACAGAATGTGATAACTCATATGAACCACTTTGTGGAACTAACGGTGTCACTTATACAAACCCATGTTCACTTCAAAAAGAGTTATGTATGGAGGGAAGGTATGAATATTGAAAACATTCTATTTTCAAATTTTTCCACATTCATATTACAGCGGTCGTGTTGAAATTGCATACACAGGAATGTGTTGTGATACTAATTGCCCCAATGACTTTAGTCCTGTTTGCGATGATCAAGGGAAAACTCATCAAAATATCTGTCACTTTGGTGTGAATCGTTGCATTTTAGAAAGATCTTTGGGAAGCTTATTATCTATTGAAAAGTTTGGAATTTGCACTGATGTTAAAGAATGTGCAATTGAATGTCCAAAAGAATATTCTCCGGTTTGCTCAACAAATGGACAGAATATTATAAATGAATGTGAACTTGATAAAATCAATTGTCTTCTTTCACATAATATAACAATTGGAGAACTTTTAGTCAAAGATTATGACGGTACTTTTTTTCAATTTTTTCAAAAATTTCCAAAATTTTACACCTTCAGGAGAATGTTGTCGATCTGAAAACTGTGACATCACTGAATTCTCACCAGTTTGTGACACTGATGGAATAACTCATTCAAATCTGTGTTTGATGGAAAAACATGCTTGTGTTCAAAATAAGAAATTTGGAAAGAATGTTACTGTATTGTATAATGTAAGTCCCTTTTTTTCGGGTTAATAAATTAGGCAGAAGAAATTTGTTGACGGTAATTTAAGGATTATTAACACCTGGCGTAGGAAGAAACATATCATCAAAGAATTCTGCATTAGCCTTGAGTAATAAAATTAGGGTTAAAAGTAGATACGATCTCAGGTGCAATTAGGTTATTTTGCGAAGAATAGGATTAATGCAGATTTGGAAGCACTTGTCTACAAAATAATTAATTTTTGAAATTGAACAATGAAATTAATTGTCTTATTGTTAATAAAAATTAAAGTTTATTGAGATATTCGAAAATTCACTGCATTTTCTTTGTCAAAAAAAAATCTTATTTCAGGGTCAATGTTGTGCACAACGTTGCGAAAATATCACTGAGCCAGTTTGCGATGGCAACACAACATATTCCAATGTTTGTGAGTTCAAAATTGCACAATGTGAAGCACATCGTATCAATAAAACTCTCACCATTTCATATAATGGGCAATGTTGTCCTTTTGAAACATCTGGAGAATGTTCAACATCAGGTCCGCTGTGTGATTCCGATGGTCAAACTCATAATTCACATTGTCATTATCAACAGAAAAAATGTATTGAGGAAAGAGTGAGCGGTAAAACTTTGAACGTAGTTCATACGGGAGAATGCTGTTCACTTGCTGTTTGTCCGAAATCTGGACAATATGTTTGCGATTCTATGGGCAGAACTCACGATTCAATTTGTCATTTTCATAATGCAAAATGTATTTATGATAAGATTCATAAAACAAACAATACATTAAATCTACATTATCAAGGTAATTTTTTCGAATAGTTTGTTCATTTTTAAAACTTGTTTTTTTCAGGAAAATGTTGTCCTGCTGGATGTACTGATGAATTATCAGTGACTTGTGATCAACATGGAAATGTTTATCGAAACGTTTGTTATTTCAATCTGAAAGCTTGTGAAACATGGAGACGGACGCAAGAAGTGCTTTTAGCAACACCCTGTCCTTTACTTCGAACTTGAGCTAACTACGAAAATATATAAAAATTATTAATTGTTTGTATATAAAATTGTTCGTTGAAAAAGTTGTTAGTGTCTTCCCACAAATGTTTTTCGCAAAACAATAATAATAATAAGAAAATTACCTTGGGAACAGATTTTTTTTATTTTTTATGTTTTGAAGAATATTTTTGAAGAAGATTCTTAGAAGAATTCAATATTTTTCATTTACCTACTCATTATTTTGGTATAAAAATAACTCGTGACTACCGTAGTAATTTTTCATGAACTTTATGAACAAGTATAATATACAATTAATGACGTCGGGGATTTTTTGAAGCATCGTATAGCTAAAGTTATTTTGAAGGCACCTGTAGTTCAACATTGTTTTCATGTCGAGGACTTGATGTTCTGGAACGAACTTCGAAATTCGAAAGTTTTGTTTCCACTTCATGCAGACGTGTGCCAAGAACTCTGAAAATTTCAGAAACGTTACAGTTTTTGATTGATTCATAAATTTGATAATTGGTTATTGATTAATTTTTTAAATCAGTCATAACTTTTGTTAACTTTTTGATATCAGGTCTGTTAATACAACCTACCTAACAACAAAATAATATTCAACTTCAAACCCACTATAATTATTTCAGTAGTTTAGCCACTCACTTATTAGCTTTTCTCAAATGTGCCAATGCCATTTGCTTATCATTACATAAGTCGAGCAAAATTGTTGTTATAGCACGATAATCCGAATCATCCAATTCGATAGAGTGAGAAGCCAAAAGTTCGCGGACTAAAATATTTGAGGATTTATTTTTTTATCGAATTTTACTTACTTTGCTTCATATTTATGACGGCGACAGATGTTTTTTCGGAATCGACTTTTTCAGATTTCGGACTAGTTTTTTGTGATGTTACTGATTCAGCCATTGTTTTGTATTTTTCTAATGTTGATTTTATACTTTCACTTTCTTCTTGAGCTGTATTTAGACGGGCTTTGAGAAAACGATTTTCTGCTACCAATGTATCAATATCTTCCGCAATTCTTCTAGAATCTCCATTCAGTAAATATGATAACTCATTGCTCAATCTGCTCACTTTTTGTTGTAATTCATCTCTCTCGATTAAAAGTTCCTCTTTTATTCCAAGTACAGTTTGTAAATCTGATTCGATTTGTTTGTATTTTGTTTGTAATTTTTCATGAATATGCAAACTACTCGTAGATGGTTCATCTTCTGATAATGTATTTCTCCTCGCTGTCCCCGCTAATTTTTCAACTTCATATCTTGCAATTGTTTGTCGGAATGTTTTACAATCTTTGCGGAGTTCGGCTTTTTCATCTGCCAGTTCTTGTTTTTCTCGTTTCAGAATCTGATTCTCTTTTTTGAATCTGTTCAAATCTTCAAGCAAATCTTGTCGCTCATTAGAATATTGAAGTTTTTGATTCGCTTCACTCTAAAATCTTTGAAATATTTTTGAGCAAAAGGAAAAAATCATACCGCAGTTGCAAATTCAGATTCCCTTTCCGCTCGTTCCAAATTTCTTTCCAATGTTTTCACACGCGCATCTAGTACATTTTTCTCATTTTCAGATATCTGCAAATCTTGCCCGAGGCGAACTATTGTGTCTGTTTTTGCATTCACTTTTTGTTGTAGAGTGAGAATCTAAAAATAAACATCATAAAAATGGTCATGTTTCTCTGTGAATTTTTGTCAATTTAAAAATTATTCGTATGAAATTCACAAGAATAGTTCCAAAGTAAAATGTGTTTTATTTAAACAAACATTTTCAAATATATTCACGTCCCTCATTTCTACTTCTTCTATATCTTATTCGTTTTAAGCTGAACTGAAACCCTAGAATTTGCTTATAATGATAGCCTCTCTTAACAACTAACCTGCTTTTTCAGATCCCTTATTTCAGCCTCCATATTTGCCATACATATAATTTAAGAACGACAACGAAGCAAAGCGGACAGCGCCAAATATAAATTAGAGAAGGAATCGATTGCGCAAAATAGACAACGAGAGCACTGCAGGGCCCTGCTGAGCAGCTGGAAAAAATGCACATCTTCGCGCACTCTTCAACAACGTTGGTTTGGTCTTTTTTCCTCATTTCATGCCGCCTTTTTTCTCATTTTATTAGAGTTTTTTCAATATAGCTTCTCATAATGATAATCTTGACATGACATATATTAATTTCGAAAACACCAATATGATAATTAAGGATTTATTGCAAGCTATCGAATGGTATAAGAATGGAAAAGTGAAAAATCGAATCAGGACTAGGAAAAATGTATGTATATTCGAGAAATATATATATGGAGTTATTTATAATGAAGAAATGAGACTACTCGACTACTGTAACCCTTTCGGCAAATAAAAAACGATGATGTGAAATTTAATGAATCAAAGCTGATGGCGAGGAAGCATATTCCGGAAGATTGACATGACCGTAACCCTCAAACAACTTGCGAACATCTGACACACGTGCAAACTCGACATCTTCTTCTTCAGAATTATCGTGATGATTGTGATGGTTGTGCTGAACATCGTTATCATTTTGGTTGAAAGCTAGGTTTCATAAATGGGAAATTTCAAAAAAAAAAACTGAAAGTCACATATTCAAACGTCTTTTTTTTTCAAACTCACAACATTTTCTTTGGTAATAGTTGATGAACGAGACTTTGGTACAATATTTCCGCCAACAATAATTGAGCCAGTCTTTGATGTGACCGATGAGCAGACTGAACTCTTGCGAGTGCTCGGTTTCGAAGCTTCAAAGATTTGTGGTGACAATGTTGGACGAGATGAATTGGACAATCTTGGAATTCCAGCTAATGGTGTTGGTGGAGGAGTGTTGTGTGAGGCACCAAATTCATTCACAAAGCTTCGAACATTTTTAACAACGCGGACTGATTGATGATCGCCATAGATGTTGTGAGTGTTTGGTTGGACACCTGGAGGTTTTTTTAACTTAACAAAATGAGTTAGGTTAACTTACGCAAAACTGGTGCGATTGGGCGAACGGTACTAACAGAAGAAGTTCGAGAATGCGATGTGTGCTAGAAATTATTTTTCCTTTTTTTTTTTCAATTTGAAAAAATACCTTGCTAGCAACGCTTGCTGGTCTCGAAGGAACATTTGATCGATTCTCGTGGTAACCACTTTGAAGTGTTGATCTTCTTGAGCCACCAATTTGAACATGAGAGTTTGCTTTCTGCAAAAAATAAAATGTTCGTTTTACAAATCAGAATCTCATTAACTTGTTCCAGAAAAAGCACCTACTTATAGAGAAGGGTTAATTAATCGGGTAGAAACATTTCAATGAATTTCTCAAAATACTCTATTTTCTTGGAGATTGTCGAGGTTTTGGGGTTGGGCCAGCATATGTTGGCTCATTTGAGATTGGTATAATTTGTTTGGGTTGTTGGAGAAGGATATAATCAGATGGTTCATCAGGTGTTTTTTGTTGTGGGAACTTTCGAGGCTTCTTTGTGCCTTCGATGAGTTCGTCGGAAAGTTTTGGGATTTTTGAGAAGTTTGGAACATGGTTGGAGTTTGAGATTGACTCATTTGAGTTTATGTTTCCAGTTGAAGATTTCAGAGCATTTGGTTGATAATTATGTTCTCTAATGATACTTCGAATAATTTCATTCTGATTTTTCTTTGGAACAAATTGATGATTATCAAGTTCCGGTACAAAATGATGTCCTCTATCAAATTGAGAAATTTGTTCTTTCACTTTGGTTTGTGGAACATATTGATGATTGTGAAGACTTCGGTCATTTATTGAATTTTGAATTGAAACAACTTCAGGTTTATAGTTATGTTCTCGAATAATCTCTCGTTTATCATCTTGTTGTTCGAGTCTTTGAACATAATGGTGATCTCTATCCAATTGAGGAGTACGAGCTTTTTTCTCAAATTGTGGCACAAAATTATGATAATGATCAATTGAAGGTTGCTCATTTGGAGAATGATGAACTTCTGGTTGATATTGATGTTTATGGATAATTTCACGGTTATCTTTATAATTTTCGATTCGTTGAACATAATTATGAGCACGATCAATTTGAGGAACACGTTCCTTTTTGTCTAACTGTGGCACATATTGATGATTGTGATTGATTGAATTTTTCTCGATTGAAGATTTTTGAACAGTTGGGACATATTTATGTTCATTAGAAGTTATTGATTTTGCAGATGATTTAGTTGGAAGATTTGGTTGATAGTGATGATCTCGAATAACTTCTCGTTTCTCTTCATGTTGATTGAGATTTTGAACATAATTATGGTGACGATCAACTTCAACTTTTTCTTCTTTCTGTTTGATTTGTGGCACAAAATGATGAGCATACACGAATTGTGGTTGTTCAACTACCTTTTTCTGAACTGTCGGCACATAATGATGATTTTCCGTTTGATTTGAATGGTTTGCAGTCGGCCGAGTTGGAATGTTTGGTTGGTAATGATGATCTCTAATAACTTCGCGATTATCAGCTGTTTGATTCAGTTTCTGGACATAATTATGATGTCGATCAAGCTGTGGAACTTTTTCTTTCTTTTCCATAGGTGGAACATATTTGTGTTGATGATCAACTGATGTTTTGCTATTCAAAGCTTGTTGAATTGAAGGTACATAATGATGTTGCTCTGAATTTATATTTCTGGAAGTTGTATCAACTTTCGATATAACTGGCTGATATTTATGATTTCGGATTATTTCTTGATTATCATTTTGGTTTTTCGGCAAACTTGGAACAAAATGATGGTGATCGTTAACAATTGTGTTAATTTCCTGAGTTTGTGGAATACTTGGTACATAATGATGGTTTTGCACAACACTTGATTTCAATCCTTCTTGTTTTGTCATTGGAGGTTGATATTGATGATGTCGAATAATTTCCCGATTTTCTTGGTTTCTTGGAATCACTGGAACATAATTATGATGATTATTGGAAGGTGAAGTTTTTGAAATACTGGTTTTTGTTATCGGTGGCACAAAATTATGCTTATCTTGTGCAGTTGCCACATTTTTCTTGGTTGTTGTTATCACCGGAACATAATTATGTGATTGATTTTGACCTTTTGCAACATTTTCCTGTTTCTGCAAACTTGGCACATATCCATGATTTCTTTCATATTTTTCAGCATTAATTGGTTCTCTGTTTGGAATGTGTGGAACAAAGGAATGCTCAAGAATTGGTTGTGTTCGGGTTGAGGAGAAAATTTGGGATTTTGGAATATAATTGTGCAAAGCGAGGTTAGTTTGATGATTTTGTTGGTGACGCGGGAGAGCGGGAATGAAATTGTGCTCATTTTTCACTACCTCATGAACAGTTCGTTGCGGAATCGCCGGAACAAAATTGTGCTGTTGGTTAGTTTGATGGTGATGTTGAACATCAGAAGCTTTTTGATAAGCTGGAATATAATTATGTTCTCTTTCAAACTTTTGAGATGAAAAATCATTACTTCGCGCATAATTAATTGGTGGAACATAATTATGATTTCTTGGCAATCGAGGAACAACTTCTTTTTGTGGAATAACTGGATAGTATTGATGAGAATGAATATCGACAGAAGTTTTATTTAGTTGCCCATGAACAATTGGTGGGATATAGTTGTGGTGTTGCAAATCAACTTTTTCATCATAATCCTCATAATTAGAGGTGATTGGAATATATCCATGATTTCTTGGCATTTCGGAAACTTGATTAGCTGCTGAATTTGCAGAAATTAGAGGAATATATTGATGATTATGTTGAACTTCTTTTGTTGAAACGTGTTCACTTTTCGATGGCAAAGGAATATAACTGTGGTGTTGTTGAATCGATGTCTTATCACTATTTTTTTCGTTCGCTGTCAAAAGAGGCACAAACTGATGATTTTGGATCAAGTCGTGGGAATGACGTGGAACTGTGTTGGCTTGAGTGGCAAGCGGTATAAAACTGTGCTCGTGTGTTATCTTATCATTCTCTGATTTTTTCACTTGGGTATTTGGAATAAACTGATGATGAGTAAGATCAACATTTTGTTTTTCAATATGGTGAGATTGAGGCACAAATTGATGTTTCCGATGGTCAACAATTTGTTGATGACTTGTGGATTGAGTAGAAAGTGGAATATAAGAATGTTTCTCACTCCGTTTTTGATCTACTTTAACATGTTCAATAAGTGGGATGTAATTGTGCCGAGTATTGTTTTGTTGGTGTGTCTCTTCAGATTTTGACCGAAGTGGAATGTAGTGATGTTTATGAACATCCGCAGTTTTATTCTCAATAACCAACGGGCTTTGTGGGATGTAATGATGTTGTCTTTCAACACTTCGACTTTTTCGTTCTCCTTGTATCTCATAACTTGGTATATAGTTATGATAACGATACACTTGACGAACATCTTTCAAGGGTGATGTTGGTGTGCTTGGCACATAATTATGCGCGCGCTCAATATCCTTGAAATAGTCAACAGACTGTATCATAGGACTATGAACAACCCCTCCCTCAACAAATTCGCTGTAATGATGGCGCGGATCTATATGCCTATACTCTGTTATCACTTTAATCTGTGGAACATAATGGTGATGTTGTTGATTATTGCTGACTATGGAAAAATGTTCGTGATTATGATCAAGAATATCAAGGTGAACTGTTTGTGTTTCATATGGAATGTCGTAATGGACCTCCTCTTCTGAAAAGCCGACCTGAACATCCTCGTTATGATGATAGTGATTGTGGTTATGCACTTCTTCTTCAACGTAGTTATGAGTTTGGTGATTGTGATGTTCTTCGACAGCTTCGACAATGTGTGGCCTAGTCTCGAATTTAGCGCGAAGCGCATGCACACCTACAAGATCAAGTGATATATCAGAGTTTGGCGTTTCAGATCCGCTACCTAATTCAGCGCTCATTTGCTCATGAACAACTGTGGTCTCCTTGATCACATCGTTATAATTATGGTGTTGTTCGTGAGTACGTGCTGGTTTTGTTGGGAGGGGTGCAACATAGGCAAGGACAGGTGCTTGATAATGATGATCCTCTTCGCTGATGGTTGAAACAGTCGCCGAGCGAAGTTGATCGGTGACTTTTGGACCAGCTTGGTGCACATGAATGTGATGCGATTGAAGGGTTGAAGCGGTATTTGAGCGGGAATACCGAGGAGACTCTTGGGTAACAAACGTCTCACCAACAACAATATTTTGAGGGTGATTATGGTGCACTTCAACGTGAGTTACGTGTTCCTCAAAGTTATGATTGTGATGCTCGGAGTGAGTATCCGTGTATTCGACATGCTCGAATCCGAACGAATCTTCACTACGATTGTCAAAATGATCGTGATTATGATGTTCCTGAAATATCAAATTTTTAGAAATCTTAAAAAACTTTGCGATAACTAACATGAACTGATCTATGGATAGAAGATGTTCCGTGAACTGAAGCAGTTCCATGAACCGATGGTGGAGCATCATAATAAACAGGTGTGATAAATTCACTATGCTCCAAATCGGTATTTTTTCTCAAAACATGAACATTGTCTGAAGTAATGATTGATTCAGTCAAATGATTTGGCGCAATCGAATCTTCACTTGGCGCAACACTTGAAACAGTTGACTCGGTTCTTCCGTGAACATGAATGAATTGCTCCAAAACTGCATCGTGTTCTGGTGTTTGACCAACAGCCAATGGAGTTGAGGGTTCGATACCAATGCTACCAACAACCTATTAATTTTTAATGATTGTGAACTGATAAATTATGGAGAAAATGGAAACTTACAATTGGTTCAGCAACAACAGTTCCCTCGGTGATTGTTGATTCACTATCATGAGTAACGTTCGAATGTTTTGATGAACTAAAAAACAATAATTTCAATAAAGCCGATTTTGGTTTAAATATAAATAAACCAACCATGAAGATGTTTCCGACAAAGTTTTGGTGATTCCACCAACCACACTGTTCTCCTTTGGTGGAAAATCATATTGTGGAAGTGGTGGGAGATCATATGCCTAGAAAATATTTTGTATGTGAATCATCTTTCTCCAAGAAAATATAAAAATGTGAGTCTCACCCTGGCTGATTGTTGAGATACACTTGAATGTACAGATACCGAAGTAGCTTTTGACAATGCCGAAATCTAAAAAAAAAAAATACTTGTTTTATTTATTTCCTATTCTAGTTTATGTTTAGTACCTCGGATCTTGCATCATCTTCCTGTTTTTGATGTTCATCGTGCAAATTCTGCAAATATTTTTCAATTATTATTTTACCTTATGTGTCTTTGCTTCTTCAAAGAGCATTTGTTGGTTTTTAGTTTTCGATGATAAATCATTGATAAGAGAACATGGTTAACTTATCGATGATGTAATTAGAAGCCCACAAATAAAAATAAGCATAATGCAAAAATGGAAAAATAATGATTACCCCAATATTTCCTCCAACAACAATTTCATGATGAGAATCCTGAAAAATCAAAAGAATATATGGTTTGGAAAGTAGAGATTGAAATTCACCGCAAAGTTTCCTCCAACTGTGATGGATTCGTGATGAGTTTCCTGAAAATTATCAAATGTATAAATGAAATAAGAGGTTAATTTATCTAAAAGTTCGAAATAATACTATTTTTTGAATTTCACAAAATATTATACTTTTCACTTTTTACCTGGGTGCGGTTCTGATTGACATATGTTCATTCTAAAGAAAATCGAACATTTAATCTATAAATTTTCTAGTTGGAAATTAAATATGATAGATAAAATTAACTCATTATTAGGATAGACTGAAAATTTAAAGCTGTAGAAAGTTCCACCACAAAGAAAATAATAATTAAACGCCAGATATTCACGAAACCATTCTCTCTATTCCTATTTTCAAGAAATCCCTCCTATAACTTTTTACATTAAGAAACTCACAACGGTTGTTGATTCAAAATGAGATTCAACATGGTGATGGCTTTCCGAAATGTGAGTAGTTGTAGTCGTTGTGTTCACAGTTGGAAGTTGAACACGTGAAAAAACGACGTCCAAAAGACCTGAAATTCAGAAAGTTAGATGTGCTCACAAAACACAAAAGATTGTTTTTCTTACTATCGTTTCTTTCACGATCAGCCATCATGTTGATTTGTATAACCTGCAAAAATACTTTTTGAATTTCGCAACAAATAAAACAAAACAATATAGCAAACTAAAAATGAAAATAGTCGGTTTTATTTTTTGTCAAACTCAAATAATATGACAATGATAAGTGAAACGCAATCTGATAATGAAATGTCGTCGGCTCCGACACAAAATGATAAACGAAAATTTTTGCGAAAAAAAGACGACACGCGGCAAATGTGAAACGGCAATTTTTGTATTGCCGAGTTGTCTTATTGCTTGTGATGATGATAATGACAAGGAATTGCGAATTTCTGCTGATAATCAAAGGATTAGCGAAATTATGGTATCCAAATAGAATTTGGGAATTTAATTTGATTGTTTCAATCAATAGAAAAAACGGATATTCAATAGTTTTTCAATTTCCTAAGTTTCAAAGACTTGTGTATTTAATTTTCGAAATTTCGAATTTTAAAAAAATTCTCAAAAACAACTTTCCTGGAAATGGCCAGTTTCCGGCAGAAATCACATCATTTTTGGAAAAGGTGGACAGGAATTTCAATTCACTAGGAATCATGATTTGGAGTTCATTACATTTTCGAAATTAATGTGGAAACAGATACATTTTCTTACTGTTCCAATATCCGGATTCCAATTTGATTTCTTCCCAGTTGTAATTTTCTTCAGACGATAGCTATCGTTTTTACTTGGAAACCAGATTCAAATTAAGTTCAGCAGGTGAAAATTATGCACATTCAGCCATCACTTTTCTTCATTTTTCTCCGTTAAGCTTTTTTCATAAATAACTGGAATTTTCCACATTTCAAAATCAGCGAAACAAAGTATTATTGATAACAAAACATTTCAGTAAATGTTATAATCCCAAATTAACCAACATATTTCTTCCTACAAAAATGTCAACTTCCAAAGAATGATTACGCAATAATAATAATAATGCTGTATTTGCATTTTTTGTAATGTTTCGGGGATGTATACTATTACAATTAGCAGACATTTAATTGGCACAACTTGTTCTTTTTTGACTTGTTTTTTGATTAGTGAGCAGAAACCATTGTGCAAGACCTCCAGAGTTTCAATACACTTCTAAATGCACAAAAAACATACATATATAACTAGTGAGCCATGCACTTTTAATCAAATTTTTCGGGAAGATTTTATGATTTATTCACGATTTCAGTGTTATAACTTCAATATTCTCTTTTTGGTTTTATATATTTGTTGATTGACAAACAATATGTATAACATTTTCTTCTAGTAGCACGACGAAAAAAACTAATTCAAAATGTCACGCAATCCAAATTGTGAATCCAAATTGAAAATTCATTAAAATATGGAGGATCCTCATTTTTTCTTAGGCAAGAATTTGATTGCTTATGGTGTGCAATGAAATCGATACACCATACCCCAAACAGAAAGACAGGATAGTACGCTCTATTGCAACAGACCCCCATTGTTTATAATATTCAAACATGTTGCGTTGTCACCCTCTTCCTTCTCCCACCCCACGCTCTTTTTTCTTCCTATACTCCTGTCACCTGTTCTTTTTTTTTTTGGTTTATTTTTAAACAATTTTATTTCGCTTCTTTATTTTTATTCATTTTATAATTATTTTCAAAATCAATCAGTTCCGACCCCTTTTATCAAACCCTTTTGTTTAATTTTCTTTTATTCAAGTATTGATTTCAGACCTATCTTTCCACTTTTTGCATCGTATTGCGGGTGGTCTTCTTTTTCCTCTCTTCTTTTCTCTAACAAAAACTCTTTTTGATAAAAACAATAAAAAAAGTCTGATCTCGGGCGGGCTCGAACCGCCGGCCTTCTGTGTGTTAGACAGATGTGATAACCACTACACCACGAGATCGCATGAGTTTCCTCGCGCCAAAAATTGTTGAGAAGATTGAGATTGCCGATGAAAATTAAAAGGAAAAGTGTGGCTGTAGGTACATAAGAGAGAGAGAGAAAAAGCGGTCTTGTTAATAATTAGATAGAAAATGAGAAAATTTTGTTTGTGTATTGAAAGAATACGTGGGTGATAATAGTACGTTTTATTTTTGTTATGCTCTTGAAGGTTTCCCTAAGCTTCCCTATAATTTTGAATTTCCTCTAGTTAATAACTACTTTAGTCATTTCAGAACCCCCTTTAACTTGCCGCTTTTTTTGTCGAAAATTTTCTCGTTTTTCCAAATCAATTTTTGTCGTAGTTTAAAGTATTTTTTCGACAGTATCACAAGTTTCGTGGACACACATACAAACCCTCCTCAAAAATTATTGTTGTACATATAATATTTCATGACATTCTCTTTTTCTCGATCTAATCAGCAACTGCCTCTTTGGTGTATGTATGTGTGGGGGTCAAGAAAAACGGGAGAGATGACGAGAGAAAGAGTGAGACGATATGAGAGATGTTGAGAATTAGAGAAAAACAGAAAACGCACTCCACGGCAAACAAGCTACATAGTATGCGAGAATGAGAGAAATAAAGAGGCGGTTGTCTTCTTTCGCAGGGCCTCCATACGCATCCCTGCGAAGTGTGTTTGTGTGTGGTGATCAATAGAAGAATATTAGTTTTCGTTTTTTCGAGTAGTCTTTCTAGATCCGCTCGTTCTGTATGGATTTTTGATTTTTCAACGTATATTTTCTTGATTCAGAATATTTTTAAGTATGAAATCGATTTCAACTCTTAACGATTTGGTCTTCCCATACAATTTTATTGTTTAGATCCGGAGTTTATTGAAAACTAGTTTTGCATATCGTTTAGAAAATCATTTTGTAATTTTGTTTCAAATTATTATATATTCTTTCTGTTTTTTTCACGAATTTTTGATTGTTGCTCTTAATTAATCGCACAAATTTGATCTCAGAACACACTGAACTTTTTTTTCTGAAAATTCTTTTTCACACACTCTATTTTCTCAATATTTCTAATTTTTATTCATGAATATTGACATATATTTTATTTCACAACTCATCGCTATTTTTCTGCTCGTTTTGAAATGTGTTAAAGTTGTATACACGTTCTTTCTTAAATCTAAAATTTAAATAGAAAATTCTATCACAAATCTTTAAAAGTAAAATCTGCCAGTAAATGTTGAATATGACTTTCAATTCGTTATAATACTGAAATTTTTTATCTGACAAAAATATATGCATTCTAGATTCTTGATTTTGTTTAATTTTTAATATCTTCCAATTTTCAGATTGTCCATTAAATTCATAGGATTATTATTATTCGTTTGAAATCTTTATAAAAATTCGGTCCAAAAATACATTAAACCATGTCATCTATTTTTCATTTTCTAGAATTAAAATCATTATTCTGAATTATTCATAACGTTTGAATCAACATAATTGTTCTGCTCATTTTGACTGAAAACTCATTGAAAATTATAAATTTAAAAGAAACATTCGATTTTTGGTTTTATTCCTAATAATCAATCATTCGATTTTTTCTTATTTGATCTAAATTTTCTTCGACTACGGTAAAAGTTCGAAGTACAAGTGATTTGCATGATTTTTCACCTCTTCTTCTGCTGACAATTTCTCTGTTTCGCTAGACACGCCTACTTGATATGCTATGAGCCCTCTCACCGTATTTTTTTCGACTCCGCCCCGTTGTTAACTCGTCTGCTCTTGTTTCTTTTTATTTTCTCTCGCTTCTTTTTTCATTATTTTGTTAAAGAATAATTTTTTCAGATTATCTATCACACTTGATTCATTGAAGAATGGAAGGATCACATCTTCCTCTTCATAAACAAACAAATCATCCACATCCACATCCACATCCACATCCACATCCACATCCACATCCACATCCACATTCACATCAACCGGCAAATGTTGGTTCTCGTATGAGACAAGTTGGAATGCCCAGCCAACAAATCTTCACGAGACCAACAACAGTGAATTCAAGATCATTTATTCAGAACCAATATATACAAATGAATAGTGATGAGATAAATGCAATCATTCAACGAAGAAATGCCCACGCTGCTGCTACACAATATTATGGAAATTCAGTAGCACAAAATTCAAGATTGAGACCTCTACCAATTCAAAATTCAATGAATTTCACAAATCTTGAATTTGGTTCAGAAAGTCCGATTGGACAAGTTCTCAAAAAACAACTCGAAAAACCAGTGAGAAATGATTTTCGAGAAAAATCACAAAAAAAGAAGGTGGTTACTTGTGCAGAAGTTGAGAAGAGGAAAAGAGAAGCAACTTATGAAAAAATGAATCTTTTTTATGCGAAGATGGAAGAAGATACAAATTTGTATCCAACATTTCAAAATGCGCACGATTGTTCATTGGATTTCTATTTTCACATGCAGCATGCTGATTTGGAAGTGACTGAATTGAGTCATTTACAAAAAGTCCGAAACTTTTTTAAAGTTCTTTTAAATTCGGTTAGTTTTTATTTTTATCAATTACAAAATGAAACAAACGTGTTTTTCCAGAATCGGGATACGCAGCAGAACATTCGAGATAGTGAATATTTCTGTAGGGAATATTTTTTGGAAAAATCTGGAATTTCATTTCGATATGATTTTTCATCCGATGTTCCTGATTTGGTTCACCCACCAGTTCTACTAACTGGATATTTTCCATATAGTTGTATTTCAAATACACAAAAAGCTGAATATCTTTGTGCTCGTTACAAAGAAGCTGTCAAAGAATATCAGCGATTGATCCCGTAAGTTTTCTTCTCATTTCTATGGAATCAAAATTATTTCAATAATTACAGCGCTGTGAAAAATGTGAAAAGATTTGATATGACTGTGGTTGCGGCAAAAGCTCATTTTCTTTGGGATTTTCATCGCGAAGGTCGCCATATTCATGGTTTTTTTTATTTTGCAAAAGATGCATATCATACCTATATGGTTGACATGTTCAACAACTTCCTGTTTCCTGGCGATTTACCGTATGAAGCCTGGGATGAACGTGTTAAAGTGGCATTTGATCGAGTTTGTTCTTTCAATTTGCATTTATCAGAAGTTATTCGAAGGTATGCTTTTTAAAGTTAATTTTATTTACAAATAATTATTTTTCAGCAATTATGAAGATTTCAAAGAAATTTCTAATCGATTTTATGATTCATATCAAAGCCCACATGTAACAAAATCGAAAGAATATCCAAAAGGTGTTAACCAAATAAAAGTTCGAAAAGTCGGACAGCAAATGGAAAATAAGCACATATTTGGTAATAGGGCTATTCATATTGGAGGGACCAAACCATTGGGTGTAGGATGGAGTTATACAAAGTAAGAAAACACTTTCCAGTAATTAATTTTTAATTTCATTTTTTTAGCCAATTGACCGATGAAGAGGGAAATTTGATAAAACCATCTGGATTGAATGAATATCTCAATATTACTGGTCCACTTTCAAATGTAACAACAAGCACATCTACAGATGATGGTCAATATGATGAAAGCGAGAGAATTAAACATTTTCTTCTACCTGTTCTTCACGAATTGACTGGTCAAATGTCAAGTGAGTTTTTTTTAAAGTTTTCCACAGAACATTTTGAAAAACAATTTTATTCAGGTGGTTTCGAAAAAGGACTACATTATGAGAATTTTGAGACAAATGAAGAAGTTAAAGAAGTTGCCCAAGTGTTGACAATTTTGGTTTGTTCAATTGCTGTTGAGGATGTTGGCGAAGAAGCAGTTCTTGGTGAACAAGAAAATGTGCAACAAGTTTTTGTTGATAAACCTGCTAGATTTGATGATATTATTGATTTGGATGGAGTTTCAATTTTGGAACCAGAACCGGAAGTGGCTCAAACAACTCCACAAAATAAAGAAGATAATTTATCTGTTGAAATTTCAATTGATCCAATTCAACAACAAACTCCAAAGAAAATTATTGAAGAATTGGATGAAATGGGAGAAATATTGGAGGAACCCGTCAGCCAGCCAGTGCAATCAACCAGTCAAATTCAAATTCAAACTGAAACTATTGAAAAATCAATTTCGAACCAAGATCATGTTTATGAACATGTTCCAATTCGATCAGGACCAGTAACACCAGTCAGATCTATTGCTGAAATTATTGAATCAGTGTCGAAGGAACTCACAATTGAGAGACAGAATTCTCCACCTTTGACATTATCAAATATTCATGAACATCCAGGAAGTAGAAAAATAGATGCATTGAATCTAATCAAAAACGAGACACCAATCAAAATTATTGAAAAAAATCACAAATCCAAAGAATTGTTGCAATCAATTTGCGATTATATCAATTGTTCATATGAAGAAACTTGTGATTGGCTAGTAATATTATCAAGCGTTAGTTTTCTTAAATTATTTTTTTCAATACGGTTTATTTTTTTTTCAGAAAGTTCGAAAAAATCAAACGGTCGCCAAAGCAGATCCATTCTTACAAAATCTTTCAAAATGTTTCAATTTTCATGAAGATTTGACAAGCGGATCAAAATGGTGGACATTTGATATTGATGTTGATGCTATGTTTTCTGGCTCTCTTGAAAACAAAAAACAAGAATATTTGGAATATAGAGAAAATCCAAACAAAAGTAAAAAGAGAACTCTCGATCAATCTCCAACTATTCCGACAAAAGTTCCTCGTTTGGGTATGCAATTTTTTCAATTCGCTCAATTCCAAATAATATTTTTTTCATTTTTCCAGATGATACTGTAGGTCCAAGCACCCCAACAACCCGTGAAAAGAGACGTTCGGCATCAAAAAGCGTTTCTCCGCGAACTACTCAAAATGAAAATACCAAGAATGATGGACCAACTTTACCAATTATTGTGAATGATGAAGAAGGCATTGATGTTGTTACAATAAACAAAGATTCAAATGAAATGGAAATTGAAATTGAGAAAGAAATTATTGAAGAACAAAACATTGAACCAATTATGATATTGGATGACACTAATATTCCTTCAACATCAACCGGAAAAACAAAGGAGATTATTGATTTAGAAAATGAGTTGCTCGAACAAGAATCAATTGAAGAAGTTATTCCAGAAATCTCGACTATTTATAATGTTGATGTCGAAAGAAAAACAATTCGTGGAATTGCAACAGTTTCCTTGAATCTCACTCAAAATTGCAATTCTCAATCATTCTCGGAAACATATTTTGCTGGAAAATTCAACAAAGATTATATTGATAGAAGAATCACTGCTGTTTTGGATGAAACAAATGATTTTAGAACTGAACTAGTTGAAATTGGAAATGAAGAACATATTGAATCGGAAGAAGTTCTTAATTCGAATATTGATATAGTATTAGATGAATGTGAAGTTATGACTGAGAATCTAACTGTTGCTCCAAATGAATCAGTATCACTGAGCGAAAAAGATAGAAACGATGAATTAGTTGTCACATTGGATACACCAAATACAACAGAACCAACTGAAATCACTATTTCTGAGCCAACACAAACAACAATGGAAACAGAATTAGAAATTCTGAAGCAACCAGTTGGTGTTGTTATTTCATTAAAAAATGAAATTTTGGATTATGGCCAGGATTCGCTATCAGTTCATTGTAATTCAACGGATATGCAACGAAATGGAGAATGTGCATCTATCAAGACAACAATTGATGCAGTTCCAATTAGCGAAGATGTTGTCGTATTTTCAACTCATGATTCAGAAATTGTTCAAGAAAAAGAAGCGGAGAAGGGTATTGTAGTTGAAGCTGATATTAATATGGCAACAACAATTGAAACAGCTTATAATATTCCGGAAACAATCGAGCAAAATTATGATCGAGAAAGTATTGCTGGAAAAATGTTTGGCTGAGCTCGAAACAAAATCAGTTAACATTGAATCAACTTCACTGGATATTCAAAATTCAACTATTGAATTGAATGATAAACGAGATGGATCTAAGATATTGGCCAAAGTTAAATGTGTCAGTGTTGAAACTGAAAAACTTGCCGTTTCTGACAACAAAGTGAAACATGGAAAAATTTGTGAGAATGCTGAGAAATCATCTGCAGTTGTTAAATGTGCAAAAATCAGAAAACATTCAATGGCAATATATGGTGGAATTCGTAAGAAGTTCAAGAGTAAGAATAGAAGACCGAAGAGTCACGTGAATATAAGAACCAATCTGAGCAATTATGCTACTTATCGAATGAATCTCAAGCAAATAAGAAAACGACTTTATTTACATAAAGACGACGTCGCAATTGATGCTGTTTTCAAAATGGGACCAACAGTTGAAGAACATATGGAAGTTGTTGATTCAATAAGTGATTTGAACAAAAATTCATCGGATTCATCAATTCCTCCAGATGATGGTATAAATTGCGACAAAATTGGTGCATCAACATCGAATGATGTGAATACAGTGAATAAAGAAACTGAAGAAAAATTGAATAAGGCCAATATATTTGCAATGAAAGAGCAAAAAGAAATTTTAGATTCTGTTCTACCAACTCAAAATTTCGCGAAAACTGAATTCACTCTCAAGATGCCTGCTAAACCTCGCGTTGTAATGGATTCTGAAAGTAAGTTAGAAATTTATATAATTTAATTTAAATAAACATATATTTACTTTCAGAGCAATCTTATAATCAAATCGATATCCTTTCTGCTGCTGTTAAGGAAACACTTGGAGATGATATATTCGAAAACATTTTCAATGATTCAAAAGCAAATAAAATAGAGGAAAGGAAACAAGAGATTATGATGATGAAACCATCAACTTCTGGAACTGATTTCAATCAAACTTCAGAACCATCAACCTCTTCTTATTCATTGGAGAAATTACCAATGTCACACGAGGCTGAAAACTTCCTCCAAATGCTTGTAGATCAAACAAATGATGAATCTTCACGTATGTTTTTTTGTTTTTCAGTTTTTAGATACAAACTCTTTTTGTTTCAGGAATTCGAATTGAGGCACAAACAAATATATTGAATTCTGATGAAACATCAACGCCATTTATACATCAAGAAGATAATGCGGAAAATCAATGGGTCCCATATCCAGACAAATTTGATAATCGTGACAAAAATAGGAAACAAAATGCGGATGCATCTAAAAATAAACCATCGTCTTCGACTTCCAAATCAAAAGACTCTGAAAAGGAAATGATTGACGATGATCCTTCCACTCATTTTGTTTGTGATTTGATTGCTAATCGCTTCTTCAAATTTGAACCAAAGAATGTTATGCTGATGTCAAAAAAATTCAAGAAGCATATTTTCTTGGACTTTTCAATCAAAACAGACACGAATTTGTTCTGTAAGTTAATCAAAATTGATTTCATTTCCACAATTTTTGTTTCAGTTCCTCTGCTATTCCCCCGTGAAAATGGAAAGGTTTCATGTTTAACATCACGATCGATGGATATTTCCAGACATGTTTTTGATGAAAAAGCAATCAAATGTGAGTTTCAGCTGAATTAATTTTGAAAAATGTTGTTCTTCTAGGTTTCGTCAAAGTTTCACCATCTACACTCTATAAGGCTTGGAGAGAACCACAAATTAAACAATCAGGAGGTTTGTGGATGTTTTGTTACTCTAATACATCTATTCATTTGGGAAAAAAACACCAAAAAAAGTTATTTTTTCTAGAATTTTTTTCTATTCGCGAAAATGCACAAAATAAATGTCAATCCTGACGAGACTCACACAAAAATAACGAGCGAAAAAAAACAAGAAATGAGATTTTCAAGAAAATCTATTTTTCACACTTGCTGTCTCGAAATGAGTATGGGTCTTGTCACGATTGCATGTATTACACGACAATTTGAGTAAAAGTTAAATAACAAATAAATTTTAACGAAAATGGGCGGAGCCTAATATACATGCATACATGCATAGGTAGACAACAGATATATACACGAAAGATGCGTTTCTCTGCTGTCTGCCTATACCTGTATATTAGGCTCCGCCCACTTTCGTTAAAATTTATTTGTTCTGTAAAAGCGTGTACAATTTGTGAATTTGGTGAATTAAAAAAATTGTTAAAAAGTTTTTTTTTTGTGTTTTTTTTTTGCATATGAATGCATAAAAATTGGTTTTTTAGTATTCGATTCACCAAATGTGACAGAATTGACTTGGACAGAATTTTTTGTTGGAAACTGGACACTATCAGGTCATAAAATTCGAGCAACTGGTAATGATTTTTTGCAGAAAAAACTTGATTTGCTTATTTTTATTTCCAGATTTCATTTTCCGTCCTCTCAACCAAGACGCTACTAAATATGCCATCATTTTTTATGAAGCTGGTTGGTTCAATCAAATTATTTGCCGACATGTTCCTGATTCACTTGTTCACCCTGTGGATTCAGCGGAACATGGTTGTGCTGGATGTACAGATAAAACAGTTTATTTGATACATATCTGTGATTGCGAGGAGAATGCTTCTTTGAAAACCGCCAGTAATGCCATAATTATCAATTTGCGAAATGCAAAGCTTACAAATAAACGACATGATATGATTGGCCGATTTATTTGTCAACACGGACCTTCTGAAAAATTGACTATAATCAATAAATCAGCAGCGCCACCAAAGTTATCGAACGGTATTATTCACGGAGTTACAAATGTTTTCCTTAAACTCTCCGACAGTTCTGTTTGCGATGAATCTCCATTTTCCTTTGGTTTTATCAATTCATTGTTGGAAGAACCCGAATATACCGAAAATCAAATATCGATTGATTCAAACCAACTGTCAAATCCACTCGATTTATACACTCCAACAACTCGACATCTCACAGGACCTTCAACAATTCCAGATAGTTTTGTGGTCTCAAATCAACTAGAATTTTCTCAACAACCAAGTGGATCACAATCCTGCGACAATTTGTATAATGAAACTGAAAGATTCTTTGATGATTTAGCAGTGATGGACAATGATAAATTAACAACTCCAACACGCTTGCCAATTTATGAAAAGGAACATGTTAATTATAATGCAGAACAATCTATCCAACCAGAACAAGTGTTACAAGCTATTCAATTAACACCACCAACTGCACAGCAAGCCTTGCATCCTCAAAATCCTCTTTCTGTGCCAACAATACAACAAAACGCACAGCATTTCCAATCATTCCAACAGCAACATCAACAAGGAATTGCATCAAATACAGCTCCGCGTTCAGTTCCAGTACCATCTACACATCAAACCTCACCAACTGATTATATTATTGGACAACCTCAATCAAATCCATCATTTTATTCGGATATGAATCCAAGCAGTGTGCAACAAATTTCATCAAGTTCTTCAGCAGTTTTATATCAACCTCAAGCATCAGGATCACAACAAGATAATTGTGCGATTCGTGCTTTGTCACAACAAAGTCAACGTCAAAATGTTACTCATTTGAGTCAACCACCAACACCTTTGTTCCAAGGATATTCATTACAATCACAAATTGGAATTTTCAATGAAGAAGGACCATCGCAACCTCGTCCTCAACCGGCAACAAAAAGTCGCCAAAAGAAAACACCGACGGAGCCGAAGAAAACTCCAGTAAAACGATCCACTGCTAAAAATCGAAAAGAAACATCAGAAGAACAATTGAGACAACATGAAAATCTGTGCATTCCTGTTAACAATCCATATGGACATCCAGCTCAATATGAAAATCAATCAAGAGGTTACCCTAATGCTGTACAACCTGTTATGAGTATTCAACAACAACAACAAGTTGCACAATTTGGAATGATGAATCCACCAAATCATTCTCAAATGATTCCACCAGGTGCCCATCCCTTTGCGCGTCCATTGGCTCATCAAAATCCGGAACTCGTACGTCAACTTGCAATGCCGAACAGAAACACCTACAATCAAGGTGCCCAGTATGCAGCAAATCCAAATCAATCAAGATCAGATTTCTATCCAAATCCATATCCAACACAATCGCTTCCAATGGCACCTCAATACCCATCAGAAGAACAATTGATGCGATATGCTCAAAGCCAAAGAATTCAACAACATCCAGGATATGGGTTACACACAAATCCACAAGAACAATATATTCGTGGCCCACCGATAGTGCGGCAACCATTCCCACCGCAAACTAATCAACAATATCAACAATTCGAACAGAGAAGACGACAAATGGAGCAACTTTATCAACAACAAAATCAGCAAACACAAATGCAGCAACAACAACAAATGCAGCAACAACAACAAATGCAGCAACAACAACAAATGCAGCAACAACAACAACAAATGCAGCAGCATCAACAAATGTCGCAACCGTCACAAATGCAGCGGCCACAAATGCAGCCACAACAAGTGCAGCCGCAACAAATGCAGCCGCAACAAATGCAACCTCCACAAATGTCAGCTCAACAAATGCAGCAACAACAACAGCGAAATCAACCTATGACTTCTCAATTCCAAGAATCATCAATGCAAGATCAGCGAGCGCTGGCTTTCCAACAACAGCATCGATTACTACAAGAAGAAGAAAGGCTGAAGCGTGTTGAACAAGAAGAATTGCACTATGCTCAAAGTCAGAATCAAAATCAGAACCAGCAACCAATGAATCCAGCTGGAAATTTCAATAATTTTGGTGGAAATTATGATGCATTTGGTAATCAAGGAATGTTCCCGGATCCAACGATGGACATGCCGTATGTTGGATACGAACAGCAACATTCACAGTCACAGAATCAATATCATAATCCAAACCAAAATCAAAATCAACATCAACGTTCTACTGCTGAAAATATTTCAACAATTGAAGATGATAATAATTCTCGAAGAGCAACACCTGTTGCACCAAGCGTAAGTTTTAGAAAGTTTACAATTTTTGAAAATATGTTTGAATTTTTAGAGCAATTCATCTTCGAGTCCTAGTCAACCATCCTGGAACTTCGACAACAATATTTCATCAGTTGTAAGTTTAATATGGTTGTCAAAAAATCAAAAATTACATTATTTCAGCGTTCCGATTCATATGCTTATCGACGTATTGATGAAAGTTCAATTCTTTCTGGAAAACTACCATCTGTTCCACCATCGTATTTGCGTTGTTTGGAAGATGATGAAAATGGTGTCTTGAGTTTGGTCCAATATCAAGCAGTACCTGAAACTGTTCCAATTGCTCAACAAAGTATTGGAGTCGCAGTTTGTGATGAAGCTGAAGAATATGAAGCACAACAATATCGTCGAACTTGTGCAATGCGAAGAATGAAAGCTTTCTCGGAAGTGGTTTTGAGAAAACTCAGAAAGGAGAAAGAAAGATCCAAAGTAACAACAATTGAAATTCGATCAAAATCTTTGGAGAACAAAAATCGAGAAAAATTGGTGGAACAATCGAAACTTGCGAGAGTTGCATCATTATGTCAACTTTATGAAATCGACAATTATGCCAAAAAGAAGATGGAAATTGTGAAAAATAAATTTGAGTTCCAATTAGAAGATAAGAATAATTCTTCAATTCAAATTGAATCGAAAGAATTTATGGATGAATTACTGAATGGTCGCAAAGTATTTGACGACAACAAGACAAACATCAAGGATTCAATCAGATTTGATATGCTCACTTCAATGCTTGGTGCCAGTTTTCCACAAGATGCGCAAAGTTCAAGAAATAATGAGAACAATATGACGTATTTGGATGTTATCAAAAAATTCAGTCTCATGAAATTCTATGGTTCAAAGGATCTCAGCAAAGTTCCAATGTTCAACAAAGATGAAGAAATGATTCATGGGGAATCAATCAGCCCTGTTATGGATGAATTATTGAAATTCAATCAATTTATCCGAGAACAACATAATCATATCAGGGAGATTGTTGATAGTATTCCGGTTAGTTTAATTTTTGAATTCCCAATATACTATTTACAAAGTAATCTTTTTCAGGAAATGCTACACAATAAGAACAAAAAAGTTGAAGCATATATCAATTGTCTTGCCACATCTCAAAGAGTCTGGGCTATAATTATACAGAGATTTATGATTGATATTCAATCAAATATTTTCAATATTTATAGTATTCATCGGGCCGAGAGAGCACAATCTGTTGAGCAGTTGAAAGAACTTATGGAACAACGAAAGAAGGATATAACTCTTATTGTTGATCTTGTTTTCGATTTGACTCTCGCAAAATCATTGATTGTCAAGTTTATGAAAGGACCGAAAAATGCTTCGCTTGCTCGTGTTGTCAACTCATTCATTTCACATTCAATCTTGCTGTTTGAAAGAATTCGACCATCCCCATGGCTCAATTCAGCATTCCAAAATAACCAACCTTGGAGAAATCGTTTTGCCGATTTTGAAGATTCTGTCAGTTTGTTAACAATGACACTCGAAGACAAAATTCCGACCAATTTTGATGTTGATTCATTCTTGCAACAATGTGCCCGTGAACATATTGATCCAAATCTTGTTCAAAATCAAATGCAAAGCTTCAATTCTTCAAATGCCAGAGCTACATTACTTGATGCGTTCTGCAACCAATCTGCTTTGTTGTTCGACGCTATGCGACAAGCTGTTCCGGATGGTATTGCTGATCATCGAATTATGTTATATTATCGACATCAATTATGGATGAATATGAGACAACTTCTGAACCGTGAAGAGATTTTCGTGACTCGAGAAGATATTTCCAATTTGCCTGATGCCACAAGATCTTTAATGACTTCTGCAGTAGCTGCTGGTGGAACCACAAGCTATTGTATTCATTTGAGTGTTCTAGAAATGCAGCAATTGTATTCACAATTATCGCGAGTGTATCCTGGTGCTCCAATGGTTCAACCAGCAAATAATGGATTTGCAATCTGGGTGGATGATAAATCATTGACATTCTCGATTGTTGTGGAAAGACCAGTAACAGTTATTAATGATCCAAGACAACGGAAACATGTTTATTACTATAGAGATTGTCGAGAAGAATATGATTATGAGCACACATTCGAACTTCCTCAAGGAAATATCAGAGTTATGGTAAGTGTTTTCATTCAGGAACAAAGGAATACGATATACTAAACAAATTATCTTCAGGTTTGCAAAAAGACGGGCAGAATTTATCTGCAAATTTTGAACGATAAGCTCACACCAAAATCTGATGCATTCCTTTTCAAATCTTTACCGGAATTACGTGAAAGTGGCGAAATTGAGTGGACAAGATTCAATGAAACGTATTTGATGCCAAGTTTCAATTATATCAGAGATCAGATGGATTTTGTGTCATCAGAATGTATTCAGCTTCCATGGGAACAAAAATGGAGAAAAGAAAAATTGAGAAGTGAGATGAAGAGTGTTGATTGTGGAAAACGACGTGAACAAATGAGAACTCATAATTTCAAACTCGCGGACAAATATTTCACAAGAAACAAATTGATATTTGAAAAAGCCGAAAAAATGAAAGCTCAAGATAACAAAGAAATATTAGAAAGTCCAGTTTGCTTTGAACCAAAAGCAACAGATGCACCAGATATTCCTGAAAGGTAAGTAATTATCCAAACTTACAGACAATATAAAGAAAATTGATATTTTCAGACCACCATCAGCGCCACTTTGGAATGGTCGGAAACCAAATGAAGAATTCGGCGAATATTTACGACGAGCTGAACATGAAATTGGTTATGAAGAAGATGGTGAACCTGTTGAATTTTTAGATATGGGCGAAGAAGAACCACAAAGTGATGATGATGTTGAAGTTGTATTCCAGGATTATTCATTCCGCAATCGCGATGTTTCAATAATTCCTTCATCAAATAATCTTTTTGTAAGTTAAACTTTGATTGAAACCCAATTATGATTATAATATTTCCTGTTTTTTTTCAGCCGGCTGTGAGAGTTGCGACACCGGAACCTGATTTGCCAGAACCATCAACCTCAAGACCAAATAGTTTCGATTATGTAGATGCAAATGACGTTGATGAATTTTCGGCTGAACAACAAATGTTTGCATCGTCATCAAACTGCCACTTTGAAGAACAAAATAGTGATAATTTTGAGATTGATTCTTATGAATCTGAAAACGATTATGAGAAGGATTATAATGAAAATAGATCTGATTCCGATTCTTCTGATTCTGAAGATGATGATGACGAAGACAACGAATGAATTATAGCTAAAATTAATTAAAAATGTACAATTACAGTGTTATTTTTTTACTTTTATACCTTATACCCTTTTACCTGCAAAATTACTACTACTTAACATTTTATCATGTACACTTGTTTAGACACAATTGAACTTTATTTTGAACCATCTCATTTTTTGTACCCTTAACTACTTTATTATGTACCGTTTTAACTGCTTACCCTACTTGCCATTTTTGTGATTCGAATTTTTCTTTGTACCCAGTTTAGAAAACGGAATTTCTTTTGGATTGGGCATCCATAAGAGTTCTGGTTTCATTTAATAAATATTTAATTTAATGTATACCTATGTTTTTTTTTGAATATTCAAAAATTATATTCGCGGTTTTTCAGAAAAAGTAAATCCAGTAATTTAAAAGCTTTCAAGAATTCTTTTTAAAACAGTTTCTGACTTATTTATCAAACGAATATTTGGTATCTCATGAATTGAACGTTGAAATACCAAAAATCAATTCACCATGTGTTCATCTGCGTCTTTCATCGTTATGACCAATCAAAGACCAACGTCGTCGTTTCTTTTTGTTGTCGAAAAATTCACACATTCGTTCGTTCTTTTTTTTTCAAAGCATAGTCTTCCGTCCCGGAGAGCGACTAAATGAATGATGAATTGCAGTGCAGGCCGGCAGGCGGTACAAATACAATCTTTTTCTTCTTTCTTCTTTTCTAGAAATACATCTATCTCATTCTGTCTCTATATATAGCAATATAAAAAACGAAAAAACAGTTTCTTCTTTGTTGCTAAAAACCGCTGGTAACAAAACCAAAGTGTTTTTCTCACGCATACGCACTTTATCGCTTCTCATATTCTATTCCTACTTCTCATTTTTTCTTCTTAACGCCTAAAAAGGCGATTGATAAGTTCGTTTATTATTATTTTCACTACTACTTTTACAACTTTGTCATATTTATTATTTGTTTAATCAAATGTCAAGTTTATCGATAATCCTTCTTTCAACAACATTATTCCTATTGCTTTCATGTTTTATTGAGGCAAAAGTCAGTCCATATATTATTTATGAGAAATTACCAATTGAAAAACTGCAACAAGCTAGACAATATGGTGCAAGAGGTAGGTTAAAATATTTTTGAAATTGATTTTGAAAAATTGATATTTTCAGCATATAAAGATTTTCTGCGTGCAACCGAAAATGCAACTTCACGAGAGAGGTAAGGGGGTTAAGAATTTCACACATTAGTTCAGTAACATCCAAAACACATTCATAAAAGTGTTTTGGTACCAAAAATATTAGGTTTTGGGTCCAAACATCTTTACGAATTGATCAAATCGTTCAATGCGTTCAAAAATTATATGAACCAATTTTTCGATAGATCAAACAAAAATACGTTTTCCCATGAAGTGCACCAAAAAATGAACGTGAGAAACTCAAGAAGTCTGCGCAAAATCAGCTGACAGAAAAAATCTTTTTTCACACGATTTCAAAAAATTTGATATGATCAAGTTTGGTTTCGATTTTTTGACCTTCTCATTTTCCATACAACCAATTATAATGCGGGTTCTTTGAACGATGATATATCGAATAATGTGACTTTCAATCACAATCTATAAAGAGAAAATAAAGATAAACAAATTGGGACCATTGCGATCACTTGATTCTTTCTTCCTTTTTTTATTATCGCGCAACTTTTAATGGTTTATGTTTGCGAGGGAAAATACGACTTATTAATGATGAATGATGAGAAAAACAATAAACATTTTATAGAATGAATGTGTATGAGGACTATTTTATGCAATGTAACAATCTTGGACACGAAAGCGCTGTTTCAATGTTCGATCACGTTTACAACACAAAACTTACAAAGGATATGAAAGTAAAGACACAAAGAATATTCATAATCATTATCATAAATCAAATTTTTCAGCTTTTACTGACCCTTGGTTTCAACTCATTCGCGGCTAGATTTGCATCGATGAATCCAACTGTTTTTGAACAAGGACTTGTACAATTATGTGAAAAATATGAGATGCAATTACAATGCCAATTAGGATTTGGTGAATCTAGAACATCAATTTATTGGAGAATTGAAGATTTGAAAAACACTGATGGAAATTTGAGAATTCTTTTGGATCGACAATGTCCACAACCGGATGCTGATAATTCGATATATCCTTGTTTTTCGACAAATGTTGATCAATATACAAAACCATGCTATCAGGTATGTTATGCATTCGGAATATTATTATTAATGAAACGTTTTTGAACGTTCTCTTATCTTGAAAGATATAATTCATCTGAAACATTTCGAAATTTTACTTTTTTTCTTTGCAACTTTTTTTGGGAGTTCTCATTCATTTTATAACCAAAATCGGCCTATTTAAAAGTTTGATCGCACTTAAAAGTTATTGAAAAACCTTAAAATATTGTTTAATTGATGTCGGTTTTATTTCGCAAAATATCACTTCAACCCATAAAAATTATCTTGTAGGAAATGTTGGCTTATAATTACACACGATACTCAGCTGGGCGACGAATCGCTCGAATTCACATCAGAGCATCAAAACAAATTGCTGATCTCACTAAAAACAAGGTAAACTACTTTTCCTTTTCAAGTTATCTGAAAAAATCCAATTTTGAATTTAGGATCTTGAAAATGACGATGATCAATTTTTGACAATGAAAGAACATGTTCAAACTGTTTTTGGTCGAGCTCTTGGATCGATTGCTGAGATTGAGGGAGAAAAATGCGACGCATTGGATCGAGTTCTGAATTGTGTTTTGCCAAAAGTTGAGGCAAAATGTGGAGTGGATGCTGTGGAAGTTATGAAAAGTAGTATTCTTGTAGGGTGAGTCGAGAAACCTGTTTTTTGCAATTTCAATTGTTTATGAAAAATTGAAAATTTTCAAATTGGTCAGAAATCAAAAAAAAAAATTTCAGATACCTTTCAACCCAACGACGCGAACCTCTTGCATCACAATTTGTTGGATTCGCAGTGGACCCAAGTCCAAAATGCCAAGCTCTTCATCCGAACATTGTGTAAATCTTGCATATTCATTATTTATACATGTATTATCTGTACAATCAAACAAACAACAACAACATTTTTTCGACGATAAACATTTTTTGTTACAAAAAATTCTTGTCTTTTTGTCCCGTTTTACCTGACATGTTTCAACAGTAATAATCATCGATTACACATAATTTGATTGTGAAAAATAGAGAGAAAAAGGCAAAAAGGAGAAAAACATAGAAACACCCATTTTTCATTTTTGTCCAACTTGACAATGACTATTGGTGAGTTTTTTGTTTCATTTTTTGATGATTCTTTATGTTATGACATGAAGCATATCATTATTTTCTTTTTCTTTTTCGGGAAATGAAAGCAAATGCGTTCCAAAAAAAAGAACAAATATGTTATAATAAATTTAAAATTTGATTTAACAGAAGGAGACGTTAGACGTGCTGCTAGAGATGTGAAAAACACTATTCGACCACCATGGTATAGAAGAGCTTGGAGTAAGTTGAATTTACCAGTAGTAGTTTCAGTTTTTGACAATTTTCAGACCGTGTCCGCAACGTTTTCCGTCGTTAAAACATTGTGATCGTAAAACAAACATAATCCACTTTTTTCATATTATTTTCAATGTTTGTGTATGTTTTTATTCTGTAAAAATCAATCATTTTGAAATAAAAGTTTTTTTATTAAAAAAATGTTTATGGTTAAATACACGTTTTTCAAATTTTCATGAAGTTCGGGTCAAATCAAACAGTTAACTTGTAGAAAAATATATTAAGACTTTATTAAACACAAAAAATAAACAACTTGGTTCTAGAAAATAAAACACTGTTAACATTTGATTTTCGTCACGGGTGGCATATCTTGTGATTGATAAATATTTCCATCAAATTACTTTAGATCAAAATGTTTTTCTCGAAACATGATTTTGAGAAGAATAATGAAGACCAGCAGATAATTTCTTTTAAATTGTAACTAAAAACATAATGAGTACCAAGTTTTTGGAATTAGTATGGGACACATTCCATCATTAAGGATAAAGTTGATAAATTTTTATTTATTTCAAAAAACTGTTAGACATCCGTGACACCCTCAACAAACTAACAAACCTCAACTTACAAACGTGACCATTTTCATATGTGATTGCCCATCAAAATATAGAACACAAAACACAATAAAACTATTTCGATTTAACAAAGAAAAAAGTTTTGACAAAAGGAAAATATCACATGAAACATGAATGACAAAAACAGTCTTGGGAAACTTTTTATGAATTCCTGAATCAAAGAAATGAAATGTTTCTGGGAAACATTTTATCAATCAATTGTTTTTTATGGGAAGTGAATGAATAGATAGATAAAACTGCCAGAATTGTCTATAAAAAATAAATTCATCAAGAGAAATTGCACTATTTTCATGATTTATTCTGAAGATGAAAGAGTGAGTTGTTTGAAAATCCAAAAATATATTGTTTCTATTTTACAGTAAATTTTTTCCAGAAAGCTCGACAAGTTGAATGGTAACGTTGTTTTTTTTGTAGTTGTCAAAGTTGATTATACTTGTCTCATAATTTCATTCAAAACAATACATCTAACCTGAAAGATAAAAAAAATGATTTCCTGGTTAGTCAATTGAAAATTCTGATTATGTAAAACTGTAAGTCAGCAGACAGTCTGTGTTCGGAATACTTCTAAACCAGTTTGGCCGGTTTTAAAATTGTTGATTATTATAGCCGATGAAACATAGGATGTTTGAAATGAAATAGAAACTGAAAAAAATATGGAATCAAAAATCACATATTATGATAGGTTCAATCTTATCGACAGAAAAAGATTATTAAATTTCAACAAAAGTTAATATTCATTAAAATGGTTATTACTCAATAAATTTTCCAAAGATTTATAGACTCATTTATAGTTAGTTAAAAAGCCTAACGCATAATTGCGAACTTAAATTTTCACGTAGAAGGACAACCCCTTCGATGATCATTAGAAGTTTGTCCCAAAATGTTGTGTATAAATACAAGTTGACAACAGTTTTGATCATTGTCTTCAAATTTCCCGCCTTCGAATGTTTGGTTAGTTTCCACAAACCATTTAGGAAAATAAGAAAAAACAATATTGTTTATTTGTATTCTCTTGTTGTATGGAAACCACACCTCACTTTCAAAAAAATGAACCATAAAAAACCGAACAATGGTTTTTTGGTTAGGATTTAAAATTTGCATTTAATACCGTTTGTGTTCAGCGTTCTGTTCATTTTTTTCAGAAATGGAGAATTGGTCGAAAACAATTCAAATATCAGCGATCGTGTTGGGCTTGGCATTAGTTGCAATATCTTCAATAACACTTGCTGTAACTCTGGGAGGAGACACAAACGATAACTTTTTAAATGATAGAATTGTGAAATTAGCAATCCGTGAGTTCCTATAATTTTTTAAAGAAATGTTAGTTTCTAAAAATATTTCAGCTGAACTCGCATCATCGATAAATAAAAATCTGGATATTGAAAATATAATTCAACATGCTAGAAATATAACAAAACATGTTCATATTGCTGGAACTCCGAATAATCTGAGAGTAGCTGAATATATACGTGATCAAATGATATCACAAGGATTGAAAAATGTTCATTTCAATGAATATGAAGTGCTTCTAAACTATCCAAATTTCAAAGAACCAAACAAATTGGAAATATTAGACTCAAATGGGGATGTTGTTTATGAGACAAGCGGTTTGAGTGAACCATTGATCAAATCTGAACAAAATGAAATTGAAGGTAAAATACAATGGCTAGCCTATTCAGCTCCAGGTGAAGCATCTGGAGATGTTGTATATGTTAACAAAGCTACACATCAGGATTATGACATTTTAAAAAATTCTGGAATCAATGTTACTGGCAAAATTCATATTGCTCGACATGGTACGGCTTTCCGAGGAAATATTGCCAGAAATGCGGAAAAAAATGGAGCCATTGGCCTGATTATCTATTCAGATCCCGCAATTGTTGCATCACTTGGAACACAAAAAGCAAACGTGTTCCCAAATACAAATAAAATGCCAGGAAGTGATGTTGAACGGGGTGGGTTATATATCGGATTAGGAGACCCACAAACTCCAGATCTGCCTTCTATCAAAAATTTGTATCGTAGCAAGAGTATTCAAGAGGTGAGATAATTGAATATCGGCTTCATTTCTCAGAATGAGACTATTATAAAAATGTTCCAGCTCGGTGAAGATCATATTATTCCTAACATCCCTGTAATCCCTCTTCCATATGAACATATCGCAAATATTTTTGAAAAAATGAATGGCGATCAACCAGTTGATTCAACATTTGTCGGAAAACTGAATGCAACATATAAATATGGTCCGGGTTTGAAAAACAAGGAAAAAGTTCGAATTAATGTGAAATCAGAATTTTCGAAAAGGTAAGCCTCATATATTCAGAAAGAAAAACTAATAACTATTTAGGAAAATTCAAAATGTTTTCGGGTTTATTGAAGGAGAAGTTGAAAAAGATAGATATGTTATTGTTTCCAATCATTATGATGCTTGGACTTATGGAGCAATTGATCCAAATTCAGGGACTTCAACATTGTTAGATGTTTCCAAATCTTTTAAACAGTATCAGAATTCAACAGGTTGGAAACCATTTAGAAGTATATTATTTGCACATTGGGATGCGGAAGAATTTGGATTGATAGGATCAAGTGAATTTACACAAGAATATCGAGTTCAACTAATGAGAAGAGCTGTAGGAGTTATCAATATGGATATTATTGGAGGAAATAAAACACTGTAATATTCAATTAAGAACACGAACTACTAAAAATTATCTCTGATATTTCAGAAACGTCTTTGCAAATCCATCAATCGTGAACGTTATCAGAAATGCGGCAAAACGAGTTGAACATCCTTTAAAATCAGAGCATATAGGAGGATCCAAAAATATTTATAATGTTTGGAGAAGGACCAAACCATCGAAAAATCCATTATTGATTGATCCTGAATATATGAGACCAGCTGGTGGTTCAGATCATGCCCCATTTTATGATTATTTAGGTGTTCCGATTATCACATTTATCACATCAGATGAATCTATGTTGACTTATCCTTTGTATCATACAATATATGAAACAAAGTTTCTTGCTGAAAACATCCAAGATCGGGATAGTTATAAAACTCATAAAGCGATTGGTGAATTATTCATCGATATGACTGTTCAACTTTCAGAGAATGAAATACTCCCTTATGAGTGAGCCACACTTTTCTTAACAAATACACATATTTATTTATTTTCAGTATTCACGAGCTCGTCTCTGAAATTTATTCAGACGACATTCCAAGTATTTTCACTGCGCTACAAGAAAATCAATCGAATCTCGATAAAAATTATAATATTCCTTCAGAACAAGCAGTATTTTTGAATTCAACAGCTTTCGATCTTCTGAATTTCATAGAATCCAGAAAAAACAATGAATATTCAACTGTTTTTGATAAAATCACAGAAAATAATCATTTGATAGAGTATGTCATTAAAAAACTTAGAGATTCTATAAAATGATTTCAGATTCGAAAAATGTTTCATTCTCCCACAAGGCCAAAATGGTAACCTCAATGCAAGACATCTTTTATATCACCCCAATTCTGAGAACTGGTATCATAATAAAGGATTACAACAAATATTTGCAACAGTGAGTTGAATTTTTGAACAGATTCTTTAACAACAAATAAAATATACTTCAGATTACTCAAATTAAAAAATCGACAAACAATATAGAAAAATTGGCACATGAATTGGCTCAGGAAATAGCGCAAATAACAAACGCGTTAATATGTGCCAAACATTCTTTAAATTATTTGTATGACTAAAATTGACAATTGTTGTATTATATGATAACTTGCATATCATTCTCTAAATGTGTTGTATTTCATGAAATTTTCTGAAAAAATAAAGAAAAGTTGATTATTTAATAACCAGAGTTCCGAATTTCGAAATCTTTCTATGCTGACACTTCACCGAGAACAATAATTTATGGTTTCAAATGAAAAAGGAAAAAGAATGAAATAAATCTTTGAAAATAACCGAATTTGGGTGTCAAATCAATCAGCCTATAAAATACCACAAAAACAACGCGGGAAGTGAGAAAAATTCGTTAAAAACTGTGATGAATAAATAGATAAACAGAAATCTGCAAAGATCACAATTCAGACCCATTTAGAAAGCAAAAAGAAGCAAAATTGACAAGATTGGAATGGATGTTGAGCGAATTTTGGCATACATAAAACATTATTATATTTGTTTCATATGATAATTTATGCTGATGGAGTAAAGTCGCCAAATCCTTCAACGCGTGCTTGACCTTTTCCAAGAATAGCGAGTTGAGCATCGATAAGTTGAATGAGTTCTGGTGGCGATGGAACTCTTCCAGATTCGAGTTTGCTCCAAAGTTGCTCAGCATCAAGATAGATTTCGAATGCTCCAGTAGAAATCAATGTTTGTTCAGCAAGGTTACTCAACATAAAAACCATCATACATGTCGACATCTGAAAATCAATTGGATAGTTTTTTTTCAATTTTTCTTTATATGTTCCTATATAAATTATTTCTCCCGACTACAATAAAGAAAAGATATGTCTTTCGTATAGTTGAATACAATTCCCACTAATCCCATCTTTCTCTATTCAGAAAAAAAGAAATAGTAATAAAGTACCTTGTTATTATGCGCATGTTGAAGAATAGCTGGATATCCATAACCAAAATTAGCAAACGGATTCGATCCAAACATAATAATTGCCAAAATGAAGATTTTAGCAAAGCTAATTGCTTGAGCAACATAAGCTTTCCATGCAACTGGCGGATAGTTTCCTCCATCGATTTTGATGTTTGGATATTTCTCGCGGATAACACTTGAGAATTGATCAAACGCTTGTTTATAACCACATGAAACACTGAAAAAAGAAAAATATTGCAAACGTTTTTAGAGAAAAAACTAAAACTAACCAGTAGAGGAAAGTGAGTGGTGGAAGATCTTTTCCATTATTTACAGCAACGGTTTTTGGTTGAACAAATGCTGATTGTTCTCTAACTTCAATATGATCATCTTCTGTTCCTTCGCTAAATTGATTTCCATCGCTGTCTTCATCTCCGAATTCCGCTTGGAACTCATCTTTATCATGAAAATGTTCATCCTCTGCAATAAAAAACATGATGAAATTTCGAAAATGTTCATTTTCATCAAAGTTCTTACCTTTGACAACATCGCATGTTGACAAAACCAAGAAGACGCCAAGAATGATCAATCCAACTTTGAACATCTGAAAATATGATTTTATAACTAGTGCGAGCATGAAAAACGCAAAAAAAAAACCTATTTCGACGCCTAAAATGAGATGAAATAAAAAAGAAAAAGAAAAACCGAGAATGCTAGAGAAAATAATGACAGGGACACTGGTCAGAATCGATAGAGGGAAGAGAAGGAAAGTGCGCCCTAATGCAAATACGAGCGCGTCCATTCGGTTTTCTCTCATAGTGTTCATCTTTTACCTGACTATGAGTCAACCAACTTTTTTCCTTTCTTTTCTTTTCTTTCCGCTTATTTGTTGTTATCATATGTCTAACTGTATAATATTATATTGATTTTTTCGGCATTTTTAGGAATTCTACAAATTGGTTTAGGGGTTTTTTCTGGAAATTGGATTTTTCAATGAATTTCGTAACAAAATGAGTCAGCGTGTTTTATTCGTGAATGATTCATTATTTTTCTTGGTTCTTTTGAAAAAAGTGCGTGAGATTGAAGATTGTTATCTAGGGTGTTTTCTCGAGTTAGCGAGGTCATTTAACTTTTGCACATACAAAATGTTCAACACCTTTTCAATTCAACATTTCTACATCATTGTGCGCAACATTAGACAAAACTAAACAAACATGTTAAAATATTTACTTGCCTCTAACCTCTTTATATTACTTGACTCTACTTCAATATAATTTGAAAAAAAAAACCCAACTTTTTTCTAATCCAACCCATCCCATAAATCAATTTTTGTTGAACTATGTTTTTGCTATACCTCCGGTTCTTTTTGATTCCGTCTCTTCATCCATCCGTCCATAATTAATTAGCCAGCGAGCGCTATAATTTACGACATTTTTTTCGTTGTCAACTTTTCTGTTCGTATTTTCCAGATGTTTTATATGATCGTTAGTGACCAGGACCACATTTTCATATTTTTTTGGACAAAAGTATAACGATGACTCACTTTCTATTCTCCTCCCTCTGCTCACTTTCATTTGAAACATACTTTTTTCTTTATCAAAAATAAAATGTTTGTTCATTTTTTCTGTTTTCAGTCGCAGCATGTCATCGCCATCAAGACAAATCAAATGCGTTGTCGTAGGAGATGGTACTGTAGGTAAAACGTGTATGTTGATATCGTATACAACGGATTCATTCCCTCTTCAATATGTGCCGACTGTGTAAGTTCAGTTTTTTTTTTGAGAAAAAAACTGTGAATTGAATCTGTAAGACTAGTGAGAATCCCCATTCGATGAAACTGGAGATATGAAAAAATTTCGTGAGAACCTGGGCCTCTTTTCAAATTGAAAGCTACTTGCGTAATTTTTTTCGGAGTTGGAAACTGTACTTTCGGTGATAGAGTTTTTTTTCGAAAAAAGCAATTAGTGTGAATTCAAAACGAATTCAAAATGTCCATAAACATCACAATTTCAACTCGAGACATCAAATTCCTAATGAAAGATCGGTTACGACTCTGGCATATTCTATTTTTATAAAATACGTTTTATCATTTCATTGTCCTATCTTCATTATTTGGAATTTTGACTATGAAAGTTGTGAAGACCTTTTTCAGTGAGTTCAATAGCATTCTCAAAATGTTCGTTTTTGCAGATTCGATAATTATTCATCACAAATGTCGATTGATGGAAACATAGTGAATTTAGGATTATGGGATACAGCTGGACAGGAAGATTATGATCGACTTCGCCCTTTGTCTTATCCACAAACTGATGTATTTATCCTTTGCTTCTCTGTAGTTTCGCCAGTTTCATTCGATAATGTGGCCACAAAATGGATTCCCGAAATTCGTCAGCATTGTCCAGATGCACCAGTGATTTTGGTTGGTACAAAATTGGATTTACGCGATGAGCCAGAACCAATTCGCGCATTACAAGCAGAAGGACGAGCACCAATTACCAAGTCGCAGGGACAAAAGATGGCGCAAAGAATTAAGGCTGTTAAATATTTGGAATGTTCTGCGTTGACACAACATGGATTATCAAGTGTTAGTTTTTTTTCGGAGATAATTAAGAAAAATATGTAATGTATTGATTTTCAGGTATTCGAAGATGCAGTTAGATCAATTCTCAATCCAAAGCCTATCAAAAAGAAGAAATCATGCAATGTGATGTGATTCCATTTCCGGTCACCAATCAAATATCAAACGCAATGCTAAAAATAATATATATTTATGAGAATATATATTTGTAATAATACGATCCGACACGAATTTTATATACATATTATTTTTCAATTTTCCATCTTATAGTTTCAATCCCCGAAATCACAGGTATCTAAATCAATAATTTCTGTTTTGTTGCTATTCCCCTTTTTCTAGCTCATGTTTTAAATTTTTCACTTTTTGTTGGGTTATTTTTTATCTGACACAAATGCATTTTGCTATTATTTCTGTTTCATAAAACTAAATTTTTGTTTTTAATTTGATTTTCTTTCTTGCAGAAAAATTTCAGAGAATACGTTTTTTTTTGAAAGAGACAACATAAAGGTGCGCGTAGTAAATCGTGTGTATGGTCTCGCAGCGATGAGACGGGAGAGAAAGAAAGGTGAGAAGAGAAGAGCGCACACATATTCCTCATAGTTGTTTCTTGTATTTTTTGTTGTCTTTTTGTTTTTTTTTTTGGAAGTTTCTGCTTATTTTAACAAGTTACACGTGTTACAATTCAGTTGATGTTTTAATAAGTTTGGTAACAATTAAAAAATATATATATATTAGAGTGTTGTTCAAGAAACATATTTTGGGACCATAAAAATGAATATTTCATTATAGAACTGCATCATGTCACAATTCATTTTTTTTCAGTATTTGATCTAATTTTTGACATATTTCGTATATTTTCTGCAAAACAATACTATAATTCTACTAGATAATTCATTGAATTTTGATTCATTCTGCTTTACATCTATTACTTTTTTATTTCATTTCTTACCGAATTCCAGCTTGTTTCTTTTCCAAAATGCTTATCTTGAATTAAACTATTCATTTTATTTAAGAGTTATGTCAAATTCTGTGGATAATACACCAAATGGACAAATCGACTCAGAAATCGCCGCCGTTTTGAAGGTAAACTTCAAATTCTCCTTTATAATCAATTATTCAAAATTTGAAATTTCAGGATATGTTGGAATTGAAATTGAAAGCGCCGAATGCGGCAAACAGTGCGGATTTGGATGCGTTGGAAATGGTGAGTTGCTTTTGAGCACAAATATTCATTATCAAATTTAATTTTTGCAGAAATTAGTCGGACTCGATATCAATAAACTATCATCAGCTCAACAACCTTTGCCTATTCAAGAAGACATCGCTAAAATGAAAGAAGTGAGTTCCTATACTTGAAATTATTGGAAACAGTAATATTTTTGCAGCTTGTTGCTCAATTCCGCCGCGATTTGGCAAAAATTCGCGTGAGTTGATTTTTATAATTATTTTTTTGCTGTGAAATAATTATTCTGTTTTTAGGAGGAAGATGCTAAACGACTTCAAGCTTCACGTCACTTTGGATTCTAAGCTTCTGTTTCCTTTTGTTATTAATGGATTTACGGGATGATTACGTTTGTTTTTGTCATGCTTTAATTTGCCATTAGTTTATTATGAGATTAATTGTTCTAATTGATCATAAATAGTCTTCGTTTTGAGAAAAAAACACATAATACACGAGGTTGAACGGCAAAAATTCTAAGTAAGGCCTTTTGGAGACTGAAACAGAAGTGGAAATTGGAAGCCTATAATGATGTGGACAAGGGTATGTTCTCAATATCAGAATACTATGAAAGTTTTCATTATATGGTTCTATATCGAGCCAAATTGTGTTGGAACATTATTAACAGTGTGTTTTTCGAGTATAAACATTCATTTCAAACTATATTAGGGTGAAAATTTATTTTTTAAAAACGTTTATTTTCGGTAACTCCAACTTGTTTTTTGATATGTTATCTACCAATTAGGTATTTCAGTTGTTTCCTCAACATTCCTAAATTACCTATTCCGTTCTTCAAAGTAGAGGCAATGTGGTTGTTGTTATCATTGTAAACAAAACCGTCCAACTTGATTCCTAGAAAGTTTTTTGTCGAACGATCGGTCAAAGTTTTCTCATGAAAAAATAAATGTTGCGGATTATTTTGTGTTGATAAGAACAACTACTGAAAAAACCATAATTTTTCTGTTCTTAAATTAATCGGTAAGCATATTTTTGTTGTTTTTGTTGACTTCGTTTCTGTGCCAGGCACTTTCAAAAGTGTGAGAAGGCATATAATTGCTGATACATAATACTAATTTTTCTGTATACAAATATTTTATCAACCTTTGCCCCTATGAAAATTGTAATAAAATCCTTTTTGAGAAGTGGAAAAAATGCAAAAGAAAGCGAAAGAGAAGACATATAAAAGAGGATGAGGCAGATGTTACTCTATGTACGCTAAACACATGTTAGTGTACATGAAATGTGCATTTTTCAACTAAAAATGTACGAGTTTTTAAATTTTTTTTGCTTCTGCATGAAAAATGTCTTTCTTGTACATACATACATATCGTAAAAATTTCAGAAAAATATAGATAATATTTACAACCAGCTGTAAGAAGAATATTGTAGCTTCATCGAAAATCACATGATTTCACATTTATCGCTACAGCCACTCAATGTATTATACAAAATTTGTTTTTTTTTTCAAACAAAAAAATATTATAAATTTTGGAAAAACGATAAGGTTTTTCAGACACACAGGCATTTTATGTGAGCTGGGGAATTTTTTTCAAAAAACTCTGGTTTCCTCAGAGCCTAAATTTTTGGTTCGAATCTTTTTTATATTCAATTTCTATTTGGAACTAGAAAAAATGTTGACAATTGAATAGGATAAAGTGCATTTTCCCTATTCCTTTTTCTATCTTTTTTGCGTTTTTCGTTCTTCTTCCAACACAACCCAAAACCTCCCCAATAATTTTCATTTCATATAAGGAATGGGGCCGTCCTTCTTTCCGTCCATTCGTCCGCGCGAGAGCAGTAGAAAAAAGAAAAATGCACAATTCTTCACCCTCTTCTTCTTCTGCTCCTTTTTCCCCTCTTCTTTTCTAGCTCTCATACTCTGCCCCCCGAAAATACTACTTGTTATGCATTTTTGCTTCCCTCATTCTACCCCACACTTTTTTCTTCACCGAATTGTTTTCTTTTCTGTAATATTCCTCTTTTTGATCTAAAAATGACCCGAAACAGGTCAAAAATTGGATCAAAACGTTGGACTGCGTAGCGTCAAGTGGTTGGGAGTAAAACAAATATTATTTTTTTTTATTTTTGAAATTTTTGTGTAATCCTCGATAGATAATATTATTTTTGTATGATGAAAGGGAGCAAGTTGTTGAGAAGAGACATGAGAGAATAACGACAGATGAGAAAAAACGCGAGAAAAAATATACGAAGCTTTTTTATTTGTTTCGAATTGTTGTTTTTTTCGTTGCTGCTGTTTTTTTTTGTTTGATGGTGTTGTTGGTTTTTTAAGGCAAAAATCGATGAAAAGATTAGTCTTGTTTTGACACGTTTTGGTTTAGAACCGTTCAAAAAAAATATCCAGAGTGTTGTTTTTAATTTTCGGAATTTTATTGAATTTTTGTGGATGAAAATCCATAAAATGTGATGGGATGATTCATTTCTAAAAAAAATAAAAACAATTTCATTTTAGCAAATCTATATATTTTTTCTTTTTTGACCTTTTTTTTCATTGAATCATTTTCGTGGTGAGATATCTTCTTAATTTTTATGTGGAAAGAATAGTTTTTCGACCATTGATGAATCAAATATTTTGTCAAAGAGCGTTTTTATTAATTTGTTTTGACTTGAATCACCCCAATAAGAAATTGATTATTCTTTCAAACTTGTCTTCAAAACTTCGAATAATGTTGAAAGTTCTGAATCAATTATTCATTTCACAAAAAATTGTTTACTCAATTTTCATAAAAGTTTCGAATTTTTAAGTTCAAAACACCCGGGAATTTTGAAATTTCGTCATATGCTCTCTCTCTCTCTCTAACTAAACTTTCTATTTCGAAAAAGTCGCATTGGGCCTATTTTTCCATTTTTTAATTTCTGGGGTCAAAGTCTTCACACATGTGATTATGGGTCCCATATGTTTTCCACGTCATTAAGATTTCTGATTTCAAGAAGGGCAAATGAAGGAGGCAAGTGGCTAAAAACACCACCAGTTGGAGCATTTATTTAACTCGAAAATCAATGTTACTCATGTCAGATAAAAACGTCATATGCCCTTCAATCAGTATATATTCAGTAACACCTGCCAATAAAAAAGCAAAAACTTGAGCTTATTTACTTGCATGTTCTGTTTTCTCAAACTTACATACATATATAAATAATTCAAAATTAATTTATTTTCTGTCTCGTTCGTTCTTTTTCAATTGACTTGTCTTTTCTTTTTTTCTCTTTTTTTGAGAGTTTGTTCATCGACCACTGTACTTTTCCCTCCTCTCTTCCTCAATCATTGATAATAGAAAGAAAATACACAAAAAAACTTTGTCCACGGGTCACTTTTACTTTTTCTTTAATCTATCACAAGTACATTTATTTTCCTTATTTTCAGAAGGAAGGGAAACTTTTTAATGAACTATTCATTACTATCAGAATTCAGAAATCCGGACAATCAACAAAGTTCGAAACAGGTAAAGCCACAATTCAACATAATCTTGTTTTCTACATAAATAGATAGATCAGACAAAAAGTTAACAATGTTGTTTTTGTTTTTCTCACTTTTTTTTCGTCTTGTTTTCACTTCTTTTCTTATTGACTTACATAACAAAAAATGAACAGTTTATTGATTTTTTTGATGATTCACAAAACTCTTTTCGAACGTTTATAGTATTTTTATATACAAAATATAAATGTGACATTTATATTGATAGAACAGCTGTTTTTTATTCTTCACTTTTTTGAGAATGACGAGGAGAAAACTCGTGGTTTATGTAGCTTGAAAAATGTCCTCGAATCATTAAAGTTCTTTTTGTAAAATTTCAAAAAATGTCCACTGAAGTCATTAAAGTCTTGTATTTGTATTTCAAAATTTTGAAAAATATTCAAGCTTTTATTGATGTTGATTTAGGTGCGAAAAACATTGATAAGAAAAACTGATAAGAAAATCAAAACATATATAGAATTTCTCAGACTTCCTTGTTAGAAAAAATCAACGCTTTTTTCAAAGTCAACCGGAAACATTCTTTTCAACCAAAAAAGGAACCAGAAAATTTATTTTTCAATGGCGACAAATGTTTTCTTTTTTTTCAAAAAAAATTCCATATTTTTGCTCTTGTGCAAACAAAACCCCAACTCCCCCGAGTTCATATTTCACCTGCTTTTTGTGAAAAACATGATTACGTTACCTATTTTCCCCTTGAAAACAAATCATGAAAAAAACAAAACCAAACTTTCTAATGTACTTACTCGTTCTCTCTGCTAGACTATGAATGTTCAAAAAGGAACTAGTTTATTTTACTTCAAAAACTTTTTTATTTTGTTCGATTTAATTGAATTTAATTTAATCTAACTATCAAAAAAAAATAAACCGCCACAATAAAATTTGAAAATTTTTCAGAATGCGGCAAGTGTGATGTTTAGTGTTATTCGAGAATTGGCCGTTGGTGGCATTGATGTCACAATCAAGGGTAACGGTGGCGAAGAATGTATGAATGTAAGTTTTTTTTTATAAATTTTGTAGAGCACGAATATAATTTTTCGTGGAACGCTGAAATTATGATGAGGTTTTCCGAAAGTTGATGATGAGAAACCCATTCCAAAAAATTTAAGAAAATGTTTCTTTCAGTATCTTCCCGGTTGGCAAAGATTCCTTGAATCGATTGTTTTTATACCATTATCATTTTACGCTATTTACACCGCTCTACCGCTTGATTGCACTTTCAATTTGCCAGTTCGAAATGTTTCGAGATATGTGATATTGACAATATACAGCTTGATTTTTTGGAGCAGAACTTGCCTATAAAATGATTTCAAGGTAAATTAGTTTTCTAATTATTTTTGAAACACATTTTTTGTGTTTTAGAACTGGTATCTTTCTGCTCAATCCTTGCCATATTACAACTTCTATGCAATTAACACTTCTAACATTGGAAGGGAAATCGAGGTAAGAATAAAGTTTTCTGGAAATCCGTAGTGTGAAATGAGAAAAGCAGCTGAAAATTTTCGGGAAAATTGTGTAAATATACAATTTTTATAAAAATTCTTCAAAAGTTGAAAAAAACACATTAGGAAGTATAATTAAATTTAATGAGGGAAAACTTGAAGTCTGGTGTAATTTTGAAAATGAGCTGAGCGTGCAAAAACAAACTAGCAAACGAAAAAACAAAAAAAATGAACTTTAAAAATTAAAAACACTTATATTTCAGAAAAGCCTGTTTCCTTTTCCGTCTAATGTTATATTTTATGCCCGGCGCTTGGTTTGCCTTGGCTTTTCCAATTTTGAACACAAGAAACGTGAGTTACCCAACCTCCCCTTCTTCTTTTCAAAACCAAAACTATGAAATTCACAATTCCAGTTACCGGGAGAAGTATTTATTTATTATGCGCAACACATTGCAATTCTAGTTGTTCCAATTTATCTCATGTTTATTCAAGGATCATTCCAACCAGAAAAATCGCACGATTTTGGTTGGACTGTTTTCGGTGTCGCCTGTTTTTCACTTTATCACTTTTTGGTGTTGCAAGTTGGCGCAATGGTAAGTTTTGTGAATTGTTTCGAAAATTAGGGCAATAATAAGAAGTGAAAATACAAATATTGTGAAAGTTACGCTATCTTTTGAACAGTAAAATCAAACAAAATAATATCAACAGAAATGAGAAATGAATAATGATTTTTTTCAGTTCACCCGTGTAAATTTGAACAATATAATGTGCCCAGCTGTTTCTGATCCATTCCAATCAAGAGCTTATCGAATTATTGCAGTTGGACATCAATGCATTTTGATTCCAATTCTGGCAAAAACTTATTCAGCCATGTCTCTAGCTGCTGTTGATTTTCTTCGTGGATATTATGAAGAAGTTGATACTGATATTCGACCAAGAAATGTTTGTAAATTAGTTGTCAGTGATGATAATTCTTTAGCTGTTAAAACTGCTGAACTTTCCATGTAATTTCATTTGACTTTATTTGTTTTTTTGCCATTTTCCAATAATTCATTTCATTTTTAATTTATATTGAAGTACCAAAAATTTTGACAATTTTCAGCTGTGATATATTTGATTTTGATTCTATTAGTTCTTTTTTTTGAATTTGAAACTTCTTTTTTTGACAAATCTTATGCTTTTTTTGTGAAATGAATGTTTTTGAGAAGAATCCCTCGATTTCGAGAAAAGAAAAAAAAAAGAAAATTCTAAACAGATTTGGTGGGAAAATGCAAAAATTAGCAAAGTTTTTGCGGCTGGACGTACACACATAAACATATTTTGTTTTGTTTTTGTTGTTTGGATGAGAATGAGAATTTAATTTTTTCCTTGCTTCTGATTTTTTGATTCAGTTTTTCAATTCTCTTCTGAATAATACAGTTATTTTCCAAAAATGAATCAAAAGTTTTTCTGTAATTGTTAAATTTTCACGAAATTCTTTTTGTTTTTATAAGAGAATAGAAAGAAGATAAATGGCTATTAAACTTTGATCGTTATTAAAAACAACATTTGCTCTTCAATTGAGAAAAATAAATGGCCGCGTAAAAATAAGAGTACGAAAATTTGTCGTATCTGTTAGTATAATAAAAATATCTGTCAGTCGACCCAAACATTTTTCAGAAATTTTATGTGCATCTAATAACTATGTCATTTCACAAATGAAAATTTTTTTGACAAGACTAGTTCATTTTTTCTGATTTCAAGATGATGAGAATGATGATGAAGTCAGTTGTGAGTGACACACCTGTCACTTTTTATTCATATTATATATATAAATGTGCAAATCATTTTGGAATAACACCACCTTTCTTTTTTTTGTGCTGTCTTTCATCTTTTTGCCATTCTTCCCAAGAAATCAATCATTGACAAATTGTTGACTTGTTTTGCTGGAGCACATTAGAATCACTTTGTGGTCATTTTCTGGGCTCTTTGGGGTGTTTTTTACAACATGAAATTTGAGGAAAATGGAAAGTGTTGATGACATTTGCACTTTTCTCATTTTTGTTTTTTTTTGAGTGAAGAGAGGGTAATTTTTGTTTTGAATGGGTGAACTGGCTTTTGCCAATATTTTTTTTTTGAATATTTTTGAAGTTTGTTTTAGTTGTGGAGGTTTTCTATTTTCTGAACACATTTTTCTTCCACAAAACACCATAATCTGAAATCCTTGAAAAACCTCAAAGTGTCATATTCAAATATTTGTTTTCAGAGTTTCTATATATTCTGAATCTACAACAATTTTTTTAACCATTTGAAATATTTTAAAAATTTATAAAGTTGTTTTTCAGATAGCAATATTTTTCTTAAATTTAGCTTGGTTTAATTATCTTTATAAGTAAATAGCTGATATTTGAAACAAGTTGTTTTCAAAACTGATTGTGAATAACGAAATTACTATCCATTTTTGGCTCCTTGTTTTCTCCATTTCTAATATTCGTGTAAAATCTATTTTTCAACAAACCTTTGTAATTTTTTCGGTTTTTCCATCACACACATCATATACACACAAAACAGAACAGAACCCCTCTCTGTCTCCAATTGCACACATCAGGTCGGAGTCAGGGTTGCGGGAACATACATATGTAAGCCAATCTCTTATCTGCTCATTTTTCAACTACTCCCCAATATCTTTTTTTTCTCTTCATTTTACAGCCATTCTCACACTATTTTGTCTATGTCGATATTACAAACATGGATCAACTTTTGGCTGATTTTGGTTTTCAATTTACCGAGTAAGTATTTTTCTTAAATCATGATCGTGAGGTCTGAAATTAAAAAAAATTATTTCAGATGCTTCTGGAAATGAGATGATAGTGAAATTATTCGAACGATTAATGGTTGATTATAATCGAAGTGTTCGACCAGTTCATAATGCTAGTGATAAATTAGTTGTACATTTGGGTGCCAGTTTATGTCGTCTTCTTGATGTCGATGAAGTTAATCAAGTTTTAACCACGAGTTTGTGGCTAGAAATGGTGAGATTATTGGGATATCACTGAAAATTTTAAAAAATGAGATATTCTGGAAAAGTTCGGATGAATATTTTTCAGCAATGGCGAGATAAAAAGCTCACATGGGATCCAAAAGAATGGGACGGTGTTCAATATCTAGATATACCTTCAGATCAACTTTGGGTTCCAGATATTGTTTTGTATAATAAGTAAGTGTTTCCCAGACATTTTATTGTTATTTATATTCAAATCAGTGATTGTTTTTAGTGCTGATGGTGAGCCACATATAACAATAACAAATATGGCGCGTGTTGATTATACCGGACTGATTGTATGGCAACCGCCATCAATTTATAAAAGTTTCTGTCAAGTTAGCGTTTATTAATAATATTCTTTATTTGATTTGGAAAACAATGATACAAATAGTAATAAAACCTTTTTTTTTCAGATTGACATCCAAAACTTTCCATATGATGAACAGACGTGTAAATTGAAATTTGGTGGTTGGACAAATGATGGTGGAAAAGTAATAGTTTATCAAATTCCGGTGAATGAAAATGATGTTCCGGAAGCTCGCACTGAACTTAGCGAGAGCGGTGAAGTGATAGATTTTTTATTTCTTGAAGATGGTCTTGGTCTCGGTTTTTATCATGAGTATGTTTACACATTATTTATGCAACCTTAAAATTGAATATGTATATAAATATATTCAAAAAATGAATTATAGAAGTGCCGAATGGGATCTTCTCAGTGCTACTTCTTCCAGAAATATCAAAGTTTATCCAGGTTGTTGTGGTAACCAATATTATATTGATATCACGTAAGTTATAGTTATTAAGAAAAATTGTCCTGTTTATATAGTAATTTCTATTTTAGATATATTATTTTAATTCGTCGGAAAGCTATTTTCTTCACTGTAACCTTAACAATTCCATGTATGCTTATTGGTATGTTTTTCAGCTATTGATTTCCAATGCTTATACCTAAACTTTCAACAGATTATCTAATTGAATAATTTCAGCTAACTTGACACCTTTCGTATTTGTAATTCTTCCCAATGAGCATAAAATGACATATTCAATCTCGGTTCTTGTCGCATTTTCTGTGTTTTATTTGGTTTTGATTGATATTATACCGCCAACTTCAACGAATATGTCTTTGATCGGGTGCTACTTATTATTCACATTGTTTATGGTCTCAATATCTTGTATTCTCTCGGTTATCACTATCAATATGTATAGGAAGTGAGTTTTTTTGAGAATATGTATGTGAAAAGAAAAAATTTAAAAATTTCGCTTTCTTGTTAAAAAATTTCTGTAAATTCCCACTTCTCATCAAATTACCATATCGTCTTCAGACAAGCATTCGCATCAGAAATGACAAGTTGGCAACGATGGCTTTTCATTCAAAAATTACCTCCTCTGCTTCGTCTCAAACCACTTGAAGATAGCCTGGATGACGATGGTAGTGATGCAACAACAACCAGAACTGGAAGTGTCTCTAATACCGCTTCTCTCGGTGCCAAGCCATCAATTCCAAATAACAATAATAATTCGCCAATATTTCCTCCGCAAAGATTGCGTCTTTTGAGTTTGGTTCAAATGGATGAAGCGTTGAAACAAAGATGCGCTGCTGACAATCTAGATTTGTTCAAGAAAATCGCAGGTCATTTGAGTATCATTTCAGCGCATTTTCAGAATCAACAAATGGAAAGCAAGGTTGGATCTAAAACTGTTTTTTTAACAAACAAACAAACGAAAATCTTGCAGATAACTGACGAATGGCAACTAATGTCATTAGTTATTGATCGAATATTTCTTATAATATACTTAATTATAAATATCGGAGCCGATATTTGGTTTATCTATTCTGCTCCAACACTTTTCGACTCCCGTCCTTCACTCGTGCGTACTCTTCCATCAAAACCATTAAGCGGTTCATTCACAATTTTTCAATCAAATCATTCAATTAATTAATATTTTTCAATAATAATTTTTATTAATATTATATTATGTTTCATTTTGCAATATGTATGCAAACAAAACAGAGAAAAAGGCTCAAATAAATAAATAAAGTTGTTTTGCGCGTCAAATCAAATGTTTCACGTGTACACACAGTGACATGAATACACACCCCCACATGCCCTCACTTCTCTTTTTTTTTCTCGTCGCCTTCATATTTTTTGTTCGTCATTGTTTTGTTTTCTGTTTCGTTTCACCACAATTCCGCATTTCACACTGATAATGAAATTATTCATTCATTATCATTTTTAATTTTATCAATTTTTATTTGATAAGAGAGATATTTTTTATTTTCAGGAAAATGAAGGGTAGTACGTCCGATTTTTTAACAGACGTACAAACAGTGAATATAGTCATAAAACAGGTTTGTTTTTTTCTTTTTTTTTGTGTTTTTTCGTATAAAATATCTGAATTTTTAGATCGGGCCTAATAAATCGCTACCTGCGTACAAACGAATTGTAGAAAGATGTTTTAGACAAAATGTTATTCAAGTTTCCGAAAATCCTCGAAGGCTTTTTCATTGCAAATTTGTGCCGTCGGTTTCATTCACAGAATTTAGTGAATTACAGGTATTATTTTTTGTCTGGTTTGCAAAAAAAACATATCTGAAAACAACTCATCAAATTTTCAGCAACATCGTCGAGTTTTTGGAGTAATTGGTGTTGCTTTCAAAAGTGCCGATGAAAAGACTGAAAATCAAGAAGAAGAAGAAATCGTGAATGCATATAACAAATTAAAAAACGATCATTCAAATCATATTTTTAGTAGTAGATGTATAATTATTGGTGCTAAACAAGACGAGTTCAACAACATTGAGAGACATGAGAAATTGTGTTTTCCAAGTTTGGAAGATTCGCTCGAATTGGAAAGTGCAATTCGAGAATTGATGCGTGCTATTTATATTATTATAGAGATGAAAAAGAGTAGATATTTCATTTGAGAAGAAGGTCAGTTTTTTGAAAACCACATGTGATCATTTCTATCGAGAAATCACTTTTCAGGCAGAAATTCCTTGTCCAACACTTCCTGATGAGACTCGTTGGCAAGCTTTTGAATTGAAAACGACGAAAAATTATCGGAAAAAATGCCTGGGTAGATGTCGAAAACAACATGCTGATTTTTGTTTGTTAACTGGACTTCCACAACTTGCATTAGAGGCTTATGAAGCATCAATCGATAATTTGAAAGCTGCATCAGATTATTTATGGTTGGCTGCAGCTTATGATGGTTGGGCAAGCACATTTTGTATACTTAACGCTGAACAATCTGGCCAAATCAATAGTGGGGCTTTTCATCGAGTTGCCAGTATGCAGACAATGTTTACAATTCCATCAATTGAAATCAATACCTCGAATAATAACACACCATCTGATAGTTTATTTGTATCAAATGACAGTGCATTGAGGTAACCTGATTATTTGAGAACGAGGAAAATAATCACTTTTTTTGAATTTTAGCTCACCAAATGGTCATAAACGACATCATTCAGATGAACATGTTGGTCGAACAAGTTCACCAATGAGTATTCAGAATGGTGGAATTGGTGGGAACGAGACACCAAGAAATGAATCATTTGGAAATGAGAGTGGAATTGTAAGCAATGGTTCAAATCCATCTTTGAAAGAAGAACCAAAATCGCAGCAGAAAAAGAACCCGATTAGTAATTTCTTGGATAAGTGAGTTTTGGTGTTTTCAATTCAGACAACTTCAGGAATCAGACCAATTCTAATTTTTCTCAAAAACAAGTGCTGGAAGACCTAATCCAAACTTACACATACTTTAAGTTGAACTAAAATAAACCTTTTTTTGCAGAAATCGTGACAAACCACCAAAAGAACGTGTCCTTGAATATTACAAAAATGCCATTGAAGAATATACAAAATTCTCGTTTGCTGGATGGTTGGAATATGAATCAGTAATGCGTGCAATTGTTTATCTGACATTTGAAAGAGAATATATAAAACTCGAACAATTTCATCGCGATCACACTGGTAAATATCTCGATGACAATAATGATTATATGAATCATCATATGAAAGCACAAATCTGTCTAAATTCCGCAGCAATGTATAAAGAGGTAACCCCGATTTTTCATTTTTTTTTTGCATTTTCCATGTTTTTTTTTGAAAAAACTTTAGAATCATTTGAATAATTCATTATTTAGATTGGCTTTATACGTAAACAAGCATTTTACGCCCGATTGAGCGTGTTGTTTGAATTACACGTTACCGAAGGAAAACAAAGAAGTGCCAGCGATTACAAAACTGTTTATCCAATTTTGTACAAGTATGTTTAAAGAAAATACAGATGAACAATAATAACAATTGATAATTTTCAGAACTTTGGAAGGGTATGGTATAAATTTGAACGAGTCTACTGAATTTAGCAATCAAACAATTGGTCCGGAAAAACTGCAGATCAAAAGTTTACATGAGATTTTCACAGCCGCAAATCGTGCCGGACACACTGATGCAGCAATTCGACATCTTTGTTCACTTCTACAAGTTTATTATCCGAGTTTAGAACTTTCGATGGCTACAAGATTATTTGAGGATTTGGATAATCTTGTGAAAACATCTAAAAATGTTCATCAACTGAATCAAACACTTTCTGTTGAGGATGGTAAAATTATTATTCCATCTCTCCAAATGACTAGATTCCCCATGATAACGTGAGTAAAGATTGATAGAAGTGTTCTTTGTTCGGATTGAAAATACATTTTTTTTTCAGAAATCCAACCGTCTTACCTCTGCAATCTCATCTTGCCCCAACAATAGTTCAAAATCAATCGCAAACCTCAGTTTTCATATATAGTCCGTTTGCCAAGAAGAAACCAGATAATTCGCTTTTATGGGTCACGGATTGTCCAGGCGAGGTTGAGATTAGTGTGAAAAATTGTCGAGGAATTGAACTTATCGTCAAGTGAGTAATTTTTATTTGAAATTTTTATAAAACATTTCTTATAGGGAACTTTGTTTAATAAGTGATGGAATAAACTTTGAATCAGTACAAGCTCGATTGATCTTACCCCCTGAAGATCAAAATTCAAAATCTGACGGTGCCACGATTCGATTGATTGGAGTACCCAGAGAAGCTGGAGATTTGTATATTGTTGGATATTCTTGCAATGTTTTTGGATTGCATAATGAGTGTAGATTTTCGTGTTCTAGTCAAAAACACACTCGATTACATGTCAAAGTTCTCCCAAAGTTAGCCAAACTTCATTTGGAATGTTCACTTCCACGCGCACCAATTGATGAATTCTCTGATGAACCATCAGCTGAAGCTGTTGTATATTCTGGACAAACATTTGAACACACAATTACTGTTGTCAATGATAGTGATATTGACGTGAAATATTGTGGAGTCAAAGTTTGGCAACCAACTGTACAAGGAGGACCTGCATTGATAAAATTGATTGATGTTGATGAACATCTCGAAGGTGTTGATAAAGGTGAAGATTTGTCGAGTTTTAAGTTAGCTGCAAATAGTTCAAGAGAATTGAAATTCTCAATTTTTGGAATTGATCCAACTTCAACTGCTGATGATTTATCGGACGAAGAGAAGGTATTGGAAAGTGTTGTGCCAATCGCTACAACTCATGTTAATCCAAATCCTGAAGTAGAAGCTCCCGATATGGATTCGATCCCTTATACTGGAAGACTTCTAACATGTGATTTCACAGTGAGATATCATTCAGATGTTGAATCAAAAGAAGATGAGTTCTACGAGAGAAAGAGTCGCCTACCAATTGCAATTTCCATAATTCCCGCAGTCACTGTTTCAGCTTGGCATGTTCTACCAGGAGATAGCCCATTTTCAAGGTATATTAGATAAGTAATCAAATGTAGATTTGTGAAGAAATTGTTTTTCCAGATATATTGTTGTTGATGTTACCAACAGTACTGAACATGATGCTGAACTTGTTTATAGTGCAAATCGTCGGATGAATGTTCTGCCAAAAGAAACCTGTCGAGTTCCAATATTATCCCCTTGCTGTTCAGATGTTGCAGGCGGTGCTTTCCATCAAGCAAAACAACGTGGAAGTCATATGATGCAAAAAATTGAGACTGAAAGATTGCGCCAAATTCTGGAAGCTCACGTTTCGAAGCATTTGGATATTCGCTGGGCAATTCCTTCACAAAAATTGGAAGGTCAAGTTCCAGTTGGATCGTTGTTATCTTCAGTGGCATTATTGAAACAATTAGTCCTTCCAGCAATCAGTTTGGGTAAGTTATAGGGTTTTGTTATAAGAAGGGAGCGGGAGATTGAAAATGTTTTTGTAGAACCCAAAATAGAGCATTTTTGATTTGGCTCCATATAAAACAAATTAACACATTGTTAAAAATTGAAAAAAGATCTGATCTTTTGTATAGTACCTGTCTGAAAATGTATTACAAATCTTTATGTTTGATTTTTTCAGATTTCGTTATCAATGGTAAGCAATACGTTAGTGAAGATGATGTAACAATCGGGATTGGTCAAAATGTTGAAGTTGATATCACTGTTATCTCCTCGTTACCTGAAACATTTAACGGAATATTATCGATTGATTGCGAACAAGAAATATCCCATCAACTTGGGTCAAATCCATCATCTCATTTGATGCTTTTAGCTGGGCCCAAGAAAATACCATTTTCCGTTGAGGTTGGTCCCTATTTTTTCATGAAACACCAACAATCATTTAATGTGTTTTTCTTTAGAAAACGAAACAACATAAATTGCAATTCAATTTATCGTTCATTGTCGAAGGTAGTTTCCGTGTTCGCCCACAAATCACACCATCACCCGGTCAATCTGCTTTACTTCCGGAAGACATGTTTGCCACACCAGTCGCTTTTAGTGTATCAACAAAATTCTAGAAGTTTTCTATTGTTCTTCTCCCACCTAAAATAATTTGCTCATTTCCTGTGCCATTTGTATATTTTTCTTTGCTTTTATCGCTAGGGTGAAAGGTGATGTTTTATTCGAACGGGTTGGGTCAAATAATATAAACATATAGTTGATCTAGTCTATTTTATTGCATATTCAATGATTCTTTGATATAGTCCCGGTCTTTCAGAACAAAAAAAACGAACAAAACAAAAATGTATTTTTATTTTTCATATTTTTTTCTTATTCGTCACCAAATAAATTTTCTCATATTTTTTTTGAGTACACAACAAAGAGGAAGAAGAGAGTAATAATGGAACGAAGAAGAGGCTTAACGTAGTGTAGATGGAGAAGAAAAATTTTCTTTTCCGACGTCCCATTTTTCGTAATAGAATAAGTAAAAGAAGGATGTATGTATATTTTGTTGTCATATAATTTAATCGCGTGGGGGAATACCAGCAAATGAATGCAGTCACTCAGTTAGTTACAATTTTGTTTAAGTGGATGAAAATTATGATGAACTCAACTTTTTTCGTGTTTACCAACCCGAAATTTTTTCTCTCTATTTGATTAATGTTCTGATTTTTTTGTCATTATTAATGATAGATAAGTGGATCATGTTTGAGACTTTTGAGATATTACATAAGTTTTTTTTCAAGATAAGTGAGTGTGTGAGATAATAATTAACTTCATTTCATATTCAGAATGAATGAGCAGTAATTGATGAGCAATTTGAGAATTCTGTGAACTAGGTGGCACTTTTATGAAGTGTGAATTTTTCTAATTTTCGAATATCTATTTTCTAGATACTGATAATTAAACTTTTTTTCGAAATTTCTGAAGACATTTCAGAAACAGTTTGATTTCAAAATAGTTTCTGCTATGTTCACATTAGTTTCTTGTTAATATTTTTGAATATATATTTTTATACCTGTAGAAACCCCGAAGGTACTTATTCTCACAACAATTTCTTGATTGAAAATCCTTCTGACTATTATATTTTAATTTAGAAAAATAACCGAATCCCATGTTTCTCTCAAGTTTTCATTATTTCTTCCAAGAATTTCAGTTTTCTTCGTTTTTTACACATGTTTATACAACAAAAGAAGAGCCGAAAAAAAACGTCCATTTGTCCTCATTTGTTATTCCAAAGCCCCCTCCCACTTCAAGAAAAAATGAAACAAAACAAAAAAGCAGAAAACTTGAGGTCCCCGAAGATTCTTTTTTTCCGTTACACATGAATACTATAGTCTTTTTTTCCAATTTTTTTGGATTACTGATAACTTTCATTGTTTTTTTTGTGCGGAAGAGCACAAGGGAAAAAGGAAAAAGCAGCACATTTTAGGACACTGAGCGGCCACATCAATTTATTGCTGCTCCATCCAACTTCTTCTATACTATTTCGTTCGCCTCCCTCGGTTTTTATTCGTTATAGAAGGGTCCGTCCTGTGTATGTATTTTGCCTCTTTTTTCTTCATCTCTGTTGTTGTCTGCTTCTCCTTTGAATTTTTTCTTCCTATTTTTTGAAGCAAGCATGGAAAAAAAGTGCAGTAGTGTCGCACATTTCCGCCATATATATCTATGATGTTTATATAGAGATATATATCTCATGTGTATACTTTTTGGCTGTTGTCTTTTCGTTTTTCCTGGGAAAATTTTGCCGTATTGTTGTTCTCAAGTTTTATTTTTCCAGAGAGGTGGTCACTTTATATTTTTTGGTGCTTTTGGTAGGATAGTTTTTGGAATTTATATCATCATCATCATGATCAGGTGATGGCGCGACTCGACTACGCATATGCAAGGTGAGCCATCTATATCTTTTGAGCACATGGATTTCGAGGGAAATAAGATGTGGCATCTGGGATACTCTGTCACAATTTATTATCTAGATTTAGAGTTGGAAGAAGATTTTTTTTCGAGAACCTAATTTTTATTTATTTTCATGCTAGTGGTTTTCTGTGGTTAGGATTTTTTTTATTTTTTTCAAAAGTGATTACTTACATTTAGAAAATAGCCAAATAAATTATACACGGAGTCAGTGATAATTGGTAATTCAAAAAAGTGATCACAATTTTTCTCAATGTGAAAATTTTTTAAAGAGTAGGAACATCTAAGGAATTCTGAAACTCCCATGTTTTTAAACAACACAGAAAATGTTATTATAATTATCAACTTCACCACTTTTATATACTCTCAAGAATTAGTAAATTCAATATTTCTCGATATTTGAAAAAATAATATTTTCTTGCCAGCTGAAAAATTTTCTAGTTTTCCCGAAATTCTCAAAAAAATATATGAGAAAATTAAACCCACTTGAATGAACAACATCCGGAAATTGTTATGTTTTTTTCTTTTTTTTGCAAAAAAAAGTTCCATGCAATGAAAAAACAAACATTTCTTGTGACTACTCCAGAGTTTCAGAAAATAACGAATTATCAAGGATTTTGATTTTTGATATAACCGGAAAAATAAAACCACAGAAATTGAAATAATATTGTCCAAAATGAGCTCAGATTTGTCTGAATTTAACTTTTAAGTTCAAAATCATCAAACCCGAATTTTCCTAATTTCTATGAGCTTCCTCCCTACATTTTTCGATAAAATGTTTATTTCTAAAAATGAAAAGATATTTGAACACATGTTATCCACCTGTTTTTCTTTTACTCACAAATTTTTATTAGTTTCGATGTGAGTTTTTATTTTTTTTTGCGACTGTTCGGTTATTTTTTGAAATAAAATGGAATGCGTTCGCAGCTGGTGGCACCTGTTAACAAAATACGGTTGCACCTGCAAAACAACTAGGCATTTGTGAAATAGTTTGCGTTTTTTCAATCACTCAATTTTTGTAGTTGAACTAAACAAGATAAATTATTTGAATTATCCACTTCAACATTTTGATTGGACCTAATTTGAGAGATTTTGATGAGACAACCCGTTTGCACTTTTTGTCTAGAGTTTTAAGATCTTTAAGGTTTGAACTTTTGCTGAAAATTGATTTTCTTCAGATTTTTGTTGAAAAACAAGTCTTTGTGATTCGGTTTTCATGCGGTATTCAAAATTCATAAAGCCAAAACGATTTCTGAGATTGTTTGAGGTTTAGATGTGAACTGGCTCACGTGAAAAAAACCTGGCTTAAAAAACTTAACACTGAAAGTTATATGTTGTCCGAGACTTCAGAATATCCTGAATTTTTTTCAAAAAGCATGTGGTTTTTGTCAAAACACCATTCTTTACGTTTTGATCAAATCAGAATATTTTTTCCTAACTCAAAGGATACGAAGAACAACAAAAAAGTGGAACGACTCTAAAAAATAAGGAGGACCCTTTTCTTTTTTCCGACAACGCAAAACATTGTTACGCGGCAGCGCGGCGTAAATTCACTTTACCCCCACCCAAAAACTCCTCCTCTTCACTGCACTACTTCTACTACTACTTTTATTCTCCGAAAAGCAGTGTAGTGTATATTTTTTTATTTTTCGATATAAAAAAAACAAAACAAAGTTTTGCTTTTGTTTTTTGTTGATTTTTCATTGTTCCATTTTTATTATTCACAATTTTTTTGGGGTTGGGTGAAGGGTGCCTCAAGAACTCTTTTTTTCTCAACAAGTTTTTCGCAAACGGAAATTTCTATATAAAAATGTGGGAAAAGATGTCTAATTGCTTCTAATTTGGATTTTCTTTCTATAATATAGAAATGAAAAATTAGTTTGTTTACGTTTTTACGAAAAAAAAATATGGAGGATTTTCCATCATCTCATAAAAATATTATTTTCTCACTATGAAACTTTTTATGATCGAATAAAAAATAAGATGAACGTAATATTCTCATGATTTCTTCGTTTGAAAAATATGTATTGTCAGACAATTTTTTATTATATTTCTTTCGCACAGTTGTTGTTCCTGAAAAAAAACCCAAATGTCAATTTCTCCCACCTTTTTCTTTTTTTTCTTTCAATCTTTCTATATCTATCTCCCAGCTCTCAGAGCTTCCAATGATAGTTTTTCTTACACATTTTTCGTTTTTCATTTGTCATTTTTCTGTGTCCTTTTTTTCTTTTTTCCGACAAAAAGAATGGGAAATAGAATAGAAAAGAAGAAGTTTTTTTTGCTCAAGGAACACATACACTTTTTTGTGCTCATTTTGAAGAGCATTTAAAGGCAATTTCGTGTTTTTTTGTGGGAAAATTGGAGATCTTCTTGAGCTCGTCTTTTTCAGATGGAAAAATAGTTTTAAGAGCCCCTTGTGAGACGTTTTATGAGATTTTTTTGTGCTCTGCAAATCTGATTGCTATCATTTCAAAGATCAATGGCCTTTTTAAGGAGTTCTTTTATTTCTGAACTACTCTATTTGGAAAACGAGTTGAAATCCTGATATTTTTTAAAAAATGCCAAGATCTCGAAACGTTAAAACTTATTTTTGCGTCGAAAAATTTCTGTGTTCTGCTCACATTAGGTACTTCACAATAATGTTTCTGTTGAATTGAAAAACTCAATTTTTGTCGTCTCAAGACCAAATTTAATTGTGTTTCATTCCTTTTGCTGAACAAAAAAAATAGAATCCCAAAAAAATGTTCCTAATTAAGTACCTCACTTCTCTCATCCTCCTTTCTTCTTCCTAATTTTTTCTACATTCATTCATTTTCCACACATTCCATCCCTTCTCATGAAAAAGGTGGACCAACGACAAAAAATTGAGAAAAGAAATAAGAAAAGAGAAGATATTGTTAACAAAATATCCAATTTCATCTATCGATTTTATTAATTTCTGCACTCGGAAATGCTCACCTGATATTCTATTACATTTTCATTTTTTCTGGGGTTTCCGGTCTGGACCACCCAAATTTTTTGTGCTTTTTAGTTTCCCAAAAAATTATGAATGTGTATTTTCAGATCGGATATGACAAACATTCCACGCGGGGTGGGTGCCCCACCACCCCCTGGAATGAATTCGACAAAACGAGGTCGACTTGTATGTATCAAAGTTCGAATGCTCGATGATACTGTAGCTGTTTTTCATCTTGGGGTAGGCACAAATTTTTCTTTTTTTTTCAAAACAAAAATCATTTAAAAAAATTACAGCATAAAGCGATTGGTCAAACATTGCTCGATGAAGTTTGTCGTCATTTGAATTTGCTAGAATGCGATTATTTTGGACTAGCTTTTATCGATATCAATGGTAATCACGTAAGTTTTTTTTGTGAAAAATTTGTTCTACTGAATTTTCGATACATTTTCAGTGTTGGCTAGATCGTGAGAAAACAATCCTGCGACAAATTACCAATGGTTCAACTGACGCCAAATTCTATTTCATTGTCAAATTCTACACACCAAATCCTATTGATCTTGAAGAAGAATATACGAGGTGATAATTCCCATACATATCTGAAATCATTTACCGAAAACCATTTCCAGATACCTGTTCACTCTTCAAATCAAACGTGATCTTGCTCTTGGTGAACTACATTGTAGTGATAGTACGGCAGCTCTATTATCAGCATATTCAGTGCAATCAGAGTGTGGTGATTTTTCTTCGGATGATTATCCTGATGCAACATATTTGTCACATTCAAGATTTGTGCCGAATCAGACGTTAGAGTTTCAGAAAAAGGTTATGGATAATCATAGGAATTTCATGTGAGTTGCCAAAGAGTATATGTAATTATAGTTTTCTTTAATTGTCAAACACTTTCCATTTTATTCGAAAAACCAAATTGATTTTCAGTGGAATGTCACCTGGAGAATCAGACCTTGCGATGCTTGAAGTTGCTAGAAGATGTGATTTCTATAGTGTAAAATTACACGTGGCAAAAGATGTAGATGGAAATGATGCTGCATTGTCAGTTATGCATTTGGGAATCAAAGTGTTCCGACAATTACAATTAGACACCACATTTTCATGGGCAAGAATCCGAAAATTGAGTTTCAAACGAAAGAAGTTGTTGGTGAAATTGCATCCGGATAGTTATGTTAGTTTTTAAAAAAGTTGCCTGAAATTATTATTGTTTCTACTTCAACTGAAAAATCTATGATTTTCAGCAATACCTGAAAGAAACGGTTGAATTCGTTTTTGACACTCGCGATGAATGCAAAAATTTCTGGAAAAAGTGTGTGGAGCACCACGCATTTTTCCGGTGCGTGCAATCAGAAGAACCGAGGAAAGAAACACGATTTTTCATTAGCAAAGGGTCTTCATTCAGGTAAGTCTCCCGAATAAACTTCATTCTTATTCTAGAGTTATAGGTATCATGGGCGAACGCAAAAACAATTGATTGATTATGTCAGAGAGCATCATAAGAGACGAGAGCCGTTCACCAGGTATTCTATTTGAGAAAAAGAGTTTTAGATAGAAAAAGATGTAATTCCAGACCTCTTCGATCCGCAACTACTCGGAAAGGTGGATATTCATCATCTTATGGAATTGTCACCGAACGCTCATCAGTAAAGCAGAACCATAATGGATCAGTTTATGATGATCGAACAGATCCATACAAATCTCGTCAACAACCACAGCAACAACATTCATCAATGCCACATATTGCTCATTATTCATCTTATCAAGCTGATCCCTCATTCTCAGGTACTTTAGATGCTCGTGTTGGCGGTCATTCGACCACAACAACCACATCCACCAATCATTCTGTTCCTCACCATCACCAACGTCTTCGTCAAATAAAACGTAGCGATCGTTGTACATCAGATGTTGAATCTGTTGAACGTCCATCTAGAAATTCGCATTCTCATTCTCATCATTATCATTGTAGTAGCAATAGTAATAATAACAACAACAAAAGTGTTGCTGTTCCATCTTGTAATCAACAACCTGATTTATCTGTTTCTCTTCCCAATGTTTTGAGTGATGATTTACAAATTGTATGTAAAGAAATACAATTGGAAAATCAGGAACCGCCAAAATCGGTTTCTGGTGATAATTTCCAAGATCGCCGCACTAGTAAAGATTATGATAATGTTAGTGAAGGCTCGTATCAATTATCAGATCATGAGCGAAGCACAAGATCTGAAGTTGGAATTGGCTCAAAACATGCAGCTGCAACTATTTTCAACTCAACATTCGTTGCCAAACCTAATCGCCCAATTGTTAAACGTGTTGTTGCACAAAGTAAAAGCACACCAAATTCCACAGATGATGAAGGAAATGAATTGAAATCACCATCTGATTATCACACATTTCGATATAAAGAATATCCATTTGTTAAAAATGCGAATATTGTTCCAATCGAAATCGATGGTCCGAATGTGGATCTCACTGAAAGAAGATCGACCACAGTCTCTACCACTTCAAAAGTTCTCACTAGTTCTGGTGCAGTTCTAGTGAAGCCAAAAGTTATTTCGACTGAAGATGGTTCTTCTTCTCGAGGATCACCAGAATCAGGAACCTATGGAGCACTTGGGCCAATTCCGGGAAGAGTGATGACCAAAGAAAATGTGATTATCACTCCGGAAAACTCCAAGAGACCAAAACCAGCTGTACCAGCAAAACCAGTTGATATTATTAAAACTGAAAGAGCATCGAGTCATCCTTTAGTTCATATGGTTGAACAACAACCATTCTCCAGAGCTCCTTTGGAATTTGAAGAACGAAAATCATCACTTTCAAGACCCGCTCTAATATCCGTTCAAAGCGAAGATAATCCTGATATTCAAAAGTGTCATTTATTCAACAGTGATATTCCATATACATTAACCATGCGAAACGTTGAATCCACTCAATCTTTACCATTTTCATCGTTTAAAACTGTCGATACAATTAAACAACAATCACAACCACAAGCTTATGAATCGAACTCATTGAAAAGAGTATCAAAAAGTCCGGAATTCAAAAGACGAAAATCATTGGATCTTGTCCCTCGGAAAAGACTACCATCTCCAGGAAACTTTTCCGCACAGGATCACACCATTTCGCCGACAACACCGGACAGCGATGTTCTTGAATATTTACTTCGACGGAAAAGTTTGCTAACAAGCGATAAGCAAACTTTGGTCACCAAAACTCGACGAACTGATCCAAGACGACAAACTCAACCAGTTCGATTTGATCTACCACCTTCGCCATGTTCACCAACGGCTGGAGGATCAACACCGTTTATCTCGATATTAAATGATGATGTGTTTGATGAATGTGTTTCCGAATCTCGAAGTCTTCACGAAGATATGGATCGTTTGGATAAAACAACACCGCACACTCAATCAATTTCATCATTCACATCAAATAAATCACGAAGAGATTCAGAAGACAGTGATATAATGCCTCCTCCTCCAGCTGAACTACGCGGAGGGCCACCAGTTCCGCCACCTAGACCGGTTCCACCAACACCGCCGCCAAAATCATTAGCTGCAGCCGTTAGAGTTGCTGAAATGAAGGCAAAACAAGCTGGAAAATTAGTGTTTTCTGGAAAAATTATCGATGATAAATTAATCAATAATGATTCACCACCATTTATTGATGAATCACCAAAGAATAGTAGCGCTTCAGATGATTTAATTGGAGCAATCGAAAATTGATTCTAATTACTGGTTTTTTCATTTTTATATTGAATTCTTTTCTTCCTGAAATACTTCTTTTATATATTTAGAGTTTGATTGTGTGAGTGTGTTAATCAGTTTTGCATGAACATTTCATTTCACTATGTGAGCACTTTTTCATTTTTCTCAAAAAACACACACACATTTCATTTCGCTTCTAGTGGTTATATACAAAAATCGCATGTTTTGATGCTCTCTAAGCATGATATTGTCATTTCCCGCCAATTTATGCTAATTTTTTGTATTTTTAATAAAAATAAAGAATTTTTACTTGCGATTTTTGAAACACAATGAACTAGAAGCAAAATGAAACACACAATATTTTTTATCCATTTATTATTTAGTTGTAATTCCCCCAATTTTTTGTAATTTTAATTTTTTATTTTTGGATCTCTGTTTGAGTTGTACTTATTTTATTTGAAATGAATGTTTTTTTCAGAATCAGTTAGATTTTTTGTTGTTTTTAACTTTACTTGAATCAGATAGATTTTAATCATAACTTATGTATGTAGGTAGAAACTTGCAGATGAGCCAATCTATCAACAAATCAATAAAAAGAAAGATGTTATTGTTGGAATCAATTCAACGTTCTCTTCAGAGACAATATGTACATCGGAACCAATCAAAGCTTCTAAAAAGTTAGAACAATAATTTTTAAAAATAATCTGAAATATTTTTTTGCAGAAAAAGTAATCGGATGACTCGAAGTACAACAGACACTACAGAATTGACACGAGCTGATTCAAGTGATTCAGGCGGAGTGTCGTTGGGTGAACCTGGTTATTCTGGAAATGCATCACCGATTATTAAAAATTCACAAAGTCTGATCAGTGTTGGGACAAGTCATAGTCGGGATATTGAAACGAAATTGGAAACTGAAAATGTTGAAATGTTATCATTGCCGACTTATCGAGATGATTATTTTATAACCAGATCAGTGAGTCTCATTTTTGATGTTTATTCATTAAATAAACTTTGAAAAATGTTTACAATTATTGGTAATTACAGGATTTTGCTAAAGAACAAGCTCAACTTGGAAACGTTATCAAGGAATTTTATTGGAAAGAAGTTGTATTTACAAAGGATCTTAATTTGATTATGGAAACATTTTTTGAAACTATCAAAGAAAATGTTTTGCAATGTTTATACCTCAAAGAAATGTTCGGATCGTTGAATGAACTTCGACCAATTCAAAAATCATTCATGGAAACGTTGAAAGAAACAATGAACGGAAAAGAGGAATTGATGTCATCAACATTTTCACCTGTTCTTTTAGCAACTGTTCATAATTTGATACCAATCTATAACTCACTAGTATTGAATTACCCTTTTTATGTTTCCGCTTTGGATCAACTTATCATTTCAAAACCAGAATTCCGTGCAATTATCACGTGAGTGGAATGAAGTTATTAAAAATCAAGTAACTTTTAATTATTTCAGCAAGTTCGAAGCATCAAAACAATGCTATATCCCAATAAATTGGCTTCTTATCAAAATCCTAAGCCGAATTATAAATTGGCAACCAGTTCTGGCTCGCCTTATCGAAATACAACTATCTGAAGGTGTTGCTGAAACTGAGATTACATCAGTTCGTGTTGCAATGGATAAAATAAACGAATATGCCAAGAAATCAAAAGCGAGTCGAAATCAACTAGAAGAATATGTGTCATTGTTACAATTGGAGAAAGATATTGGATTAGTTGGAAAATTGTCGAACCCAATCAGGGTGAGTTTTTGAACTCTGGCTCAGTCAGAATTAGAATTTCGGAAAAAAAATTTAATTGAAATATGAATATTGTTGATAGGGGAAAATTCAAACATAACTTTTTTCCAGAAAGTTCTTCGTTTTGGATATGTTTTGAGATATGCACGCCGTGCTCCTTGCAATAGAGTAATGATTCTTTGCTCAGACCGTATCTTATTCGGTCACCGCGGAGTAAATCTTGATGGCAATTTCTTCACCGTTCACGCAGAATTGAAACTAAAAGGTTTGATGGTTGAAGAAGGAGACACTTATAAAGTGATGGATAACAATGAAAATGTGATAACTCTACACAATGCTGATATTTCAATAGTTATTTCTGCTCCTGATAGAGCATCATGGATTGAAGATATCACAGAGGCAATCAAAGAAGCAGCAAGATCAAAATCTGATCTTCCAAGTCTAGTTATGGAAAAGAAAGAGGAATGCGATATTGATAGTAAGATTTTTTTTCATTTCATCTTATCATACATACTGTGTTCTAGTGGTGAAAGCATTGATTCCGGAAGAATCTCCAATGTCAAAATTAAGTCCACTTCAAATTTGTTGGTATCGAAAATGTTCATTCGGCAAAAAAGACACTTACAAAATGGTCACCAATACAATGTGCGGGTATTTGAAGAGAAAATTGAGAAATTCTTCTGGCTGGCAAGATTTGTGGGTAGTTTTATGCTGCAACACGTTGTTCTTTTATCGGAATCATGAGGTAATTTTATTATAAAATAATGTGAACCTAATAAATATATATTGAACATTTTTTTTAGGAAAAAGAACCACTGGCTCATTTATCATTGATTGATTACGGAATTGGACTACCAAATGTGCACGATAATATAAATCATGAAAATTGCTTTAAATTATTTTACGGTTCTCATCAGTATTTTTTTAAAGCGGATACTTATTATTTTTTTGAAAGGTAGGATGATCATAGTTTCAATTCTATAATCCATTCTCTATTTTTTTCAGATGGGTTGATTCTATCTTCCAAGCTGCAATTTCTCACAATTCGCTTGATGTCGTCACCGCACTTGCCTTACATATTTAAATCTCTCCCCAGACAAAATTACCCTTTCCAAATGAAAACACATAAATAATATGGAATAAATAACCGGTTTCGAAAATACTCTCTCTCCCCCAATTCAGAGCTCAAAACATTTATTCTTGCATTCCTATATTTCTTCTGCTATTTCTTTTCAGTTTTTTGAATTACTTAAACGATTTGCATTTTTTGTCATTTTCGTCATAAATAAAATATTTGCATAATCTTTTTGCAATTGTTTCATTTTCAGTTGAAGTTTATGTTTTTTGTGGTATAATAGATATGACAGAACTTCTTGTTCGAACCGAGCGTGTTGAACATGCTCGGAACTTCAAGACAGAAGTTCGAGGGCTTATGGATGTTGAACATCTTGTTGATAGAGCTAGTATTCATAGAAATATGCAACATTCACATATTCATACGATTCTGTTAACGTGAGTTATTTGAACAAGAAGTTTATTTTGATTCAAAAACCTATTATGAGATCTCTCAAAGAAAGAACAAAACTTGAATCTATCTGCTTAATTTGAAAAAATTCCCAAATTGAATTCAGATTGTTCAATGAGCTTTCTTCACAATTTCCAAGAGAGAAATTTGATGTTGCATTATTCAAAAATGCAATTTTCTCAGTTTCCGATAAAGATTCGGTTGCTCCAAGACTCCATCATAAACTTCAAAGTTACTCTGGAACCGATTTTTTTGACGTTAATCAAACATGGATTATCACATAGTAAGATCTTTGTCCCGTTTGAGTTTTCTTCATTTTTCTTTAGCGCCGCTCTCGATGGTTTGAAACAAAGTCATATTTCAATCGCAACTTTAGAAGAGCCAACTAATCTGGGGCTGGAGATGGAAGAGGCTAGAATTGTTGTTCTTATTTTGTCTCCAAGTTTTGAAAAACACACAAAGTCTCCGGCTGAAATTTCGAGAACTTTTGGCACACTTTTGACACGTGAAACTTTGAGACAAGCAATTTGCGATGCAGCTGATGACGATCAAATCCGAGAATGTTTGAAAGAAAGTGCGAAACAATTATCACTCCAAATGTCAATTAATATTAATGAGAAACCTATTGAAGATGAAAATGAAAAAGTATGTATGCTTTTATCATTAAAAAAGTTTATTTTGAAATATTCCAGGGATTTTGTCCATATTACCCATGTCGAGGTGTTATTCGAGATTTCAAACGACGTTGGACAACATATCAATCAGATTATTTGGATGGAATCAAAGATCGGAGAGCTATCTCAAAGGTTATTTCAACAGCAGTATTTCTCATTTTCACAATCTTGCCAACATCAATCGCCTATGGGATGTTGAATGAGAAAAATACAAATGGAGCCATAAGTAGGTCTAAAATCAAATGTATTAGTTTCAACGGAAGTTTTAGGTGTTCAAAAAGTGATTCTTGGTCAATGGATTGGTAGTTTGATATTTGGGATTTTTGGTGGTCAACAACTTCTGATTCTTTCAACAACTGCTCCTTTAAGTATATACATTGCTGTTATTTATCAAATCGCAGAATTCAATAATTGGCCATTTTTCCAAATGTATACCGCTGTTGGAATATATGCAATGGCAATTTTGATTTTGGCAGCAATATTTCAACTTGCATCTTTAATGAAATTCACAACAAGATCTACCGAAGAAATATTTTCCTTATTCATTTCTGTTACTTTAGTAATCAAAGTTATAATGGCTGTTATAAAAGTATATATCCATGGGTATTTGGGATGTATTTACGGAGATCGGGGAGTTTCTTGTGATCCGGCTGAACCTTTATTATTTATTCTTCTTGTTTTGGGTACAACATGGTTGAGTTTAACAATTGCATCATTTAGAAAATCACCATATTTATCGAGGTTTGGAAAATAATTATTTATTGAGAATTCAATTTTCATTTTTCAGATGGAAACGTGATTTAGTTTCCGATTATGCTTTACCAATTGCTGTTTTAGTTTTTGCTTTCATCTCGTATTTTGCCTTCAAAGATGTGAATAGTAAGTTTTTTGGTTCAGTAATTATCGAATCAAAAATAATTTCAAATTTTAAATTACCAATTTTCAAAAACTCATATGTGGAACAAAATTTTTTTTGTTAAAATTTTCAGAAGAACAATTCCAAATCTTCCCAATATCGCACGATGTTCATTGGGTTGATTTCTACAATTTGCCAGCTGAAGCTCATCTTCCGGCACTCGGCCTAGCTGTACCACTTGCAACTTTATTTTTTATGGATCAGTTATTAGTAACAAACACTGTTGATAATAAAGATAACAAGCTTAAAAAAGGATCTGCACATCATTGGGATTTATTGATTGTTGGACTTCTCAATATTGCTCTTTCATTATTTGGTCTCCCTTGGATGCACGGAGCATTACCTTCAGCATTTTTACATCTCAAAGCATTGTCTGATGTTGAAGATAGATTACATAATGGGTACTTAAAGACAGTGTAAGTTAAAGATTTTCAGAGTTGGTTTTAATCACATATTATTTTCAGAATTGTTCATGTTCGTGAAACTCGTTTAGCTACTCTAATAGCTCATCTCATAATGATTCCAATATATTTCTTTGCAATCCCTCATATAACTGTCTTTATACCAACATCAATATTCAATGGAGTATTCCTATTTATGGCATTCAGTTCTCTAACAGGAAACGAGTTATGGGAACGAATCTTGTTAGTGATGACTGAACAACGGGCTTATCCACCAACCCATTATATTCGACAAGTTCCACAAAGAATTGTTCACCGATTTACATTTATTGAAGTTATACAATTGGCGATTTTATTGGCTGTCGGATTTGCGCAATATCATTATGTCGAAATGGCATTCCCGCTGGTTATTGCGATCTTTATACCTTTCAGGTTGGTGAATGTTTACAAAGAAAAAAAAGAAGGAATGCGTAGTTTTGCATAGTGAAAAACAAATTGTTGGAAAGATGTCACGGGCTGCGAGGCATGACTTGTTTTTCACAGTTTTCTATGAGAAATTTTCCAAAGTTTATGACTGGATTAATCAAAAAAAAAAAGATAACTGAAAGTGAATGAATCCCACTTTGAACGTTGATTTTTGATTAAAATCAAAACCGTTTTTATCATTATTTCAGACACTTCATCTTGCCTCTCATTATTCGAAAACAATTCCTGGAAGTCATCGATGGAAAACATTAAACAATCTTTATTAATAATATATTTTATTCAAGAATAATATTGTCAAATATTCCTTCTAAATACATACATTACCAATAATAAAAGCAACATAATAGCATTCGTATTCGTAGGGAAGAAAAATGAACAATCCAAATGACACAGATATGTAAAAATCTACTAAATATTAACTAATCATTATTAAAAAGAAAACAGAAACAGTCATATTTTATTATTAAGAATTATGGCGGAATTATCAAGTAAGACAGAACATTTGTTTTTGAACGAAAATTAAGAAAATGTGGAATACCCGAAGTTTCGTCAGTTAAAAAATAGAGAGCGGTTAAGTCAGATTAAGAAAAAATTAAAAATTTCACAACGAAGTGACTTGCTCTTCATCTTCGTCATCTTCATAATCTTCTTCAAGAATCACTAAATCATTATCCGATCCATAGATTTCTTCACTTGATTCTCGAACAATTTTTCGTTCCTCATGATAACCTGGAAAAAACTTGTTTTATTTTTATGTCTAGAACACTTTTTTGCAATGTTGTTTGATTCACAAAGTTTGCTAAATTTCTGTGTCTGACGTAATTGGTTAATGTGATTATTTTGAATTCAACTGTGTGTTATGTTAAAATGATCAGATCAGGATGAGAAGACAGAAAACATACCACTTTCTTCGGAAACACTATCTGGATCAGTTGGCTGAAGTCTTGTTCGATCTTCTTCCGAGCAAACTGAGCTTGGACCAGTTGCAGTTGTTGAGCTGCTACTGCTACAAGTTCCTCCATCACATTTAGATGAGTTCGATTCGAGATCTGGTGCTGCTCGATAACAAACAGATAAATTATCGGGGTCTGAAACACAATCATCTTCCTCTTCAATTTCTTCCAACTCTTCTTCATGTTCTTCTTCTTGTTCCTCATCAATACTTCCCAATCTAGGAGCAGATTTAGAACGGCTTACTGGCGGCCGGAAATTGAGAGTTCCTGTTTGAAGGATTTGTTTACGACGTGGACATCCTGCAGCGCCATTCAAACGAGCGTTCTGGGCTGATAATTTTTCCCGTTTGTACTCCTGTAAACATCAAGTATAAAGAATAATAACATATTTAAATTTAAAAAAAAGAATGAACAAAAACCAACCTGCAACGCAGCTTGCAAAAATCGTTGAAGTTTTGTATTTATAACACCAGGTTCGCTATTCTTTTTACAAAGAACTGCATGACATCGAAGCTCTGGTTTCAGCCTCTTTCCATCATGTTTATAAATCCAACAAAATACTTTTGGATACTCTGGCGGAGCTGCACTAAACGTAACACGATGTGCCCAATATTCAGTCAATCCTTGTTGTTTTGTTTCAGCTTTTAATCCCGATCTTGTGATCTCCAAATTCATTCCCAAATCATTACGACTTCTTGAACAATAGGCTTTCCAGATAAGTGACAGTGGTTTTTCATAACAATTTTCTCCGCGAGCCATTACAGTTAACACATTTCCCAAATAAATAACACTGTATGTTTCATCTGGTGGATTAATTGTGTATCTATAAAAATTTTAGATTGTTTATTGAAAATTTCAATATTCTGGTTCTACCTTTTGTTTCTTTTTGCGAAAAGAAAATGGCAATGTGAAAAGATGCGAAGCAGTCGACGCAGTATTACTCAAAAATGATGACATTTCTGTTCTGAAAACAAATGACCGTTCGGTTAGGTAATAGGAAAATTGCAAAAAAATCAAAGACGAGACGAGAAAAAAAAACGGTAAGCAATTTATTTGTTTTAGCGAGCTGTCAAAAAATCTTGAATTGTAAATATTGATATACCGTGAAATATAGTGGATTTTTCGATTTGTGAGAAAATGATAAGGGTAGGTGAATGAATGGCAGATGAGTTAGAACAACTTTGATTTTTTGAATGAGGAAATGCGTTTGGAAAAATAAAGATGATAAAAATGATGATAAGAAAAATTCTAGAAATGAATTAGGAAAAAAAAAGGGAGGATGTTTGATATAAATGCAATTCCAGAAAGAAAAAAATAAAAGAGACGACCACATGTTCCGGATACATAAATATTTTATAAGCATCATTTATCAAATCAAATCAAACCAAACCATGAAAAATTCAAAGAGGAAATGGTCTTTTGAGCTTCTTATTTCTGTATAGTGAGGTGATGTGCTCGAAAAAAACAACAAGAAGAGCACAAAAATTGCTTGCTTGCTTGCTTGTGCTCATGCTCAAAACAAAATTCTTTCTTTATGCGCGCAAGCAGCAATGACGAAATGCGTTGATGCCAAGACGGTTGGAGGAAGCGAGAAAAAAAACGAAGAAGAAGAAGAAGAAGAAATTGAAATGTTTACACAAGAGACAAAAACTGAACGAAAAAACGAACAAGCTGGATGAAGAAGCCTATAGTACAGTCTCTCGTCTATATGATGCGTTCTTTGTCGGCAGTGGAATCGGTTCAAAATTTTGAGCATGTGATTATGCTATTGAATCAATGATGAGAAAAAATATTTGAGAGAATATAATCATGAAATTTCACTTGAAAATGATCTGATCTGGGTAAACTCTCAGCGGTTTTGCTGCGACGTTCTCAAAAAATATTACTAGAAACCGCCACAGACAAAATCGCATCATTCCAATATTTCATCGAGATTTTATAAATAGTTTGAACTTTTATCACCAGAGATCGGCTGAGAATGAGTTTAAAACTCATAAGATCAACAAAACAACTAACTATTCCCAATTCTAAAAAATGATGTTATCAGATACAAGAATCATACATCTTTTCGATAAAATTGTTCAAGAAGGAAAAAAACAAGCATAAACATTTCCGGGGATTGGTTTTATGTATGTTAGCAAAAACCACCACATATGCATAACTAGTATAAGGAAGGAATCTCTAAATGATACAAAAAAACTACACAAAGATAACAACACAGAAAAGAAATAAAAGAAAAACACATATGTAGACGAAAACTGACCGTGACATTTTTACCGAATCAACGTTGTGATGTGAAAGAAAAAAAAAGAGACAGTCGAAAAAAAATGAGAAGATGGAAAAAGTAGTGTTTTATGACGGGGAGGGCCCCGTATCGTATTTTTTCTTCTTCTTCTTCTTCTTTTTTCTCAATTCTACCGACTAACCAAAAATAAGAACATATGATTTTTGGCGACTATTGTTTCATAGAACCAGATGTGAAAATCAGAAGGAACGGAGAAAAGGGAATAGTGTAGAATAAAATTTGACTCCAAGAATTTATCAATACATATAAAAAATTATTGAGGTCACGCCTATTTGATTGATGGATTACGGTAGTTTTTGCAAACCTGACAACAAAATCTCACAACGAAAACAACTACCCATGTGTGTGTGTGTACTCTCAACTAGAAAATATTTGAAAATGTTATCAAATTTTAAGATAATTGGGAATGGGAAATTGGAAATTGTAAAGTTGTGAACTTTGACTTTGCTGATTTTATTTGATATGAGTTCGAATAATACATAAATTCAAAGATCACGAGATGCCATAAGAAAACTACAGTAGTCAAGCAGGAATTTTGCACTTTTTTAGTGCTATAAAAAACTAATATCAAAATCGTAACATAGCTATTTTACAATTTCTATATATATGTTTTCTCATCCAAAGAATTTCCAATATCGAAAAAAACCAATTTTCCAAAAAAAACCAATAATAAAAAAAATCTTTTAAAAGCATCGCATTCTTTGACCCGTTTTGATTTCGGACTCTGAACTATGATACTCTTCAAAAATCGAACAAATATCGTAAAATGTTCTGAGATGGTTTGGTATAGAAAACCGAATATATATGCATATTTCTCTTGCTTTCGAATACTAAGAATAGATTCTTACAAAACGAAAAAAAAGCTAGGACGAACACATATATACATAAAAGGATTGTGATATAAAAATTCTGTAAGGAAAGTAAAACGGAAAAATGTTGAAATGTCAATTCTATTTTATTGAAACGAGGAAACGGAATGATTGATCTACTTGACTGACCATACAAAACACGATTTGTTCCTTTTCTTTCCAAAAAAATATCACCAAAATATAAAAAAGATCAAGGAATGGTTGAGAAAAAATGTATCAAAAATAAAAACCAACAGTGAAAATAAGATGAAGAGGAGTTTCAGTGATAAGATATCGAAAACACAAAAATGAATCATTGGGTACATTTATGTTAAGTGATAAAATAAAAAAAATTAATTGATAGAAAGAAAATAAAAACAAACATTTCCGATGTGTCATTTTTTAGATTGAAAAAAAAACTGGAACTATAAAAAAAAAGGTATTCTTCAAAGATATTGAAATAATAACGCTAATTTTGTGAGGATCTGCTGTTCGAAGAAAAGAAGCTTCATGGAAACAAAGTTTTTTTCCAGAAAATGAACATTTGTCCGGGTACATAGCTTTTTAGTCTAGGAAATTTGAAAGGCCAACATTTTTGGTTGAAACTATCAAAAAGATTCAACAACAACTAGAAAAAAACTACAAGCTTAGGAAAAAACAATCTTTGGAAAATCAAAAGCTCACGGGTGTCAAATTTCACTAGCTTCGTAGTGTTCGAGTCATTTTTCAAGGTAGCAAAGGAAATAACAAAAATACCTCTACAGTAGGATGTAGACAAAAGATCAAACCTTTGCAGTTGGATATCTATGATGAAAAGGTAATATTATAGAATTGAATAAGGGTAACCAGAACAAAATATTTCTCAAAAATTAGATCACATTCCGTGTAAAACTCCACAGCCGTATTCTTTCATTTGAAAAAAAAACATTGCAATTTTAGATTAAAAAATCATAACGAGTAGAGATTTTTTGAAGAATGTAATCTAAATCACGGAACCCGCAAACTTTTCCCCCTAACAAACACAAATAAATGTAACAACTCTAGTTTTTGTGCATGTATGCCAATGTGATTATTCTCATGAAACATACACACAGACATATCACAAAGAAGAAATTAGCGTCGGGGCGAAAAAAAATGGTAAGTGAAATATTTTAAAATGTTTGTATGTATGTATGAATGTTAAGAAAGTGAAGAAAAGAAGAAGAAGAAGAAGAAGGGAGTTATTATTTGACTATCTATCGAGATTGCCAACTTACGTTGTGAGTAAACAATACAAGATTATATGAAAAATATATATGAATCTATATGTAGTATAGTTTTTCTCACCGAATAAAAAGTATGTTTCTTTTATCGTTAAACAATACAATGTTACAAGAATGATGCCAACAAAAACTGAAAATGTGTAATAGTAAAAAAATGTATTCATCATTTTACCTGGAACCGAAATTATATCTAGATGAACAAAGTTCAAGTAAATAAAGCTGTCTGTATGAACTAGATTGTTCCAGAGACAATTAGGTTTCTAAATATATAGAGTTCATTTGGTGAGAGAGGTTTCAAATTGAATAAGAGAAAAGCTCTTTGAAGTATGCACATGAACAGATAATTTAGTTTTTCGAAAACTACTGTAATTTAAAAATATAAGAAAATTGAAAAAAAAAACTGATAGAATTGAAAAGACATTTGCTAACAACAAGGAACTTCAATGAACTGTACTCATTCTCAGAAAAAATCTGCAAAACATGTCATGTGAATATGATTAGATTAAAAACTTCTGAAATTGATGATTAATAAAAGTCAGAAACTTTTGCTAAAATCAAGTTTAATTTGAAAATAGCTATTGAAATTTGGAACACTTGTTTTAAATTGGAAAGGTAAAAAAAACGTTTTTTTTAGAATCTGATTATTCTAAAAAATTTGAAATCAGAACATTGCAAAATTAAATGATTCGGGTATTTCTACGTTTTTTGAAATTGAGAAACTATGTTTTGATGCTTGAGTGAATGTGATAATGTGTAAAAAAAATCAAATTTAGAATGTTCCCACTGAAAATTCAATGCTTTCAATGATTTTTTAAGAAAGATTTGCAGAATTTGTGTTTTCGAAACCAACAGATGTCAGTTTTAAAAAACATAAACAAAAAACAATTCACATCAATTTTTTCATGAATCATAAAAGTCAAAAGAAAAACTTCCATTCAATCTGAAAAATAGAAATCCAGATTGTCCGAATTTTCCAAGAAAAAACAACACAAAACTACTCTCGAAAAACTTATTTTCTTTCTCATTCTACGAAAATGCTCAATTTTGTTTTTTCTTCTTCAAGATTCCAGAAAAAAAACCAACAAAACATTAAGTGTTCCAAAACTTTTCTAGTAGAAAATTAGAAAAAACTACTACTTATGCGTCAGGAAAAATGAAACAAATAAAAATGTGTGGAAATATAACAATAGGAGGATCACAAGAACAATTTATTCTTGTGTTTTGATGTAATTTGTTTATAAGCTTTTGAACTTTTGAGAAATATTCACAAATAGGAGAAATACAATTTTGAAATCCATGAGAAATGATGTGATGTGCATGAAATGAAAAATTATGAATCATTCCGCGCGGAAAATGCAACGAAAAATGGCTTAGATGTGTGCCTATGAGCGTGCGCAAATATAAAATTGTGGCAAAAAGCGCGAAAAATAGGCTAATCCGGTTGGACCGTTTCGGTTTCATGAGCTTGATGAATAGAAAATTGAATGAAACGAAACGAAATGAGAAGAGAATTTATGGTTAAGTGAAAAATAGTGGATTAAATTGTTAATGAGTACGTCGGTTAATTAGAATTTAATAGAATTGAAAATATAAAATGAATTTTTTTTTTTCTGAATGTGAGTTTTTCTATTCAAAAATAACCGTAGGAAAAAAAATAATTACCAAAAAATACAAACTAGGTCAAGATGAACTCTAGTACATTTTTTTCAGTAGCAAGGAAAAAACAACATATATTAATAATAAAGCAGAGAAATTTTCACTTTCTAGTCAAAGACAAAATAATTGTAGAAGAGAGAAAACGATATGTTCAAGCTTCTTCATTGTTATATTTTTCTTAAAGTGAGGAAAACACATATATTTCAGTATTCCCTAAAGATTAGTTTGAGGAATGGAAAAACAAAATAAGTTTTATTATTTCGTTTTGTGAAATGCTTCAAAGGGGGATATTAAAACATGTGGAATATACATAAAGATGGTTATCTCAAAATATTTAATTTATTTCATTTTCAAGTTGAATCAATCTAAGAAGTCTCTGACTACATCCATTAAAAAATACACATTTCTCAATAAAAAACCAAGCAGAAAGAAAAAACAAGAATTTTCTGTAAAGGAACGTAAGTATAATAAGACGAAGAAAATCCACAAAAGCCAAAAGAATGCAAGACGATTTATGGAAAAGAGGCGAAAAGACAAAACGGTCGAAAATAGTGAGCGATTAGTGGAGAAATGAGACAATGAAGAGAGAAAGAGATGAGAGAAGGACAAAAAAAGTGTGCGCGCGCGGCACAAAACGAACAGTTTGTAGTGAATATACATACACATAACAACAATAAGAGAGAGAGAGAGAGAGAGAGGGAGAGAGAGAGAAAGAAAAGATAGAGGGAAAGAAAATTGAACGAATTATTGCGGTTGGTGGGTGCAAAGGTGAAGAGGGGGAACAACCGAATGAAATGTATAAATTCATATATTTGTTTTTACGGCTTCTTTGCTACATTGTGTAACTCAATAACATTGTGAAAATCGGAATGAATTATGGAAAAGCTGGCAAATATTGAAAATTGAAAAAATTTTGCGATTTTTGTTTTTCAAAACATATGTCACAATAGGTTGTTTAGCGTCCTGAAGTGCATTCATTGTTTCGTATTTTTTTGGGAAGGTAGGAAAACATATCAATATGATCCAAGTGTAGAGTAATAAAAAATGGATTGACGGGTTTTGGGAAGATCAAGTATTCCATAGTGTTTCAATGATTTTTTTGGAACTGGCATGCGGAAATATTGTAGAAAGAATATGATAAAGGGAAGATAGGAGAAAATAATATATTTTTTTAAAGTTAACAAATTCCATGAATTATCA